AAAGTGACCAAACCAGAGAAAAACTAAGAAAAAAAACTAGATTCATACACACGTTCACCTTGGTCCAAAAAAAATTACACAAAGCTCCTTTGTGATTAAAGAAATGCATATTTAAAGACTGGAGAAAGGCTGACATTTGAAAAGGGGGTAGGGTCTGTTTGGCGTAGGTGCATGATTTGCAAGCTGTCAGATGACGGCCTTGAGGATGAAGAGCAGTGGGCCCCCATTCTCTGTCCAGTGCTTGGTGCTCCCAGCCCCCTCAACGCCTCTCCATACCCCCATGGGAGGAGGTCTGTTGCGCTGCGGCCACACTAAATCAACACCGTCCTAATGAGGTGTCACACTTGACCCCCAGCAGCCTCAGCCCCTCACATGTGTGTCAGAGCCACAATGAGCGGCCCTCCATCTCCAGCGCCCGGCTGACACATTTTGATTCATGAGAGAGCCTGGGCCCTGTCAGGTCAAAATTACCCCTATCAAAATGCCACCATCAACACATTCATCAACCCTACCTCTGAATCCGCCCTTATACAATTCCTCTCCAAAAATCAACAACACTTCATTGCTTGTGCTGTACATGCGCCCCTCCCTCTGACTCCCTAAAAGCACACAGACCTCTAAACGCTATGCATGTTCTCTCTGACGACCTCTTATTGTGGTGAGAAATGATACCCCTGCCTGCCATTGGTCGGGGCTCTAGCATTGTGCACCCAAAGGCTCTCTGGGCGATGAACTCTGTGTCCCCCAGGTGTTGGTAACCTTGTCCTGACCTACCGACCTAAAACACTCCTCCGGTGAACAGGTAATAACGAACCTGAGAATGAAATCTCCCCACTAAGTCAAAGTACGGTGAGAGGCGAAGGGAGCTTACTCATAGCGGGAGGTGAGACACATTATCTTCACATTTGGTGGTGCATACGTTCCATTGGCCCAATACACCATGAGAAAGGTAGAACTCATACAATTGTGGTCAAAAACACATCCTAGTCCTCACAGCGCACATGCGACCATCCCGGTGATGATGGACTGCGGTATCCGCTCTTCTTCCTCTGGAGATCAGACTTTCTTCATCCTGCTAGCCTGCATCCGCAGGGTGACATCATCTCCTGCCTAATCCTCTCGACCCGACGGCGGCAGTTGCTCCTCCAGAATCAAACCCGCAGGATAAATGTCAACTACCAAACCAGCTTTATAAATAAATAATCAAAAGTGTTCCAACCCTCAACCCTTAACATTTTTGTACAACACTTTATAAGCTAGGACACAGCCGCCCCTCGCAGATGAGATCATTTGCTGTCAGCTGCCACTCAACTTTGCCCACTGAGGCAGCCATCTGCTCCGTAAACCTTCCCCTGAGAGACAAGCGCAGTCCAGTGTGACCAGTACACCTGTCAACTGCCTTGTCTGGTCTTGAGCCTTTACAAATGCCCATGATCTCGTTGTCATTATTATGCAAAACAAGGATGTCACTATTTATTACTAAAACTATTAAATATCTGGATGGATTTGTGCCACAGTGTCCAAATTGATTAGGCGCGCTTCTATGGTGATCCATCAGTCATCGCAATATTAAGTCAGGGTCACAAACGCACACAGTTTTATTGCTGCAGTTTAAAACAATAAGAAATGTATGTTCACAACATACGATAATGTGACAATAATATCTATTGTTACATGTTACAATATGTCTCTAATAAGGCTATATGACGTTATGGGTTGTAAACCCGAGTTCATGCAAAGTATTCATAAAAAGTAATAAAACTGTAAGCTGTCACGACCCAACACCCGTAACGGTAATACAGCAATGCAAAGGTCTCCGGTGCCTCATTTGTGTCCAGACACAAGTACTGGTAGGTAATTGTAATGGCATGAGAGGCTTTTGAATGTTATGGTGTTTTAAACACAGAAAGCCTTGATTTGTGGCCATGTTACTTGGGAATAAGAACAGACCTCGCAGTTAACCGAAATGAGATATCTTTTGTTTTTATGTGTTGCGTATTTGAGCATATGTCTGATGGTAATTGCTATCAACTAATTTCCAAACAAAACTATTGCAGAAAAATGCATGGTACAACTTTTTAGCTGAAACCAGCATCTCACGAATTCCTTCCAGTTGGTCACTCAAACCACAAAAAAGTAACTTACCGTTTTGCAATAGTTTTCACACTATGGAGGCTGAAATTTGGCATAGGGGGGTTAATTTAAGTAAAGGCTAGAACCATGGATGCATGGCTCTAGCAGGTGGCAGCTTTTGCAAATTCATGCACATTTGTCCAATGAATCATATTCATTTGATTTGTGGCTGGAGGCCTAAAAAATAATATAAATTGTTAAAATGTGAAATCCCTAAAATCCCTAAAAGGGCACCTATCTGTTCCTGTTTAATGAGGTTATGCAATAGTAAAACACATTACGGCTGCAGAATCCTAGAAGCCTTATCACAACATTTTTCGCTTGAAAAACTTTATTTTCTGGGTCATGTATATTCTTTCCAATCCATCTATAACAATATGAATCATACCATTGGTTTTCAGTTCATTACCCTCATCTATCTACAAGCTTCATGTTTCCTGGTCTTTTATTCTGCCACGAGCTGCCAGCAGGGCTTCAGTAATAATTATTATCCTACACAATGATTCAACAGTAGTCCCCATCAACTAAAACCTGAATCCGCCAGTGGTCCAAAAGGCTTCTGTGAAACTTGTTATGTTCTCAACCTCAGATGTAGCGTGACTCCTCCTCTCTGAGTAGTTAAGCTGCGTGTTTACTAAATGCTCTGACAGATAAGCGTGACTTGGAGTGACACATTGTGACTGAAAGCTTCTGATTTTGAGGAGTTAAGTCAGTAGGTATTTGTCAATTTGAAAATAATGCATCAGATTCAAACAGAAACCTAATCAAATTAACGTTTGTCCTGTTACATTGTTTAAACTGGTCTGGCAGAGCTCGTCTGAGTTCTGTGCCATTCCCAATGTATTGAAATGCTTTCACACCACAGCTGAAGACCTAGAAACAAGCTGATCAGACACCCTTCTGTTTTTGATATGCACAGCAACATCCTGTTTTGGCTTTATTGTTTTGCAATCATGCAACATATGAAAATTACATTTACTTCCTTAAAGTTATGCATTATAAAAATGTCACATAGACTTAGCAACATAAGGCTTGTCCTTCTAATATGCCTAACCTATAGAGGAGCCTATAGCCTATGGAGAAGGGCAGATGTTAAGAGGAAAAATGTATATTTTAATGTTCAGCAAAGGATAGTGTAACCCTTAAATGAAAACATGAGAAATTAATATAAACATCCTCTAATTCTTGTAAAGCATTCAGCTAAGTAGTGGTAGAGATTGACTTTAAAAAATAGTATACAAAGTAAACATAGTACTCAAAATGTTATGCTTGCAAAAGGCCATACACTAATTACTATGACTGTTGATTCCCTAAATGTGACTTATAATAACTTTAATAACCCTATTTATACAGAACTTTTTAAAAACAGAGTGTACAAAATGCTTTGACAGACAAAGCAGCAAAAGCAAGTCAATAATAAAAACATCTGAAAGCTCAGCTCAGAAAACAGTGAGGCCCAACCAGGCCAGATAAATGGAGGTAAAACAGTATAATAGATGAAATACAAACCAGTAGATAATATAAAAAATAAACACAATTAATTGAAAAAGAAGGATTTAAAAGAGAGATTGCTTATCTCCTCAGGCAGGTCATTTCAAAGCCAACAGGCCGTGATGGCAAAAGCTTTGGTCTTCAGCCTTGACTTTTGAGCAGCCAGAGTGTGTAGGATATACACATATACCGGAGGATAAAGGGCTTAGTGAAATGTCCCAAATGATATCACCATCTACGTCTTTCAGCGCTGTTACTCAGTCAGCATATTAGGGACGAATAAATTAAAGTAACATTGAAAGAGATACTACTAGATAAAACTACCTATTCAGGGCTGAAGTGTTATTTTGAACCCATACACATAAACTATTACCACCAGTACTACCCATACTACCTCTGTGACCACTGCAGACACATAATACACCTTAGCAACCACCAAACACTCCCAAGTAACCACCCAGAATCCTCACAGCAATCATCAAAAATCCCCAAAATGTACTTTCTGCTAACAATCCCAAAACGCAATGTACCACCTGGGCTGTTTCATGACTTGACAGCTGTTGGTGATGATGCAAATAAAGGGAATAACAAACAGTCCTAAATCTCAATTTATCGCTCACTATTGTGTCAAGTATAACATAGTGAATAGCGAATGAGTGACACAGGACACTGCCTTAGTAACCACCCAGTGAAACCGTAGCAACCCCACCAAAGATCTTAGCAACCGGTTAACAGACTCTACTGAAGTCTTGGAAACCCCTTAATAACATGGTAGCCACTACCTATAAATATGTAAAATCACAATGTAGCCGCGCCTTAGAAATCATCTAGAATGTGTACTTGACTACTCAGGCTCTGAAACCTTCTGAGTTCGGTCCTACAATTTTTATGCTCAGATTAACATTTATGCAACCTCTGACCTATTATATTTCCTTTTGGGTGGTATTGGCATTTGGCTGTTAAAAATGCATTATGCGTTTTGTATGTAAATGAAAGAGGAATCAGAGATTTTGTGAATGTCAAAAGTTGGTTAAAATTGTGACGTTTTTTTTTAACAAGGAAAGGTTGTGAGCCCCAAATCAATTAAAATGACTCATGAACTAAGCATGTGCAATCTTTGAGTTAAAGGAACTTTTGATTTAGTTAAACAGCTAAAACAAGAACCTTTCACACCCAAACAATGGAATCCTTTTCTGCGATTTAGCACCCAACAAGTGAGGAGCAAATTGTACGTGGGTGTAGTGAGTGTGTGTTTGTGGTTGTGTGTATACACGTGCGCACAAATGTGCATGTGACCTCCCCCTGTGTCTAACAATCATCCTGACGCATACCACCCTTTCTCTCCCCAAATAAAAACAGAGCAAAAGAAAAAGCGGAATTATGCAGTGTTGAAGTACTTTACGAGATCCTCCTCTCAACAGAAAAAGGACAAAGTATCCATGGGAATCTTAGCACGTTAGGGAGGCCTTTTTCCCTTCCTCTCATCCGCTCTCCCCCGCTGCACCCATGGACCAATGCAATTGTTTATTTTCTCCTATTGAGGCGGCTCCATTCACTGGCTCTCGCATTTACTCTGCTCAATTGGAGTGAGACAGCACTTATTCCAGGGGAGGAATGTAGCGTTCCACTGACGGAGCAGCAAGAATGCAGAAGAAATAATTCAAGCTTTTTAAAGGAAAAAAGGTACAGCTGAGCATGATGGAGAATGACGTCATACCGAACAATGCAGGATGGACGGGATTTTTTAGACATGATGGGTATGGCCACAAATCACCTTGGCAGTACAAAGCAAAAGGAGTGTTTGAATAACGCACAATGCTATAAAATGGAGCAGGGATCCTTTAAGGAGGTCATTAATTCGCTGTGCTTTCTTAACTGAAACTCTCCTGCAGAACAATGAAGCATTCTCCGGGCTGTTGTAAGATGTGGCCTGTCCTCCAACCTCTCTGCTACAGCACAATAGCTGCGAGCCGGACCGAGGAGTTCATTTCTCCTGAATCTATTCTGTCTTTAAAAGGCAGTCATAATGACGGTTTCCTTTCTGAGACAATGAGGGCCTGCTCTGTCCTGTCAATCTCTGTTATCTTCCATCGGGTGAAACGTCTAGCCGTGAGCCACGAGTTGCACGTTGTAACCAGTTCCTCAAAGACATGCTGCAGGAAATAGTGTCGAGCAGTTTCGGGTTGCACGGGGTTGGTTTCCTTTTAGAGGGTTGTGGGTTTTTACAGCACAACCATTCGATTCTAAGATAGCCCAAAGGGGCATTAGTATGCCTAGTATATTCGCATCACTTCAGATAATAAAACAATGTATTATTGAAGAAAAAGAAGAAACTTTAGGAAATGCAACAGAAGAGGGATCCCTCTTCATGCAATACATGCATTGTGTAATAATAGATAAAAATACCAATAGCATAATAGTGAAATTAGGGTATGTGATATTGGCTTGCATCAGTTATCAGTTAGATAAATAATCCCAGAATCACTGTGCCCAACATAAAGTGATATGATATCCAGATATTGGCAACAATCACACTTTATCAGTGAGACTCTAAACTAAACTAAAACCGCTGAGACTGGCCTCTACAAGCAATCTGTAATACAGTAGATGAAGTTGAAATCAAGAAAGACTGGCAAAAGTGACTAAAAAGGACTGAGCAGATTAAATCCAGTCTGTTTCAATAAAGACTGTTTGGCTGTTTGTCAGCTCTCATGAGGTCAATGACAGGTGAATGTTGTTGAAAAAGAATTTTGACATGGACTCTGGTTGAGATCTTCAAGTTGAAAGCAATTATTGCTACGTGTAATCTCGTATCAAGGGTTCCGACATGTTTGTTGAGATATGTGCTGTTTTCCTGTGTATGTTTTAATTGTGAGCTGCTAAATGGACAGCAGATAAAATGGAAAAATATCAAATAATAAGAATAATATTTAATATGTAATATTGTAAGCGGTCTCTTGGACATAAATTATATTTTATCGGTATCCTCCTTGTCATAATTAGGTCCAAAGTGATCTATAGAGGCCACTATCTAAACAAATACTGCCGCTTTACATTTAAACAAACAAAACTAAACGTGGTACAAAATAAAGGAGCTATAAGAATTGTGAGTGAACAGAATCTGTACATTGAATAATGTACAGAATGTGTTGAATACATGTATATATACTATACTCAAAATCATTAGTTTGGATAGAGATTGGATTGGTGGAGGAAATATCCAGGAATTCATATTTTGTAAATTGACTTGACAAAAATATTAACGTTTCCTTTTGCAGTGGATCTGTGGCATTTGTTCCAGAAACAGTCAGTCTGCATTCACGCAGCAGGTCGTCATTCATAAAACACAAGTAAATCGTACCTGCCCCCCAGTGGTCACACAAAACCAGCATACCACCTTGAACAAGAGGCATAACGTGTGGCAGATCATTCAGGTACATACCCATAAGGCAGCTGTGAAAATTGTGTTAAAGTGTTAAAGTTTAAAACATAAACGTATTTACATTTGCTTTGCATTGGCTGTTTACAGTTACCCAGGTCTCTTGGGTGCCATATTAAAGCACCATGTTCCTCATCAAGCTTCAAACTGTGACATTTTCTCAAGCCGTTAAAAAAAGGAAGGAAGGACACGTAGAGGAAGTTATCATAGTCAGTCAAAGGAATACAGATCTGAGAAGTGAGAAGCACAGAGGCAAATAGAAACACATCTTTCTCTGTGGTTTTTACAGGTGGCAGCATGACTAATGCACTGTGCCAAGACAACAGTTTCACTCTATAACCCGCCTGCGTTCTCTCAGGATGGACGCCTACAATGATTATCAGCCTGATAATTACAGTTACTATGAGAACTATGGGTTTTTTAACGACACAGTGTGTCCTGGCTCACACCTGCATGGCTTCAACATATTTGTGTCCATTCTGTACTTCCTAATTTTTTTCACAGGCTTTCTGGGCAACCTCTTTGTGATCTCGGTGGTGGGCAGAAAAGGGAGGAGCCGTGGGCGTCTGGTGGACACATTTATTATCAACCTAGCCCTGGCCGACCTCGTCTTCGTCCTCACGCTTCCTCTTTGGGCCATTTCGACCAGCCAGGGCGGCAACTGGGACTTTGGGCCAACTGGGCCCCTCCTGTGTAAACTAAGCAGTTACATCATAGCTGTAAACCGCTTCTCCAACATATTCTTTCTCACCTGCATGAGTGTTGATCGCTACCTGGCTGTAGTGAAGGTGTTGGACTCAAGGAACCTCAGGAACAGACGGTGCATCCACACCACTTGTGCCGCTGTGTGGTTTGGCTCCCTGGTCCTTGGCATCCCATCCCTGGTGTACCGCACAGTTGAGCAGGTCGGCGATGGACTTGCATGCATAGAGAATGGCAGCTCACCCCTTTTTCTCGGCCTGAGCCTCACCACGATGTTACTCACCTTTTTCCTCCCGGTGCTGATCCTCATGCTCTGTTACGGGACCATTGCTGTGCATCTCAATCGCCACTGTGCAGCAAATGCAGCAAATCCCAGAGCTAAAGCGCGCCGCAGACACTCCCTCAAGATGGTCCTCTGCATCGTAGTGGCCTTTGTGGTCTCCTGGCTCCCCTTCAACGTCTTCAAGGTCGTCATCATTGGCTCGGAGCTCGCAAACGTTAACCTGAGTTGTGATGCTAAGTCGTGGCACAGAAACGGGCTCCTCGTCTCGAGCTGCCTGGCGTTCGTCAACAGCTGTGTGAATCCAGTCATTTACTTCTTCCTCGATCATCACTTCAGGAGAAAGGCCGAGATCCTGTTCAAAGCCTTCACAGGGAGGCCAAAGTTACTGCAGAACTACAATTCTTCAGCCTCATTCACCGACGCTGGGACTTCAGATAGCTATGCAACAACAGAGAGAAGAAGTCAGCTGCAGATGTGTGAGTAAGAGGAGAATATTTGGAAAGTTATTCTACTATTATTAAGAAGTAATGTGAAAAATGGTCATGCTCTTCTTGATAACAGGGCACAATGTTTTTCTCAAAGCATGGTTAAATATGTTAATGTTAATAAGTTTACCCACATAGTGAACAATTTGTTTCAGTTAGTATGATAATGTAATTTACTTCGTCAAATATGTATTTTCAAATGTTCTACATTCAATAAACATGTTGTTCATAGGGTTAAAGATTATAATATAGTCCAATAGTGTTAATAGAGTATCCAGTTTTTTTTATTTTGTTTGTTTGAAGGAAGCCCCTAAAAAAACTGCTGCATTAATCGTGTGCACTTGTGTCAATCTAGAGGTGTAAATATGATTTAAAACAGAATTATTGCCTTTTTTATTTTTTATTATTTTAAGATAGAACGAGTGGGGAGAGAGAGAAAAGAGAGAGCGAGGATTTGATTGTATTATTGTAAAATGTTTGGTCCTAGGCTTTTATTGAAGACACACATATATGATGCTGTGATAAACTTGCAAAAATAAAACTGATTTATAAATAAAACTGTTTTTGTGACTTAAAACGAACTCTTGAATCAAACAGATGTTTGCAAAGAAATCTTAATTAATAATAACAGAATCTAAGAGTATTATTTAATAGGTTTAAGAGAGAGAAACACTTCAAAAGTTGATGTCAAGCTTTTCCATAATTACAATGAAGAAACCAAAAATGTGTACCTGTAAATTATTACTGTGTTATTGCAAAAGAAAAAGTGCAAAGTCTGGTCCGAATGGTGTAGCCCATCATGCGTTGGCACTCCCAACGACGTGGTGAGTACATCATGCAGCAGCTGGCTGTCTTACTGCGTTCATAGCATATGAAATCTTGCGTGGAGATGCTGCTCATAAATCCTGACATGTTCAGCCAATACCATTGTGTTCTTAACTAGAATATTCAATTTTAACATTGGCATTTTTCAGGTTTGGGCCATTTTAGTCAAGTTTAAGCAGAATTTTAAAAATATACAAACATGTTGGGGCTCGGCAACATTATTATGTTATATTTTTAAATTTCCTGTCAGCTATAATTGATTGTAAATTGCATTTCTAAACTCAAAGCAATGAAATCATTTAAAATAATTATCTATTGTATCTGTTGCAACAGCAGTTTTGTCTGTTTGTGCAATTTGATATAATAAATGCAGAGAATTAAACACTTTATGCAGTGCTTCAATGTCGTAATGCACATTGGTAATGTACAAGTGCCTAGTTTTAGTGATTTAGTTGTATATTTTTTTGATATTATAAATAGAATCAATGTGTTCTCTGAAGCTTAAAAAACATTCAGGTTCATCTTGTCCCTGAAGTATATCAGTAAATGTTTCACTTTGTTCAATTTGTTTGTGGTTGCACACTGGTAACACAGTGTTAAGGTACTTTATGTTTTTCTGCTTTCAGGTTTCAGTTTATCATAAAAATAGATTTTAAAAGGGTGTCATGAGAAACACACGATACCTTTTCATATAAGGAAATACTAAACTTGAAACCTAAAACTAACCACTTCATTCGACTGCAACAGGAAGCAGAAGCTGGAGTGTAGTATGTTATAATAACATGTATTCAGAAAGTTCTTCAAAAGATGCAAAGCAATAATAAAAATAATAGCAAATTAACACAGATGAAGCCAAGATTCTTCATCTGAGAGGTCTCTGCAGAGGAGGAATGGTAACCTCACTGAGGAGTGATGAATACATGTAACACCTTTTTAAATAGTACTTAAATCAGGTAAAGTAATAGTTTAAAGTGTTTACACAACTACTATCATCTTCAGCGCTTTGCTATTTTTCATTCTAAATAATGTTACCCAGTAGCAACAATTTAAGTTTAAAGGAATTTGTTTTCAGCTTTATTTTATATTCATGGCAAATGTGTGTACTTTATCTAGCCGTCAAGGATTTGTTTGTGTTAATTTTATGGTTGAACATGTTAATAGAGTTCCTCTTTAACATGAGGACAGAGCCGTTCACAGCCGATGCATGCAACCGCGATGGGTTTATATCTATAACGATAAGTCAAGTGGACCTCTTTACAAATATATTCTTTACGATTGTAATGTTAAAGGTCAAAACAAGCCATGAAAGAATTCATCGCAAAATACTTAAAAACCTTTTGATGAACTGAATGACTTATTCTGTTAGTCTGGCACACATAAAATGAAAGGTGTGACCTTGGCACCCTAGTCTCATCAGTATTTTTGAGTCAGTGTCTGAAGTGTTTGAGGTCTGTGAGATTACAAACTGCCAATGTTCCCACAGTGCTGTTGCAATTCTCTTTCAGTGGTTATCAGTGACTCATCACAATGTGCATATTGCTCTTTATGTGAACTTGCCTTCAACTTCTCAAATGAGTATTCTAACTGTTAATCATAAACTTCAAATAGATATAAGGAAAATAAGTCCACCAACATGCGGAAGGTTCACACAGTAATAATGTCAATTCTGCGACACCTGGGTCAGGTGATTGATCACGGTTTCCTTGTTCCCTACAATGCTGAATCTATCTGAGTGATCTACACTTTATGGACATAGTCAGTTGACTGAGAAAATATCATGCTGATGATATCTGAATTAAGGAGGTCTTGTTCTCTAACTAGGGCCACTGTGCAGGATTTAACATGTAGAGAGAAAAGAGGGCTTGATTTGTACTGAAACTTCTCTGGAGACTCGTGGCATATGTATGGTGAGCTGTGTTTTACAAAGAACAATTCTTCCTATTCTTCCTTTGTCAAAACAACCAATAAAACATCTCACAAAATCATGTTTTCAGATATATTCAATGCATCTAACACAAAACCACTGAGACAGATGTGGTTTGATGTTGCTTTATATAATACAAGGAAAGGTGAATAAAAAACTACATTTGGTTTATCTTTAGATTAAGACTTGATACTCTGTTAATCAGGGCAGTTCAGTCTATTTTAGGTTCTAAAATAAAACATGTTTTAAAAAAATAAATACTTCAAAATAGTAATAAAAAGTTTAATTCTTCTCCAAATCAAAGACATATTCAGCCACAATGTCATAGAGTTGTCATGGAATATTAATGCCCCCAGCAAGAATGTCCATTACAGTGAATGGCTTCAGACCAATGTTTTTCAATGCACAACAGATGTGAGTACAATATCTTTCATAATGACTATCAGAAGGTTTTTTTTTAAGTAACGTTGAGGTCAGTGCCCTTCTGGAATGAGAGAATGGCTAAAATTATGAGTTTATTAGACAAAAAAAAGGATTTTCCTTTGGTGGAAAGATTATACGTTGACAAACATTATATTTTATTATTTAGAATGTATTTAGTCAAAGTGATATATTGTTATAGTGTATTTTATTATTGTCCTTTTTTTTACATGCTGATTTCTGCTGATTTGGTTTAAGGCATCATCAACCCTAGTACTAATGCACCGTATAAATACGTTTCGTTAAAAATGCGTAGAAGAAAAGCTAACTAAACCAGACGAGTTTTTAGTCACTTAAAACAAAGCGTATACGCGTTAGTCCCCGACAAATGATCACGTGGTTTACAGAATGAAACATTTCTATGTAGCGCACTGGTGCTCTCTAGTGGCTCAACGAAAAATGAAATAATGGTAAATCCAGTCATTTAGACACACGTTTTATAACTAAAATGTATACATTTGGTAATGTCGGAGAAATAATGTGTCTAAAACCCGCTGTATAATGTAATGTAATACAGCGGGTATAATGTCCAGTAAACCGCCCACACCACAGCGAAGAAGTGACTGACTATGTGGCGTTCATGATCCCATTTTAAGCTCGTGATTTCTAATACTATAGTGATAAATCTGACGCCGAACCTTTACGAGGGACACTAAATGTATTACAAGCAACTTAAACCAGAGGGATTGCTTTCTTTAACAGTCATTGTTTATTCGTTTATTGCAGCAGTCAAACCGCCAGGATAGTCAGGATTTTCAATAGAGTGGAAAAGATTACAACAACGACCGATCTTGGAATGATACAATAATGACCTGATTTAATAAACATATGGACTGATTTTGAACATTTTCAGCACAGGGTTGTTGACCTTGATAATTTAACTGGATGCACATGCCTCCTTATACGCCGGGTATCGGAAACGTCGTTACCATGGTAAAAACTTGATGCCATTATTTTAAGGGTGTTCCCCACAGCACGTGGAGGCAGCATAGCATTGTTTTACTTTACTGTGTTCGAGAAGTAACGTTACGTTAGTTAGACCATCCAACAAAAGTTTCATTCAGGGAGTAAATCATTATTTAATGTTTGTGTTCCAATGAATCCAGCTGTTTAGACCACGAAGACGTAACATGAGGACTTAGTGTTGGTTCCCGCTGCTATTTTGTCAGTCTAAATATAATTAAACCTACAGCTCAAATCTGGGAGACCGATGCAGCGCAGTTTGTATGGATGCAGATGAGACACGATGCTAGCTAGCTAGCTAACTAGCCAACTAAGGTAGGAACAACACACGATGACGTTAGACGTTTTATTTTACAGTATTTGCATTCATATACAGTATGCGCTGTTCTATATTTTCAAACCAGTGCAGTCGTTGCTCACTCGAAAATGTGATGAGTTTATTTGGAAGCGTGTGGTTAAATGTTTGCAAAAGCTCACAGCTGTGCGTGTTTCTAAACTAAAGTTTTCCCTGCCGAGGCCCTGCAGCTTTACCAAGCTCAGATGGCGCCGATGAATAGATCACCAAGATATATTTGTTTCGTTTTTGTGTCTCCAGAACTTTTTCCTGTCATGTAACTTGACACCTTAGTTCAACGTTGATGCGTGTTGAACCATTTGATTTTATGAATGTATCTGCAACGTCACAGTGCCCAGATTACATTACACATTACGTCCTTATATCTACTATCCCATTGTGGTTGGGTGTGAATTAAGCCAGTAAACACTTCCCCCGTAAATCTAACGTAAACATGATTGTAGTTTATTACCATATTTCATATTTCTTCATAGACTATTCAAAATCATAATAAAAGATACGTCATAAATGAGTGACATCCTCTTTCAACAGAAACGCACAGAAAAACAATTTTATTTTTAAATTTTATTTAAATTAATTACTACTTTGATGTAATTACATGCAAGACGGTATACCGTCTTGCATGTAATTACATCAAAGTAGTTTTAATAGTGCACCGACCTAATAAAGTCAACGCATCAAAATTGTTCATAGGAGACATGTTGGAAATATATTGATGTTGTTTTAATTGAATCGCCATACCAGTTTCTTACAGAGCACATAGGTTAGTGTGTGATTGCTTTGCATTGAAACGTTTCCATTCGCTTCACATTCCTGAGAATTGACCAGGAGGCAAGAGGACAGAGGTTGCTTAACCCCCCTAAACCTCAGTGACCTGCTGCCGGTACGCTCATTACAAACTCAAGCTGCGCACCCAAACTTTGGTAAACCCCACACTTTTTTATTTCAAATTCTACTTGAAGGCTTAAGTTTTAAGTTCACATGGATGCCAAATATGTTAGATCTAACCTGGCAGAAACGATATGCATGCAGCTTGTCTCTGTTCAATAGGGGCAAAAGGGGCACAAACCTCTAATTCCGTTATCGACATCACACGCACCACTGCACAGCTGCTCATTGAACATACATGTGGTATCGTTCTTTATTAGTTAATTAAAGTCTTTCTGCAACATAAAACTCAAAGCTGGCTTGAGGCAGAGGGATGGGGGGGCACAGCAGATCCAAGAATAGCTATATTTGAAGTTTTATGATTTGTGGTGCATCAGTATGACTTTATTGAATGTTTTCATGACACCACCTCGATTTGCACATGAATACAGTGAAATGATCCATTAGAAGTTAGTGGAAGAGCAGAGCTACGTAATACTGAGGGGGAGATGTGTGCCCCCTGGCAGCTGATGGCTCAACACACCGGCAGCACAAGTCTAGCCATACACATATAAAAAGGACTTGAGAATATTTCAAGAATTTGTTTTACCAGCTGCTGTGCTGCCATTTCTCTGTCTGGTCGGGTGCTCTGGTTTATACAAACTACGCATGACATGCAACCAACTGGCTTCTGCTGCGCAGGCGGACCGTGTCTGTGCTACATGGTAGTGTTGTGGGGAGATGTTTAACTAGTCTTCACATCCAGCGTGACGGAATTAACTGCAGCGGGACATAATTGAAAGAGGAAAATTGTGATTTAACTAATTGCCCGTCAACTCCAGCCGTCTCCTTAACCATATCTGATTTTAGATAATCAAACTTGGTTTACTGCCTGTTTCCACAAGACGCTGCTGCTGTGCTCTTTTATTTTAGCAACTACAATCATCACTGAACCAAATATCTGCTGTTTTGTCCCGGTGGCTGCTGCTTCCTCGGTGCCATGTCATTTGAGATCTGATTCTTGAGGCTGGGAATTGCTGGACCTTTTTCTCGGCGTGACAGAGTACCAACATTCCTGGAAAGCCAAAATGAATATTGAGATTCAGAATGAATGTGAGCGATGCTGTCAGATAGCAAGTGCTGTCTCTTGGTCCGTGTAAATCATGCAAACTGTCCCACCACCCCTCCTGTCCCACCACTCCTTTATTTTAGGCAAGAAGAAAGCGGCAGGCCACTGAAGAGCCTCGGCATTGGTAGCCTGGAAGTCGACGAGGCGATTTGCAAATCTAAGATAGTACTTCTGTATGTTTTACGGGCCCTTTGAACATCCAGGAGATGGCAGTAGAAATACATCGAGGGGGCATTTGATCTTTGAACATGCAGAGCGGAACTCTGACACTGAAGCAGTTTATTGCAAGAAAATAGAAGAGGTGAAGAGTCAGAGTCACCGACAGTCAGTTATCCAGTCATCATTGACTCATCTCTTACCAGTGACCAAAGCAGGATTTTTTGGCTTTAGACATGTTGTGTTTTGTCCCACAAACCTGGACCCAGAAATGTGTTTAAACTTAAACAGTTGAACAGGATTGCTTCTGATTACTGAGTACCGGTCAAACGTTTGGACACAACTTGTATATAAAAAAGTACGCTTTTTTTTTTACTTGAGAAGATCAAATCAGCTCAGCTTTATATCTTTCTTTCAATCAAGCAGCTTTAAAACTGGCATTACACCTACGTGTTGTTGCTCAGAAGTTTCTCCTGGGGCCCGTATCTTTGTCTACTCTTTATAGTAATAGCGCCTTTATGAAGGGACACACGTTGCAGTCAGGTTGCCACCAGCCCTCTATTAGGGCGCTGATAAGAGGGTGAACTAAAGTGTAATCTGTGTCATTGTTGTTCACACAGTTTCAAGCTCAGACAGGAGTGCTGAGTTATTTGATACGGACTCAAGTGTTCAGCCCTCAGTATGCGGCCACTCCTCTTCACCGAGCAGCGCTTGCTTAGTGGGCGAGTCCCTCATTCCTGTCCAGACTCCACACAGCTCAGGTTTAGTGCATTTCCACTTAAGTTGGAAATTCTGAAAGCAAGTTTTCACTCTTTGGATTTGACAGTTTTTCTCAGGTTCTCACAATGTAAGTGGATTTTTTCAAACTTGTATTGTTTGTATAGTATATTTGTGTTGATATTGATTAGAGCTATGCTATGATAGTGTGATGTATTGCTTTTTCTGTGGTACTAACACGGACAATAGACAAAAAATACCTTACTACCTAGGTCCTGTTTTGTGCACCTACAGGTCAAGGACAAATCCTTACTTGTATTTTGTGTTTGTGTTGGATTTCCCAAAGAAATTGCCGACATAAATATAACGCACAACAAGCTCAAATGCTTGAATAAACTAAAATATGTCTTAACAAAACATTTCATTCGAACAACGTTGTAGATTGGTCTGGACATCAACAGATCTTTGTATCTATTTTGAAGACGAGCTACTGTAGATCTACACTACGTCAAACAACCCAAGCAGTTTTGATTCTGTCCATCCTTGTGCGCTGAAAGGATGAGACTTCTGGTTTTTCAGGAGATTTCAGTAGTTGAGCACGCATTGAACTGCTGTGTGGGAGTCAGAAACCTTAGAACTCTCCAAGACGTATGAACGGAGAAGCCAGCTTGTAAAGTACAGCTTGTCTGTTTTATCTTTGATAGAGGAAAACACGAAATTGTGTAAATACTTGCTGCCTTTTCTGTGTTGAATTCTCAGATTTAGAACTCTTGGTTGGATAAAAAATATATTTCTATAGAAGTCTACAGAATTAGATGTATTCCTGCATTTCCATTGATTAATAAGGACAATTATCAGTAGTTTCATTCCTTGGGGGGGGGTTTCTGTTTCCTTTTGGATCTTGGCCTGTCAAATTCTTGAGCTATACAATCCTTAAACACAAACTGCTGCAAGTTGTCTGATGGGGTTTCAAAAGTTTAAAAAAACGTAAAAAAATCCTGTGCTTTATGCACGGAACAGCAGAAAAGTCAATACCTATCACATTTAATAGAATGGTAATTTTTTTTATAGTAGTAGTAATTTAAATGTCTTTGTTAAAAGAAAGAGCTGATACCAAACAGTTTTTCTGATTTTGCGAACATTGCAATTTATATTTCAAACTGAAACTGCACTGAATTCAGCGCTGCAGATTGTATCGTCACTTAAGTGTGTTGCACATCAGCTGTTCAAACTTAATTTAGCAAACATGGCAGACAATTATCTGTGATTTTAAGGAGTGAAGATCCATTCACAATCATGTGAGCTGTTCGAATGTGTTTGTGTCATGATCCGGACAATCCGGATCACCGAGAGGACCAACACGTTAAAGAACCAGCTCGTGAATGATGTTCTTCACCTGTATGTAGTTGTCCCTCAAAACAGTGGCTGGTGGGAAGCTTGGGTTGGTATGAAGTAGTGTCACATATCTGTAAACCTTTAGTTAATAATTTAACCAACAAGTTTCATAGATCCGAAACCAGCCGCATATATGGCTCACACGTCCCAAGCCTCTTATCCGAATGAATGATATAATGGCAATCATATGACATCAGAGACTAGCAAACAGTCACACACCCCAGACTTGGCAACCTTCATGTGTACTACTCATGCTGTGGGAGACGATGAGTACACCTGACTGTACAGGTATGGTCAAGAAGGCAGGTCACACCTGAATCACCCGGTCACAAGATTAGGTAACCAAACCATCTATTTTGTTCTCACAGTGTTTCAACCAATGAAGGGGTCTCACACGATTAGTTGGAAACAAAATTGAGAGACGAGAAGAACAAAATGTTCGACTCACTGATTACAAAAGGGCACGCTGGATATGCAAATATTGATCATGCAAGGTCATTGATTAGTAGCCTTCTGAGCAATTAGAGGGTATAAGAGGGTCCTGGTGAGACCTATTTAGAAAGTTGGCAGCCCTTTCTCATTATTCAAATGTGGGTTTTTATGGTATAATATAGCTCTTATCTAAACCATAATAACACAGATGTTCAGAAGTCTACATTTTAAAGACCTTGCCTCAAAGAATCCCTGACTTTTGTTATAATCAAGTTGTCGTAGACCAGGAAAACCCTAAAATTGTGATGGAGGCTACAGCTGAAATAATACTTTACAGGAAATGGTGAGCGTCGACGTCCTCCACTGAAGAACAGCAACGACTGGATCCACGGACATGGAGGGCAGCGGAGAGATCAGTGACACAGACAGTGGCATCATCCTTCACTCAGGTAAAACATTTTTATGTATCACTTGAAACCCGAAGTGAAAGGAAAGCTTTTTTTTTCCTATTTGTTTGGTATCTCCAGGTAGTACATGCAAATGCTACTGTAACATATGCCTAAACTTCAAACCCTCTCCTCATCAGACCACCAAGCCGGTTCCTCCATTGATTCAGTGTCAGGATATTACAGCTTGCAGGAGTACATGTGTTCATTTATGATCAGTGCAGTTCACTGCACCGAGGCTCAGTGTTTGACTTCAATACATCATGAGACCTAAAGTTAGAACAAACAAACAGGACTGCAGATTGTCCTGGTTGGCTAATTTATACCTGAGGGACACTGGGCAGCTTCATTGGATTGTGTCAATTAGTGAAAGACTATGTTCTCTGACTTTTCAGACAAAATAATAAATACTGAAAACATTGTGCCTTAAATTAAAAGGAGTCATTATTTAAAAGCAAGGCTTTGTGACTTTCTGCACGTAGAATCCCAATCGACGTTGAAACCGAGTACATGCCTGGTGCGTGACAGCCCGTGGTAATCTTACCGCAGCACCAGCTTTAGAGTGACCTTGAACATAAGACAAGTTTTAAAATCAAATTCTACCTTTGATGTTGATGCTTTTTCTGCCAAAAACACAATTTACATCCTCCTATTCATTTTGTACGTCCCCACTCTTAAATTGAAACCCAGTTGGTAACATTAATCTTCTCCTGACACTGCTCACCAGTTTGGTTTCAAGACAATTATTAAATTTGCTTCTGTTTCACACAATATTTTAGCATAAGGGCTTCCTTTCTGAGAATAACACAATCTCAGAGGAGAAGAGGGCCAGGGCCAAGGGCTCTGGTTAACTCCTATTTTAACTTTTTATCAGAGATTTTCTTCATCAACAAACTGCATGTGTTGAGCCCTCAGTCAGATTTCACTCTGGTTCCTCTTCACACAAAAGGTTTTAAACTACTTCTTTACAAAAGTTGTACTTCCCAAGATCTGTAAACAGGCTTCGACGTGAAAGTTCAGTGGAGTTTCGATTTCATTCTGTACAAAACTCTGCTTGTTCCGGTCTAACATGTTTTGTGAATATTAGAGTCTTATGAATATTAGAGCTGAAACAACCAATCTATTGATCATTGAGTTGATTGACTAATTGTCAAGGGAATCTTTCGACAGTCTTGTCGTTGCAACACCCAGCAGTGTTCACTGATTATTTCTGGCCCTTCTGACATTCCTTGCGTCCTAATTGAACCACGTGATGTCTACTCCACACAATGAAAAGGTGGCGGCCTACAGAGAATAGGGGGATTGTCCCTCTAGGAAGAGGAATTCTTTGCTCTTTTGTGGTGCTGTCACACTTCTTTCCTGTCACACCTCAGATGTTTGTCAGTACCTGCAGGGATTCTGTTAATAATCCCTGAAGGTATTTGGTGCTCAATGCATTTTGCTGGAAGCCACGCCCACAGTCACTGAGACTAATCTTAATGTCATTAGTTACCAAGGTTACAGACAGCACCAGTCGAACACTTGCACTTTGTTTCTAGTCACGAAGATCCCAGCAGTTATTCCGCATGCCACTAAATAACATATCGCTGATAAAAACAGAAGAAACATGAAGTATATTAAATAGTAAGGGGCTTGATGACCCTCTAATGATTTTGTTGCTCATGCTTAACATGGAACGTATGAATAACAAACATTACAGGAAATACAAAGGGACTCATTTGGATGGGTAATGTTGTCAAGTTCAAAAGGTCGGTCTCCTTCTCATGCACTTTGTTGAGGTGAACGCAAACACAAATACAAACAAACTACGACCTAACACACACTATGCACATATGTTCACCAGTTGCCAATTGATACTAAAACACCTTTTAGTGTAATACAACACAATTCTATCGCACCAAAACCAACAGCCTCCACAAATCCCAGAGTTAAATTAACATCAACAAAAACTGAACACGATAAGCTTCAGAGAAGGGAGCCTTTACTGTGTCATTTCTGTATTGGATTTCCACATGATAAGATTTAATCGTCACATAGTCTCAGAGTTATTTGCTTCTTTCCTGTTTGCACTACGCAGGCTCAGACAGTCCAATGACACACATGAAGGATGTTACCACGCACACGCGGGCCATGAAGCTCAAACACCAAGCTCTCCAGGAACAACTGGAGCTCTGCTTGCTGGAGCTGAAGAAACTCTGCATACGAGAAGCTGTAAGTAAAAGGAATCTACACATCAACAGACCAAGAGTTAAAAAATACAAAAAGCAATGAGCCACAACACTTACATGGGAGTTAGTTAGTCATTTTTAGAAAAGATTAAATAGGTATAGTTTAGTGCAGGATGTGTGATGACGCATTTTACTGCATGTTATCTAAGTGACCTTTGCTCAGTCATGTCTCAAATGATGTGGAGGAGTTCGAAAAAAAATGTTTGAGTTGGAATGTTTTGTTTCTTTTGAGATCTTTGTGTTTTAAAAGAAATACAACTATATTTTCAATTTCAGGTTCAACAAATTTAGGAATTTTATTAGCTTTAAAATTGACCTAAAGGTAAAGTGGTTATCTCCAGTCTCAGTCCAGAATAAATCAATATGGTCGATCATCAATAGAAGGTATTTTGATCGTTCCTCCTGTCCCGTCATTTTCAATACTCTCTCCTCATTGTGAAACTGGACACATACGTGTTTTCCTGCCATGCGTCAGCGCCCCAGGGTAAGATCCCAGGACTGATCATTCTTTCCCGTTGACACTGGGCCCGAGGACTCCTGTTGGGACATGCTCACACTTCTCTTAGTGACAAAAGAAAGCTTATTGGCCGCGCTTACGCGATTGTCTGTCTGCAAAGGTGGCTGGTTAGGAGTGAGTCAAACTGTTTTTATGACTCCTCGATAATGAAGTCGGGGGCCGTGTGCTGTCGTGTTCCGCATTCAGTTTGGACCGAGATGCTCGACACAGCGAGAAAGAACGTGTTGAGAAAGGAAATCTATGCAGAATTGTGCAACAAATTCCACCTATACGCCTCAACATGTAAATGGAAAAATGAGTTGCTACATTATCACAAAACTGCAACGGACATAAATAAAATTCAAAGAGATGTGTGGGTCTCTACTTGGAAAACTGAACTGAATGGATATATTACCAATTATGATTGGTACCAGATCTGCCCTGGGAAAAAAAAAATGTTAGTCCGGTTTAAATGTTGGACATTTTGAACTGTGATATTTTCTGTGGTTTAGGAGTTGACCAGCCGCCTGTCGGATGATTACCCACTGCTGCCGGGAGAGAAGCCTCCGCATATTCGCAGACGCGTCGGCGCCGCGTTTAAACTGGACGTGCAAAGCTTCCCTCGAGGAGCCGAGGTATGGACAACATTTGTAAACAATACGTTGACCTCAAGGACATACATTGTTTCAGGAGTCACAGAGTTGTTTCTCTCTCGACTACGCGCCGTTTTTCAGGAGTCAGATCTGAATTTAGTGGATGGCGAGTTGGCACTTCAGATGAAGATATACGAGGCAGCGCGCAAGCTCTGCGAGGAGGATCACCTGAGTAAGGCTGTTAGGAAGAGCCGGCTAAAGCAGTGCAAGAGAGAGGAGAAAAAAGTCAAACGGCTGCAAGAAACTGCTTTCCAGCTCCGACTGGAGCACGGTCGATCATCGCCACTCCCTGCTTTCAATATTGCTCAACACGGTGAGATGCGCCTGGCCAGACCAGAAGACAGTTCAGCCATCAAGTCTGTTTATATAATCACTTGTGCTATTAGTTTATTGATTTCATAACTTAATCATTGAATAAACAGAAATGTATCTGTATCTGCCACATCACATGTGAACCGAGGTGTCTTCTTCTGATTTTTAGATCTTGGTGCATCTGATGACAGCTCTCTGTCTGACTCTATAGTGCAAGATGAAGGTGAGCGTTTAAAAAAAGCTTAAAATCTAGTGTTGGCGAAGGTTGAAGCAGGACCAACTTTATGAATGTGGAAGCTGGACAGCGGCCGTTAAAAACATAAAACACTCCTGTTTCTCCTCTTAAAAGATGCTTCCTCAAAGAATATGTTAAGATATTTGGAGGATATTAACATTTATTAACAGCAAATAACTTTCTGCAGGTATGATACACTACATAAATCCTTTTGTTTTTCCCCACAGAGGTGACAAGTCAGTCCTCCCAGCTGTCCTCTGGACTCCCTGACGCAGGAGAGAAGGATCAACCCCAGCCTCCCATGTCCTCACAATCCTTCATTGACAGCCCCTACATGTCTCCATCTGTGGCTCCACAGACTCTGCTGCTAACTCCAAGCCAGTCTCCCCATCCGAGTCCTGACTCTATGCTGAGTTTAAACTCAAGCCATGTATGTGACCTTCCTCCCATCCAGCACTCCCCGTGGACAGAGACCAGTCTCGACCAACCATACCAGAAGAGCAGGAAGTCGCGCTCCTCCAGCAAGACAAGGTAACACCGACCATCCGCCATGACGCCTTTGACAAAGTTTATGTTACTTGGCTTGTCTGCAGTCATCCATTAACGCCCCTTTAAGAATTCTTGTAAACTATTTTTGATAATTAAGGACAAAAACTCATCAGGAAATGTTTTTTCTTTAGTCCAAAGATTTAAAACTTATTCTTGCATTTTAGTGCTAAGTAGATATCCTGAAGGTTTGACACTGCCATCTGCCTTTTCTTTGTTGCTACAACAGCCAACGGCAGGAATACAGAACAATAAATCCTACTGATTCATAATGACTCCCCAACGCAGAGGGAGAATTCAGGCTTTATTGTTCAGGAGTCGATTACCGTAATAAAAACTCAGTTATTTATATTCACATTTGCAAGTTTAATAGATTGATGCCACAGTGTGTCAGAGACAATATTACGATTTATGAAAAATGTCAATATACTTTTATACCCCACGTAATTCGTTATGGCAGCTTCTCGTTTTTAACCATTGTTTTTTCCGGCGTTGATGTTTGTCACCATGGGCATTTTCAGAATTTATACAGACATTTTGAGATTTTTTGAAACACAAACTGAGAAACAACTTTGAACGTATTTCTTGCGCTGCCGTTTTGTGTGTTCAGCAGTCCTGCCCAAAGTGAATTGTTGCCACCGTTGGAGGCTTGCTTCGCTTCCCGTCTGCGGCTGGGCCGCTCTCAGTCGAACAGCACGCCTTCCACACCAGAGATGCGAGTGCACAGACAACTCTCCCTCAGGTAGCCGCACCTCAAATACATCTATTCAACTGTAGCACAACTACAGAACTTTAAAATTGCAGTGCTATTATTGACCATTGCACTTTGTTTGATTGTGAGATGTGGATATTGGTAAAGGTTAGTTTGTTAAGTGGACGTACTAATGCGCTTGCTGTTTACACAGAATATCCAACCCTGAATCTTCATTGGAAAAAGACCGTGGTCGCAGCAGAGGTGCAAGGAGGCGACTGACGGAATATGCCATAACTTTACCAGAGGCTCTTCCCCCCGCGGTGAACTATGGAAACCCCGTTAGAGCAGAAGATAGCAACTCTGAAAACTCGTTTACATCTTACAACAGCTCGCCGCGGCGGGAGCGGCCCAGCGATTTGGCCAAACAGTATCAGTCTGCACAACTGCATTCTGGTCCCGTCGGCAGCTATGGACCTCAAGCCTTCGCACGCACCGGCTTTCACCATAGTCCCAGGCACCAGCCCAGCCCCAGTTTTCCAAAAGCCTATTACAACGAGGGAATGGTCTACCAAAATGATCTGGACTTGGCACGGAGCTATTACGCCCAGCAGGCTCCTAGTCCTTCCAGCAGATATGAGTATTACTATAACGAGGCCGCCGTGCCCCACCAGAGAGCACAGAGACCATTACCTGCTGAGGTCAGACTCTCCCCCTCCCAGGCTCAATGGGACCATCCACACTACCGCCCCAAAGGCCAACAAGTAGTCAATGAACAGCTTAAGTCATGGCACCGGCGCAGTCAGCTTAAATCCCCGAGGTCTCGCTCTCTGGACAGGCAGGGAGCAGTCAGAGTTAAAAACATGTCCACTCGGGAGGCAACCTTCCACCAAAATCAGAATTACCACGAACAGGTAAGCAGACAAAAGTCATTTGATGCATGTCTTTCTGTTTGGTCAGCCAACGCTAGGGAAACTCGTGGCGTTAAGAAAGGGACACATTTGATACAAAAGTAACATTGAAGCAACTCTACATCTCCTCCACCATGTTGTTAAGACAGTAGCAGAAAAAATACCTAAAATGTATTTTACATGTATCTTGTCTCAAGGAGGTTTGTTGTTAGAATAAAGTTTTGGTCAGACACACTGGTTTAAGAAGATTTTATATTTTAATGTTTATATTAAGGATACAAGCAAAATGTTTTCATCCATTGTAATATATTTCTTAAAAGCTTTTAAGATGATTGAGGCACGAACTATTGCAGTGGATTTCTTTTTAACACCATTCTGATAAAACATAAATATCTTTTAGCTGAAACGTGAAATCTGAAAATGTGTGCCGGTCGTCCTGAAGTATAAGTCATGTATAATGTAGACCTGAAGTCCTGAAAAGTTCAAACAGAATGTGAATTTTGCCATTTTTTATTTTTTATTTTGCTATCTTTCAGGTTATCCAAAGAAGGGCTCTTCAGAGAGCTGCAGATGACCGTCAAGGCCGCTGGGTTGTAGATGACGGTTCTCACTTTGTAAGTCAACTGTAAACCAAAACAAAAAAACCTGGGACTGCAAACCGAACTCTGGGAACTCAGAATCTGCAACTGGGTTCATTTCCAATTAAGCAAAGTGAAGTTGTCAGATAATCAAGTCAAATTGACTGTTTACCCCCACAAACATGAATTGTGTTTACCTGTATTTCGGCATATAGAGGGGGGATTTTAAAAAAAACGGGGACATCTTTTAATATGATGCAATCGAGTACAACAATAATTACGGCCACAAAGGTTACTCAAATATTGTACATCTCTCTGACACTCACAGCAAAGCAGTTTTAGTTGGATTTGAAGTAAATCTGTACTCTGTATGTTGTTTAGTATTAACTGTTACAAGTGAAGCATTGATCTGAGTGCTTGCTAGTAATGTTATTTTTGGGCGGTTTTAACCTGTGACTGTAAATCTACTGCCAGCTCTGTGTTACTATTACAGGGATTTTTTGATATGGGAAGCAATTATAAATGAAACTGCTGTAGTTTAAAAAAAAACTGAAATATCCATCAAAATTGCACATTGTAGTTAGATTGTGAGAAATGTAATGGTTTTAAAGTAAGTCATTGTTGAAGTTAATATCAGATGAATTAGGATTTATTTTAAAATAGCTACATGTTAAGCCGTAACAAAAACTGTGTTTGATGCTTAATAATATAATATACACAGCTCCTTTTCACCAGCAGTATTAGGTACATACATTAATTGTGAGATAATGTAAATGAGTAACCTGCCCTTTTGTCAACTACATTTTGTGTGTAATATTACCATGATTGTGTCACTATGTAAATGTAAATTGAATGTGAATCCAAGATCACAGTTTTGTTCTCATGTAGTTTTGGAGGCCTTTTCGTCTTGTTTTATACTTGTGTGTCTGCGGCTCTGCCAGTTAACTTGAATTACTAATAGACTTAATCAGCTAGTTGAAACTAGATATTAATTAACTCACACTACAAAGTAGCAGTTTCAACTAAATATGAATCTTGATGCTTGGCAGCTATTAATGTGTTCACTTGAGATTTCTATGTCCTGAGCTTTAAAATAATTTGTATCGGTGTTTGTGACTAGGCACCCTTCTTGTTGTTAGAACCAATACAATTTCATCAACGAGGTGAACTTTATTCAAAACATTGCCAATATGTGATTTACAATCAAGTCCCCAATCAAACAAACTTTTGATGGTAGATCATTTGAGAATGAGAGCAAATAACTGCAATTGCTTGAATAGCCACATGCTGACTGGTAACTCATTGATCTATTTATGCATTTATTTATTGTGATGTGCACCATCGGATCCATGCAAAGTCAGACCTGGAATAAGAGAAGAAATGGACCTGAGTATAAAAAGACACAGCAGTAAAAACTGGCTGGTGTATATATAAAAGGCCACAATCATGTTACCGTATGTTTATCTGTTCTACTGTTGTTATTTATCATTTAAATTAGTTTGAGTGGACTTAACACTTTATTATTATTTTGCTGTTGCTGTGAAAATGTTAACCCTGTGGAAGAAAATAAAGAGTAATTTTGGTATAGTGTTGCGTTTCATTTAATCCATCCTATTTTTTTTCACCAAAAAAACATTTCACAGTAGCAAAAGCACAGGTGTAAATAATCTATTTGAAGATGGCTAAATTCCATTATTTAGGATTCAAAGTTATGTTGTGTTAGCTCATAGTCATAGGCTGTCATCCAACTCTCAACAGTTTTTGTCATTTTCTGCTTCATTGATTGTGAATTATATTCTCAAGATAGTCACTTTATGGAAAGGTCAACATGCAGTATTTCTGGAAACAGCATTTCATATACATCTGATATGAATCATTGTCAAATGTTGCCTCTTGTCTTTGAAATATATTAAATATATGTCTCAGTCACCTTTCAAATGACTAATCGCGCTGGTTCACATTTGCATGACGCTAAATGCTATGTACGGATATTTGTTTTTTTACTTGTGAATGTGTGCTTTTATTTTGAAAAAGATATAGATGGGGGTAGGGCCGTGGAAGCGTTCTCTTCTTCCGGAAAGGATTGTGTTCCGCGCATTGATTAATAATTCACCTTCCTGGTTTGAAGACTACCTTGTCAGGTAATTTAGGTCTATTTAATTAGACTGCCATTGCATATATACGTACGATGTGTCACGTCCGTCTAGATAAGGTTGAATGTTGGCGTAGTTGTAAAGACTTGACGTGTCCGCGAGCAAGTTAATTCGCAAACCATCGTCGGCTGCTTAGCGACAGCTCAGCGCGAGCTAGCAGGCATCGCTAGCAAGACGATACACGAGCGATCCGCGACCTGCCAACTGAAACACGGATCCGCGATTTTTCATCAAACTGAGATTTGGCCCATTTAATAAACACAACGTTTCGCAATACGGTGGAGGTTCGATGGGTCGTGGGTGTTTTGCGGTTGTTTACGTTTCGTACTCCGTTTTCCATCTGACGCTGTGCTAATCAACATCCGTCCTGCAGGCTTCGCTTAGCGGTAACTCGGGTTAAAACGCTGCGGTTGTCTTATCAGCTTCGGCCTTGCAGCTAATGGCAATATTCTGTCTTGTCTCCGGTATGTCATCACTACTGTAACTGTCGACTGAATAATTTTGGCCGGTGACACGGATTCAAGCGGCTCCTTTGTTCTCTTGTTGATGTCCGATCGATGTAACCCAGATTTCACTAGAGACCCAGATTAATCGCCAGGCATTTTAAATCAAGTATTAGATAACACTACTTGTTTATCACTTCAAAGGGTAATTATTGATCTGCAATAACCCCGCTTTACTTAACGACATTGCTATACTATGTATTACAGCGTAGTATACGCATTAAAATCCACATATTATTATTTACTTATTATATATTAGGCTTTACAGATGCAGTATGTGGTCTACATTTAAAGTGCATGCAACTTATTATCAGTTATGCGATATGTATTTGCCTAGACAGACATATTTATTGCATCTGATACCAATAAATTACCCGACGAATGAAAAAACAGCAATGCAGCATTTTTATTCGGTTTTGACGTTTTTATTTTCTATTATTAGCAATTATTGGACAAAAAACTAACAAATTGTAGCACTCTAATTGTACTTATCATGGATATAGGAAGTTGTAATCTCGTTTTTTGATGTTAAATAGCACTTTCTTGTTCCTTGTTGTTCCTTTTCAGTTTGTATCCTTATGGTTGAAATGCACTTATTGTGAGCCGCTTTGGATAAAAGCATCAGCTAAATGACATGTAATGTAATTAGGTTTATGTTTGCTTAAGCTCTATCTCTATATTGTACACTCCTGTCAATCTGTTCTCTACTCCGCAGACTATATTGACATCTACTTATAACTGGTGTCAATGTTATTTTGCATAAATCAACCTACATAGCCAGTCATGCTTATCCTGCTTGTTGTTGCTCAGGAGGAAACGGAGGTGTACCATCTGAAGCAGAATACAGGCTGTGAGTGGGTCATCAGGCAGTCTCCCTATGTCCGCCCGAAACGGGTCTGCAAGTGATGCAGACTGCCGGATCTCTGAGGACTGCCATGTCCCAGATGTTGAGCTGATGGAGCTTGGGCCGCTGCTTGAGGAGGGAGGGGGGCGGCAGGCAGCATCCAAAGGCGTGGTGTCAGAGGTAGGGCTGTTTCAGCAAATTCCTAGAGAAAAGTTCTGGCTCAATCACTTCAGTGTTCTCTTGGGGTCTTTTCGAAGGGAGCTGCAATGCTTGCTGAAGAGGAAGAGGATGATGAGGTCGAAGAGGTTCTAACCTTACCACTTCAGGCTCACCACGCCATGGAGAAGATGGAGGAGTTTGTACATAAGGTAAACATGTGTTCTCACTTTAATTAAATACAGATTTATGCAACCACAACTATTAAAAGTGTTCCTACAGGTATACATTAAATGAATTGTGATTAATAAAAGTTTGCTGGTAAACATTCAAATGTGTCAAAATAAGGAGAAAAGGAGAAGCTATGACATTACACAATTGCATCACCAACAAAACATGAGCTAAAACTCAACAGCCCGTTTGTCTCAAACATGTATAACAGGTTTAGGAGTTTTTCTGTAGTTATTAGTGCGTTTCATGGACATTGGGCTGCAGAACTGGGTCAACAGCTACAACTGTGAAGTTTTGAGTGAGTCATATCAGGTGGGGTTAGTGAAGCCAGCATTAATGTGTTGCTTTTACTGCTTCTAAAGAACTTGGAAGATATGAAATCATTTTTAGACTTTTGAAACGCAACAAAAAGAAAATATTTTTTGTCTATTTGAGTTGAGTTTCAAAACTTCAAAGACATTTGAACTGTATGTAAAGGTGTGCGTCTGTGAGTGAAAAGCAATTCTTACTTCTCAGGTTTGGGAGGGGCGCTGGAGGGTCATCCCCTTCCATGTCCTGCCAGAGTGGCTAAAGGACAACGATTACCTTCTGCATGGACATCGGCCCCCAATGCCGTCCTTCCGGGCTTGTTTTGGGAGCATCTTCAGAATTCACACTGAGACAGGAAACATCTGGACTCACCTTTTAGGTGGGAATAAAATGCCTTACATAACAAACAGGAGTTTTAGCAGCAGTTTGTAATCTTGTTTACAATCAGACATAGTAGCTAATTAGCATAGCCTTTGACTGGATAACTTTGCATTGTTCTGGTCTCTTCTGCAGTAAAACTGGCGTATTTTTTCCCCTCAGGGCTGATCTTATTCATTTGTCTGGGTACGTTGACCATGCTGCGGCCCAACATGTATTTTATGGCCCCGCTGCAAGAGAAGGTGGTGTTTGGGATGTTCTTCCTGGGAGCTGTGCTCTGCCTGAGCTTTTCCTGGCTTTTTCATACAGTCTACTGCCACTCTGAGAAAGTGTCACGCACCTTCTCCAAGTAAGGCTTCACAGTCAAACACTGATTCTCACATAATTGCCTTGTATGTATTAAAGGAATCGTCACCGTCAAAATATTATCCTCTTTTCAGCCTCTTGCTTCAAGGGTGCACATGTTTTTACATGCTAATAGTTCTATATAATAACAATAATATTTCTGTACAATTAATGACAGATCTCATTAATGAATGAACTCACAATCATTATTTAGGGCTAGTCCAAACTCTGTGTGGCACTAACATCAATATTAAAAAAGCCCACTCGATAGTTGTTGTCCATTTTGAAAAACAAAAGTGTGTTTAAAAATACATCAGCTTTCTTGGCAACAAGAAGATTTTCCAGCCAAACACCCAGCTGCTGTCTCTTTGTCACCCCCTCTCCTCAGGCTTGACTACTCTGGCATTGCCCTCCTGATCATGGGCTCCTTCGTTCCCTGGCTGTACTACTCCTTCTATTGTTCTCCTCAGCCTCGACTTATCTACCTCACCATTGTATGTGTCCTCGGCATTGCAGCAATCATAGTTGCCCAGTGGGAGCGGTTCTCTACACCTCGTCACAGACCTACAAGAGCAGGTGCCCCCCAGTAGAGGATATGGTTTTGATTGTGTTTTTCTCTGTAATGTTTAATGTGGGCTTAAAATTGTATTGTGGGTTTCTTAAAGAATTACACAAAGTAACAAAAGTCCATGCTTCTCTTAGGTGTGTTCATGGGTCTTGGACTAAGCGGCATTGTCCCCACCATGCATTTCACCATCGAGGAGGGCTTTGTTAAGGCAACCACAGTCGGCCAGATGGGTTGGTTCTATCTGATGGGTGCCATGTATATCACTGGTGCTGGTCTCTATGCAGCAAGGATCCCTGAACGATATTTTCCTGGGAAATGTGACATCTGGGTTAGTATTTTAGTATTCAATGTGTTAACTTTAAATAACTTTTTTGTAGGTTTGATCAAAAAGGCATATCAACGTGAACGAAACTAATACATAAACATCCCTTTCCCCTCTTCTAGTTCCACTCTCATCAGATTTTTCATGTTCTGGTTGTGGCGGCAGCATTTGTCCATTTCTACGGGGTTTCCAACCTTCAGGAGTTCCGCTACGGCCTTGAGGGAGGATGTACAGATGACACCCTACTCTGAGAGGCCTGACTGTGACTTACTCATACTTTTCTTTGTAGTCACACACACACCACATAAACAGACACACACACACAATCACTTAAAATGCTGCTGGAATTCAATATAGTCATTTATTGCTCTTTCTGTACTTCTGATTTGCTAACATCTTGTTTGGGTTTTGGTGGTATTTCTGTTTGGCTCTTTTTTGCTCCAATAAAGTAGCATTAATTAGCCATTGAACTGCTGAGGGAACCTTCAATAGGCCCTACTTCTACAATAATTATTAAACTTGAAGTCTACATGTTCAAGTAAGGTCAAACTGGTAACCATAATTATATATCCCTGTAACTGATGGTCACTTCTTAGAAGCTCACTAGTACCCCAACCTGTTTGTAGTCTGTTACTGGTGCACAAAGGGCACAGAGAGTATTATTTGTGCTGTAGCAGAGGGCACATACTGTAAACCCTTCTTCCCAGTTTCCATGCAGGTTAAAGGATGAATGTACTGTCCACCAGGCGTGAGGTGTAGAGCAGTCGGAACCATTTAGGTCCTTGAAGGCATGCACACACACCAGATGTTTTCTAACTGTGCTGACGCTGACTATGCGGCTGAGTGTTAAACCCTGGAGGCCCCCTACAGACTCATCCATGCCCATGCTCTGCAAAGAAACATGAACTACACGCTTAAGGCCCAGATAATCAATTTAAAATCAAATTATTATTAAAAGAAGATCTTATAAATATGACCTAGAGATGGGGTAAAACAAGGTGCAATACTTACTAAAATTATCAAATACCAAGGCACGCTGTACTTGAACAAACTGATACCTGAGTTTCTTTCTTTTAACATTTGACAAGTGCTAAACAAATGGCACAGAAGATATAGAAGTTAAAAAAAGGTCCCCTGCCATAATCTGTGAATCGGACAACGCATTGATTCATTTCCAGAGTAATAGTTCCTGGGTGTTGCACAATGTATAGATCTGGATAGTTCAACTTGTGTTTTTGTTAGCTAGAGCTTTTTCTTTTGTGCTAGATTTCAGATGCAATGAGAGGTAAATATCAAATGCACCTTAGTGTATTCTATTAAATTCAAAACTTTAAATCACTGTATGGGATTTAAAATGTGTTATGTATGATTGATATAAACTTTTAGTATTCCTGTGCCTTAGGCCAATGGAAATGTTTTTAAATAAAACGGCCTATCTTAACAGTCAAGTGAGCTTCAAGGATATCCAGATGTTGATTTTTCTTGTTTTCCTTGCCATATAAACAATCAAATCATTATTGAATTTAAAACTCCATGGATAGGTTGTATCAACTGCTGTTTAAGACTCCTTTTTCTAGATCAACTTATTCAAGCTTTATTACAAAGACTAAAACAATGTGTATTCTTGACCCAGTGTAATGTCCTGTGTAGAAAGTGATAAATCATACATTTCACAGAAATGTAAACATAAATATTTATTAATTGTAATCTTGGAAAATTATGTAATAAATTGTTTTCCACATGTACAAACCTGTTGTCCAATTGTCAATCTTTTACAATGCTGGCCTATGACATCGGTAGTAAGCAGCAGTGAAGGCAACCGGATTAAGGCTCTCAAGCTTATCAAGTTTTTTATCACTATAAAAATGTAGTATTAGTATGTGGGAAAGGTGTTCTACGATTTCAAATTCGTAATTAATTGAAAAGATGACTATGTACCGTATTTTGAGCAGATAAACAGCAATCACACAACAGATCTTCATCGTTTCCCTCTCGGGATTAGCTGTTGGCTGAAGATCAAGAACTGTGGCAGACGAAGGGTTGCGACAGCACGGCTTGGATGATGCCACTAGAAAATACACTAGAAGAACATACTCGCATGTCCTTTTGCTGAACAGAATTGATCAATAATTAACTTTTATTGAAATGCCAGTATATCAGGAGCGAGGCCTAATTGGATTTTTTAAAGGTTATCAGCATACAATAGTTTTCGAGATTGTCTGATAGCATATGTGTGGCACTGCATCATGTTTCTCAAATTGGAATCGAACTAGGGTTAGGGTTAACCCTAGAGGGCAGTTGTTGGTTTATCCACCACAGGGGCATCTATGGTTTGTTGTCACAATTATGAAGAATTAAAAGTAACTATTTAATCGTAATTTTCTATAAGATTTTTTTTTATCTTTTAGCATTTATTCTTTTATATTTGTTTTTATATTCTAGTCGACTTTCTAGTTTAGCAGATGTTTTACCTAAAACGCATGTTCATCCGGAACCAAAGCCCACCCCCCTGTTTCTGAACGAGAATATTTAGTGGCTGGTCAACTTTAAGACAAACTAGTATGCTAACCTAGCATTTAGCTATCCTGCCTGTCTTACGGATTTTTTGAGGTATTCAACGTTGTATTTTCTCCTACATTTAGGTACGTGTTATTTTAATTTACACAGGTGGGTGTATTTAAATTGTAAGGATGTGCAACATTTATGTAGTTGTCTGTTTCTTAGTCTGTTGCAATGCATTGTTAGCACAGACGTTAGCATACATGCAAGGGGTGGGGTTTACACTTATGGGTTTTTTTAAACTAACGTTAACCAAAATAAATACCTCAACCTTGGTTCAGCATGAAGATTACCACTATGTATTTTTGGGGCATATAAATGAAACATTGGAATTTTTGTCACGGACTTCCTGACACGAGCGGTCTGAATATGTGTAACACCGGTCCTCCCTCTGTGGTTGCGCCCTATCGTTCTTTTCGTTAAGATATCACTCTAAATGAACATAAGCCACTGAGCGCTGATTGGTAATTAGGTTGAAGGTACTTGTTTCCCAAGCTGTTTGTGCATGTACATTGCAGTGAATCTGCCGTTTGTCAGATATGGCCGATAACCAACAACAGTCCAAAGACGTCACGGGCCGATCGGACCTGCTATCTGAAGAAGGCAAGAATAGCAAAACCGTCTTGTGCCAACGCTGCGGGTCCAAAGTGCTGTGCCCGGGGATGGCTGTGTTTGCAGAGAAAGAGGTATGACGTCTGACATTAAGGAGTGTTCTCACGTTATACGTCTGCTTTTTTGTTATTTAATGTCTTTGCTTGATTCATTTAAGATCAATCGTGTAGTTTTGTATGGCACCATTTCATCCAAGGTGCTTTACATGTTAATACAAACAGTGGTACAGTGTCACTGTTTACATATGCTTAAATGGAAGTTGAGTTTATTGAGTTTATATGAGTTTTCCAATAATAAGTATTCCAATCTGGATCACAGGGAACTATTTGTATTTTTACTTACAAATGAATTTACCAAGCCAACCGTCTAACAGGTAATGCATAACTTCACCTTGAGCTACTACATGAGAAAAATATCACGTATATGAATTCATTAATAATCAAATATGATCATATTTTATAGTATAACGCTAATGCATGGAAATTTTAAAGTACATTTATCTCACATTAGTATTTATTTCATGTAAGTAACATTATAAATGCAATACTTTTGGAATGATAAATTCCTACACTACAGTTCAAAAGTTTTGTCACTTAGAAATTTCCTTATTTTTCAAAGAAAAGCGCTGTTTTTTTCAATGACGATAACAATAAATTAATCAGAAATACACTCGTACAATACACACTTATACATTGTTAATGTGGTAAATGACTATTCTAGGTAGAAACGTCTTTTTTTAATGAAATATCTATATATGTGTATAGAGGCCCATTTCTAGCAACTATTACTGTGTTTGCTAATCGGTTTAGAAGACTAGTGGATGATTTGAAAACCCATGTGCATATGAATGCATGGCAACCTGTTAATGAATATACTACGGTTTTAGTGATTTTGAGTTCTTTCAATAATGTTTTCATGTCGCCTGAGGCTATGTTTTCACCCACCAGCTGTTCCTACCATCCATGCGGAAAAAAAGCGGCCTCAGCACCACAGAGGGCTCAGTGGAAGGGGACACTCTGACCGCCCACTGGTTTGTGGACGACATGTACACTTTTGAAAATGTGGGCTTCACTAAGGACGTGGGGAGAATCAAGTACCTCATCTGTGCAGATTGTGAGATTGGACCAATCGGCTGGCACTCTTTGGATGACAAGAAAAGTTTCTACGTCGCTCTGGAAAGGGTAAATCATGCATAATCTAAATGCATATGTGAGCCCTCATGAACTTAAAGAAATGTGTTGGCAAGCTATGCATCTTTTCATTGATTTACTCCCAGAGTGGATCCCAAACTAATCCATAGTACAAACACTTACATATACTGATATGTGTACTTGTGTGTTTATGTGTTTATGATAAAAGGACAGCGTCACTCAGCCTTCTCAATCACACTAACAACATTATAATAATCCTGTTCTAATAAAGAGGTTTTTGGGAATCTGATGTTGAATACCATCCTGGATAATCCACAAATAAAATACCAGTTCAAGTCAGGTTAAGAGATAAAATGTATAATTACATGAGTTATTACTCCAAGCTGCTTTACATGTTACATGTTTGTTTCAGGCCTAAACCAGGTTGAAAGAAATCTGGTCCCCATTTGCGTGATTATTCTCTGAAAGGAAGTGAAGACAACTTTTAGTCTGACATTAGGCTTGCTCAACGTCTCCTTGCTAAAGAGGCTGCAGGAACCTGCAACTTTTAACAACATTTTTATTAAACCACATGCATGAATTTGTATTTTTCATATGTCTTTTAATCAATGCCACATGAAAGTTGACATTGTGACTTATTTGGCCCTAGTTTCACGTTGCAATTACTCTGGCTAATCCACAGACCTCTCTAATAGCTGCACATAATACTTACTGAAGAAATACCCATTATGAAAGCAGTTTACAGCATGGGGGAATCAGCCACTCAAAAAGCTTTACTCTTTGCACCACGTACTGAGATGTTGTTATTCAACAGACTGGGGTCTCTTATATTATGGCCATTGTTGTTTTGAGTGTATTGTGCAACTATCAACTAAAGGCTCTATTCCCACACTGCAAGCAGAACCAAACCAAATAAGAGGCATCAGTGGTAGTCAGCAGATAAAACTTGAGCTATGATGAGCTGATTGCTTCTCTTTATGCATTTTTAAAACACATAAGTAATATTATGGATGTAGAGTATTATGTTACAAATACTATAGAAAAGGCAGTGTTGGCATGAAAAGGTTCTCGCTGCACAATTACTGTATACTTAAACTCTACATCTTTCAATGTTTGTTTTTGTCATTGAGAGTTATCTTGTGCACTTCTTAATATTTAGATTTAACTTGGAAAGACAACGGCCATGTGAAGGCTACCTGTTAATGTCTAAAATCCACCAGGCAGAAGTTCAAGCAACACAGAACAGGGACGTTCAAATATACAGTGAAACAAATTAAGTGGTAGGCCGCTGTTATCGGCTGAGCAGTTTAAAAAAAACGTGTCCAAGATTAGGTCAATGAGGATGCAATATTGATAACAAATTAAAATAAGTCAACGTATCTATTAAAAATAAATGTTAATAGATAGATCAATTTAAATTGATCAAACACAGACTAATGAAAGCATGATGCACATGTTACAAAGAAGTTTATTTTTTTCTGTATGTTACTATTATTTAGCATGTGTAGTGGAGACCTTGGCAACTACTTGAATGGCCGATTAAACAATAGAACTGTAGCACTGTTTTTCGACGATCCTATTTTACTCTAATATAAAGGCTTTATTGTGTAAGCAAAGCTTACAGGAGTTCGTGAACAATACATTAATTAACGGTTATTAAAAATATATTTAATATTTGTTATTAAAACAAACAGCTGAACTGTCAACATATGACCGTAGATTCTACCAATCAACGAGCTTCTCTAGACCATTTAAAAACGAAGTGCCGGTCAGCGCGCAACGATCTAGTGGGTGTGTTCGATTAGAAAACCCAACGTACGATCTGATACGTCTCTAATTCCAGCTAACCCGGGCGGCGTGAGGAAAGCCCTGAGCCAACCAATCCCATGGCGTGTCAACCTACTCAACAAGGTACACCCGCGTCCTGAACGGGTGGATGAATCGAGCCAATCCAACAGGGGGGGCATTCATCTGATAGGAAACTACGGAACCAAAAAAACTATATTTTTTTTATTTGAGAGTGAGAAAACAAAATATACGGTAGTGAGTTGAAGGTATTAAAGAAACTGAGATAACGTGTAGGGCGTTTACTCTCCAACAGGCATTTAACTCATTCAAGCTGATACAAATTAGTTCGCGAATGCAGTAAAAATAATTATAAACATAACCAGTATTATCATGAGAAATGAAATACGAAATGAAACGAAACTGGTTGTAAAACGAATGTAGTTTTGTGAGTGTCTACGTTTTGTGGCGGAGGCATACAGGTCTCTGGCTGTCACTTCACGTCTCCAACTAGATAATTCGTCTTTGAGTTGAATGAGTGGCGAGTGGACATGCACTGAAAGACCAGATATCCACAACGACTATATTCGGTGCGAGGACCCCTTTTTAAAAAAAACAATTCAGCTAAGAGTCACAACTACGATGCAACGATGACTAATCCGCAGCTGAATGAGTTCATTCCTCCTCCGGAGTGCCCTGTTTTTGAGCCCAGCTGGGAGGAATTTGCCGACCCTTTTGCGTACATCAACAAAATACGACCTATTGCAGAGAAGACTGGCATCTGCAAGGTCCGACCGCCGCCGGTGAGTATCTCTTCGTTTTGACACTTGCTCAGGACTTGTTTTTATTTATCGGCTTGCCGTGTCGGCCTCACCTGCTGTTGTTAATTTAGCAGGCAAAGTTGTGTTTTTAGACAGGTTTCAACATGGCGGATTGCGGCTCCCGAGTTGAGCTGCCAGCTAGCCTGAGCCCGGAGAGTGTTGTTCGCCACAACGGAAGTCGTTCTCTATCATATGGGGAAATTTGTGCCTTGGTCAAGTTTTTTTTTAACATCCAAAACAGACACACGTGTATTTATTTAAGTCACTCAATTAATAACACGATTTAAAAACAAAAATCTGTCGTTGAAGTTATTCAAATGAAATGGGAAGTGTTTACGTTAGCGCAGCAGGAAAAAACGCTTCCTGTAACTGGTCGGACGGAAATTAATGTTAGCTCCGAAACATTTAAACTAATAATTCGACCATTGCCTTTCAAATGGTTAGTTGAATGTACACCGTAACTTTCCCAACAGGATTTGAAGGATTTAGCCAGTGAGGTAACCAGGCTAACGTTAATCAGGCCCGTTTAAAGCGACAGTTGACGTTAACGTAGTCTAACGTTAACGTTACGTTACGTGCTCCGTGACCAACTGTTTATGGAGAGAGAGAGCGAGAGAGAGAGAGACACGGTTCAACAACGAACACCTCGTTTCTCTTTTTTATTTTTAAATCATAGCTTTTACATTTTTTTAAACTATCTTGATGTGAATATGCCAGATTGTCGACGGTCTGGTTGTTTCTAATTTACAGAATAATTTTGAAATCAGCTGTCGAGCTTTCTTTTTTTCTTGTTGAAGGATAATTTTGCCATAATCTAACGTTAAACCTCCTGACGGGTCGCGTGAGTCAACAATGATCAGTACAGAAATTAGACCAAATTATGTTTGTACAAATAGACTTTCTAAAATGGACACAATTAACATTGATCTCACAATGATGTTATCTGTTGGGATAGGAGAAGGAAGATATTTATTTCAGGGTGTGTCCAAGCTTCCACGCCAATTAGGGGAGGGTAAAGTATTTTGAATAATAATCATAACTGTTCATCCTCCCATGTAATAGTAATAATAGTATTGGATTATTGGATAGTTTTTAGAGTTTAGCGTATGTCCCTTTAATAAAACATTGACATAAAACACGTTGCATCCACGGGATGTAACGTGTTTTATGTTATGATAGCCAGAATATAGATCGAGGAGGTTGAAATGAGGATGTGTATTCGCTTATTTACGGGCAAAACGTCAGGGGTAGTATTGCAATATAACCAAAACAGGGTGGGTGGGGGACTGCTTGGTGTTTGCTCTTCCAAAACAAACCTTCTTTAGAAGGCATGGTTGAGGGTGCACAGCTCATGTACACAAAGGAAGGCCGTTGCAAAAGCTTTGAGCATAAATTACAAGCTGATAGTCCAGGTCTACCTTTACAGAGATAGACCTATAAACTGCTGGTTATCCTAGTCACTGCATTTATTAGTTTTATTTGAAAAATATCTCTATAAAGATATTCATGTTTATATACAAGGGAAGGACAAAGGTAAAGCCTACTACACCCTAGCCTGAACAGCTTTTTAAATGATCACTGCAAGTCATATGTACTGGCATGCTCGTGACTGTTTTTTAAATAAAGGGTTTTTGGTTATACCTTTTTTTTCTGTCTTCTAAAAACCATATGGTGGGAAGCAGCGTGTCCATAACATTCAAATACAGTGCTTTCTTCATGATTATATATAATTGATCGATGTATTAAAATAATACAATAAATCCTGTTTAAAGTCGAACCCTACCAATTGTCCTGCTCTGTGCCCCATTCTCTAAAGCCCTGTGTCATGCACCAATATTTCTACTCAATATTTAGACTAGAATTTGGCTCCAGGGTCGACTGTGGGAATTTGAATACTTCCATGGATATGAATGTGAGCCGATTTAGTTAATTTCTACTAAAGCAAAAGTGCATCATTTTTATGTTTAGTGTTTTTGTACGTGGGCATCTTGAGGCTTGTGTGGCAAAGTTCATACATTGTACATGCTACATTTTTTTTCAACATTTCCACATGTCATAGTGCTAATCCCGGTTAACATAGCATGCAGCAAATTAAAAGTTACAATGAAAATGCTGACTATTTTAAAAATGACCTATTTGGTGGTGTACCCATTTGAGAAGAATTGTAATCCGGAGCTGTAGCCTGGTTTCCTGGCTCTGGTGAGGCCGTTCACATGATCTTTTCTTTGCCACATCTCGCATACCAACTTTCAATGCAGTAGTGTAGTGTCAGCTGCAGTTTGGCTCCAAGATGTTAACCTTTGTCATTTTAGCAAATGTGTAAAATCCACGTTTTAGATGTAGGTGGTAGCTAGTTATTGTGCTAAAATAGTTACCTAATTAGAACAAATCTTTACTTTGCCAATAAAGCTGCTACTAGCACATTCAGTTAATCTAATTAGATTGTTAGGTGGCCTTGTTTTTCGGAAAGCCTGAACTGTGTCTGTTCCAGAAATCTGAAGCGTTAAGGACAAAGTAACCGTCTATTCACGGGTGTTGCAGATCCGGTGTGGCTTTGCATAGTTTCAGTTTATGGATTTGTCGAGTTTATAGATTTCTGTTTTTGTTTTACAAACACCAGACGCAACTTTTCTGACAACCGTTCTCACCTATTATTTGAAGGGCAAATCAGAAAACTCATCTCTAGCATTTCTGTCTGTTCCACAATGCCAAAAATGACTGAGGTTGGAATCTTTGAAGAAATTGACATGTATTTCAACTATACGGTTTTAGAGCTTTGTTCGCAGCTACCAGAGTACCAATCCTGATCATGGCAGCATTTCAGCCAGTATACCAACTTTCACAGGAGATTTCTCTCTTCATTTTCTCACTGATGACAAATAGGCAGGAAAGTGTTGTCACACCTTCCATTTAAAAAAAAAAAAGTTTGTATTCCCTGACTTTTAATTGACTTTTTGAAATGTACAATTCTAAATTATTGCTTTGCCTGTTAAACATGTTTTCGTGGTGTTGTAGGGTTTTGGGTCCCTTTTCAATTGTACAGCACTAGAGTCAAATGTGTTTTACGAAGACTTCTAGATTTAATGATGTATAACTGAGATTATCTTGCTGACTCTTGAGCCATCACTGCCACCATGTTCTCCAGTCTTGCAGGAAGTTGTGTGGTCTAGTGTGAGTAGGTGTGCAAATGCATTAAAACCAGACGTGTCCTTGTTTTGTTTGTCAGTAAGACAGATGGGGTTTTCACTTCGGTGTAGTTAAACAAACAAAGCGGCAAAGTGAAATGTGTGTGTGTGTGTATTTATTTGGATATTGTTGCTTGATAAATAAGAAGTTTTATTTTATTTTAATTGTTCGTTTTACATGACCCCTAATAATGCAATGTAGCTAAATGAAAATAACGTAAATATTATTTCACATGTAGTTTTGTCCCTGCAACACAAGAAAAAACGCGTCGAATGCATATTGACGCACGGACACACGCGCACGCACATGTTATGACTTCCTGTATGTCTGCCTGTTAATGACCGTCTGTTGGTTTACTAGAATAATAGCAGTCCTTTGGAAGTGCAGACTGGGTGTGTAGTTGCACTCTGTATCCACTCATGCTTAAAGAGGATCAGAAGATAGATGTTAAAATCACACTTGCGTTAAAAGAAGCAATAGTCAAAGCCTCTTTTGAATTTTTCTTTTAATTTGGGTCAAGAACTCTGTGACATTATACTCCAACCTAGATTTAAAAAGAGGACAACTCTAGTACTCTGAATCGTCTACTTGTTCAGGAAAATACAGCGGTACTTTCCTGCAGCTGTGCACACTACACTGAAGTCCAACTCATTAGCACCAAATCTATGAAGGGAAACAATCTGCAACAAAAACTAAATCTTTTCTGCTTGAGTAACGTTCTGAAAAAAATGAAACAGCGTCTAGCTGGTTTGGAATATAACTAGTTTTATTTATTTCAATAAAAGTATAAATTCATGACCTATTTTTAAAAAAAATGTTAAGTCTTCAAGCCACAGATGGGCTGAGCGGGCCAAAAAACACATCTTGGCTTTTGGTGTTTCACAGCATTTATTCAGACGAAGGAGCCTTATCTATGAAGGATGATTGTTTTAAGGGGTTTGACTTAAACCACTCCTTCACATCGAGCCTTGTTGAGTCTTCTGTACCTTTTTACTGACCAACAGTATTTTGATTCAAATACTTCACTTAAAATGTCTAATTTTGTTTCATTAAATCTCTATTTTTCTGTTTTATTCCCTCAGGAATGGCAGCCACCATTTGCTTGTGATGTTGACAGACTGAAATTCACGCCGAGGATACAAAGGCTTAATGAGTTAGAGGTACATTCATTATGTTTTGTAAATGTATTGAGTAAATCTGATATTTGCTAAACATTTTTTTTTAGTTATTGCATTTTAATTTAAAGTTATTTATGTTCCAGTCTTTTAATTTCTCCCAAGCAATATAAGGTTATGTTTTGCCTTTGTTTGAGAGTAAATCTTAATGTTAAACACACAGTATTGACCTGCTTGTTTCTATGTCCTTTTAGGCTCAGACCAGAGTCAAGTTGAACTTCCTGGATCAAATTGCAAAATTCTGGGAGTTTCAAGGATGCACTCTCAAAATCCCTCACGTGGAAAGAAAGATTTTAGATCTTTACCAGCTGAATAAAGTGCGTGCATGTCCTTGCTGCTGTTTAAAATCAAGACAGAATTATCCACGATAACAATAACACACAGACTAAATGAATAGGTTCTCTCTTTTCAAGCTGGTGAATGAAGAAGGAGGCTTTGATGCCGTCTGCAGAGAGCGGCGATGGACGAGGATATCTGTGAAGATGGGCTTTGCTCCAGGCAAGGCTATTGGCTCTCATCTGCGGGCCCACTATGAGAGAATCCTCTTCCCATACAACCTGTTCCAGACTGGAGGCAATCAGCCTGTATGTTGCTTATTGCTTCTCTTTTCATTTACCAGTAGGAGAGTAGTAGCTAGACATGTTAAACAAATTGTTTGGGAATTGAGTAAGAGTTCATCATAATACATTGTATTAGCCTTTTTTCTTGGTTATACTGTGACTATTCTAGTAACTAGAGCTCGTCCTCTACCTGCTTAATCCACACTGTAATATTATAGGTGACAGCATTTTAGTTTGGTATTTCATTTCTTTGTTTGGTCATGAGAATAGAAAGAACTGTATTGAGTATTTTGGTCCTGTGCCGAGGCCAGAAAAGGTCTTATGAATTTAATTGTGTTGTACAGCCTTTACATTAAGCAGATCCTTTTGACTCTTTAAATGTTTGCCACAGAAAAGCTCTTGGTGCATTAGTGAGTAAGTCTTTTTTCCATACTTTCAAAAGGGCTTTTCTTGTTTGGCGTCTTTTGGAGAGGTTTGATAGTGGGATGTTGTATTGATATGTTGATCATCTCTTGTGGGAGTGTCTCAACTTAACTTAATTTTAATTAGATGCAGGTAAAGAGTTTGGGTCTAAGTTGTGTCTGATGTTGTTTATTTTATTTTATTTACATTCTCCTACTTTTCTTTGCAGAGAGCCACCTTGACCAATGACACTAAAGATAAGGAGTACACCCCTCACGACCTGCCGCAGCGGCAGTCTGTGCAGCCCCAGGAGACCTGTAGCATTGCTCGCCGTGCAAAACGCATGAGATCTGAAGTGAGTGAGATGGGGGCGGGCCAAGGCCATGTAAGAGAGACTCCAATTACATTGTAACTACTCAATGTGCCGGAGGTTCATCCAGTCACTCAAGCATGACGTTTCTGACTTACAAGAACCATAACAAATCGCGGGAGTTGTTTTTTCGAGAGTTTTGGGGTTGGTAGACACGCCATACCCAAATGAACGTGGAAGCGCTAAAAAAGCGGAATTTTCATAATATGTCCCCTTTTAAGTAAATGTTCATATTCATGTACCATCCACACAAAATATTACAAACTCTTCTACCAAACTGTATCGTGTCACTTTGATAACGAAGCTTCATGGGTTTCATACCAGTTGTCTTGTTTTAAAGAGTAATCGCGTCTTATTAAGGACCTGTTGTTCTATGTCTATCTGTTTCTTACGGACTCACCGACTACAACAGAGAGGCAGTTTTAAAACGGAACCCGGGGAAGTTCGCGAGAATCGTCCTAATCTCAGGAGGAGAATGGGAACGTATGTTGGAAAACAAGAACCTGGTAAGAACAAAGCAAGCCGTGCTGCTGGGTGTTTACAGGAAATAGTGGGATTGTGTCAAATGTGATCAGTGCCATTATTGGAGATTCCTTAAGTTCTCCTCTGTCTTTCAGTGAGGATGGCGGTCACTGAGGTGAAACGGGAGCCCGTTAAACACGAGGAGCCAACAGATAATGAAGAAAAAACTGTTTTAGATAAGAGACCGCCGTCAAGTAAAGTAAGTGTATTTTCTGTTAAAGTGGCCTAAATCACTATTGTGCCAGCAAAAGAAAGTAATGGATCCATGTTGTTTTGTTTTTAGAGAATTTCTGTCCCAATCACTCAACAAAGGCAGCGCTTCTTTTTGTCCTCTTCAGATCGACCAGTACATGTGCCTTGTTTGTGGCAAAGGTACTGCTGAGGATCGGCTGCTTTTGTGTGATGGCTGTGATGACAGCTACCACATCTTCTGTCTGATCCCCCCCCTTCACGACGTTCCCAAAGGCGACTGGCGATGTCCCAAGTGCCTGGCCCAGGTGAGAACCCTCTGTGGGCTAAATCCTCTAATTGGGAACAAGAGAAATCTTCTGCCCAATGTTCACAAATAAAATACGACTCAAGTGTCTGCATATTGTATTTTCATATTTCCCCTATCCCCATCCCCTAATTTTATTTCACAGGAATGTGGCAAACCTCCGGTTGCGTTTGGCTTTGAGCAGGCCAGCAGGAGCTACACCCTCCAGGCTTTTGGAGACATGGCCGATTCCTTCAAGTCAGATTATTTCAACATGCCAGTTCATGTGAGTTTGCGTGTGTGCGTGTTTGTGTGTATATAATCTGTTTTACTACTTTGGCCATAACAAGAAATGCTTTGGTAACGCTCTCGGACGAGCGGCAGGAATCAGCTAGTTTGAGATGTAAATTGTTGTGCAACTGATTTCCTGAGACGGCTTGCGTTTCTTGTCATTGATCCCAGCAGATCTGAGAAAACCCTGTGTGAATATGGCACACAATAACCTCTCCTAATGTGCTTTAGATGGTTCCTACTGAGCTGGTGGAGAAGGAGTTCTGGCGTCTCGTCAGTACCATTGAGGATGACGTCACTGTGGAGTACGGAGCCGACATTGCCTCCAAGGAGTTTGGGAGTGGTTTCCCTTTGAGTAACAGCCACTTTGAAGTCCCTCCTGAGGATGAGGTACAATCTGTCTCCTGTTTTTGAGGATGGTGATTTTGTATATGTCTACAGGCAGAAAACATTTTTTTATAGTTGGGGTCTTTAATTTTAATCCCTGATTCAAATTCAATTTTACTGGAAATCGATGTGTAAATCTTCTGTAAAGAATTTATACATTAGTTTACCTTCACAGCTTTCAAAAAATTGATTGTTGATTACCTGTTTTTTTTTTGGCTGGTTGAGTCAGTAACTGACGGCACTGACTTAATGTGAATTCAGTTTTCCCTTTGATGACTACAATAACACCTGCTGAACTAGGCTTTATTTTTAGTAAGAAGTCATGTGGATTGAGACCTTTTGTCTGACCTGCAGCATTACCTGAGCAGCGGGTGGAACCTGAACAACATGCCGGTGCTGGACTCCTCCGTGCTGACTCACATTACAGCCGACATCTGCGGGATGAAGTTGCCCTGGCTGTATGTGGGGATGTGCTTCTCTTCCTTCTGCTGGCATATTGAGGACCATTGGAGCTACTCCATAAACTATCTTCACTGGTAGAGTGTACTCCCTAAACTCTATTGCGTATCTGCTTTATTGATTTGACTGTTGCACAACAAACAATGCCTTCCACAAGAAATGCATTTGTATAGGTCTTGTTTAGTTCTTAATTTGTTGTGTGTTGGCACTTGTTAATGGTAATTAGATATGACCACATTTACAGGGGCGAGCCTAAGACGTGGTATGGGGCTCCCGCTTATGCCGCCGAGCACCTTGAGTCGGTCATGAAGAACCTGGCACCTGAGCTGTTTGAGTCACAGCAAGACCTCCTTCACCAGCTGGTCACCATCATGAATCCCAACACGCTGATGAACAACGGCGTCCCGGTAACCTGCTCCGTGTTACTCATTTATGAATCATTGCATTTCAATATCCGAAATTAAGCGTGATGATTACCTTTTACTTTTGAATTTTACGTGGTATGTTATTTAGATATTGACAATCATGCAGTGTCTTATCAGTATCTTTTGACAACCCTTATATATATATATATATATATATATATCAAGACATCATAATTTTTCTGGGTTCCACATTGTCACTCTTAATGTCATCCTTTTTAAACCAATTATAAAAACTTGCACTGTCATTTTTCAATTTGTATTTTCTTACTGATGACTAGATCTATCGCACCAACCAATGTGCAGGGGAGTTCGTCATCACTTTCCCCAGAGCTTACCACAGTGGATTCAACCAGGGCTTCAACTTTGCTGAAGCTGTTAACTTTTGCACCATGGACTGGGTAAAATAAATCTGTTGGCACTCTGTTTGGGAAAACGCAAGATTAGTTTTGTACTTATGAGTAAAGTCATAATGGTCATGCTTTTTATTAGATTTTACTGATAAAATTGTGTTGATCCATTAGGGCTTTTTACTTATGCTTATAGTAAATGGTGGAAAACAAAAGAGGTGAAAGATTGTATTACCGTATTTTCCGCACTATAAGGCGCACCTTCAATAAATGACCTATTTTAGAACATTTTTCATTGGATGGATGGATGGGGGGGGGGGTGGGGACTGTGCTTTCAGGGTCCGATCGATGCTGCGAGGTGTGTCCGCCATCCACGCCTTAAATTTTCAGCTACTCTCCAGCCAATTAACAAATTGATCCATATAAGGATTATAAGGAGCACTGTCGTTTTTTGAGAAAATTTAAGGCTTTTAATTGCGCCTTTTATAATGCGGAAAATACGGTATAATAATCATTTTATTTATATAATACTTTTCGAGATGAAGCCATTAACATTTTACAAAAGCTATATTCCAAAGCTCTGATATTGTTAATATAGTTTTTTTTCTTTCCGACAGATGCCCATCGGCCGTAAATGCGTGGCACACTATCGGGAGCTGAGCAGATACTGTGTCTTTTCACACGATGAGATGGTTTGTAACATGGCTGATAAAGCAGACACAATGGATGTCGACCTGGCCTCGGCGGTGCAGAAAGAGATGACCGACATGGTCCAAGAAGAAGAACAACTGAGAGAGAAGATCAATAAGTTGGTGAGGCGGTCTCTTTAAGTTTTTTTTTATTTTTTATTTAAATTAATTTCTTTTTTAGTTCAGTTGATTAACAAAGTTCAATAATGGCAGTATTGATATTTCAAAATGTGTGCGCAACATCCAGAAGGAACAATAGTAAAATGTTAAAATGAATGAGCTGATTCCCGTTCTTGTTTCCGTTTGTAGTATTGGCTTCTGTCTTCACATGATTACATGTCATCAAGAATTCCTTAGAGAAAACTGTGACTGTTGTTTATCTGCACAGTTCTCTCATGTAGTTCCTTTGTCTCCTCTGCAGCTCAAATTACAGAATACAAAATTTTGTTTTTGTTGTTTGCCCCCCCCCCCTCTCTCCTCCCAGGGTATTGTGCAATCTCGACAAGTTGATTATGAAGTGCTCCCCGATGAGGAGCGGCAGTGCTGCAAGTGTCGAACCACCTGCTACCTGTCTGGCATAACCTGTGCCTGCAGTCCTGGCAAGATGGTGTGTCTGTATCACACCGGGGACCTCTGCTCCTGTCCCCATAGCAACCTTACACTCCAGTGAGTCTTCAGTAACCACAACAACTATCACTTCTGAATTTGGCTTGTGTTTTACTTTAAATACTGTTATGAATTGTCTGCGTCAGCTCAGCTACCTCAAAGGTACTCTAAAAAGGTTTCTCCTAAACAATATCTTACATAACAGTTGCAAGTGTTGAATATATGTTAAGTTATAAAGAAATCGATACACAAAACAATAGTACAGCAATTGAATTGGCAACAATGGGAGCTGTGCTGTTTCTGAGGCAGTTGGACGAATATTTAGTGCAATTAATAGTGGAATTACACACGTTTTCATCTGATTACATGATATAAATCATCCTTCACCAGAAAGCTCTTGCATATCTTACACAGCTCTTATATAGAATTTGTCTTTTTTATCTGTCATGAACACCTATTAGTTTTTATTGGACCGTGACACATGTGCATTCATTGTATCGAATCATTGCCTTCTTTTGTCTTTCCCTGCAGTTACAAGTTTACTCTGGAAGAGTTGTATCCAATGATGGAATCAGTGAAGCTGCGTGCAGAGTCCTATAAAGAATGGCTCTGTAGTGTGCAGGACATCCTGGAGAACAAAGGAGACAAGAAAAGAAGTTAGTTAATGAAAGAAAACAAAATGCTACAAAATTCCGTTATCCAAAATTTGTGCCTCCCAATTTTAAGGAACACTAAATGCCACTCTATTCTATTCTATTCTATTACCGCTCCTCATATTCCAAACCTTCTAAAAGTTTGTACTGCTTTCTGGTCAGGTTTGGAAGAGCTCCACAGCCTGGTGGAGCAGTCAGAAACAAAGGCGTTTCCACAAATCAGCCTTTTAGATCAGCTACGCACAGTCGCCTCAGAGGCGGATAAAGTTGCTACGATGGCCCAACAGCTTCTCAATGGAAAGAGGCAGACGAGGTATGATATTAAGAGATTTTCAAACTCTACTGTCTTATTGTTTTGGAAAGGTAAGTGCAGTTTCCAAGTATGTTTTGCCCTGAGGTTGACTCTAATTTTGTTTTTACTGACTCCGTTGTATCATTATTGGGGATAATTCACTGTTCATACTTTATATTTAACTTGCTAGACAAAAAGAGTCTAGACTTAATTTTCAAGATCTCAATATTGTAGTTTAGAGACTAAATACATTTGTTTGGGTTTATTTCTGCTGTTTTCAGATAATTCTGTCATTTTATATTTATAGATCTGCTGTTTTTATTTTAAATTTGTATATTAGGTATCGTTCTGGAGGAGGAAAGTCTCAAAACCAGAACGAGTTGGCTGTTGAAGAGCTGAGGTCTTTTGTTCGACAGTTTGACAACTTGCCGTGCAACATCCGACAGGCTCCTTTACTAAAGGTGGGATAGTTTGGATTAGAAACTTTACTTCTTCATAACAACCTGAATTTTGGATATTGTTGAATTTGGTTACATTGGAGAGAAAAAGCCTTCCATGTTAACCCTTTTCTTAACACGGTTTCAACTGTTCAAGTCTGATCTGAACATAATGTGTGCGATGGACTTCATTTTAGAATGTAGTCACATATTCATCTCTAAATGCATGTTGAATGTAACCCCCCCCCCCCCCCCCCAGGACTTGCTGACCCGGGTGGATCACTTCCAGGAGCGCAACGAGCGTCTTCTCTCTGACGAGTCACCCAGCCCGCTGGAGCTGCAGGACCTGCTGGACGAGAGCCTGGGCCTGGACGTGGAGCTGCCCCAGCTGCCCCTGCTGAGGGAGCGACTGGAGCAGGCCCGCTGGCTGGAGGCCGTACAGCAAGCGAGCAGCCGACCAGAAAGCCTCTGCCTGGACACCATGAGGAGGCTGATAGACCAGGGCGTGGGTTTGGTCCCTCACAGCTCGGTGGAGAGAGCCATGGCTCGTCTGCAGGAGCTGCTTACCGTTTCAGAGCAGTGGGAGGAACGGGTGCTGGGCCTTATGGAAGCCAGGTGAGCAGCACTGGGCCTGAGTTTGTATGTTCATTGCTTTTAGCGTTTAGTTGCCCTTCATGCTTATGGTTTAGGTGGAGACAAAGGATGTAGTACTCAGTAACTTAATGAAAGTATAATGATGTAAATTTCCTAAACAATAGGAAGCGTATCATTGACACTGGAAAAGGTATGGCATTAGATATTAATTCCCCATGAAAAACCTAATCAACCACAACAATGACGGACACATTTCCTTACATATTAGCAAACGCACCTTTTTTATAAAGGAGAAAAGATCTAACACTAATCAAATTCAGTAACGCCTCAGTTTGGTTACAGTCTTGAACTTGCTTACCAAAACTTCATTTCAAAACAGTGAATTTGTACTTTGTTTGTGAATTTCCAACTTCCTTAATATGTGGTGTCAGGTGGGAAAACCTGAAATCAGCTTTAACTGAAATGTGCCCAGTCTGCACAGCCAGATCATGTTGGATAAAGAGGATCATGGTGTTGTGAGAGTGTTTAACCCTGCGAGGGCTCCACAAAGACGACACACTGTAAAGCACCAGACCTTTGCAAGCACCTCACGTGATCTGATGCTTGATGTTATAAATGAAAATCAAAATGCGGTCTTTATTTTGGCAGGACCCAAAACTGAAAAAAAACAAGATAAAATTTCACGTGACACAAAATGAGACATTCTATAGAGCCGGTATATGTACACTGGATTCCTGAAGCTCATGTCTCTTTACAGGCCAAATCACAACCTAGAAACACTTGATGCTGCTCTACAAGAAGTAGAAAACATCCCTGCCTATCTGCCCAACTGTCTCCAGCTGAAGGATGTCTTCACCAAGGCCAAGAAATGGCTCCATGACGCCGAAGCACTTCAGGTGAAATATAGTCTCACTTAAACCAAGCTTTATGTTCTCAGTTCTGAACACTTTGCCTGAGATGTTCACAGATGGGAGAAGACATAAATCTTGTGTGTGCATGTTTGCAGCTCGGGGGACGTATTCCTGTGCTGGACAGCCTGTCTGAGCTGCTGCTCAGAGCAGAGGGCATTCCAGTGATGCTCGAACCGCTGAGTCGGCTGGAGGTCCTTGTCAGTGATGTTCAGACCTGGAAGGAGAGCGCCGCAAAGACATTCCTACTGAAAAACTCGCCTTTCTCTCTCCTTGAGGTAAAAGCATGTGTGCTCATTTTAAAAGCTATTTGACAGAGCAAATTAGTAATGTTTTTTTTCCTTCATGTTCTCAGGTGCTTTGTCCGAGGTGTGATGTAGGTACCGGGCATACGAGGTTGAAATCCAAAAAAGGAAAAGAAGCTTCACAGATCAATAAAAAATCTGCAACAAAAGTAGAGTCGCTGTGTGATGTGGATAGAGCTCTTTCTGAGAGCAAGGACTCTGCCTCTGCTGTGAGTGGAAATGCAGTATTTGATATTTTATCAGCTACAGTGTCAGTAGGGTTGTAACAGCTCATTTCTTTCTAGAAAAATGTGTAGTAACCCTATTGTCCTAAAATGAAAAAGTGGGACACATTTACAGTCAAAGCTGTGAAATGGTCCATTTATTTATTGTTGTGACACCACAACAGTACAGAAATCCTTACGGCCCAAAATGGCATATTACGTGGACATGTTTCCCGTAAACTTCAGCTGTGAATCATACATCACAAAAAAAAATATATTCCCCAGTATTGTTAAAACAATAAAGTCCCTGGTCTACCATCGTGGCCACAAAGAAACAAAAGGCAGGAACAGGGTTGATTTATTATCAATCATGAACGTTGGTTCAAAGGTGTGGAGATGTTACCTTGACAGCCCTAAAGACAATAGTTGGTATGAGCCTAATCTGGTGTCCGTTTGTAGACTTGGAATGAGATTGGGGACTTAATTGCTAATTAAGGACTATTCTCCTTAACAGATGGCAACTCTCGCTGATGTCCGGCAGAGGGAGATGGATCTCCTGTTGACTCTGCGTGCTTCAAACGAGTCCAGGCTGGTTCCTGCAGAAAACTGTTGTGCACTCAGCGTCTGCATCTGCCAAAAGGCTCCTTCGGGGGCCATGATGCAGTGCGAGCTCTGCCGAGAAGTCTTCCACTGCGATTGCGTCACAACAACAGCAGACCTGGAGTACGGCCAAGCCTGGCTATGCCCTCTTTGCCAGCGGTCGAGAAAACCCCCCCTGGACAAGGTCCTGCCTCTGTTGGCTTCACTGCAGAGGATTCGAGTCCGGCTGCCAGAAGGGGACGCACTGCGCTTCCTCATCGAGAGGACTGTGCGATGGCAGCACAGAGTTCAGCAGGCCTGCACGGAGGGAATGCTGAAGAAAGTGTCGAAGATGGTCAGTGGAAACTCATTTTATAACATTCAGTTGAACAGATGAGTCTCTTGTTGGTTATTGGAATTCATGGTCTCTTCCCTTTATGAGGGACATTGACGTTGTAGATGCACTTATTACAGTTTTTTTTCTTTACTGTTTCAGGGAAAGGTTGGACCTGGAATATCTTCACATCTGACTCAGGAAATCAACTGTTCATCTTTCCATACAGAGCATCAGTCTGTTCCACTCCAGGGTAAAAGCTTTAAAAACACTGCATTACGCATACTTTCCTTTTTAATGTCACCTCTTAACTCTCCGCCCGCCTGTCATATTTGTCACAGGTCTCGCCCCTGACCTGGAGGAGCTTTTGGTGGAGGGATTCCTACTGCAGGTCACTCTGCCTGAAACTGAGCAGCTGTACAAATACCTGCTGTACAAGCTGGCCCCGCGACTCTCACACAGCGCCCCGTGTGAGAGCAACACAGAACAGGACCAACAGCCACAGAGAGGAAGCCCGCACCACAACAAGGTAGTAAGAAATGTTTGTTATGATCTTTATAATCACACGTATAGTTAAATACGATATGTTTATTGTAATATTTACGCCTTAACACAGAATGGAGTTTCCGGTCTCAAGAAAGAGGCGTTGAACGGTCAGAGCAAAAGGATCAAGCGGCGTAAGGAAAGCTCTGACTCGCAGCACAGCGAGAAGGCCAAGAAATACCGCAAAAAAAAATCAAGCAAGAGCAAAGAGAAGAGCGAAGACACAGAGCGGACGTGTTCTCCCACACACGCACTGTCTGACCCCACTGCTTCAGATTCCGAGGAGGACTACTCTCTGTGTGCTGCACCATGGTGCAGGGAGCCAGAGGGCGACGAGGTTAGTGTTGTATCGCTCCACCTAATATACTACATGCATGAGTTTTAACTGATTTTTATCTTTATTTTGTAAACCTTTATCTCACATTTTACTTTTTTTCAGGTGAACTGGGTCCAATGTGATGGCAGCTGCAATCAGTGGTTCCACCAGATCTGTGTCGGACTTTCTGCTGACCGAGCAGAGAAGGAGGACTATATTTGCATAAGCTGCACACAGCCAGACTATGACCGAGGCGAATGAAGACCAAAGAAGTGACTTTGAAGGATCCATGGTTTTTGTTTTGTGAACCCCAGCACTTAAGTGCACACCTGAACTCTGTGTGCTCCTGTGGCTTCTCCCCCTTTACTTTCTGGCTTGCCCGTAGTGAAAATGGTGCTATTCACTGTTTTATTTTTTTCCCAGAGTTACAAAAGACTTTCGTCACTGTTTTCGTCTCGTGGCTGGTTTTTCAGCCAAGCAACTAATCCTTTCTGAAACTTTCCAAGACTTGATGCAGATGTACAAAATTACAAAATGTTTCAACAGCGCAGGGATTTTTCAACCAAAAAAGTCAATTTGACACCACATTTTAGAACTTTTTTTTTTTAACATCTGAACAATGTGAAACTTATCTTTTTCTTGTAGAATAAATATTATTTATCTAAGCAATAACTGAACTTATTAATTGAGGTTCAGTTTACACCTGAGCTATATTGTGCATATAAATTCTTTGATAGGGTTTTTGCTTCAAGAAGGCATTCTAACGAATTCATATTTGAATCCTATGATATTGCAGTTCTATAAAAATTTGTGAACAGAATTTGAATCAGAAACAAGAGTTAGGAATTTATGTCTGAGCTATTTGATCCTACATGTGCAACAGTTTTCACCCGTATCCCTTAACAAATCACTGACTTTGATATAAAAGTCTGGTTACTTTTACCTATTTTTTTTCCTGCTGTTTGTAAAGGAAAACGATGAACTGTCCAAAATCAAAGGAATGTACATTTTGTTTTAGGATGGATTCTTTCCCTTTTTATGGTTTAGAAAATATTGTGTTGGACTTAGATTTAACACACTTTGCGTGAATTACCTTTTTCTGCTCCTTTGGGTAAATAATATAATTCATATGTTGCAGTTTGCATTATAAAATAAAAGTTTGTTCCCATATCCTTGAACTTGTTAATCCCGACTGTCTAGGTAAAAAGATGCTTATTTTAATGCACTAACCCATCTATTCCTGTTATCTACATTATTCGTAAAATGCCCTTCTCAAATTTTTTGTTTAAGGTTAAAACCACAGGAAACAATTGTTCTTGTAGATGGGGAATTTGTATTTGTTTCACTTAAAACAATTTAAAGGGAACATTTTTTACAACATAGTTCCCCCTACACGCTGTCAAAATGGAAAACTATTCATACAACCCGTGAATATAGATAACCGCATACATGTAACTGATTCTTGGTTAATATTTGATGCCACGCTAGCTAATATCTAGCGGAGATTAAATGGAACAGGTTTCACCATCAAACATTTTTGTTAATCAGATAGAATGGGGTCAAGAGGGCATGTGGTCGGACGGGCAGAGGTTACCAAGGTAAGAACTTGGTTAGGAGACTGGGTGAAAGAGGGAAGCGAGAGTTATAGAGGTGAAGTTGGTGGGACACAAGTGATGGGACATGGGTTTGTGAAAGTGGAGCGTATGTCAGATATTTTTGGGGAAAATAGTTGACAAAGTCTCCCGGAAGGAGGGGGGAGGAGGTCTGGGAGTTCGAGGAGGTTGGAGAAGATGGAAAAGAGTATTTTGGGGTTCAAAATGGAAGACTCAATTGTAGATTGGTACAAAGAGCTTTTGGCACCAGAGATAGAAGCTGAAAAAGAGGAGAGTAGATATTGAAATGCATGCAGGTCGTCAGGTTGTTTACATATTCAGCAGACCTTTCTTTTGCATTCTATATAAGCGGAGACAGACTTCTTTTTTTGTTTTTATTTGTATTTATTACAAAAGTAAGTTATTTTCCAGTATTTTGTTCACTCAACTGTGTTGGCCTTTTTTTACCGTCAGGTTTTATGTTAGTAACATACAGGGAGTGAATTAATTGTTTTATAATGCATAATGTTTAGTTACATTTAAGGGTTTGACTCCGACAGTTGCCTGGTAGGCCAAACTCGGGGCGGAGACGCCCACTCCCGCCTTGGAGGGGGGGGGGGGGCGTGGCCTGACGTTCACCGACTCGCCATTTTCCTCCTGTTGTTGTTAGCTGTCGTAGCTAAATAGGCTAGCTCTCAACGGTAAAACAAAGTCACGTTTTTTAAAACCGTATTATTATTGTGACTAGTTTTACGCTACTCCTCTCCCGTCATCATGGACGAGGAATATTACAGCGGCGCACGAGACTGGGAAGGCACGGGGGAAGGTCCCACGGTGAGAGGACGACTTGTTGCTGTTCGCAGTGGACAGTTAGCTTAGCTAAGTAGCATCAGCTTAGCTGTAGCCACACACTGCTGGTTTGTTGTTGTGACAATTCATTCATTGACAGTCAGCATGCAGAGAGATAGTTGTCTCCACGTAACGGTATGTCCACTGATGAGCCAGTGTGCATGATTTTAACTGTTCTGCTTATCGGCTCCGGTAGACGTTGCCTAGCTTACAAGCTAACTAATTGGTTGACGTGGAAGTTGCACGTGAACTATTATTAAAGTCACTTTAATAACGCTACAATTTAAGTTTGTTTTATCGCTGTCACCGTGTTTTCAATTATTTTTTTATTTATTAACACTTATGTTAAACACACATGCATTCAACTTGAGAGGACAAAAAGACGGACCGCATGTAATCACTTTCGCAAAGTAAAGCTGTCTATTTATTGCTTTAACACAGAGCTCCCATCGATATTTCAGTGTGTTTCAAAACTGCTATTGCTCTGATGGCCACATGGATCGGATAGTGTGGAGATGATATAGTAAAGAGAGAAGAGCCATCATAGAAACCTAAACACATGTGTGAATGTTCCTTTGTGGAGGATTATGTGGAAGGAGAAAATGATGGAAAAATCCAGGAAGAGTGCCTTCAAAAGTTCTCCAGCAGGGATTACATCATGGAACCTGCTATCTTCAACACCCTCAAAACGTAAGCCCCGGTCTCTGACAAACACAACATTTTTAAATGAAAATGAAAAGATAAAATGAACTAGAAACTGCACATTGTTTTCCCCTCATGTGAAAGTAACAGTTAATCCTAAAGACCTACGGAGAATTTGATCATAGAAACCCCAACTCTCTCACAGCTATTTCCAATTGGGAGGCTCTCCAGAACACGTCATCCAGCTTCTCTCTGAAAACTACTCTGCTGTGGCTCAGACCGTTAACCTGCTGGCTGAGTGGCTCATCCAGATGGGTTGGTACAAAACTACAGAATCCTGCATCTTATTAACTAGAAATCGTTGATTAGACCGTTATCATGTCCAACTGATGACCATTAGTCTGTCATTCCTCTAGGTGTAGAGCCTGCTCAGGTCCAAGAGCGGGTAGAAAATCACCTCAAAAGTCTCCTGATAAAACACTTTGACCCCCAAAAGGCTGATTCCATTTTCACCGTTGAGGGAGAGGTGAGTTTTCTGAACACGTAATCACTCAACATCAATACAAAACATGCACAAATATAATTTTGTTGGATAAGTGAAACCATACCAACACAAAGTCTTGTGTTTTCAGACTCCTGCTTGGCTCGAGCAGATGATCGCACACACTACGTGGAGAGATCTTTTCTATAAGCTGGCTGAGGCTCACCCAGACTGCCTGATGCTCAACTTCACTGTAAAGGTGCGGTAAGAACACTGAAAGCAAGAATTATCTCTACAACCCTCATCAGATGAATGGAAGATCATTTAATGTATTTTGTCATTCATGTCACTGTAAATGTAATCTTTTTCTTCTACTGGAATTTTTAAGATTTATATTTTGGTGACTTTAGATGGGCATATGGACAAATGATTGGTTGATACATTCAAACAATGAATAGTTAAATGCTATGACAGAATAATACATACAACTGCAGATAACTCTTTAATGTTTTCTAAAGTTAAGCTCTTGTTGTTGTGTGAAGCCTCAAACGATGAAGACTAATCTTTCAGAAGAGTCTCTCTGAGGGTCATGTCCACGTCACAGCTACTCTTGTTTGTTTAGCTCATTTCAGACGCAGGGTATCAGGGGGAGATCACCAGTGTGTCCACAGCGTGCCAGCAGCTGGAGGTTTTCTCCCGGGTGTTGAGGACATCCTTGGCCACACTGCTGGATGGAGGAGAAGAAAACTTGGAGAAGAACCTGCCAGAATTTGCTGTGCGTCTGTTAGATTTGTTAACCACGGTGCTATGAAGTATTATAAAGGTTTCATGTTCATTTTTAAAAATGTGGTTATATATTTGTATTGAACATCAAAACATCCATCTACCCATTATCCTCTACTACTATCTAGGGATTAGAAATAATGATTTTCCACGTTAAACGTCACTGTGCTTGTAAATAAATACAATTAAAAAATAAGTAAACGCAGCGTTTTTTCCGTAGCTGCTGATTAAAGTATCTAAGGAGCTACGTGATGTTTATGAGCTGAATAACAAGCGGATGTTTCAATTATCCTTTTATTATATTCTAGTGTTACATTAACACCACATTGCATAAAAGTCAGTCAGTTGTCCTCTTCTCTCCTGTAGAAGATGGTGTGCCACGGCGAGCACACCTACCTCTTCGCCCAAGCGATGATGTCCATCCTCTCTCAGGAGGAACAAGGTGGTTCGGCGGTTCGGAGGATCGGCCAGGAGGTGCAGAAGTCAGCGCATGAGAGGTAGCAGTCTTTCTTTTTAATTAGAAAACTCCCCATCAAGGTCAATCAAAAGTGATCAAGTTGAGACCATTAACGGCGCGGGGCTACAGGACCAAGATGGCTGAGGATCTGAATCATTCGGCTGGGGATGATGTCAATCCTATGGTTGTGGTTTGTATCCAGAGGTCACGATGCCAGTCAGATAACCCTCGCGCTGGGTACAGCAGCAGCCTACCCTCGAGCCTGCCAGGCTCTGGGTGCCATGTTGTCTAAAGGAGCCCTGAATCCTGCAGATATCACCGTTCTGTTCAAGATGTTCAGCAGCATGGACCCGCCTCCTGTGGAGCTGGTGAGGACTGAGCATCTTTGACCCTGTTTGTATCCACTACATACCTGTTTAAGTCTTAACATATTTATTTTCTTGTCTTTTAGATCAGAGTGCCTGCCTTTCTGGATTTGTTCATGCAGTCACTGTTTAAGCCGGGATCAAAGATAAACCAGGACCATAAACACAAATACATTCACATCTTGGCCTACGCAGCCAGTGTGGTTGAAACTTGGAAAAAGGTACAGAGTAGCGGGTGTTTTTACATCAGGTAATAGACACTAGAAGTGTGCTTGTTAGTTCAACTAGATTAAACTGATGGCAGTTTTGATTTAGATAAGTAAACTATTGTTAACTACTTTTTCCATACAGAATTCCCATGCTCAATTGCTTGCTTTGCATCTCATGGTTTCATCCTCTGTACACTTTTTCTTTCCGTTTACACTCAGAACAAGCGAGTCAACATCAATAAGGATGAGTTGAAGTCGACGTCCAAGGCCATAGAGACTGTGCACAACCTGTGCTGCAACGAGAACAAAGGAGCCACCGAGCTGGTGGCTGAACTTGGGACGCTGTACCAGTGCATCCGGTGAGTAGGCGACCAACATCTCGTTCCTCAGAAGCCTGCAACTTGTTATTGTCGTAAGAGAGGACGGTGTTCCATATAAGGACGAACATCTATAAACAAGTGTACTGTTTTATTTTTAAAAAAAGAGAGACAAATTGTAGACAAGCTTATGTCTATGAGCTGCAGAGGACCTCGCAACAAAAAATGATTGTGAAAAAAAATACAGATAATGCCATCAGTGACAGCTTTTGACCCTCATTAGTGGAAACGCTAAATTGAGGTTTGACAGTTAGCTTTTCTCACTTCTGACTTCCTGTTTGTTTGAATTCAGGTTTCCAGTGGTTGCTATGGGGGTTTTGAAGTGGGTGGATTGGACCGTGTCTGAGCCGCGGTACTTCCAGCTGCAGACAGACCACACTCCAGTACATTTAGCTTTGCTGGACGAGGTACAACTTCTCAGACTAAAAATGCCTTTTTTCAGTTTCTGATGACCGTAGTTAAATTCCAAATAAATGCTTCCTCCGCACAGATCTGTACATGTCACCAGCTGCTGCACCCGCAGGTCCTCCAGCTGCTCATCAAGCTCTTTGAGACCGAGCACTCTCAGCTGGACGTCATGGAGCAGGTCTGTTGCTTCTTACTTCAGTATGTTGTAACTGTGAAAGCTCTCAGCTGACGTCTCGCTTCTCCCTCAGCTGGAGTTGAAAAAGACGCTGCTGGATAGAATGGTTCACCTGCTGAGCCGCGGCTACGTCCTGCCCGTCGTTGGTTACATTCGCAAGTGTCTGGAGAAACTCAACACGGACATCTCTCTCATTAGATATTTTGTCACTGAGGTAACTGCTGGTCCCGATCTGATCCCGATGAGTGGCTGAAGGGATTAAACCTGGAAACAAAACGGATTAAACTAAATGGTTCTCTTATTAGGTGCTGGATGTGATCGCACCACCGTACACATCCGACTTTGTTCAGCTCTTCTTGCCCATTCTGGAGAACGACAGCATCGCAGGAACAATCCGCACAGAGGGGGAGCACGACCCTGTGGCAGAGTTCATTGGTAAACGGGCTTACATTTGAAGTTGTCGCAATTGGGCCTAACTGGAGAGAGATGTCTAACATCTTCAGTATCGTGATAAAGTGATCAGTGGTTTTCATGTACGAACCAGTGAAACTAACTAGATGTCTAAAAGTTACTTGTTTAAATTTGTAACCTTTCTATGGAAACCCGTCCATGTAGCTAATTCATTTCTGTTTTTTTTCAGCTCATTGCAAGTCAAACTTCATCATGATAAACTGACAGTGAAAATGTTGGAGACCGTCCCAGGGAGACTTGAAAGAGAAAGAAGATCTGTGATCACCAAATGCTCGGCTTGATGTTGAAGCGCATCGCACGAGATGGACGGCTCAGTCCGACCAAGTGAACAATTTGTTTCTATTGAGGAGACAGACAGACTGAGGGAAGGAAAAGCCTCTGAAGATGCAGCTAAATGTTTTCTTATTTTCACCTGTATATTTGATTTTCTATACTTCTGTGTTATTTCAAGTGGTTTTTAAATAAAAATATATATGTGCTTTCTCCCATTTTTGACTGATGCAATATTAAAATGTTTTTTATTGGATTTTCATCATTTGCGTTACTAAAAAAAAGTCAATGATAGTATCATATAACTTTGTAAAACCCAGTGATTAATACTCAAAGGACAGATTTTGTGTGGAGTATCACTTTTTGTGTTGGTTTTTATTGACAAGATCTAAAACTCCTAAACAAAGATTGCAAATTTTCCAGAATTTCTGGTGTGATGACAAAGTAAATCACAGTTGCATTTTACTGCCAGTGCATGCAAGGCACACTTGAATGGTTGATCACAGCAGTGAGGCAAATTATAAACTCTTTGGCTGAGGCAGTTTGCATTAAAAATTGTAATACACAAAAAGCATCTTAATGTTTGCATGGATTCAATCAAGTCTGATTCAAGTGTAAAAAATAGATCTCTGAGAAAAATAGGAACTTATTCCCTTTCATAAAAACATCAACAGAGGGGGCTGCAGCAACAACCTCTGCTACCGTGGGGTCTGATTTCTTCTACAGGTAGGACTTGGGGACAACTGGGTCTCCGTACATGCAGTCCTCCTCCAACGCCAGGTTGTACGAGCTTCCACTTCCTCCCTTGTAGGCACTTGTTACGATCCTGAGCCAACCCTTCTCTCCCTGAGGGAATGGCGGAAATTAATCAACAGTTATTTTTGACAAATGATTAATAATTTTTTAAGCAAAATGACAAATGTTCATTAGATCCAGCTCCTCAATTGGCGATTGGAAAGTTGGGACATAGAGATGGTCCCACCCTTACGATCGTAGCAGAGCATCCGCCAACCTTATGGCTCCGTAATGTTTGAGTTTTTACTTTGACAATAGGGATGACGGCCGTTACTACTTTCACTGCCTGACGTTCTGTGTTTGACACTTACCCATGGCTCTCCCCACGAATTCCGTACAATCCAGTATTCAATGCCGTCCTCCATTCCCCACCCTGCCACTGACACGATATGATTGATGAAAGGTTGGTCCTGATATTCTGAGTAGAGACCTCCGGTGTAGGCATCTAGCTTGTCTGTGGCCATAATCCCACAGCTGGACAAAACAATTCAGAAAGTTAGTATAATATACGATAATGAAATGTTCCACATCAACAATTAAGTAAACGAAGAAGCTGTCAACTGCTTCGCAAAAAAAAGGTGCAAACCTTATTGGTCCTCTAGCATAGATCTCCGCCATCATCTTCTCCCTCCCACTGACCATTCCAAAATCTCCCACCTTCCACAGGGTGTAGTTCTTCACAATATTGCACACTCCAAAGGTGGTGCAGGTGCCACATTCATTGAAAGGTTTGCACGCTTTGGAGAGGGACACAGAAAGGGTTGCAGAATGAGACGAGGTAAGTGATCGTAACCATTTCCATTATTCTATTACCGGAGTAAACCTACCCTGGTCTTTAGCCTGGTAGTTGTTGCAGGTCTCGTCTGGGATCCCGTGTTTGTTGGCGTACTCCCAAACTCCGCTGTGATCCCCTCCATGGCAACTGCCGGCATGACCACAGTCAATCACGTTCTGGACGGAGAGATAGGTCGAGGGCCACGCTCCTTTCCTCTTAATGTTGATGCGATCTGGTGGGAGAGCAATCCCACACCTTGTCTTCTTTTAAGACTTTTGTGGCATTACACCATCACAATTTTGACTTTCTTACAACACATTTTACTATAACTTTGTTATGATAGACTAACTAAATAAAATAAAATACCATGACTTTAGAATGAAATACTAAATGATTACTATTATTTATTTTAAAAATTACAATTACATTTGTGTCACTTTTTTATGGCATACTGTACTATGACTTTTTCTATGGCATTTTTTTGACACATGACTTATTTTTTATTTATATTTTATATAAAATACAATACTTTGATTGCATATTCATGTAACACTATTGATCAACATACTTTTATGACATTTTCATGGAAAATTCTTAGAGACACAATCTTCTACAAAGATTGACAAAAAAATAAAGACACCCGACAAGATAGTTCTCAATTCTTTGAAAAGAGGAAGTGGAACTGCATTCTAATAAAATAAAATCTGTCTTCAGTCACATGAGGACCGGCTGTTCTACACCTTCACCAAACCACAATGATTAAATGCTTTCGAGTCCTCGATAGGAAAATCGTTACCTGCCATTGCACTAGTGCTGCCATGGGCCCAGCAGGAGCCACAGTACTGGGGAATGTGCTGGTTGCGGGTCGTGCTTACATAGTTGGTGCCATTGATGTTCCTCCAGTCCCACGATTTGGGTAATTCGGATATGTTTAAATACTCATGAGGAAGAGGACTGCTCCTGTGAACGAACAGGTGAAACATATATTAGTTCTGAAGCGGCAAACCACCCAATGCTTGTTTATTTAGTATGGTGTTTTAAAATGGCAAACATTTCTTGGGTCTGAATTGGAATAATAAATGTTGGCCTATATTGCTTTAAAAAAAAGGCATTGCGTTAGTTTGATTATTAAAATACGGGCAGATACATATTTTGTAAATTCCATAATTGATTTATTATTTTAGCTCTAGAGGATATTTGATAAACAGAATTTTAAATACACATTTTACAAAAAATTAATATATTAAAATCCAAGGTTAATCCTGATATTTATCTTGAAAACTTCAAAGTATGTACCCGTTGTGTACAGTACTGAATAGCCTAGAATGATGCCGTGATTTATAGAGTAATAACATGATTTAAAGAAAGGAATAACGTGATTTACACAGTAATAACACGAGGTACAGAGAAGAATAACGTGATTTATACAGTAATGATGTACAGAGAGGAATAACGTGATTTATACAGTAATGAGGTACAGAGAGGAATAACGTGATTTATACAGTAATGAGGTACAGAGAGGAATAACGTGATTTATACAGTAATGAGGTACAGAGAGGGGTAGCGTGATTGAAAGTCCGGAGGCGTAACTAAATCGAGCTGTTCCGTGTTAACAATAAAACACTGAACCGCTGAGGCCGTCTACAGCTAACGTTAGCTCTCCAATTCAACATATTAAACAGCATCTCTCGCCGCTAACAACAGGATTTATCGCAGTTCTTCGGCAACTTGCTTTATATATATATGTATGTTTATTTAATGTTTACTTACTTCAGACCGAAGTTGTTCGTCCTCGGTGTGCGGACGTAGCACGGCTGCTTCTGGTTGAAAAACACTCCGCCACTCACACCGGACAGCGCGACCGAACACAGGAGCACGAACCCGGGCAGAGACATCGTCCACACCGCGGAGGTTAAACTTAAGCTTTAAAAAGTGAAGTGATTCTAAGGAGGAGAGGAGAAGCTGTAGCTGAGGAGGTGCTGTGAACGGAGCCGAGCTGAACGTCTCTACGTGTAACTAGTGAAAACTACAGCGGAGACGAACCGATACCGACAATAGTCACGTGACGAGTAATCACATGTTGTATGAGGAAGTCACAAGTTGATCCATAAAGAGGACACTCAGAAGACCAATCCGCCTCGATTAAGCAAGTTTAATTTTGGCACGATACATCTTTTTTGTTGTTGCATTAAGAAAGGAAAGACCCTCTCTTTGGCGTCCTTTTACCGCCAACTCACTTAAACCGGGACCAGAATAGTAAAACATGAAAAAACAGACATCATAATGTCCCCTACTGCATTGTTGTCGTGTTATTCATTGTAAATTCCAGCTTGAGATAATAGTCAGTCACGAAGAGTACCTTAGTATTACTGAACTCCAGAGACCTACAATAAAGATATTTGAATCAGTTTAATTTAAAGCTGAGCCTAATTGTCTATTTTTAGTCAAGAAATTAGGATATTAACATGGACTTTGTTCTCAGGAAATTGATGTCTCCAAAAAGCTTCTCAGTTGCCCTCAACTGAAGTCACTTATGACTGTCACAAGGCTTCTGTGTGTGTATTTTGTGATGACGAAGCAGAAGTGGTATTGCTCGTCAATTACTCATCAGCACTGTTTTGAAACTGCTAAAAACCTGCAGTAAGCACTTACACATTAGTTTGGTCCAGAGATCACAAAATCCAACTATAAAGGCAGCGTGAATACAAAGTACAGTAGAGACCAAAACAAAAATGTCTAGTGGTCCCAACCTGTTATTTTATACAAAAACGTGTGTATTATGAGCCTTGATTTGCAGTTAAATATCACTTTATATTTTATAGGCGATGCATCTTTATCAAGAGCAGTTGTAAAATGAAGACAGCTTGGAGGTCAATGGTGCAGAAAGTCACAAGGACAAAATGAGGGACAAAATATACTGTATTCAACACACGTTGTCTTATGATTGACAGATTTATTCAGTGAGATTTATCAAACACAGGTAGTTGGATCACAGTTTAAAATCCTTGAACTGATTGATGAGCACCTTCTTCACCGGTCTGGCGGCCGAGATGTACGCCGTTCTCTGCTCTACACCAGTCTTCGTCTCTTGCAGTCACGCTCCATCTGGTCCCCAGACGCGGCTGCGCCCAAAGGGGACACTTGGTTCAGCATGGAGTCCTCCGATGCCTGACCAAACAGGGCCATTAGCAACGCAACGCCAAATCCAGTGGCCCGCTCTCCCTGGAAAAAACAAAAGAGCAAGACGCAAACACACGGGTCAGATTCTGGCATCGTTTCGGTAAACTTAGCTGGCGTTATCTTTTTCATTCAGAATGAATGTGACTGAAACATGAGACAAGACTTGATCTAAAACCCAATCCTCAAAAATGTTACTACAGGGAGGTTGTTGAATCCATTCTGACGAGACAATGAACTGGCAACACACATACACACATTTTCTTTTTCCATGAGCTAAACCACAAGACAAAACAAAGAGATATATATATATATATTTTTTTTTTTAATGACCTTTTTTAATGAAAAGTCAACACAATCCTGACACACAAGCAGGTGACAACGGTTTGAATAAAAAAGTAATGAGTAACAAAGCAGTCACGCTGCTTTTTTCTTTTACTTCAAAGTTAGTAACGAGGAAGTTGAGGTTTCTATAGTTATTACTGGAACAGCTAGTTTCTGTACAGATCATACTCGAAAATACCCTTTAGCACAGAGCATACACTATGGTTTTATCCTGTATGACTTACATTAAAAAACAATCTTTTAATGTCCAGTATGAAGAGGAGGAATGATTACAGAAAGATGACGCAGATTAGAAAGACTGTGGAACTATCTTTTATTGATTGACCTAAGTATATGTCAGTGTTAACGGATAACAAAATATCTGTCCAAAACACCAAACCCTTAGTTACTCACAGCATGGACAGGAGAGGCGATGTCAACGTGGACCCAGACACCCGGCCAATCAAAGCCCAAATGGGAACCGATGAAGAGGCCAGCACAGGAGCTCTGGGCGTTCTCTCGGTCCTGCCAGATTAAAAAAAGCATGAAAAACATCAGCAACTCCCCAAAATAAGTGATTTCAGTCCTTAAATATTCTACTTTAAATTCTTTATAAGCTATAAACAACCCTTTGTTGCCGTTTTTCAAGTACTGGTTCAAATTCAATGCTGTTGTCACCGGAATAAAACTACGTGGACATTTTTTTGCAGTGTTACTGAAAGTCAAAATTGAAACTTTAGCAGTGAGGAAAATCTTTCCAGATTGGTACAACCAAGAAGAAAAAGTACTAAGGTTTCATGAACAAAGCACAATATGCAGAAGATAAAAAGGGCAAGTAAAGTAGTGCTGAAGAATGAAATACATTTCATAGCCATTGCAATATCACCGTGCCAGATAAACACACGGCCCAATTAAATTTTTTGAATCGTTTAGAGAGGCCGTACTTAACAATGCCGGCGGGGTGCAAAGCATTAGCGATTACTAAAGCATCTCCCTAAAAGCATGCATCACTTACTGCCACAGAGTTCTTCATGTCGGCCATGGCGGAGGTGAACTCGCTGAAGTGCAGCTCGGGGCAGTAGACCAGAGGGTGAGCGAGATCTCCGCTGCTACGGCCGGCGCGCACACATGCAACCTCCCACTGCTCGTTGTTAGTCATCACTGCTGCGTGGTACTTCCCTGTGGAGATGCCCTGGACAACAGAAAGCAAAATAAGTATTAGATACATAGACGATACCCCTTTGAATGCTTTGAATTAGAGTTGGTTCTGGTCCCTTTAGAAGCATAGTTGACAGAAAAAGAATGATACAATCTGACCAATGTTTTGAGTCTATATCTAGCAAATGGGGAAAAGGAATTGAGCTCAGATTTGCCATCGATGGCTAGGGTGAGGGTGGCCTTTTCACCCACCTGTGCCCCTGTGAGTGTGGCCATGTCCAGAATAATGTCAGCTGACAGGTCTTTGCTGGCGTACACCACTCCATCAGCCAGAACCAGCCTGCCCTCCGCATCAGTGTTATTAATCTCCACAGTCCTTGGGAATAAAAACACAAATTACATTACTTTTTAATGCCCACATTTGTTTCTTTTTAGATTCATTTTGTAAAATTAAATCAGTTGCACACATTTATATTATAAATCAAAGAGAGTCTCACTTTCCAGAGTAGAGGGTGTGGATATCATCGGGTCGTGTGGCTGTGGGTCCAACTGAATTCTCTGCTAGGCAAAACACTGCATGGAGGTTATCCTTAAAGCCCTGGAGAAAACAGCGGAAAGTCCGATTTAAACAACTCTCTCCTGCAGAGAATCAGTGGCGGCAGCGGCTGATCCAAAAGCTCACCTGTTTAATAGTAGCACTGAAAGCTCCCAAAATGGCAGCAGCTCCACCACAGTCTCTCTTCATCCCTGGCATTGTGGTCTAGGTTAAAAGACATTTATTTGCATGTGCTAGAAGGTAATTACCACTCTGACTAATGTTATTCTTGCTAAAACACTGGTCTGAACTTCAGATTTAAAATCAACAAGTTTATTAACTACAGTGATTGACACGCAAACATATTTATCAGGATGAAGAGGAAACGTACCTTCCCCTTGATGCTGAGTCCTCCGGTGTCATACACGATGCCTTTGCCCACCCACGCAATGGTTTGGGTTGCACCATCTGGTTTGTGGCTCAGCACTGCTAATGCAGGAGGATGCTCGGCCGCCTTGCCAACTCCATATATACCTGACAGAGTACAGAGAAAGAATAATCATGAATGTTTCCATTCTAGGATTTGTCGCTAGGATTTTTTGGGAAATACATGGCTATCGGAATAAAACGGTAAAAAAATATCTGTATCTAAATATTGGGTATTTAAGTCAATGGCCGTACAACTGACATTATCCGGTCAAAGTATCTACCGCCTCACCAGAAAATACCCATCTTAAGCAACAAGGCTAAATTAGCTGCACACTCTGCGCAGAAAATCTGAATTGGTTATTAAAAAGGTGAGTTGTCGATATAAACACACACATGAGGGAGACGTCTACAGAGAGAGAGTACCTCCAAATCCTTTCTGCTTCAGCTCCTCTCCACGAATGATCACTGGAGTTATTCCAAGTTCAGCTCCCACAGCTTTGATCTCCTGAAACAACAACAAAACGGCAAAGTAACTAGAACCATGCAACTGTAGTAGATTGAAAAACATTTACAAAAGAGGAATACTTTTACTTACATCGAGGAAGTGATCTGTATTCATCTCATTGCATGGCGTGTCCACAATCCGAGCTGCCATCCGCACTCCATGAGCAGCGTTGGAAAGACACTGAACAGAATAAAGTCTTCAGACACGGCAGACAGCGACTAACTCAAACCACAGATGCTTAAAAACATGCTGTTTCTAAGTAGTGTCTTCAAAGCCATGAAAATTTTTGTTTGGAAAAGTAAAAAAAAAAGGAAGACAAATAACTAAAAATTATAAAAATGCAGACCTCAAGTTCTGCAACACCAAGAGAACCGCTCTCTTGTCCGACAATCATGATCTCCACGGTGACGCGTTTCTTCTCCGCCCTGCGTGAAGACGTGGAGCGGCGAGAGAAGATGGGAAAAGCCCTGGCGATGGCACATGAGGATGAAAACACTTCTGAACGCTCGCACACCATCTGATGAAGAAAGAAACACTCAAATCAGCCACTTAGTCACACTAGATGCCCGTCCACTTGATGACCTAGATTTAAGTCCCATGGTACGCTAAGAAGGATTCATAGAAGTATTCCGATGTGTTCTGATGCCAAAAGTGCTCCTGAAGGAGGATTAACGAAATTTGACATCTATTGAATATTGCGTTGAAAGCAACAACCAAACTGAAGACACTGACCACAATGCAGCGGTTGTTCCCTCCAGGAAGGCAGGAACGGACCAGACGGGACACAAAGTGGGCAGAAGACTGGCTGTTGTGCCTGCTGACCCGTGAAGGAAGAGCAGCCACCACAGCCTGGTTGAGGTACAGGGGGCAGCTGTCCGTGGGGTTTGGATTCAAAGCGCTGAGAGCTGCCTGCCAGATCTGAGACAACATGAAACAACGATTAGCTATTAGAGCACTGCAACTGCAACTCTTTTGCTTATTGATTCGTTTGGAAAATGTGTACGGCATTTCTTTTAACCAATTTTCAATAAGTGGACTCTTTTGTATTTGAAGTCAACTTGTTAAAGCAAAGAATCACAATGCACAGCTACTGTAGCCAGAAGAACAATCATTCCGTATAATACTGTTGTTATTGTGTGTATGAAGTTAGGGAGCTGTCCCAACAACCAGCTTAAGTAAGGCAAAGACCTTTGACCATCGTGGAAGAATTAAATCACTACATGACTAGAAGAAAAATTATGTTGGTTAATCATTGTCAGAAGATGCTATAGAATGACAGGAAACGACTCCTTGACCTCCGACTCAAGTCTCTTATTATAGACCGTCTGTGCACAACCATCACTGAGGACTTTGCACGACCTAAAAACACCCCATTACATACTAGGAGAAAAAGAGTATTTGGGAATTGTTAAATGAACCTTATTAGGCCCGTCAGTTAGTCGATGGTAAGACTTTAAGTTACTCTAATGGCCCCAAAAAATGTAAAATTTTAACATCAACGGTCGCCAAATATAATTATTGTTAAGCTTAAATTGTGCCCTGAGAAGTCAATAAACTGCTATAGCGACAGAATCAAATAACGTAACGGTAGTAAAGTGTGGTTTTCGTATCCGTCAAACTAACGCTAGCGGTGTTAGCAACCACCTCGGGTTAGCATAGCGCTAAGGTTAGCTGTCACAAAACAATCATGTTGTAATTCACGATATTAACGTTAATTTTTACCTCTTTGGTAACCACCGGCTGCAGCTTCCCTTTGATTTGGCTCCATCCGACTTTCTGCAGGTTGGTCTGCTGTCCGATGATGAGAACAGGGCGACTCTGCGGCTCCGAGTCCCCGGCAGAAGCCGCGTACTCCAGCGACACGTTCGCCATCTTTGACTCTGGACAAACAGGAACTGCCGCCGAGCCTTCTGGGTTTTTCGCTGTCAATATTTTTGCTGATTATGGCAGCTTACTCTTTGGTAGATCTGTAATGCGTTGCCTTTCAAATGTGTTTTGTGTTAATGTGTTTTTTTTTCACATCACAAAGTTTGGCATAACATCTGCGTTACAATACAAGCAGTATGCCCGTGTATGGTTTCCGATAAACGGCTTCGACCAACCCTTGGAATCAGGGTTTGATTCCCGCTCTTGACACACAGTGAATGAGGCGAGTAAGTGACTGGGGTTACGTGAGTTAAACGCAGACAGATATTTATTTGTGTGTCAGTGAAGAACATTTCATTGTAAAGCAGTGCGGGATAAGCGGCTTTGCGCATGCGCGGTTCATTTTCAGTCTGGAGGCGGTGACGTGTGACGTTGTTGAGTCTCCTCTCCGCACTGACTGCAGCTGGCTCGAACCCGCGACGGCAACCGGGAGGGGGCAAAGCGGTTGATTTATTGTTGGAATGCATTAAGCATTCCAAGTATTGTTCTTCGAATCTTTATTCAACTTATTGTTGGAATGCATTAAGCATTCCAAGTATTGCTATGACTTTTCAGCTTTCTAGCTCTTAAGCTCTAATTTATATAAATCAATAATCATTAATATTTTAACGTTTAAACGAGATCGTTTTTCAAATCCTCTTAAACTTCTTCAACTTTCAGATTCTTCATCTTTGCCATCTTTCAGCTACAGACACCATTTCAACTTTAAAATGTTGACACAAGTCTCAACTATTTTATGAAAAAAACTGCTTGTTGATATCTATTCTACTTTTTTCATAATCACTGATTATGTTTCACTAGTTCTTCGCTCCGTTTCTGAGTTTTACATGAGTGTGTATTGCGTTTGTTAGAGTGAGAGCTGAAGGGCTAGAGTGTGGGGCAGCGTTAGAATCTGGTTAAAAAAATATGGAACTTCTGTCCTCAGAGCGAAAGTATACACTTTTGAGGCTTTATTTCTTTGGATTAATGATGGCATGGTTGTGTTGATTGGATGATCGTGGCTATGGAATTCCAGAGTTCTTTAGTTTTGGCCTCAGGAGACCAACAGTCACACAACCTCTGCCAAAAGCCCCATAGGCTCCAATACAAATCTGCCACCACCTCGTTGCGTTCGGTAGAGTCTTGGGTCTCTCACAAACTTCTTATTTTTTAGATAGCTGTTATAGTTTTGTGCTAGAGGACACTTGTTTGAGGTGTAGTTTCTTGGGAAAATCCGTTCTAATATCTGTAATTTCAGCAAATATATTAAAATTCCCTTCGACTTTCTGTAATTTGAGCAATTTTCTGAAGTTCAGCTTTCAGCATTCCAATGCGTTTTCAGCAGGAAATGCATTTTCTAGTTGGCATTAGGTAATCAGGAATCAGGAAACATTTATTTATTTATTTGCCAAAATATGTTTCTTCTTTCTTGCAAATATTAAAAACTCTACCCCAATAAAATAAAACAAAAAACTCACTCAATCTTTCTGACTTTGCACCTCACATGGATACAACTAGGTGACATTATTACTACAGCCATGGCTATCATAAATTTTCTTCCTTAACTCCCGATGTACATTAAACATGGCGAAGAGGGACAGGAGTGCCAAAGAATCAAGTATGAAATGCTCTGCTCATGTTGGATTTGTTGTAGACATAACTTGAATAAGTATAACTTGAATATAAATTCAGACTTTTCATTAAAGGAGAAGTACCAAATGTCATTCCTCTAGTTATTTTATTTTTCCTATTTGTATCTTGCAAATGTCATGGGGCAAATTCCTCAAAGTGGTTTCTCAGTTTACATGCCTTGTAAACTGGTTTGTTCTCTTACTTTTATGTCACCCGGTTAATGTCAACCTTAATGGCAGACACATCAATCATTAGTGACTCGATACCATTTGTCTTTTATTTATTTAACAAGACATGCACTTTGATTAAAACTATTACCTAATGCAGTCAGATATTCTCATCCCATCATAACAGAGCAACACAACTCTTTAGCCTGAAGCACAACTTGTGGAAAGTGAAAGTAGAATCCCTCACAATAATCAGACAAACTCAACTGTGAAGTTAACTGCTGCAATTTTTTTCAGGTATTTTAAAATAGTACAGCTACAGGACAGTCTTGTTCAGATGTCAGGTAACTGAGTGTAGTGCTGCTTCTGATAAAAATATTGCCTATGCAAATAAAATAGAAATAAATTACTAAATAAAATATTTTCATTGTAGTGATTTATTGGTTTTGTATCATATGAAGGCCATTTACAACTCAATAACATTGTTTTCAAGTTGGGAGTTACATCCTGAAATATTCAGAGGAAGGTTTGTTCACATGAAAAGCTGCAACAGAGCACTTCTAAAGACAAACAATATCTAAAAAAAGTCAATGAAAGTAGTTTTTTCCCAAATTACTTCCTCCGAGTGAAACAAGAACACTCAAACTGACTTAGATTTTAGCATTTATTGGTACGTTTAAAGTTAAAAGTTGTAAAATACACTTAAAAATTGTATATATATATATATATATATATATTTGCATAAAACTAAGAAGGACATCTTACCGTAAAATGTAAACTTTTCTCAAGAGTGCAAATAGCTTAAAGCCATTTTAAGATGATAGCAGGTATTACTCTTGAAAAATCAATTAACAAAAGGGGAAAATGTCAGTCTGTGTGTGAATACAATTTTCAGATTGTAAAAAGATAAACATTTAGTGCAAATCTCAATTCCTAAAAACACGATATTTAAAGCAAGAGATGCAGAAACCTCTTTGTACCATTGTGCTAATTCGTTGAAGTGAAAAACTGGTTAAAAAACACGTGAGCGTCTCAAGTTTGTCGTTTCTCAATCATAGAATGTCACAAGTTTACTAGACACACAATGCTTTCAGTTCATAGGGTTTCACATATATGGTTACAGGTATCAGATTTGAGGAGTTTGATGTTTCATTTCATTGCACACGGACAACATTACAGCAATTAAAAAAAGTAAAAAGTGGCACTGAAACAATGAATTTACTTGATCTACTGAAAATTAATTAACAATTTAATCATTTACATTTAACTAATTGATATTTCCTGGATTCACTTTCTTAACCATTTGCAGTTTAAATATCTTTGGTTTTAGACTGTGGTTCAGAAAAAACAAGAAATTGAAATACACTAGCTTGGGCTATTGAAACTTGTGCTGTGGTCTGAATGATTAAGATGAATAATAATCAGTCTATTAACACAAAATTAAACTTTAGTTTCAGATTCAGTGAAAAGATAAAGACTTTTTAAAGACTGTGCTTGGAAACTCTTCATAACAACATAAATATTCCATTTATTTGACCTTTCAGTTGTTTGTTTTATTCTCTGGCTCATATAACAGAAACATCATACGCTCTGTAATGTATTTGTCATGGAACATGTAGCTCAAAATGTACTTTTTATTGCACCCACAGTACAGTATGTGGTGACCTGAGGTTGATTCTCAATAATTTTGGATAATACACATAAAATGTTAGCTCCATTTTCATATATATACTAGACTCTGTAAACGGTATAACTACTGCTATGCACGTGCTTGTGACGTTACTGAACTGAAATGTGACACATTTTAAATGATGATCAGATTTTGAGTAATGAGGTTATTTATATCAGTGAACCGTCTGCTTCTTGACAGTATAGAAAAATAGTCTTATTAATTGCATATACGGTTTAAAGCACCCGTTCTCTTAAAACAACTGTGTTAAGAAGCGATTTCCATTACGCAAAATGCGGACACACGTATATGAAAAACAAACACTCGATCATCCGAGGGTTCATGCTCTTGCATCAGCTGGAGACAAACATGGATCATTTCAGGCTTTGTCGGTAAATGAGAAATCAAGCCAAAACACTGACAGTGGACAGGCTTCAAGTAGAGAGGCTTGTCTAGTGTGCGCATGTTCCAACTTCCTTTACAATGGTTAGCATAAATATGTGTGCTAAGCTCCACTCATCATGGAGAAGATAATCCAAGGGGCCTGTTAATATTAGTAGTGTGTAGGACTACATTTAAAAGAAGCAATCAATGCTACTGGGGCATGACCACATGGAGATGCATATGACACATGTTTAAATGTCACCACACGTGAGAGAAGAAGAAATGCATGACACACACATGTTCATGAACACTTGTATGCGTGGTTCTGTGTGGACACTTTGGGCTGCAATGGGATGAAATTTCACTCTGTCAAACACCCATGCGGGCAGCCCTTGAGTGCGGCACCTTGACTTAGGCGTGACAAAGGTTACCGCTGGACCCGCAGGGGGCTGCAATGCCGTACTTCTTCAGGATGGGGTTGAAGTGGGAGGCCGTAGCAGCGCCGGCCTCTCTGGGTGGGAAAGGCTTCATGGTGGAGAGGATCAGCGCCAGGCAGTCTGCCACTTTCTTGTTCGGGGCGCATGCCAGAGCCGGAGTGTGGCCTGCAGAGAACAGGGAAGAAGTGTCCTACAGTGCCCCTCAGGAACCGCTTTCGGCACTTTTGGTATTGTTTCATAAAAGTATGGTTATTCCAGCTTACCCTCCTCATCTACAGCCATGACTGCAGCTCCTCTGCTCAATAACACTTGCACTACAGTTGACAGGCCTTTTCTTGCTGCAATGTGAAGGGGCCTGCATGGCGGAGAAAGGTAGCTCTTTTATAACCCAGATATGAAAAAACAGTTTTATAGATAAAATATTATACAGTATTACTGGGGTCCATGGCAGGCTGTCGATACTCTAAATATGGTAAACATTCTCATCTACATCAAGACGCCATGTTAAGGTAGAAAACCTACTATTGACATTCTGTAATAACGTCATCATATAACGTCACATTCAACAGCATCATTACTATGCAATTCCTTTTTTAAATCAGTTTTCACTGGTTTGTATTCTTCATTAAGGGCATGGACAGCAAGCCCTTTTGAAAAACTCACATTTGGAGGGCGCTGTTGGTCGCATTTATGAGGGAGCAGTTGCTGATCTCGCCGAGGATCAACAAGGCACACATCTCATGACCCTGCAGAGAAAAACACATTATTATATTATTACTAAAGCACGTTTTTGCTAAAAGAAAACGTCCTGGTAATGTAATAAGTTGTGGCTGAAAATGTAATAAAATCTTTGCCCTAATTTGCTTTGCTTTTTAAAATGTAGACCATGAAATGTTGTGGCACAGCAATACTACTTTTCCTACAGTTCCGGCAGTTGCAGGGTTACATTAGGCAGTGTGAAATAAAAATTTGTTAGTTTTGAAAAGACAATAAATATATTTTGAAAGGTTAACACCGTAGCTGAGAGTTTATAAATGACTGTTAATATACATATGTAATTACTGTGCCACTTCATTGATAAAGTACATGCAATTGTGTATGATGTGTGACCTTGCTGCAGGCTATGTGAAGGGCAGTGTTATTATTGACATCCACCAGGGTCAGGTCAGGCTTCACTTTGTGGAGCAGGAACTCTAAAATGCAGAACATAAGACACCTTTCACAACACACAAGTACCTTCAGATTTCAACCATTATCAACTTTTAAGAGGTGCTAGAGGGAACTTATACAGTGTATTACAGGTTACCATTAAAAGTGGGGGATTGTTTAGTATCTCGTGCAGAAAACAAGTGGTTCCGACGTGTTTTAAGGTTTTCCCAGCTGTAGATAAGAATGACACATTTTAAAAGACACTGGCCACATGGATTTCAATCACATACCAACAGCCAGCGTCTGTCCACTGTCAGCAGCAACCATCAAAGCAGAGCATCCACAATGATCCACAGCATTGACTTGCGCTCCATGGGCCAGGACCAGCTGGAGCCCACGGACATTGCCTGAATAAGCAGCTGCATGCAGCGCTGTCCTGCACTCACACAACATACACATGGAAATGTAACTCAACTAACATCTTTCTGTAAGCTAGGAAATGTGTTTCCTTATTATTTCAAGGTACCAAAATGGGGTTTGGAGCAAATAAGTTATTAATACTATAAGTTACATGTCATACACTATAATTTTGTGGATCAAATTAACGGATATAAGATATTAAATTGGATATGTACAACCAATCATAATACATAGGTATGCGTATGCAGAGCAGAACCCACCTTCCTTTGGCATCACTAATGTTAACAAGTTTTGGACCCGCAGTCTTAACCAGAAGTCCAGCAGCAACATCATGTCCATTAACTCTGTAGAGGACAGAGGACATACAAAGAATTACATGTATTGTTTTCAATATATAATTAACAAATGTATGTATAGACTTGACAACAGTACTCACAGAGCACAGTGCAATGCAGTAAAGCGATTTCCCTCCTGGTTGCTAAAGGGTTTGTTTTCAAGTAAAATGTGTAAACATCCTTCATGCCCTAAATACACAGGACACAAATGCAAAAATTATTATTATTCAAATCTTTGATGCAATACAATGTCAACATGCAATTGATCAACAAGACAGGCATGTGTTTAATGTTACTACAATTAACTTTTAACTGGTTATGAAACAGATTCAATGTAATACTGATGCCTCCATACGGCCTACATGCAGCGGGAAGATCTGCCAGACCATGATGCAGTACCAACACGAGAGGTTTTCTAAAGGGCATCTGGGAGCTAAAAGAAAATCCATCATACATGTTTTTATCACTGTATAAGTATTATCTGCACTGAGGTCTCACCGTGGTGGGCGGCCCAGTGGGTGGGTGTGTAGCCGCTGAAGTCCAATATGGAGTCTAGAGGGTCAGCTTTCATAGCAGCCTTTAGCAAAGTTCCAAGTAGCTTTGTGTGCCCACGCGACGCTACGAGGTGCAGCGGGGTTCTTCCCCAAGAATCTCTACAAAGAGCTGAGGCCCCATGTTCCAATAGAGCAGATACACAGTGCTCACTGTCCAAAATACCCTGCAGCAGTAGGAAAAACATACAGACATTCAGATTCTATGAAAAGGGACATATTGTCTTTAACACTGAAGTGACCTTAAAAAGTCACATGGAACAAGTAGTTCCCTTACAGCTCGGTGTAGTGCAGTGAAGCCCTTTTTGTCAGCAGCATCTGCCTTTGCTCCTTTCTCCAACAGGATGTGGACACAGTCGGTGTGACGTCCCAGCGATGCCAGCATGAGAGCCGTCCTGCACTCGACAAAAACAAAACGGAGGAGGAACAGTTGACTAATTGGAAGACCAATAAAAAATCTTAATTGGTGTGATTCGCGGTGGGTTTGGAGACCGACAGGCATGTCTGCAGCTTCTAGGAAAAAAAAGTATACAATATAACTTTAGAATCCAATTACACCAAACAATGAAATATTCATAATTCATAGTCAAAAAAGACACAATTATGCTGTTCAGCACAATATGAAGGTAAAACTTCATGTGACTCACTGTCCCTGAGTGTCTGGACTGTCGATGATGTCAGAACTTTGTTCCCCACTGACCAATAACAGCAGGCAGTCGATTTGGCCCTCAGCAGCTGTACAGCAGGAAAACGGTAAAAGGAAAATTAAATAAAAAAATACCAGTTACATGGATGGTAAAGTGCTAAAATAATTTTAAAATGAAGAACTCTTCAACCATTAAACATTATGCTTCATTCTCAAGATCAATGTCAATCAAAAATACAGCGCACTAAACACATATTACATTACATGTCATTTAGCTGACGCTTTTATCCAAAGCGACGTACAATAAGTGCATTCAACCATAGGGTACAAACTCAGGAGAACAAGAAACAAGAAAGTGCAATTTCCTCAAATAAGCCAATTTACAATTTGCTATAGATGAGTGACGTTACAAGTACAACTTAAGTGCTACAATTTGTTAGTCTTTAGTCGAGGTAGAGTCTGAAGAGGTGTGTCTTTAGTTTGCGGCGGAAGATGTGAAGGCTCTCTGCGGTCCTGGTGTCTTCAGAGAGCTCGTTCCACCATTTCGGCGCAAGGACAGCGAAGAGTCGAGACCTAGTCGAGTGTTTTGCTCTCAGTGAGGGAGGGACGAGTAGTTTTGCAGATGCAGAGCGGAGAGTGCGGGTTGGGATGTAGGGTTTGACCATGTCCTGGATGTAAGCTGGACCCGATCCATTCACAGCATGGTACGTGAGCACCAATGTTTTGAACATATATATTGTTTCTTCAACGCACACCCACCTGCAGCATGGAGAGCCGTCCACTTGCGCTTTTGCTCTTTCAGCGTGTAGGAGGCATTGTGCTTCAGCAGCACCTCCACACAGGTGGCAAAACCTCTCTGGGCAGCCAGGTGGAGGGCGGTTCTGCCCTCAATATCCCGCACATCCAGACTCACTAGTGTCTCACAAAGCAAGCACAGTGCCTCACAGTGACCATAATAAGCCTGGAATAGCAGAATGAATAATCAAATGAACATGAGAGTCATAGGATTGTGAGAATGTGGTCTGCAAGTAAAAGGCAAGTCTTGAGTGTTATAATTGCCATCATGGGCTACTCACAGCTAAGTGCAAAGGACTGACTGGAATATTACTTTCCACCTCTTCAAGACAGTTGAACGAGATCTCGAGAAGCTGCAAGAGTGAAGAAAAAAGGGTAAAACCGGGCATTGTCCTGTAATTGATTTAAAAAGATCAAAAGATATCAAAATATACCACTGACCAGTTCCAGGTGCTGTTTGTTCCCGTAAGCTGCTGCGTAGTGGACAGCACTGTAACCCTTACTGTTCTTCAGAGTCGGGTTTGCTCCATTATCAAGTAAAAAGTCTAAACACCTGAATACACAAAGCACAAAATTTAGAATCTCGTCTGGGTTTTATTTTTTCTTCTACTAAGAAGAATCAATGATTGTCTTACAGTGAGGCTTCCTGTTGCTTTTCATCACAGTGATTGGGCTCAGAGTTTGTTTCCCTTCAGGGAAAAGGAAACAGTGAACACAACAAACATTGAAACAAACATGTAACATTTTCAGGATGTGTCAGAGTAAAATGAGCAAGAAACTAAAATGACAGTAAACTTGCTCGGTCTCTCGCTCTCTCTCACCCACAAAAGGTGTGTGAAGCAGCGGCGTAGTGCAGAGGGCTGCAGCCCGTCAGATCCAGCTCATTGACCTCGGCGCCGGCTCTCACCAGGGAGATTGTGCACTGGCTGTTCCCGTTAGCTGCAGCATAGTGCAAAGAGGATCTGCAAGGTGCAACAGCAAACAGCTGTGACATCGGATAACAGCAAAAAAGGGTTGAAGTCTTTTTCAAGGTATTCTGCACTTACCTTCCCAAATGATCTTTGGCATCCAGTTCCGAAGCGGCACTATTCAACAGCAGGTTGAGACAATCAACATTTCTGTCAGGAGAGGAAGTGATTAGTGTAGAAAAAACAACATTGGAACAAGTAATATTTTCAAAATGCTGGGGGAAATATTTATAATGTATCATTTATTGTTTAGAATAATTCCCAAAAATGATGATTTATAGAACTGATTTTATGACAACCAAAACAGTGTGTGTGTGTTTACCCTCCAGAGGCAGCTGCATGCAGACAGGTCCTCCCCTGGTCGTCTAAAATGTTTATATCATCCCCAGCTGATGGAAGCCGAGACGGCATGACGTAAAACTGGCCTAAACACACACAACAAACCACAACGCTTTGTTAAGTGAAAATATCTTAAGTTGGTCATTTATTCAAATTTAATCCAATGGACAAAGACAAATTGAGGGCCACAGTGAGATGCCTCAAACAGACACTTACCATTGGATAGTAACTTCCGACAACAGTCTGGAAATCCGTGGAGTGCCGCCAAATGCAGTGGAAGCATCCCATGAATGCCCTGTCTTTAGAGATCATTACAAAGATCATTTAGTGTGTGACGAGGTGGAAATCGTTTTTGCATGAAATTGCAATATTTGGATGTTCATATTTTGTCAAGAGGAAGCAGAATATTACAAGACCATAAATAGGAATGGAGTCTGCCTGTAGGAGTAATGATGGTATTCTCTTGCGAAGCGTCTGAAAAAGGTTTGGCCGGTCTTACCTGTTCTTATCAGCACCGTTAGTCAGCAGAGTGCTGATCAGCAACTCTTGACCGTATCTGGCCGCAACATGAAGAGGAGTGTTTCCAAACATATCAGCACAGTCAATCTCAACCCCTGTGTCCAAAGGGAGAAGAGACAAGATGTGAATTGAGGATGTGCTCTGATAGCTTTGGGGTATAGTCAGAATATACTGGGAGGACACAATGTCACTATTTCAGAATCAATCACATCTTACAAGACGATGACGGGGATAGTGTAAATACGCTACCATTTTGGATAAGAATCTGTGAGCCTGTGAAGCGCCCGTACATAGCAGCAATATGCAGAGGGCTCTTCCCTTCTTTATTCTGTTAAATAGAGAAAAAAGCAAAAACCCATTTTGATAAAATAATGACCGTAATTATGATAAATCAGTGCATTCATTATTGTTGGGTCTTTACAAATCCACTCAATAAAAGCAAGCTTTTTACCTGAACATTGATATCGGCACCGTTGTTGATGAGCAGCTCGAGACACAGCACCCCGCTGGAGGAGGCGGCCGACAGGTGCAGTGGCATGCTGCCGTGGCAATTGGGCTGATTGATGTTGGCACCACAGTTCACCAGCTCGGTGGCCACAGCATCCTGCCCCGTGTGACAGGCCATGTGCAGCGCTGTGTTCCCAAAAATGTTAGGTTCGTCAATCTGAGGGACGGAGGAGGAAAACAATCGATGAGCATACGCTGAAGTTTATTATATAGAATTTGGGTCTGGTTGGAAATCTGTTGCGTGTCCAAAGGGAGATTTGTAAACTTCAATTTGCTGCAGTAGTGACCAGATGTTGGTAACATCGCCCGAAAGCGAATTACTGATGAGGCTGCAAAATGATTAGTGGCATGATCCAGGATCAACATGAAAACAAGTCTCTGCAGGACACCATGTTATGTAGACTGAATCTCATATCAAACCACGTATAACTACAGACGGCTGTGTTTTTGTAATTAAGAAGGATGTTTCTTTACAATTGTATACAGATAATCTCGAAACCCCTTGCAGCAGAACAAACATTACAGAAAAGACATGACAGCCGTAATCATTTATTAGGATGTAATATTGCTCCGAAATGGTGGAACGAGCTCTCTGATGACACCAGGACAGCAGAGAGCCGTCACATCTTCCGCCGCAAGACACCTCTTCAGACTCTACCTCGACTAAAAGACTAACAAATTGTAGCACTTAACTTGTACTTATAATGCCACTTATCTAAAGCAAATTGTAAATTGGCTTATTTGAGGGAATTGCACTTTCTTGTTTCTTGCTCTTCTGAGTTTGTATCCCTTATTGTAAGTCGCTTTCGATAAAAACGTCAGCTACATGACATGTAATGTAATATAGTGATGTGACTCAGCTCCTTTACCTCGACCATCAGTCTCAAGAGATATTTGACCACCTCCAACTGTCCACTGACTGCTGCAGCATGGAGCGGAGTGTAGCCACGTTTGTCTTTGCACATCACGTCGGCACCGTGTGACACGAGCAGCTTCAGAACCTCCACATGTCCTGAAAGAAGAGCTTAACATTTACTCCAAGTCCCTGCCATGGAAGTACATCAGAGCACACCAAACTCTCTGTAGGCGGGTTCGCAGACAGTTAGTGTACACAGAAATTGTTATTCAACAGATTGACGTTGTTAAGACTGACCTTTTCTTGTCAATGTTGATACCAACTTAAATAGTTCGCAGAAATGTAAAGGCTTAATGTCAAAAAATGCTGTATGTTTAAATTTTAGAGCTGCAACGACTAATTAAATAGTTGCCAACCATTACAGTACCAATTCAGAGATTTAATTAATTGGAGTATTTCAAAATAATACAATTTTCTTATTTTAGTTTTTTCAATTCGAGTACTTGCTGGTTTCTTTACTCCTCTGCAGCGTAAAAAACATGTTTAGTTGTGGGGGGAAAACTCAGGTCAACATTTTATAGACCAAAGAACTCATCCATCTTCAAACAGCTTATCCTGCACACAGGGTCGCGGGGGTGTTGGATAATTACTTTGGACCAGAGACAGGGTTGGATTGGTTGCCAGCCAATCGCAGGGCTAACACAGAGACACATCCACACACCTACGGGCAATATAGAGTCACCAATCAACCTGATCCCCAGTGCATGTCTTTAGACTGTGGGAGGAAGCCGGAGTACCCGGGGAGAACATGCAGACTCCACACAGAAATGCCACTGGGTGGAGTCGAACCCAGGACCTTCTTGCTGTGAAGCGACGGTGCTAACTACCACACCACCGTGCCAGCCAAATCGATGAAATCTATACACTACCGGTAATCAAAAATAGAAATAATCGTTGGTTGTAGCCCTCGGTTTGTAAATCGGGATTAATATTATGTATCAGAATTTAAATTGGTGAAAATTATATCAGACAGCAATAACATTCCCCGTGAACACAAATCAATATTTTATTTTTGTTTGTCCGGGAATTAACATTTTATTTGACGTGTTTTCTGGAAAAAAAAAAATAATTTTGACAACATTATCCTATGAATGTATTAAAATGGTATGTCATATAGTTATTAAATAAAAGGCAAAAACCTCTGACGTAGTAGTTTGTAGTTTATTTTTGTATGCTAATTAAGAGATATTTATTTTCTTACAGTCACACAATCAAATTTTTTTATTCTGGGTAAAAAGTAATAGAACATTTTTGTTTCTCAAAATGATGGCGCGACTCACCCAGGTATGCAGCCCAGTGGATTGCCTGCCTTTCGTTCTCATCTTTGGCATTCACATTGGCACCTTTGCTGAGGAGCAAGTGTACCATCTGTAAAAATAATTAGTAGGTCAACCAGTGTGTCTATCAGCTAATTTCATTTCTATCAATAACAATAATAGACATTTTGGCTTGAAAACAAAGTGACAAAAACAGGTCTGTAGTTATAGTTTCGCTCCACAAAACAGTAAACCGGGGCGACTGTGGGTGAGTGGGGAGCACGGTCATCCTCCAATCAGAGGGTTGTGGGTTCGATCCCAGGCCCGGCTAACCCGCATGTCGTTGTGTCCTTGGGCAAGACACTTAACCCAACATTGCTCCTGTAGCTGCGACTACAGTGTATGAATGGTAGTTACTGATGGCAGGTGTCACTGTGTATGGTTCTCCTGTCATCAGTGTATGAATGGGTGTGAATGGGTGAATGATGTCATGTAGTGTTAAAGCGCTTTGAGTGGTCGGAAGACTAGAAAAGCGCTATACAAGTACAGTCCATTTACCATTTTAAATATTGTGTGAAAGTTTGTTAATATGTTATTAGGCAAAGGCCTTTTTCCACAATGCTGCAAAATCTGGAAAAAACAAGTTAACTTCCCTCGGACATCATTCACCTCCCTGAAGCAAATCTTCAAAACCATTAATGATTTTACCTCTCCGTAACCGCTGTGTGCTGCATGATGCAGTGGTGTCCTCCCTGACTTGTCAGCAACATCCAGACTGCACACGTGTGGTATCAGAGCTTTAGCGCAGCCTGTGGCCCACTTTGCAGCTGCCATGTGTAAAGGTGTATGCCTGTACTTGTCCTGTGTGTTGACCTTTGCTCTGTGCAATAGTAGAAGCTCAACGGCTTTCTGAGGGAAAAATATAAAATTCAAAAATTCAAAGACTCAAAAATGTACAATCTGGTTAAGTCCTTTCACTAACTGGGTTTTGAGGTCGTAGCATACTTCATTGCGAGAGGCAGCTGCTCGATGTAAAGGAGTCAGCAAACTCTGGTCCTTGGCGTTGACAGTCGCACCTGCAGAGCGAAAGCAGAGCGAATTATTCATTTTTGAGTGTTCGGGTAACATTCAGTTTTTCTGCATTTGATTGACTCTGTTATGATTACCAGTGAGGCTGGTTTCAACAAAAACACTCAGGTGTATGTAGTTGATAAGCTTTACACTTAATTTGACATATTTTCAAAAGTTAAATAAATGTGGTTTTCTACCTGAAGTAATAAGCAGGTCCATAGTGTGAACATCACCCAAATAAGCAGCAGCATGAAGTGGCGTGCTTTGGTCTTGGTCCTGAGAGGAAAGAAAAACAAATGTTCCTTTATTGTATCATTTTAATATTGCACTACATTCAAGATGTTTTTGTGACATCGCCAGATCGCAGCTAATGCGCAATTGCAACCTTTTTTGCTTCATTAATGAGCAGTAACCGAAAAGCATGGAATTACAGAGAAGCTGTGCCGAAGGCCCAGGAAGCCTAGTGATCAGTCTACATCAGAGATGCACAGCGGAACCATTTGCACAAGCTCAATAAACATCAGAAAATAAACTGCATGCAAATTTGATACCAGAACTTTCAAAAACTCCAAAACGTTACGGGGGAGGGGTGTGTGTGTGGGGGGGGGGGTGGTGTAATCTTACCAGTGAATTGACATCTTCATTAGAGTTTAACAAAAATGTCACTTCTTCTGCATTTCGACTGAATATAGCCTGGACCAATGGAGACTGAAAGAGAGGTGGGACAAGCAAAACAGACATGTTTGCACAATGAATTATTAAAGTCTCATCAAACTGAACAGCCTTCAGTAGCAAACATGTTAAAGCCCACTGGGGTCATAAATACATTCATGCCTTAAACTGGGATCCAGAAATAAATTGTTACATGCCAATGTAAAGGGTGTAAGGGAAATATATCTGATAACTTCATAATGTTAACTTCCCCGTTGTTTGATCGTGCTGAATATGATCACGTTACCTTTGACTGCAGGAATCCTGGCCGGGTCACCTAAAATTAAGGATTATTCAACGACTTTCAGAAGACATGCAAATTACAAACGGAAGAAGCAACTCAAGAGAAAACATCTTTCTATCTGGGTGCACATTCAACCTGATACGTATCCTGTGCACCTCTGAGCAGCACTCATGTGACGATTTGTCTCGTTCCTCTGACATTGAGGAACGAGACGAATGTGACAAAATGACGACATTTCTTCTCTGTGCATTTGGAGGAAAATGGTCAATTATACCATATTGTCTTTTGAAATATGTTTTGATTGTAATGATCCAATCTGCTTCAGCAAAGATAAGGACACCATGTACATCTTAGACCATTTTTGTTAAATGAACATGTATTTGACTAAAGAACGTTACTTGTTTGAATCATGCACATAGCCTTCACTTTTTACGCATATATAGACAATGGTTTAACGACCAGGCAAGACCTGTCTTTCACATTTAACGTTAAGCATACGAATAAGATCCATGTAACGATCAAAAAGTTTGGACGTCATGTACCAGGGATCCCGATGACTCCGACGAGACGAACGCTTGGTGAATTACAAAAACGAAACACCGAACGTGAAAGTAAACTCCTACTCTAGCGTGGCTAATTTCCAACATCAACGTTAGCCTCGTAGCAAAGTTTGCTCGACATGTCACTAAACACGATCAGCCGGTTGTTTGCAGTATTAAAAAGTACAGTGAGTTCAAACGTGAAGTTTTATTTACTACCTGGTCCTTCATTTTCCTTAACTCCATGTCCCAATCACTCTGGAAGCTCCCTTATTGAAACTGAGTATAAAGTTGACTACATGTCACCCTGTAGCAGCTAGTTAGCCTAGCGTTAGCTTAGTTAGCTCCTGATATGTGATGTCTAGTCACCATACGCCACAGCAGGCGGAATATCGCGAGGGACGTTAAAGAAACGTGATTTGGACTCATTTTACGTTTCCAAATATTTGCATGGGTTTAGGTTGTAATATGTTTATTAGATAAATACATCCAGATAATACTTTATTGTGAACCTAATGACATGCCATGAGATGTTACATGCCTTGTATTAATTTAAAAAGTTTGACCCGTCTTCCATCGGACAGGTTTTGGGCATGGCAAACGGAATTAACCTAAATTAATGATATGGTTAGAGGCAGTGGTTGAATGTACCGCTACCTCAGCTGGTATACATTATTTAACTGGACATAGTACTATTAGTATCTTCATCGTCATCATTTGAGAGCAAGTTAGTCAGCACTGCCTGACAGACTAAACGTAGGGAAAATCGCTACTGCTGAAATATCATTGACCAATCAGAAGAGCTGTATTACAGCACATGCGCAAAAACTGAGCATGATACGACTTTGCCAGGATTTAGCTTGACAATGTGTTACTTAGCTGACGTTACACACATGGTGGTAAATTAAAAGTAGTTGTAGGCGTCAAAACAAACCCCTTTTGTTAACTATAACCAGGTAAGAGCATTTCCATACTTTGATAAGGGCAACATTAGCTGTTAGCTAACATATCATGGAAACTTGTTAGCTCGATCAGTAGCAGTAAATCGTCCGTGTGGCTGGTGGCGCAGCCGGGTTCGTATGATCGAGTTGTTTGGCAGGTGATGGAGGCTGCGCTGTGTAACATATCTACTGTGTTGAGTAGCGGACAGGTTTGTTTTATTCTAAAGCGAGTTTGTTCAACTGCAGCCACACCACCATTTAATTGACGTCAGCTATCAGGACGAGAGGTCAAACCTTCCACGTTGTGTTCCGCTCCTGACTGGCGTTACCAAGTTTGTTTAATTAACTTGCACTATTTCAGTTTTATGAATTGCACTGAGGTTTCGATTCAAATTCTGGGCAGAATTTGAATTTTTTTCACGTGTATTTAGGACGACTTCTCACGCACCTTGACTTTTAACAGGTAAACCGTCATCTGTGCGTGGAGTCCCCTTATAAATGAAACCACTGTCATCAAATACGCCTCTTGTCAGCGGGAAAGGAAAGTTGGTGTCGCATAAAACGTGATTTGGTTGGCCTCAAAATGGATGTTAAAATATCAACATCCATTTTTATTTTACACCATTTCAAGCCTCAATATGGCTCGTGATCGGCATTTAAACATTTTAAACTGGCTCGTGAGCACGTGTAGGGTTTAATGTTTAATTGGTTAGTTCTGTGTTTATGTTCTTGATGGGCCAGTTCCTGGATGATTCCAGTCTTTGCCTATCTGATTTCCTGGTTGGACAGGTCTAGTTATGCCTGTTCTTTCAACATATCAGCTCACTGTTTATTGTTGACTTGGACCTGGAGCCCCTTATGTTGACGCTTCTGAGTCCTCGTTTGAAAACCCTAGGTGTATATTTACTAAGTTGTCACACGATTAAATTCAGTTTTCTTTTCTTTTCTCTATGGTGTTGATTTTGTGTGTGTGTGTGTGTGTGTATAAAAGCTTTCAAGGGCCCTAATTTGAGGCGTGCAACATTATAGATAATTTGCCAGTTTGGGAGTTGTCTGTAGATTTAGTGATTATTACAGCTGTTCAGTGCAGATTGCGGCTCAATGGTGTTCCATGAGGTCCAGGCTTTGGAGTAAGTCCGAGGAATAGATGAAGAAGTCAAGTTGTTTCTTACTGGCGTGGTCAATCCGACTTTACGACATTTGGTAAAGTCCAAATGAATCACACAGTTGATGAAATATCTTGTAATGCCCAGACTTCCTACACTTTTGCCAAATTCTTTCTGCTGGGAAACCTTGTCCTAATATCTTATCACGCACATGGTCGCCCATAGAGTTCAACACGATTAGTGCCGACACATTTAAAAATGCAGTTGGATAATCAAGGACAGAAATTCACGCAACGTGAGGACCAGTTCCAGTTAAAAAGCAGTGTATCCGATAATGAATGCACAATAGTGGACGAAATATAAAAAAAGAGAATAATTGTTCCTCTTTTGATACAACTTTTTAGTATAGTGAGGTGGCAGTTGAGGTTTAGTAGTTCCGTGTTACGCTTACAACATTGTGTACATAAAACCAGAGTCTGTGTGGAGACCGTAGTAGTTCTCAACAAAAAGTGAAACTAGTCTGCAATAAGATTATTGAGATACAAATTATATATAAATATGTCTTAGTGGATCAAAGGGAAAACCGGATTAACTTGAATGATTCTTTAACCACATGCGAAAAAAGCAGTCAACTGAAAAGCAGAGTAAAAACCTGCACATTGATATTTGTAGTCTTCATGTCTTTTTTGGAAGACATTCATTTGGCACTGTGAGGCATATCTTGTATCAGCATAATCAAAGGGAGATGACGTCCCCCTCTCGCCCAAAAGAATATAATTATAGTTTCATACCAGGTTAGGGAGAGATTACTATGAGAACCTGCGATCCACTGGCCTCGCAGGAAATACTTCTTTATTTACTTTCACAGGAAAGTACTTCTTTATGTGTGTTAAGGCTGACTGAACCAGCTGTTATTAGAGGGTGTGTTTAACCGGGATGAAACGGAGTAATTAAGTCTATCGTGGCGCGTGAGACGCATGGTTATTGAGAGATTAAGGACAGTTGTTCGGACTGGATTCATTTTGAGGAAAAGGATTGGAGTGAACTGATGAACCTGAACTTCATCCTCATGTGTGCCTGTTAAAATCTCACAGTATTAAAGTTAGTTTGGGATGGCAGCTGGTTTGTTATTGTTAAGGGAAACCAAAGTGTCCTGCCGACAAGTGATATAGAACAGGCATGCCCAGTGTTTGAGCTGTAACAAAGATAACACTGACTTACTTAGCCTGTATATTTCTGCCTAAACCTTAAAGATGGCGCATGGACAGTTTAATGAGATGTAAAAATGTATATGGTTATGGTTAAGTACTCCTACAGCTCAATGTAATAGCTTTTTTTGATAATCTTAATCTTTTCGTCATATTCTTGCCTTGTAGAAAAGATCATCCTTCTCACATGACGTTTTGTGGTGTTTGTGAACCATGAAATTACCAACGTTTTGCTCGTAACAAAAATTGCTCAAAATGAAATCTTGTTAAACCAATTCTTGCTACTTTCTTGCACTTTGATAATGCCAGTTACTGCAAGCGCATGTTCATTTGTGCAGTAAATGAAGTGTCACACCGCTGGAACCTTTGACTGTTGGGAAAGCTGCTCCGTCTGCCGCCTCAGCTCGTCCTTGGCCTCACATGAGCCGTAGTCATGTGCTCTCCGAGGGGCTGCGCTCTGTCTCACATGACACCGGGTAGTAAAACACAATTGTCTGGCTGGACTTTGCTTCATCTTTCGCGTGGCAAATTCAAGAAGTACACTGTTATTCTCGGAAGGATGTATGTGGGCAAACTGAAACCCTGCAGTCATTGTTTCCTGTTTTGTTACTCTTTTGGCATTTCACGTTATTAATGTTGCTTAGTCATTTTTATGACTCGTGAATTTCCTGTTTGTTTGGGGGAAAGGACGACCAAGTTTTGCACAGTCATGACTTTTGTAAGTTGCTTATTGTGGAACATTTTTAATGTTCGTTTCTTTAGTATTTTCTTTGCCCCAAATTGTGTCGGTCTCCGAAATCAAAGTGTCACCAGATAATTACTGTTTTACCCTCAACATGTTTCATGGTAAATTCGGATCATGTAACTGCTGTTATTCCAGGCAAGCTGAAATTTATCCCTCAAGTTCCCAGCGATCCCTCAGCCTGCCCGGATGAAGGCCGAGCCAGAAGGAGACCTCCTCGAAGGTAACTGATAAGATGACAGAATCCTCTCATTACTGTGCTTCTTTTTCAAAGGATATTATACACATTCTGTGTCACTGCGCATGGGAACAGTTTAAAAGCAACATTACACATACATTTTCTCTGAATACATGTAACTGCAGCACTGTCATTTAACTAAAATTCATACTCTGCCAACATACTCTACAACAAAAGAATGAATAATTTTGTTCCCTGGAATCATTTGAGAAGGATATTATTAATAGTATTATTTGCTTCACTTGTGAACTATTACGATTTGTGTGAGACAATGTAAGGGAAAAGGTAAAAGCCTCAAAAGGTCACTACATATTATTTTTACTAAAGGTTGTGTTTTATTCACTGCATCCTGAGCACCAGGTTTTGCTGTGTGTGTGTTTTTGCTTCCCTATCTTTGCGGTTTCTGCTTAGAAGCTTTATGCCGGGTTGTGGTTTTGACAATGACTAAAAGAGGGTTGATTAAGCCTGGGTCATATAAAAGCAGAGGCACTTTTTAGAAAAGTGGACTTTGGGACCAGCAGTAAGTTGGAAATGAAGGAAGGGAAGAATGAAAAGTCTAAACTCCGTGAGTAGTACACATTGTTTACCGGTATAATTAATAATTTATGTTGATGCTCTTTTGTGTATATAATCCTTTTAATTTCACTGTTCTCATAAAAGGTGATTTTAGTTTAATTGAGTGGACCTAAATTGCTTATGTAGCAGGTTGAGTTGCTTTTAACGTAACCGGGTTAAGCTGTTAATCTTTTCACATTGGTTGCTTCTGGTCATTTAACTGCCACAAATGACTTAATCTCGTGTACAGTTCCTGTGCAGTCACGTTTTAGAGACTGATTTAAACTTTTCCTAGATTAAATAATTAATAAAACTGTTTAATGCTTTGCAAATTTATGAGAAAAGCTTGAAATGTCTGTTTTGTTTTCAAATGGCGGAGTTGTTATTTCTTATGTATCTCGCCGTAATATAAACTAAGATTACTAATTTTCCATGGTCAACTGAACATTGTTGCAGTGCCACATCCGCAAATATGAGCAATAAACAGATCAGTAAAAGGTTATCATAACTAATCAATAAATTGGAATGACAAATGTATTCTGTAATGTCCTGATTCCTCTGAGCTGCTGAGAGACCGTATTTCTCAGAATCAGATGGGAATGCTTTGTGTTGCAGCAATGCACAACCTTTCCTCTCTTATGACTGATATCAGTTTTTCTTCTCTGTGGTTTTGTTAGAGGACTCTGCTCCGGAGAATGGAGTCGAGACAAACCAGTACAGCTCCGTCTCTCCTCCTGCTTCACCAGTGGCCCAGGACGAACCCTTCTCCACGTACTTTGAAGACAAGGTGGCCATTCCTGACAATGTCAGCCAGGTACGGTCTCACATCCGCCGCTTCAGCTAAACTGGGGTGAAATATCTGTTCACATGTTATCGTATAAGTATAGCTCTGATTGTTAATTTGAACAAGCAAGTGTGATGATTTCACCCATTGGCGTTTATTAGCTTTGTTTGGGAAGCAAAACTCATTTTTATTTTATTCAAAATTGATAATGCTGTCTCTCTACTCAGGTGTTCAGCTTCCGTAAACTCTGGGCGTTCACTGGACCAGGTTTTTTGATGAGCATTGCTTACTTGGATCCAGGGAACATCGAGTCTGATCTGCAGTCTGGAGCTAAAGCTGGCTTTAAGGTGACAACTAGAGAAATAGAGCTGGCTCCCTTTTTTGGTAGTGACACAAACTATCAAAAAAAATTCTCTCAGCATCCTACGTACTACGAGTGTGTGTTATTCCGAGACAACTATTTTTGGTGTATTATTAAAGGAAATACCAGTTTCAAATGTCAGCTTTATAGCATGACCGAGATCAAAATGTATTCAGTGCACCCATTTGACTTTTGTCTGCTGAGCTAATGTGGAAGGTGACAAATCTGACTAATGTCTCTCTTTCTGTCTCAGCTCCTGTGGATTCTCCTCGGAGCCACCATCATCGGGCTGCTGTTGCAGAGGTTAGCTGCACGCCTCGGGGTCGTCACTGGGATGCACCTGGCCGAAGTCTGCAACCGCCAATATCCAACAGTGAGCTTTCCCAATTCTCATCACTTATCTTTTCTTTTGTTTTCTTGTTGTACATTAACTTTTTTTTCATGCGTTGGACTCTAAATGTGAAATAAGAGCAAGGATTGGATCGGCCCGTTCTTGGTATTATGTGGCAGGATGAGATGCCAACATAAAGGACGCATCAGATCTAGAAGATTCAACTGTGCTCACTAATTCAATCAGCTGCTGCCTGATCGCATTGTCAATCATTCTTTCTTATTTTTCAGGTTCCTCGGATCATTCTCTGGCTGATGGTTGAGCTGGCGATCATTGGCTCTGACATGCAGGAGGTTATTGGCTGTGCCATAGCGCTCAACCTTCTGTCTATGGGCGGGTAACTTCTTCACTGCTTGTCCATTAAAAGTGACTGTGAACATTTTGAGAGATTGTAAGAGTGTATTTCTTTCATGATGAGAAGTCACTGTAGTTCCGCTCTTTGTCTTTCAGTATTCCACTTTGGGGAGGAGTCCTCATAACCATCACAGACACATTTGTGTTCCTCTTTCTAGACAAATACGGTATGGATCCACCATCTTTTACCCGTCAATCACTGTCTATGAAAGCTGTGCATCCCAGTGTTGATACAGTTTTTCACCCCCCTTGCAGGCCTAAGGAAACTTGAAGCTTTCTTTGGTTTTCTTATCACCATAATGGCACTCAGCTTTGGTTACGAGGTAATAGTCCCTCACAAATTCCAATATAATTCATGATAAGTGCTTGTGGACAACTGATAAGCTGTCACCATGACTTGTAATGACTGATGTTTTGTCCTCAGTATGTGCTGGTCAGGCCAAACCAAGGGGAGCTGCTGAAGGGGATGTTCGTACCTTACTGTGCCGACTGTGGGCCCGTGCAGCTGGAGCAGGCCGTGGGAATCGTGGGAGCCGTCATCATGCCCCACAACATCTACTTGCACTCAGCGCTGGTCAAGGTGAGAGGGATATTTGTTTTCATCCAATGAAGCAAGAATTTGTGCAAGAAATAATTTGACACCTTGATTAATACATGTTACCGAAGAGTTATTTTTATCAACAACATGGAACATAATTGTTACAAAACTGTTCACATAGTTAGAACTTGTCTCAGGAAGCGGGTGTTTTGATAAGCTGTCTCATGCGTGTTTCTTAGAGAATTTTGGAGTATATCTGTTAGTGTCTGACATGCCAAATAAATTATACCATATAATCAGTAATTGCCACTTTTAAAACATTAATGCATACTTTGGGTGTTTAATTGAAAGTTGACTGTCCTTTTGTTTTTTCCTACCAGTCTCGGGACATTGATCGCAAAAATAAGAATGAAGTAAAGGAAGCTAACAAGTACTACTTCATCGAGTCATCTGTTGCTCTCTTCATCTCGTTTCTCATCAACGTCTTTGTCGTAGCAGTCTTTGCTCAGGCCTTCTTCAATAAAACCAATATTGAAATGGTTGGTAACCAGTATTAATCATCTTTTTCTCTTTACTGCTGATGCTAAAACAGTGTGATTATTTATTTCTGATAAGTACTCTTGACACAAAGTGTGGCAAGCTGTGGCTTAACGTATGTTTGTATTTGTGCTTGCAGCATATGCATTGCAACGCAACCGACAGCCCATACGCAAATGTCTTCCCTCTCAACAACCACACACTCGAGGTGGACATCTACAAAGGGGTATGTTTCATCCTTCCAACAGCAACAACAATAAATCCTGACTTTGCGTTTTTCCGTACCATCCATCCATCCATCCATCCATCATCAAACCGCTTATCCTGCACACAGGGTCGCGGGGGGGCTGGAGTCCATCCCAGCCAACTTCGGGCGATAGACAGGGTTTTTCCATACCTATACTTGATATTTTAAGTGCATGTGCGCAATCGCACCGACAAGTATGGGAAACTGTAATGCGTTATGAGTACCCGCGAGTGGCCCTGTCGTGATATGCAATAAATTGCCATATCGCACAATATAGGAAAATCGGTGTGATAATTTATGGTGGTGCAATATTCATTTTGCATATGAATGAACGTCACCAACATTTTAGTCAATCGCGCTTCCCTCTTGTCTGCTTTCATTTTCGGATGCGGAGCTTGGGCAGCGTCTCCACGCGCAGAGTGGACACTGTTTATGAAGTGATGAAGTGTTATTTTTCGTGACATCTACAGACAATTAGGATTGGACTTTGTTACGAAGCCAGAATCTTCATCTATTTTTTTTTTTTTTTTTTTTGGGGCTTTAAGCTGAATGAGAGAGGAGAGCCAATAAAGTGAACGAGCCATAATGTCGACTTTGTTTAAAAACAGTGGCAACGGAAACGGGTCTAACGGAAACAGAACTAAGCTAAAATATCACCTAAAGACAACAACAACCATCCGCCCGGTCTTTCCACCTGAACTACTGTCGTTTCCTCCGGACTGCCGCGTTCCTCTTTGGCCGGCCGATTGGTAGCGGGACCGAGCCGTCCGGTCTCTCCAAGCAGCGCGGAGCCCTGCCAGTGGTTGAAGCCCCCCAGCTGCCGCGGCGCTTTTGCGCTGGACACATTTTCTCGAACCCTAGGATATATTTTTTCACATTCCGTTTCTAATGTCTAACCTGACGAATAAAACATTCTATGTTCTTTGAAAGAGCGTACTTGTAATACGATGTGATTATATTGTCATTATGTTATCAGGGCATAAAATGGTCGGAAAATAGCAATAATATCGCGTATCGCAATAAATTTGATATCATGACAGTCCTACCCTTGAGTACATAATGTACACGCCTTGTACACTACATGGACGTGTACAATCGGAAGTATCCAAATTCAGATATAGTACATTTGTATAGTGTGTATATAGTACAACATCTGTACTATTTATATCATAGGGACATAGAAAAGGAACACGGCACATTTACTTGTATACCTATTTATGACAGACATTCATGCTGTGTCCCTGTTCCATACCACAAACTCATCGTACTAATTGTAGAGTTTATATTGTATACTAGTCTGTATATTGTGTTTTCTTAGGATGAGCTAAATCGACCCACTCAAGTATTTAGAAACAAGATACCATTCGTTTAGTACACGTTTGCTATTAATTGATCATACAGGTGCCGCTAATAACATAAAGGATTATGTCTTGTTATTTGATGCCTCTGTTAACCCTGCTTACACAATATCAGGACACTGGAGGAGCGTCACATCAAGGCATGATGCAAGATGCAAAACCAATCCTCTCTGTCCTTTAATCAGGCAGATGAATTGAACACCTCCATGAATGGCTCATTGTTAATTGGGGCTCATTGCCACAACATACGAGTTAAAAAGAAAATGTAAATTCAAGGAACCAAGTCCCTGACTTTTAAGTGATGATAGATGTATGGTTGATCATTTCTTTCCCTGTGTGTGTATATCTGTGTGTTCAGGGAGTGGTCCTGGGCTGTTTCTTTGGCCCTGCAGCCCTTTACATCTGGGCGGTGGGGATCCTGGCAGCTGGACAGAGTTCTACCATGACCGGCACTTACTCTGGGCAGTTTGTCATGGAGGTCAGTAGGTCTGTTGGTTATATCGCAGAAAATGGGTTTAAAAAAGTCTGTATTCTCATGTTCTTGTGTTTTGTTTACAAAGGGTTTCCTAAACCTTCGGTGGTCCCGTTTTGCACGTGTGCTGCTGACCCGCTCCATCGCCATCACACCTACACTCCTGGTAGCCATTTTTCAAGACGTTGAGCATCTGACCGGGATGAACGACTTCCTCAACGTGCTTCAAAGCATGCAGGTTAGGAGGAATAACTTAAAAACACCCTCACTATTCATTAATTTTATATCAAAATCCTCAAGATTAACCTACTCTTACTTGGTCCTTTTGTGAAGTACATAATACTGTAATATCTGTTCAACAGCTTCCATTTGCTTTGATCCCAATTCTGACCTTCACAAGTCTGACGTCCATAATGAACGACTTTGCAAATGGAATGTGAGTGAAATGTTTTCACTTTATGATTAATTCCTTACTTGGGATGTCGCTTCATATCAAAGTCAATTCAGCTTGAAAATAAGGAACTGAAAGGCACGACCTCTGCTCAACAAATACACCTTCTATCTAGGTGGTGTATTTGTTGAGGTGGAGTTCTTTGTTTAGATATTCATTGTGGAATTGTGGAAACTGCAACACATCTGCTTCATGTTTTTTTGTTTTTGTTTTTTGCTGGTGTTTACCAAATGTTCCTCTTTCTCACAATTGGGCAAATCATATAGATTAAACACATTTAAGATTAAATACATTTTTAAGAAAAATGTTTTTTGTGGGCAGGGATTTACTCAGTATTGTTACTGTTATGTAATGTTTAGTCTTTCAAGGCGACTGTACATTTGAGAAGATATTTCTTAATGGTCTTCCTGTTTCTTTAGGGTATGGAAGATTTCGGGGGGCGTGGTCATCCTGGTGGTTTGTGCAATTAACATGTACTTTGTGGTGGTTTACGTGACGGCGCTGGACAGTGTGCTGTTCTACGTATTCGCTGCGCTGCTCTCCGTAGCCTATCTCTGCTTTGTTGGCTACCTGGTGAGTCAGATCGCTGCAACTTTACGTTCACTTCTCAGACACTTTATACACCATGAATATTTGACAAACTATAGTTCTGTAAACTGGTTACTATGTTTAAATGATTCTTATTTAACTCCAGGCTGTCTAGGGATATATTGATCTTACTGCACAAAATATGTGCATGTGTACATATAGTGAACTAAAAAATGTGCACAACCGGTTTGTCTTGACTTTTGTTTACAGGCATGGCACTGTTTGGTTGCTTTGGGGGTTTCCTGCCTGGACTTTTGCGGCAGGGTAAGCAATCAACCTGCTGTTTTTATAGAGGAGCAGTCTGAGTACGACTCCTAGAGCACAACAGGACAGTAACCACCAGCATTCCTCTTTCCTCTTGGAGACTCTTGAGCCCTGTACACAACCAATACTTTCCTCGGATCATGTAGGCTGATGAAAGCACCTATTTCTGCTGTTGTCGCATTTGTATCTGTGTAGGGCTGGGTATCAGACTTTGGTACTGTCAAGGTTACCAATAAACTAAATTAATCCTAAACCTGCACAGAAAACCCCCCTGTTAGATCCTTGAGAAGACTTGTATAAAGCATTGGCAGAGCAATAGTGGTTAATCCTCAAGTGGAACACTGCATCCACCTCTGCTTAGAAAGCAGCATACTGTAACATGAGTTGTTTCTAAGTGAAATTATCCGTACCACCATTTTTATGAAACTGAGCTTAACTAGAACAACTAGGAGTTCAGCTTGTATTTTCTCTGCATCTTTGTGAGAGATGCATTCCAAATTCCTGAATCATCCTGAGAAGGATGATGGATTACATTAGTTAAAATGATAATAAATTACATCCTAAAAGAGTCCAAGTTAATTATCGCAAACTCAAGTTTGAGAAGCAGAGCAGCACAGAAAGATATGAAACAACAACGATGGCTTTTGCGTTTCTGCTGTCGACTTTGTCCTCATTTCTTTCATATTGTTATTTTATTTGGTATTCGCTGACTGAAAAGCAAGCACTGTGCTCTATGTAAGCCTTTTAAACCTCTTTCCACTACCTCAACACCCTGTAGTAGTTTTATTCACTGGATCTTTTGTAGTTCACATTTCAATACCAATACATATTTTTAGTAGAATGTAATTTACAAGAACGTCATGTTAATCTCCACTATCTGTATTAAAAAGCACCAAGTGATATCCAGCCCTAACTTTGCGGAAAAAATCTAAACCTTTTGGTGTATCATTTTGATATTGTCAGCTAATTACTGTTTAAGATGTCAAACAAGCTAAAGTTTCAGTATTATGCATACATTACACATGTACTGCCTGTTTCATGTCCCAGTTCTGTCTTTGCTCTGTATAACAAGTTCAGATTCCATACTAAAGTCTGAAATTAAGATGTATTTATTTTTTTTCAAGTTTAAATGATCAACATGAGCCTTTAACTGTAAGATCAGATTTGACCAAAACCGGCTTGAGTAGAGGATCATTGTTGTTTGTTATTGATCTGGTCTGGTGGAGCCTGATCAAACATATTGGATTATTGTCATCAAAACCAATCTGGCTCATGATATAACTTCAGCGTGCGCGTTGACCTAGACATATTAGTTGACACTAGTTAACTCAAAAGGACTGCAGCTTTGCCCTCTTTTAGTGGCTAAATAATCAGGAGCAAGCAAGGTGGTTTAATTCACTATAGTCTATTTGAATTCTTATCAATTCAAACAGAATATAATGGATGATCAGTTCATAGAATTATTCATTTATTTCCTTTTAGTTAAACCATTCAAGTATTCATTTGTTTCCTTTTAGTTAAAGTTGATAAACCTCGATCACATTTACTCGGTACTGCTTTTCTGTGGGTTTTCATAGAAAATATTGTTATATAAAGGTCCCACTGCAATACACTCCTGAATGAAAATGTGACTTATTTACACTGCTCTGCAGGGAAGGAAAGATGTACGTGGTAACTTAAAAATAATTTTGTGGTCATACTTATTGTTATGACAAAGCTGTGTTTAAAAGAGGTTACAGGCTTTAATCTATCTTTAGCAGTCATTTTGTGAATCACACTACAAAAATAACCCCGCTCAAAATGAAATAAAGGCCGCACAGATTCATTTAAGTGTAGAAAATAGATTTGACTAATTCTGATTCAAATTAAACAAGAAACAGTCTTCCCAGCGCCTTGAACGGATTTATTTGAGATTTCCTTATGTGAATGAAAAGGTTTTGCTCCCTTGTTGACAACTGAAGTGTTGTTGTTTTTTGTTCTCCCTTCTCAATGTTGTTAGTTTATTTTATAAATGTGTATCAGTTTATTTCTACTGAGAATGAAACTACTAATAATAAATACTGTATATTTCTAACGCAAGTCCGCTGGACTGCTTGTAGGTCAAAATAAAGCTAAATATGTTGTTTTCCTGAAACAATAGAATCATTTGGTAAACCTGTTAAAGAGAATTAAAAATGTAAAAAGGAATTACTGATTTATTAATGTATCATCACTCCCACAGTCATTATTCAATGTTTAGCTGAGACTAAAGTTAACACACAAGCCGCCTTTATAACATGGTTAAACACAAAGTTTAGCAGCTGCTGTTGGAGCTAAAAAAAAAAAATAGTAATTCTACAACAACACGTCGTGTTGGTCAAGTATGCATGTAAAATGTGCGTACTTACCATGATGTTTGAAATGGGTTTGTAGCTTACAGTATATACATTGATCACAGAAAAGACCTCAGGTTATTGTCTTAGAAGTTCAGCTTTTATTGTGGTGGATCAGGTACCGTTGCAGCTCTCTGGTTCACAGTTCTCTAAAGCGCTCACAAGGTTTCTCTCGTGGGTGATATTAATACTTCACTGACAAAAGAAAAGCATGGCACCAGCACATTTGAACAGTAACAGAGAGAATGGCAATTTGTTCACTGAAGCTATATGTCATTGCTGCTCTTTGGGATTGAATGTCTTCTACTGTTTAAGGATCCCTTGTGTTCAAATAAACAGGAAATAATGGATATATGGACAATTGTTGTTTCATCTTCTGTCTTAAAGCCCATAAATCAATCTTAACTGTTAGTCCACTATAAAAAAGAACTGAATCATATAATATATTAATGTTAAAATAAGTAAGGTAATCCAACCTCCCTATTTTAAAAGATAAAAAGGTAGAAAATGAAAACCTCCAGCCTCGTTTAATTTTTCTAGTTTTCTCATGACAGTTTTAAAGTAACGATGGATATTTTGAGGGAGTTTTGTGATTAGATGTTACTGTAGTAAGTAAAGTACTAATCATGATAACTTTCCCTATTTTATAACTAGCTAAGTATATAATAATAACTCAATGGTCAAAGGGGCCAATTCTTTTTTCTAGGACATTTTGTCAGGAATAGAAATGCTCTTTTGCAGGACTTCCCTGGATTAAATAAGGAAAGTGTGGAAGAGTATCACTTTGACCCAAGGTGAGCCCTCTGTAATAAAAAAAAAAAAATCCGAATTAGAATTCAACACTGATCAAAGCACATCATTGATTTGGATTTTGTTTAAATATTTAATTCATCATAATTACACTAAGCTGAACTTCAGTTAACCCCCTTCTGTGTGTCTGCACTCTGTAGGTCTAGATTCCCTTAAACAAAGAAAATTATACTGCTTATTGTATATGACTATAAATATAAAAAGCACTGCAGTAACACCGATGATTTAAATGTCACTCTAAACACAATTTGTGTAGCTAAAAAGTAGGTGTGTGTGTTTTTTTCTCTCAGTGAAACACAATGATGGGGATTTTCCTTAATTACACAGCAATACAAATCATAGAAATCAATACATCAGCTAAAAATCATTTTTTGTATGTGTTTGGTGCAGCGCTCTCCTGACTGATGAAACGTGCCCCTCTTGTCTCTCTTTCAGATGCAGCTGTCACGGCACACAGATATCTACTTACTGACTGACATGGACACTGATACTGACACTCGGGTTGAGAGATAGAAGACGTTGTGATCGAATGTTCAAGTGAAGACCCGACAGAAGCGTGGGACCACTGCAGCTTGGCCAGTATGCGTTTGTCTTTGCCTCTCGGAGTGCCTAACGTGGTTTTTTTTATGTGTTCTTTCAGTACGCAGCACGGAACACACCAATGTCTAATGCAATGACACATGTTTTTCATCACAACGCTAAATAATGTTTACAAAAAACATTTAGTATACATGAACTTCTAAGTGACTGTGACACAGTGAACCATATGACATTCAGAAACACTGCACTCTAATTACTGCTTATTATTCCAGGTTATTGAGATATCTTGTCTTTAGTGATGTTGTTGTCGGATTTCAGCCGGTGCATTACTAATGATGCCATGGACAGATATGCAGAGAATGGACAGCAGCCAGAAACTTTCATTTATTTGAATTTTGTCCACGAGTTTTTGGTTTAGTTAACATGCTTTAAAACAAAACAGATTTCAATTACATTTTGTTTTTGAATTTGGTCGCACACAATCAGAGTAAGAACAGGAAAAAAGTCTAGAGAAGATTCTGTGTGTTTTATTCATAAAGAAACACCAAAGCTGCAGTATGCTGTTAACAATGATTTAGCATTTGTTGGGGACCATCTTATATATCTAATGTTCAGATAAAATCTGAAGTGATCTAAAAAGTAAATTTAATCTAAATGCTAACATTAAGCGAATACTAATTCAGTCTAATACATTATTATGAATATATTAATTTAGAGATTTAACACTTCAGAAAAAAATAATATTTTATTTCCTCTGTGTTGAGCTATAAAAGAGTGACAGTTTTATGTCATTTTAAGCACAGTTATGCATCTTTTTTAGATGCTTAAAAACGTCTGTTCTTGGAGAGAACATCTTTACGTCGTTATGTGTTTCCAGATAGTTTAAGGGCCAGTCATACTTAATAGTGAATTAAGTCACCATGCGCAGCTCCTCTTGATAATTTATTTATCCCACACATTAGACTCTAATTTGGTATATTACTTTTAGTTATTTATTGTTTCCCAAATGTCATTCTCAGTTAAGTCTCGGACAGTTTATTTGATATTTTCTTTAACTTCGGCTTTTGGGGGGTTTTGAAAACTTTTTTTTCATTTAAACATTTGTGTGATATTGTGATTTGTGCAGAAGTGCATAACATTACAGAAAAATATGGCATTTATTCTATGAAATGAACATAACTTCCAACTGTGGTGCAAATATACGAGGTACAGTAAATGCTAAATATGAAAAGAGGTGTTGCTTAATGAGTAGCAGCATTGGTCATGTTGTATCTCAGGGATCCTTGTGTCCTAACAAGATGCTTTTTGTTACTCAACTGCTGTTTACCAGGTGTTACATTGGAGTTTGTGATTTTACAAAAGCAAATGTTTCTGATTGGGAAGGGCGGACTCTTGCGTGTCTTCTTAATTACTTTACAAACTTACCTTTTTTTAAAAGTTGTATTTTACAGAAAACTAGATAATTAATAACAATAAGTAGAAACAGTATAAGGAAGACCGTAAAGAATTTGTAATAACAACTCCAACATTTTCCATGCAGGCGACTGCAGTGCCTCTTGTGTTCACCATTGTGCCTAATTTCTTGGATCCCTAGCACGCTACCCAGCCAAAAACGATGAACAACCCAAGAATCTCACATTGTTGTACATAAGTAAAATCATCAGAATTATTGTACGAATACACGCGGTAGGGTTGCAAAAGAAACACTTTTTTTTTGTGTGTGTAAAAATTTTTAAAAAAGGAAGAAAAAAAAGCTTTTAGTGAAATGTATGTAATAAATGGTAATGTCCTCATTTGGTATGTGTTGCATTGTGTCTGAATATGGGAACGCCCTGGGATTCACAGAGACCCGTTTCAGTTTCCATTCCCAGTAAGGAAATTGCCCCTGTGCTGTAAATTAGATTAAATGTTTTTGTATTGGATTCAGTAATCCATTAATGAGCCCCTTCTAGAAGGTTTTCTGATTATTTGTCCTGTCACCAGATCTGTTGTTTATATGATGTGCCATCAATCTAATGTTTGTCTAATCTTTTTTTTCTGGTTGTATATAAAAAGTAAAACTACTTTTTATGAATCAATATTGTTTCTAAATATCTTAATTCTTTTAATGACTTACTATTCGTTTTGCAGTGTTTTCTTTAACTTGTCTTTTTTTAATGTATTTAGCACTTACATATAATGCACGTTATAACATGTTAGCACTCCTGTGTTAAATACATAGTTATTATAAGATATAGGGCCGGTTTCGGAGACAAGGCTCAAGCCTAGTCCCAGACTAAAATGCTGTTTGAGCTGGCTTAACTGAAATTCACTTGCACAGACGTAGCTTAAAATACTCGTGGATTAAGCCTGTTCTGGATTAAACAAAGCCGATTGCAAAATTGAGCATTAGAGCTACTCCAGGACTAAATTGGACTGAATTGAAGCTTAAACTAATCTGCCAAGGAGGCAGGTTTAACTCCCGCTTAGTAGGCTAGGCTACTGTTTGTGAAACTGAGCTTGGATTGTTTGGGAGCATGGACTATTTGGAATATCTAAATGAGGACCAACATGCACGACAAAGGCCAGCCAGACGAATACTGCTGGATAGGAGTGATCCATTGAATCAGTTTGATGAAATAACTTTTCGAGACCGCTTTCGTATGCACAAGGAAAATGCATTGGAGATAATTACTTTGCTTGAGCCTAGACTTTCCTCTCTGTCTCAAAGAGGAAGGCCTGTGTCCAATCAACTGCAAGTTCTGATCACTTTGAGGTTCTTGGCATGTGGAATCTTTCATCGTGAAACTGGTGATTTGTGTGGTGTCAGTGAACCAACTGTATGTAGAATAGTTCACAAAGTCTGCAGTGCCATTTGTGAACTGAGGAGTCTTTACATCAAGTTCCCTGATGCTGCTGGGCAAGCCAACTATAAAGTGCAATTCTATGAATATGGGCACTTTCCAGGAGTGATTGGCTGTATAGACGGATGTCATGTTCCCATCAAGTGTCCATCAACTCCTGATGCAGAGGAATACAGGAATCGTAAGAACTGTTTTTCAATCAATGTTCAGGGTGTATGCACTCCTAATTTGGAGTTTTCAAACATTGTTGCCCGTTGGAAAGGTGCAACCCATGATTCAAGGATTTTTCTCAACTCTTCATTGTGTGCACAATTTGAGAGTGGACAACATAGTGGACTACTACTTGGTGATAGTGGATATGGTCAGAGTAACTATTTATTCACACCACATCTAAATCCCACAACAGCTGAGCAGCAAAGGTACAACAGAGCTCATATCCGTACTAGAGGGATGATCGAGCGTATGTTTGGAGTATGGAAAACTCGATTCCAGTGCTTACGAAATACGATTCGTTTCAAGCCAAGAAGATGCTGCAAAGTGATCATTGCTACAGCTGTGCTGCACAACTACCTGAAGCAGCATGGCTGTCCTGACCTGCCAATGGAAGATCAGGATGATGCAGATGTGCCCATGGTGGCAGAGGCAGCCAATGACCAGCGAGGACTTGCACACAGAGCTGCTTTCACAGTGCAGCACTTCAGCATTTAAATATGGAATGTATCCATTATGGTATGGTGGTGCTTGCATACTGTTTCTGTACAAAATTACAATAATGTAGCAAAATTAAACTAGTGAACCAAGTCGGGTAAAATGTAGTTTGTGATGATTAATACTCACTCACACGCCAAATGACAATACATTTATTTTTCACAATTCCTCATATTCACCATGGCTACTAGTATGCAGAATTCTTTTTTGGAGCATAGCCCTCTCTCCCAATTTCATATCCAGTTCAACCTCTAGAATTCTCATTTTCATTTCATGTTCTTCTTTTAAATATTCAATTTTACGCTCATGAAATTCTCTGGCTAACTTTTCATGCATAGTTATCTTTTTTGGTCTCTGTTGGATGGTAGCAGCTTCATCTCCCAGGGGTGCCATAGCAGATGTGGAGGGTTCAGGCTCGTTGTGAACTGGCTCTTGATTGGTTTCCTCTGGAAAAAAAGACCACTGTTCCAAACTCAAATCAACTAATATGGTCCTGTAACCAATTTACTTCCTAAGGTATATTTACCATTTGTGCTCAGTTCTCCATGTTCACTGTCCAAATGGTCATTGTCTGGTATACCATCCAGAGGTTGCTGGTGCTCTATTATACCAGACAGCAAGTCACCCAATTCATCACATGTGTCCTTTATTGGTGGTCCACCACCTGTAATAAATCGCTCTCTTCTGCTTGCTGCATTCTCTTTTTTTAATCCCAGTTTAATGTTCTTCCATAGAACCTATGAAGGCAGATATCATTCATTAGTTTTCTTTTTTGATGTCACAAAAATAGTAATATGGGAAATCTGAAATACTGGTACTGATAAGGCATAATAAAAATAAGTTTGTCTCCTGATAATTTAGGTCATGGTGGAGAAATGATTGTATATTTCTTTCCCCCTCACATATAGGTATGGATTTTCCTTTGTGCAACATATCTTACTCTACCACCATGTTTAACATGCATATGCCCCTTTAAAATAGGTTACTATCCTTTTAAACAGGATATTCATTCAATGTGAATGCTACAAGCAGCAGGAGTATTGTATTTGGGTAGGCCATAAATAAGCAGGGTATAGGCAACAGGAAACAAACACATATTTTTGTGCCTAATAATGAAGATTAACTCACCTGCAGTTGTTGTACTGTTCTTGTGGTGACATCTTCATTTGCATTGAATTCTTTGCCAATTGCAGTCCAAGCACTTCTTTTCTTATGTTCAATAGCAGCAGTATGGATTTTGCTTTCAATGACTGGATGGTTCGATACAATTAGTTTTAGTAGTGCTTTTTCATGCTCACTATAATTTTTGGAGCGAATTCTCTTTGCCTCTGACATTGTGTTGTCTCAAAATTCACTGCAACAATGGTGTTTCATACTCCATTTCAGGTTTTCATGAGCACAATTGGACCAACAGCCTGTGCTTCCACTTAGTCTAATGAGGCTTGAACCAGGTGTTCTCATTAAGCTTACTCCAGGACTCCATAGTCTCAGACTAACTAAGCCAAATTTATGCCATGTTCATGCAAGCCACTTAAATAGCCAGGATTAACTAGTCTGATTTAGGCCTACTTCAGTCTTGATTTAAGCCCTGTCTCCGAAACCGGCCCATAATGCTATTGACTTTTAAGGACTACAACCAGGGGGGTATTCCAGAAAGCGGGTTATGTGAAAACTCAGAGGAAGTTAACCCTGCGATCAGGGACACTGAGTTATCCATTCCAGATAGAGAGGTAACTGAAACTCTTGAGTCAATCACCATGGTAACAGACTCTGTGAACATAACCTGCTCGCTGGCAGGTTTACTATAAGAAACCCAGAGTTTCTACCGTCTCCTCCCACATGAAGAAAGCTGGTAGACATGGATTGCCTAATCCTACCAAATCCAATTGACATTAAAGCCTTAGTGATTCGAAATGCTTTACGTCGCAAGAGTGTCTTCCGACCCAGGTTAGACGTTTTATCATTTCCAGAGGAATTTCTCTTAGAACGCTACCGCTTTACTGGTAACTAGGAAACCTATGGACAACATTTAATTCGTATAGTTCCACATACAGATTTAACATGGTATTGACCAAAAATCTCACCGTTTGAAGCTGTGCTGTGGACATTGATGGACCCTCCTCCTGGTGATGCCCAACCATGTTCTGTTCATGGACAAGAATGTGCTGTCCATCCCGGGAGTGGGATCCCTCCTCTGACGTTCTCCCTACAAGATTTCTTCCCTTTTTTTCCCTCTTGGAAGGGTTTTTTTGGGGAGTTTTTCCTGTGCCGATGGTGGGTTTCGGGGCAGAGGATGTCGTATGTGTACAGACTATAAAGCCCTCTGAGGCAAATTTGTAATTTGCGATTTTGGGCTATACAAAATAAAATGAATTGAATTGTGCTAGTTAGCCATTATCTATGCTCATCACTTCAGTCTACAAGTCAATATCCAAATTCCACTCCAGAATGTGAATGGGTAGAGCACTGCCAGTAGATAATATTAAGACACACTTCAGTAGGCCCCTCCGGATCTCTCCCTGTGGCAGCAGACAGCGTTCCCTCCTCATTATCATCCTCCTCCTCCTGTGATGCAGTAAAAGATGCTGTTACGGAATACTTCTAACTACCATCTGAGGCAAGATCTTAATTACAGTATCTGCAGGGTTTACAACTGTGCAGATGACACCATCTACAACTGTTGGGTGGGTGGGTCTGTCTGTAAGTGTCTCCTAGGTGGGATATTAAGTGAAAAGACGTGTAAAAACATTTTATTAGGGGTTTAATTTACTATTTCAAGTAGCCACTGAATTAATATTTACTTTGTTTAATAGCCAAAGTCAATTAAAGAAAATGAATTAAAATTAAAGTGAGGTGCAATCATAGCAATATATGCCATACCTTTAACTATGTTTTTATATTTCATTTTTAGCTGCTTCCAGGTCCTTTTTTCCCCCGTTGGATTGCACCTAAAATGAAAATCCGATTTCATTCCTACTTATATTCATAACTATATAGGCTGCGACGATCTAACGGTTAACTTTTATGTCAATGGAACAGTACATTCAAACTTACGCGTTGACTTGGGCAGCAATTTTTCCCCACGCAGTCTCTCTCTCCTTCGCTGCTGCAGCTGTAGCTGTATTGCATTTGCGGCGAAATACATGCTCATACTCACCGTAGGCGTGCGGAAGGACCTCCAACTCCATCGCAGTGAAATAGCCTGCTCTTTTATTTACTGTTGTCATGGTGACTCGTGGTATCGGGGCTCCATTGATGATTTTTATGCTTTTCACAAAATAGAATATGCTATTTAAGAGCAAAAAATTAATATAAAACATCGACATCAAATAACAAAATGAATGATGTTGGGTGCATTAGGCGGCGTCATTGTCGTTGTACACCTTGAGTGTCTTTTTCTTGGCAGCTCCATGCTCCATTAATGTATTTGCCAATAAGCCTCACATCACACAGGTCGGACCCGTGGTGCATAATACACACGATGCAGTCCTGCGAAGGCTACCAACAAATACTTTATAGGTGGAGACTTCAGGGCTCTGAAGTTTTCAGTTGTCGGAGGTGGACTTTACGGTCGACGGGGGGTAACCAACGCTGCTCGGACCGGAGTCTGATTTCTTGGCGTGAGGAATTGGATGTGTGGCGGGAGTGCGTGACGTGAGATCGAAATGCGTGACTGTCACGCTCAATACGTGACACTAGAGAGCCCTGGGAATGTCTCTCAAAACTAATTCGGTCCATTTTTTGCTCCTAGTGTATAGCTAGTTAAACCAAGTGCATTTACTATGGCATCAATGATCCTGCACCCATGTCCGTCTTTTGTTACTTTCAGTCCATCTATATTTTAGATCGCATAAAACCAACACAATGTCTCGCAGGTGAATCCGAGCTCCCCGCCGTGCTCAGCGGTTGCCGTGGTAACCTCAGCGCGGAGCCCTTTGGCATCTTCCGGGACACGTGAGGGCGCTGTCTGCAGCGCGCGGCCTCCATCCGGTCCAGCAGCTCCGTGCCGACGTCACCACATTCCACTCGACGCGATGGATCAGCGCGTGTAAGCGTAAAGGTGGCCTCGGAAGACACTGCCAGAAACGTGTAAACTGGATGATCGAGGTGACCAGATGGGTTTTGTGTGTGTGCGAATTTCTATATGGTTCACGCTAGTCATACATAACATAATATTTGTCTGAGAGTAACGATTAACGTCCCGCACGGTCACTCGTGTGTTTTGCCGGTTGAGTTGTAGATCTGTGCTGTGGGGGAAATCAGAGCTTGGATGCAAGATGAGGGAAGCGGCCGTGCTGCTCACACCGTGTGTGCTCGTGTGTCTCCTGCTGAGCTTCAGTCAGGCAGCCAGGCAAGGACAGGACATCAAATGTGGAGGTATGTGTCTGTAAGCCTGCCTCTCTGCCCAGGACACAACTATCCTAACTCGGATAAGTGCTAACGGCGTCCTCTCCATGTGCTGCTTGCAGCCTGCAGGGCTCTGGTAGATGAGATGGAATGGGACATCTCCCAAATAGACCCAAAGAAGATGATCCAGACAGGATCCTTCAGGATCAACCCGGACGGCAGCCAGTCCATTAAAGAGGTGAGCCACATGTGTCATACCTGCTCCGTAGAATGTACTACTTTTATATTACTTTAACACTAGTGCAGGGTTTGATTTAGGGACAGTTTTCACTAGAATGAGATGCTACTACTAACGAGTTAGACCTAGAACTATTGTGATACACATTTAATCATCCAAGTAATTTCTACAGAAAAAAAAGTTGAACATGATCCTTTTCCAGCTTCAGATGCCATTAACGTTTAACACACAGAATATATGATGGGTTTTTAGACCAAATAGTTAATTAATTAATTTAATAGATTATCTAAAGTAGCTGCCCTGGTACTGGTAATCTACAGTTAAATTTTGGCCTTCGGAGTATTGGCCTCACTACTTTTTGAGTGCTAACTGAATTGTTTCTTTTAACTATATATAATGAAACCTGCCAAGTGCCGGATATTATGGTGCGCAAAAAATATTTAAATCCAGAGTTATGACTTTAAAATGAGACTAGAGGGAAAGATATCAGACAAGGGCACCTAACTGTTTAATCAGCAGCACTAGACCGCTAATGCTAATTGTTCCCACTTTTGGTAAGACTAACTCAGAGTTCATCCTGACCTCTTATGGCACCAGGTTCCTCTGGCTCGCTCAGAGGGAAACCTTCTGGAGCTGATGGAGTCTGTGTGTGAGAGGATGGCGGACTACGGCGAGCGCACAGATTCCTCCACAAACAGGAAGTCCTACATTAGGATAAAGTCTCGGAGTGGTGAGCCCCTGGACCTCTCAGAGGCGACGCTGGATTCTAGAGTTACAGGCAGTTTAAAATTTGCGGTGAGTACAAAATATCACCAAATGATTTCTTAAAGGCATCATTGGATGTTTGCATTGCTATGATTTAAAATATATATATTTCAATATACCTTATGCAGCCCACAACCCAAATCTTTAAAAATCTTTAAAACGTAATCCTGCAGTGTGAAACGATTGTTGAGCAGTATGAAGATGAAGTCATTGAATTCTTCGCTCATGAGAACGAAAATATCAAAGACAACCTGTGCAGCAAGAGGACGGGTATGTTTCATTCTCAACATGCCCAATTTACTTTTAGGTCAAGCACGCTAATTGCACATTTTTGTGATGTCGTTCCCTTGCAGCCACTGTATTCTAAATTCCTTTTTTTACACTCTTTGTGCTCTGCAGACCTCTGTGACCACGCTCTGAAATCGTCCCACGATGAACTTTGATGTCATGGTTGCCGTACTTTGCTCAGCTGAAATGGAGACGTCTGGTGCTATGCTGTTTTCCGTTGTCTATCTATCACTTGTATACACCAGGGCAGTAGGACAAGATGCATACAAATTATCATGTAAGATAATTCAGTTGAAGATACAAGTCTGGTTCCTATGATTTGCGGCAGGTTAAGAACCAGTTTGACAGTTTTAACTACATCTCTTTGGACTATCTTGTTACTTCTTTATATGTTGTTAGTTACCATACTTTTCAATATTCTGTGTTTAGAAAAACGCTTTTCTTGCTTTGCATGCAGAATTTCTTACAGGATTAGTTGTGTATGTACAGTAAATGTTCTAATTTAAGACATAAGTAGGCAGGGATCAGGGGTAAATTTGATGAAGTGGTCGTTCAGACATATTCATTGATAAATGAAAAATAATGGTATCAAAGAGTTTATCAGACAAATAACTTGCTTTGAATAAATCATGTATTAAGTTAAACTGAAACGTTAAAAACGCATTATTTAAGATCAGAAATGAAGACGATTTGAGTGGAATTAGTTTCCCTGGTGTCCAAGCGTTGAAGTGTGCCTTTGATGCTGAATAAGTGTTTCAACATTTTCACCATTATCCCGGTAAATGTACTAGCCCCATGGTATTGTTTACTGTTGATATAAACAGTTTTTTGCCATTTCAGGATCCGTCAAAAGTTGCAAAGAGCTAAAAAAATGTAGGGAAAGAACAACGATTCTAAAGTTTGGCTAAACTCCAACCAAAGTATGAAGAATTGCCCTTACAGGAAAGGGCTTCCATTTTTCTCATTTTGAATTGTAAACGTTTGGTTTACAAAGGACAGTAATTGTTTCTGCAAAGGTCTATCTAGAGCAGAAAATGTTGTTCTAAGTACTAAAGAGTTTATAGCTGTAAGAGAAAGACAATAATACCTATTTTCTTTAAATACTACATCTGCAATACCATGGAATTATGGTATTTTCTTTACATTTGAGCCTCAATAGTGAAGTTCTTCTTACTAAAACTGAACTGCAGTTTAACACCACTTGAGTGTGCTGTAGTCCACAATCTGTTGAGTTTGAATTAAAGAATCACGTTCAGAATCCGTTGGAAAGTCCTCATGCTGTACTGTTGATGTAGAATAAAAGTATTTTTGGTATAATTCATTATTTTATGTGTTGAGAAGAATATATTTTGCCCGGGGACATGTGCGTTTGTCTGATATAAATATGTTATTTTCACTTTCATCAATGAAAATATATTTTTGACAAGTTTACTTTCTATTTTAAAAAATCACCAATGAATTGGTTAACTAAGATATTTCATACAAACTACTACATCATGCAGTCTGACGAATCAGACCAAGCTGACAAGCAACAATGAGTCAATTTTTATAGCAATTGTGTTGTGTAACGATGCACACATAGGCCTTTTTGTTTTCTTCTTTGACTTAAAAACGGTTAGTTTTTTAATTGTATTTGTATTTAGTATAATGGTCTGACATACAAAGACTAAAATAATGAAACTTAGGTGTGAAGACCATAACATTTAAATTCTGTTATGGTCTTCACACCACAAGTTTCATTATTCATTAAGTTTACTGTTTAGGAAAATACTTTTCATAACATTCTAATCGTAATAGTTCTTCCTCAACAGATGGAGTTTGTCCGCTTGTCATGAAATTGTATATATTTTTTCTTGATTGAGATTGAAAGTTTAATCTTGACCTTGGAATGAGCAGATAACAAAACAATCTACGCAGGAGCAGATTAACCCGCCGCAGCACGTTTTTAATGTAGTACATTGTTTAGTTTTATTATATATTAATATAATGCAGAAGCATGGATTGATTTCTGCCAGAAATATCACCACACCATCAAACCACTTCAAATCTCTTAGTATATCCTCTTTCATAATATCACACTCTATTATTGACATTAAACACTAGAAACTGTTTATAACACTGAAACTAAAACATGAAATATCAGTGACAATATAAGGCACAATATAAAGAGTGCGTATTGTTAGATGTTCAATTACATGAATCAGAATATTAATCTAGTTGTTTCACTTTTAATAATCCCATCACCCGAGACCGCTGAGGGCATGAAAACAACCTGCTCGTTTTTATTCTCTCTCTCTTTCCATCATCTTCACTGCCTCGGTTGTCGTACTCGTCACCTCCACCTGGCGGTCCTCGCTCTGAACGGACACATTTGTGACGCTGTCGTGTCCATCTCCCTCTTCCATAGTTGCAGTCTCACCTTTTACTTCAGCAGAGCAGCATCGCTCTCCTTCAGCCGACAGGAACTCCACGTCATCCCCTGTCGTGCTGTCTGTACGGGCGTCTGGTGGAGTTTCCTCGTCCTCGTCTGCAACGATAACCGTGTCCCCAGAGCTGTGGCTGCTGGTGCTGCTGCAGGACAGTGTGTCATCTTCAGCACGTCCGCTTGGCTCCGCATGACATGGATCATCCTGGATCAGTCCCAGCTCTACATCCCCCTCAACGCTTTCTTCTTTCGAAAGTGCCCACCGTCCTTCTCGATCAAGGACTATGCTCTCAGAATCCACGCCCACAACCACTCCCAGGCAGCGCAGGTCCTCCCCTACGCTCTCTGGATCCGACAGCTCACCCACCTCCTCCTCTTCATTCTCAGAGTCTGGCGCCGTGTGTTTCCTAATGCGATTTACCGCATCCCACAGGGCCACGGGATACTGTGGCTCTTCTTTGAGGGGTAAGTCAGGGTCAGCCTCTCCACCTTCCTCTTGCCCTTGATAAGGAGGAGTTGAAGAGCTAGAAGGTTGGATTGGTGGGGGAAAAGTGTGGGAGAAAGGTGAGAACGGAAGAGATTCCTCACAAATGTCCAGATGAGGGTCAGTTTCCCGGATGCCAGCAGCTGGATCAGCATCAGGATTTAGAGCTGAAGGACAGGCTGAGTGCAAAAGCAAAACAAACTCCGCATCGGACTTGTTCAATGTGTGAGGTGGAGAAGGAAGGTCAGAGGGTGTGAACACATGAAAAGGTGATTGAAACATCTGCTGGTCTGAGTCTGGCTGTGAGGGAGGAGAAGAGTTAGAGGGTTCTGTCTCTGATTCAATGTCCTGCAAAATGTCAACGTCTGCTTGAATTTGAGAGTCTGTTGCATTTTCTGTGGATAGTTCCTGTTCCTTATCAGATTCTTTTTTTGATTTCTCCTCAGTGATGAAACTTTCTTCTTTGTTATTAAATTGTTCTGGCAAAATGTTGACTTTTTTTCCTGACATTGTCTGTTCCAAATGATCAGTAATGTTGTCTTTGTCTTCTTTAGGGAGCTGCTCTTCACTCATATAAGGTTCTTTTACCAAAGCAACATCCTCTGCATGCGCGCATTCAAGTTGTTGCTGCAAAATATGAACCTCTATGGGATCTTCTATGTTAAGAGTCTGTTCCACGGTGTAGTCTCTGGGGTCCTTATCAGGTTCTTCTGTTTGTTGGTCATTTGTGACATTGTTCTCTTTCACAAAAGTGGAATTGTCTGCTTGGCCACTTTCAGATTGTTGCTGTGACATCAGCTCCTCGGTCATGTCTTTAGCAAAATCCTTGAGGGCTTCACTCTGATTGTTTATCACATCCAATGTTTCACACTCCTCCTCCTGGCCCTCAACAACGACTAAATCCAGAACAGAAGGCCTTGGGGAATCGTTGGTGTGGGATGAGGAGCTTGTAGACACAGACTGAAGAAAGGATGAGGTGTGAGGGAGAGATGAGGTTTCACGGTGAAGAGCCAACTTTTGCGCAGAAATGAGGTCAGGCAGCTGAGTGTCACGACCCTCCTCTTTGTTTGATTCTAATATGTGCATGAGGGGTGTAGGATCAGATGATGGTGGTGTGGCAGTAAGGGAAGGGCTTAATGCTTCACATTGTGAAGAAGGAAATGAGGAAGAATCGGAACGTTTATTTGGTGGACTGTGACACTGAGAGGGATGTGAACATGTATTGTTTTCTTCACTGACGGGTTTGAGCAGATCATCATTATTCATTTCGTTTTCAGGTGAATTTTTGATGCCAGTTTTGAGTTGAGAGACAGCGTCTTTCACTTCACAGATAGTAGACACTTGAACATGAACTCCTGAAAAATCGCTGGCCCCTTCATTGGCCACCTGTTTTTTGGCATCATAGTTTTCTTGCAAACACATCTCATTATCATGCTTAGTTTGGTCAACCTCTGTCCGGTTCCGTGACAGCTCCTCTTCTCTTGTGGCCTCTTGGATTTGTTTGACTGCCTTCTCAATGTTGTTGTCTTCAATCGGAGATGGTTCAACTTCCTGGTTCTCAACACAAGAGTCCAGAAGTGACGTTGCTTCTTCAGGTCGCTGATTTGCGATGCAGTCCTGCAGAGGGATCCCTAGGATCCTCTCGGCTCGCTCCTTCAACGTTTCCCTTCCATCTGAAGATGAGGACACGCAGCAGGATGGGATTTCCTTTTGTCCGTCGGGGGCCTTTTTCTCAATAAAATCTGAACCTACTTTGGACTCAGGTTTTTCCTCAACACAGTGGTGGTCCGTTGTCTCTTCCTGATTCAGCTGACCATTTGATTGGACACATTCAGGAGAGACGGTCGTTTGAGTATCAGGTTGACTGTGTTCGGTGTGTAAAGAGTGAACATGCTGTTTCTTGGGTGATGGAATCATCTCCATCTTAACGACAACACAAGTTGTGTCTATAACCAGAAGACCCTTACTGTCCTCAGACTCTACGTCCGTCTTAATGTCCAGTCTTCTTACTTCCACATCAATTGGATGCACTGTTCTTTCTTGGTCTGGCAGACCATTGGATTCTCCTTCCTCGCTGTTTGCTTTCAAACATGTGGATGAATTCTCATTTTCAGCTCTGCTTGTAATACTCGGCTCCCTCCACAGAGGATATTTGAGTGACACAGAATGCACGGAGTGAGCAACCGTTCTCTCGAATGTAGAATCGGCATCACTTGTATTTGCTTTTTCTGAGGACACATTATCTGTCTCTCCTTTTTCTGATAGGTTAACCTCCAGCGACTCACTTTCGATACGAGTTGGTGTCTCCTTCTGTTTGGCTTCGACATTCCTCCCATCACCAGTACCCGGCGGCGCTCTGAAGTCTACCTCATCTGCAAGTTTGTGTGTTTGATTAATGCTAATTGGAATACCTCCTAATATTGTGTTTGTTTGTAAATTCCGAAGCGGCATTGATGAGGTTTCTGTCGTGCTTGCTATTCGAGACACCAAGCAGAATATTGTCATCCCACCGGCCTTTTTGTTAAGTCTGAACTCCCTCCCTTCAATGACTTTTGAAGACAGATTCTCATTTATCTTTTTATTCTCAACTGTTTTTAGTACTTGTGGCTGTTGCACATACAGCTGTATGTGGTTTTCCTGCATATTAAAAGGACTAATGGCATGTGAAGCGTTGTTTTCCCGTTGTCTTTGCTGTAGTCCTTCAAGCTCCAGGAAACCTTCTTGATTCACATCTGGTTCTGCAAACTCCTCTTTCTGTTCTTTTCTGTGGTCGCACATATCCACAGGAACGTCCTGCTTTCTCAGTGTGGGCTGTGACCAGATGCTTTGTCTCTTACCTTTCTGCTCCCAGCTGCTGTCACAGTGGTGCAATACAGGTGAACCTTTGTGTGGGCTGTCATAGGGAGGGGGAGCAATATAGCCAGGAGGTTGGCTGAACATCCTGCGCTGGTAGTGGGCCTTTTCTTTCATGTCCAGGACGTGGCTTGAGTCGGAGGCAGGAGTTTGTGATGCATAATAGCTGTGAGCTTGCTGTCTGCTGCCTCTTTCACACCACAGTCCCGATTCTCTGATGTTCGGAGATTGTCTGACTTGTTGCAGCGCTGCCGCTCGAGGGTCCGTCCCACTCCTGCTGCTCTCCAGCAGCCCCCGGGCGGCTCCCCTCAGCTCTGCCTCTATTCGTCTCCTCCTTGGAAGTGAATGGCTGTATCGAGCTGCCCAGGCCTCCAGCTCGCGATGGCTGCTGTCGCTCCTCTTAGCAGAAACTTCCCTGTTGTAGCGGAGAGGGCCACATGGCTCCAACCTCCTCTGCCAACCTTCCCTTAGTAATCCACTCTCATACTCTCTCGCTGCTCGCTGAGCTGCTGCCCACTCTCGGTCTCCCGAGTCCTGCTGCTGCTGAGTGTGACGGTCTAGAATGAAAGGGAAGCAAGAGGGGGCGGCCGGTTCTTGTTCTGTCCAGTTAGAGTACACTTGTGGAGTCCCTCCTGCTCTCGATCCCGGTGCACTCCAGTGCCTGGACTCCCTGCCTCGACCTTGTTGCTCACCATAGTACAGTGGATGGTGGTGTACTTGATGTCTGTCATGGTAGCTGTGGGTGAAATGGAAAAAAACGGAAAAGCCGTCTTCGGCATCACATTTCATTTCTTTTCATTTGTTTTGGGAAATCTAATCACGACAAGTAGTTTTTAGCATAATTGTATTGTCCAATAAGTGAGAATGTTATGCTGCTAAAAATTGTGTGGTTTCTCAAACAAGCTTCAAAACAGCGTTGAACTCTTCTGACTACAGTGATTGAAAAGTTAATAATAGCCCAACTCACGTATGTGTACAATTTCTTCCAGGAACAGTATCAAATTTTGAGTTTAGAGGCGACTGTCCCTGATCCTCGGGCCAGAACTCCATCTCCTTTGGGATGAAACATAAAAAGGATCATGTATGTTCTATCAGTGTGCTCTTAACATGCATAAAACATACTCAAAATTATATTTTAGCATTGACTACAACATACAATACTATAAATAAAAAAACAAATAATATAAAATGTCTCACCTGCAATTTAGATAATGGAGAGATTGGTCTCCATGTGCAACACTTACCTTTAATCACCGTTTTCAGATTGTTGTCCTTGCTACTCATGAGGTGATGTGAGGTCTAATGAAGTCACAACAGAAGGAGTTGTTATAAAAAGGACCATCGTTTTTTTCAGTCCTCCTCCCACTCACACACACACACACACACTCCCGTCAATGTAGCCCATCCTCCTTTCATTCAGTCAACATGTCCAAATACCACTGAGGAATTTTTAATCAGGGTTTAGAACCCTGATTAACTAACCCTAACCCTCTTTAGCTATACACCATTCCTCTTTAAAGTCTTTAAACTCAAAATGAATATAAAGGCGTCAGATTTGCTTCCCCACACGTATAAGTCAAACCGTTTAGAAGAAATAAGAAAAATATTTAATTTACTGTTGTTCACTCATATATCAGCTCATATGTCAGCACAGTTTTCATTTTTTTCTCCAAATATTCAGGAATGATAACAAAATGAGCGATCCGCACTCTGCATGACACACGTGTGGGAGGTGGAGATAGAGATCTGTTGTTTTGTCGGCTGAATTGTAGCGGAGGGAGCGGGCCGCCGACCGGTTGTCAGCCTTTCTTTGAAACTCTTCAGCGTAACAAACAGGCTTTCCTTCTCTGAACAGAAAGTCTGTGCATCAGCAGGGAGCAGGAGGGAGGGGATGAAGTCCGTACAGACACCAGTCTGTTGATGTTGACAGAATAGTTTGGGATGAGTCTTTGGTTTGCGTTTTCTACACCTCAATAAAAACAATATTGTTCACCAGACCATACGCTTTTTTTATTGCATCAATCAAACAAAATGAATCCGCATCATCTGGATTGTGTGGGTGTGATTTGATCAGATGTTCTATATTGTGCATAAATGATAGCAAAGAACTAAAATAAAGAAATAAAAAGAACCTGAAATCTCCATTGTGAGCCGACCTGCACTGAAACCTGATGCTGTAACGGCAGAGATGGTCCTACCTCAGACGAAACAAGCCGAAACACGAGGAGTTGAGAACGGATTTCAGATTTTATCAACAAAATGTAAGGCTGTTGGCAACTTGCACTTGTATTACCGTAGTAACTGGTCCTGAATGTTTTTTTTTAAACCCATCTTCATATGGTTATGGGTTGGAAATAAAACATTTCTTTAAAAAAGGTAGCCAAGAGGGTCATAACTGGTGCTGTAACTAATCCAGGTCCTGGGACAGGCTGCCTGTGCTGTCACTGGTCTTTCCTGAGAGACGCCCTGTAGATATTAATATTCTGACCGTCATCACGATGTACAAGCTCCACATTAAATCTGCTCGGCAAACATTCTTCAAAGAAACGTGGAGTCTCGTGCTCTTTCCGCATTTTGGACGATAGATATACCACGGTTGTGTTCTTGCACAGATGAACTAGTGTCTTCACCAGCAGCGAGTAAGTCTCCGGGAGGTAAACTATATCTGCACAGAGCACCAGATCCCAGTCAGAAGGGAAGTTAATGTGGTCCTGGCCCCAGGACAGAGGGAGGACGGTGGGAAGGGTGGCAGGCCAACCACTGGATGGCATGTTAGCAGAGACGTTGGCCCGAAGTTGTGGGAGAGTCAAAGGAAGATCTGTGAGCGTCACGATTGCACCTGAAAAGAGAAGAACACCCGTGTTGTTGATGAAACTCAACACGAGATTCAACAGTACTATTTTATTTGTAGATGGATGCAAATTCAGGTGGTGCAAACATGTATATCAGGATGTTTTGACAATGCTGACAATGAGTAAGTGACAGTGGTCAGTTTTTCACACTGTACTGAAGCAACAGCAGTTGATGCAGAGCCTCTGGTGGAAACCGCTGCAAAGTTTGCCCAAAAAACAACTATACCACACAACGGCTACAAGCAGCCGGCCCAGCCTCAGGAGGGTCTCGTCCTTGTAGAGTGTTCCCTCGCAGTGCAAACACAACATACCGAGTCGTGCAGCAAAGATACCGACCACACCGGTTCCTGCCCCCAGCTCTATGACGCGCCGCCCTCTCACCTCCGCCGACCGCTCCTCCAGGTAACTGCAAAGCTGTAACGCCTGCGCGTGCACAATGACACACCCGCACAGTTAGACAAAGGTCGCCTGTGTTTTGCGAGTGTATTTTTTCTTAAATGGTAAACCAAGTGGGCTCTTACAGCCTCCCAGACCGCGGCGGCCACGCCGAGGTTGGCACCAAACACTTGCTGGATCCTCAGCTCCTGGCCGAATAAAGAAAACGCGGTGTCTTGTGTAAATGTTTCCGCAAACAAACAATCTTCGACGGGGAACGGGTCGTCGTCTCCTGCACAAATCATGGTCGGGGAATGACCTCGGTTCACTGAAGTGAACGCGCACAGACAGCCGGTGGTTCGCCTCTCTGGTCGAGTAAGAACGCGCAGTTCTATCTTTAGCCACGTGTCACTTGAGAGAGGTAGCTGGAGAAATGTTGCGTTAACAGCTGAATTGAATCACGTGTTTGATTATTAGTCTGCAATGTAATTAAGAGAGGGGGCTGCAATTTATACCCCGTGCACTTAATCACAATGTATTATTTCTCTTGCTGAAATTAGGCATTTAGTCTGTACCCTTTTTGCCTATCACAGTGAGGTCCCCTTGGTTGGTGTTTGTTTGTTTTGATTTAAATACTTTAGACATCTCCACTTGTCTTTAATAGTCCTTTATTTTGTGACGCCATCAAATGATCTTAATACGCCTCTTCCACGTTCACTGTCACGCTCACCTTCCTCGCTGATGTTCAAAAACTATTTAGCTCCCCACTAACACCTGTGACAGGTAATCCACCTGATTATATTGACCTTGCGGCCTTATTGAAACAACCTCCCACCACCTGGGGGGGCTGAGCTAATCCTCAAACGAAATGGCTCGTACTTACTGTATAGTCTTTACCCACCAAGTGTTACGTAAGGCTTTAAATTTAAAATGAAAAACAAATACTTGACTTCCGGTTGAGTTCAGAGTAATTTAAACTTGTATAAAAAAATCACCGTTTAGATCTCGTATTCCTGATTTTATTTTTTGTGTAAAAACTTAACCCATTAACCTTGACTTATTATCAACAAAAGATCATTTGAATTTATTCACAGTTCTTTACTCGTCTCATTGTTTGGTCACCAAACAATTTTCACATTTTTTAATGTTTTATACTCAACTCTGATATATAAAACATGTACAACATGAATCACGTCAGGCCAAGTGTATGTCTTCAAACTGTTGTTTTTAAATTTAACAGGTGAGCAGCAAACCATAAAATATTCTGCATCGCTGAATGAAAAAACATTTGGAAAAATGATATAATTTAAAGCAAATTGTCTCAGTTGTATGTATGCATCAATATAATTACAAACACAAAACCCACCATTTTCCAGGTTTATTAAAAAAAAAAAAAAGTTGCTATCTCCTCCCCCATTTTGTTTTTGAGAACAAAACAGTAAGACATAAATATTTGTCACACATAACCTTACATCAATGACGGCGATGATTTAACAGGCCTATAAAGTGTAGTCGGTACAGTTTTGTTAGATAAAGCTCTTAACTTCCGCTCGTGAGTCAGTATACGACACAACATATAAGAAATTCCAACACAATCTATTAAAGTATTGTGTGCAATCTGAAAAAAAGAAATGTCTTCAAACGCCTGCTAAGTAACTGTTGGGTTTAGAGAACAGATGCACTTTATTCAATATACAGGAATTCCCCCAGAGGCTGAACTCCTCTGAACCTCTTGATTATTTGAAGCTATTGAAAAATAAATAAATCTTTTAAAATAATTGTTTTCATCTCCCAGATGACAGTAGTAACACAACCACCCTCCTCCTCAGGCCTCAATATGTGCAAACTGCAAGAGTTTTAAAAAGGTAGCACTAAGCAAGGACCATAAGAACAAACATTTAAGTGTTTTTGAATTAGCACTTAATCAAAAGTGCAGCAGGTGTGACACAGGCATGATTTTAAAATCACAGACCGATTTGGAGAGTTCATAAGTGTCTACCCCTCCTTAGGCTGACAATTCTGTAACAATAATATCAATATTATTTTAAATTGTGCAGAAAGGGAAGGGTTGAAAAAAAGGTCCTCGAACCAAAGTAATTTGGGTGCTAAATTATTTATCTATTCATAAACGGTGCTATCCTAATACAAAACATTCTCTTTAGTCCTTTCAAGGCAAAATACTGAGCCAGGGTGTAGATGTAATGAAGGAATGATTAAATTTGCAGTGAAATGAGATGTACTGCATATTTCTCAACATTCGTTCTAGTCACGTCTTACTCAAAGAAATCTCATTTGCGATGATACTTTGCAGAAACGATGCATTGTCACACAAGAAACGTCACAATTCATGCTGAAAACACTGCTTTAGACATTGGTATTCTATTTTTACACACCAGTGTCTTTCTTTTTTTTTTAGACAAATACATATGTCAACTTAGTCTGGTTCGGCAAAACTGTCATAGTTTTGACTATTTTGGCGGCAGTCATTTTAAAATAGCCACAGCTTGGCCAGATTGTTTTCTTTCAATCAAAATCGACCGGAAAAATATATCCAAGCTGTCAAAAGGGCACCAGCAGAGGGATACGGAATTATTCCTGACGTTTCCTGGTATGAAAAGGCAGTTAGCTTTGTTTTGGTTAGAGCCAACACCAACTCAAAGATCACACAGATGCACAACAAAACACCCAGACAGAAAACAAAAGCCAGAGGAATGCAAAATTAAAACTTTGTTCCAAAAAGAATAATGATTAGAACGATGATTATGACAAAGAGGATCAATATGACCAGCATCTTTCGGTTTTTCTTCTGATATTGTTCTGCCTGCAAAGAAAAGAAAAAAGTCAAAAAGTTAAACACTGCTTTCAATTAAATTAATGAATACAAACCATTTAGTGTCTTATTGTCAAACAAATTGAGTCATAATAGATTTGGTGACCTGACCAATTATAACGAGATAATCCTAACTTGTAACGTGTTTTCCAATGTGGCTGTTAACATTCATTATTAGCTTCCAAGTAAACAGTATTCAAAGAAAATAGGCCAGAAAAATATATCTAAAAACTAATCTGAAATGTCAATTTGTGATAAAAAAAATAAATAAAAAAAAGGTGACAGTCAACCAGACAAGAGTCCAGATGTGTATGAAGACATGAGCATGTTGCGTTTACCTTTTGTAACTGTTTTAGTCCATCATCTGTTTTCACACAAGCCTGCTCCACATTAAAGTCAATTCGGTCCAGAACGGTGCCCTAGAGGGAGAAGACGGTCTTTTGTTAGCGGAGAAAAATTCAGTTTTCAAATCTTTTATTACAAACAAAGTTAATGTTTTATGTTAGTTGTTGTAGCACTGCCACTAACCTAATCATTCTCAATTGAGCTTTGTTGATACAAATACACACATGTAATGCAATATGTCAGAATGCGCTACATTTGAGTCATTGGTGAACTCACTAAGAACCCTCCACTTATATGTGAAGGACCAGACCGATTGTCTTTGGTACCTCAGTCCCTCGACTACTGCCATAATCACTAATTAAGTCCAATTCATTGTGTGCGTAAGTCCATCAGGACCAACTCAAATACCTGTTCCACCACCATTCCAGCCAAGTCCCTGAAAATCTCATTCAGATCTGAGATGGACTGCACAATCTGTCGGATCTCCCGCTCTCGTTCTTCAACCATGAGAGTGTTCTGCTCGACCAGCATCAGCTGGTCGTCTGTGAAACCCTGAAACGAAAGGAAAATAAGTAGGTGATCAATTGTTACTCCAAATGAAACCACACCTGTAGCCACTGCCTTGGTATACACCAGTCATGACTGAATTAGATTCATTTTTATGGCAAAATGTAAAAGAAAAACGAGTAATGCCACTTAATTATCCAACTCCGATTCAAACACCCTGATGGCAAAGCATGTGTTAATGGATATCCTCCTAGCCTGTCTGTAGTTGAGATTAATAAAAAGTGACAAATGTAAAATGCCCAATACTATTTCTACTAATACTACTTAATAACTATTAAAGGATGTTTGTTTTCTTCTCTAGCCGGTACTCATGCTTATAACATGAAGTAAATCTTGTATTGTACTCGAAGTATTATACAGGAAGCCTGTGCTGAAGGAGATGGTGATGCATTTTTAAAAAGTCTGAACACCTTGTCATATACAGCTAATTCTTCATCCTCTTCCATTAAGGGTCCAGAGTCAAAAAAGTGCTGTGATCTCTCCTCACGATTCTTCATACCTGAATAAAAAAACAATTACATGATTTTTAGATATTAGTAAATGTTTTAAGAATGAGAATCCAGGAAGGCCCATTCCAGCTTTGTCGTTGTCTTTACGTTTTAGGTAGCCGGACTGTGTGTGCCTGAAATTGGTGGACAGCTCTTGAAGGCTCTGCGCCAGGGACGAGACCACGTTTCTCAATAGCCTCTCCTCCTGTTCGGTACAGTGACCACAACGAGACTGCAAGCCCGTCACAGCTCGCTGGCATCGGTGAAACATCTGCAATGAACACAGAACCAGTGAGCAGGCGGAAACAAACCAAATTCTCCAACATGAAATATGGTCAGACGTGTTTTATATTCACTGCGCTCGAGTAATAAAAAAATAAAATAAAAAAAAAAGCCACATCTGTGTTTGAGGTTTTTGTCTGTAAATATACACATTATCTCTTGACTACACTGGTAATTGATTGTACCTGTGTAATCTACCTGTGTTATCTCCTGAGTAGTGATTTCTATAGCATGCTCTTCCTCACTACTGTCATCAAGTGTAGGTCGATTCATATGCTTGTCATGCAGTACGGCCAGATCCTTCATCTTTTGCCGTACCCGCGAGATCTCGTACTGGATCTGAAAAGACAAGGTCAATGAGTTAAAAGCCATGTTGACTTCACTTTGTACACAAATTATTGGGCTCATACTGAAGAGTTTTTATTTGTATTGGTCAGCCTTTTATAGATAAATCTATATATGTCTAGTCCAGTCTGACTGGGTTATTCACCTCATCAACCTTATCTATCCATTTAGGGGGCAATTTCTTTGTGACGCCGATGGCTGCTTCAGGATCCAGACTGATTCCTGACACCAGGGCCATTCGATCATCAGCCAACTTTAAAAAACACAAACAACATATCGTTTGATCAGAACATTGTATGTAATAATTCAACATGATGATTAAGATGAGGTACTTTAAGCAGCTTGTGTAATTTAGCTGCAGAGGGAATCAACAGTACCTCATCAAGCTCCTAATGTGATTGGCAGATAGCAGATTCGTCCAATCCAATAGAGGAAAAAGGAAAGGAGAGAAAGACAGAAGCAACAGAAAGTGAGCCCTAGAAAAAATCTGCTGTGAATACCCATCCACAACCCCGCAAAATGAATTCATTTGAATGTGAACGAGGATATCTGTAAAGCAGGGTACATACAGGCTGTTAATATAAAACTTTTTCAGAAACAAAAAGTGTTTGGGGACGTATAGTGCAAAACTACTATGCAAATACTAAGACACATTTTATATATCCAGAAACTAGCTGTCCTTCATTCATTTCTCTTCAAATCATATTAGATGAAAGAAACAGCAAAAATAAAAGATATAGAGAAAGAGAATGTAAGCGCCTCAAGACACCCTGACATGGCAGTTAAACAAAAAGGTCATTTTTAATCAAATTTGCAATGAGGGGGAAGTTAATTTTATTAAGATTATTTTGTGTCTTCTTGTTTTAATTGCTCCTAGGCCTTCTGGCAAAGTCAGTAGTTTTAAAAGGGCTTAAGCAAGCTGAAATTAGTTTTAGTTGAGTCATTGGCTTTCAGTAAATGCAAATATATATTTCAGCCCGTGGACATGTATGCACAGCATAATTTCAACTCTGAGTTGCACACTGCTGCATACAACTATACGTTTTTCCAGTTGTCGCTCTTTTTGAAAAAAATACATAACGAATGTTATTTTAACACCAATAATGTACTACCAATCTTCTTTGGGACATTAGAGGAGAATGGAGCAACATTTCAAACAACACAATTTACAACATACACTTATGTATATGTATGGAGTCTAATATAGGAAGAATGAGACAAAACATAATAAACAGTCATGGTGAAAGACAAGAAAGACATTAGACTAATAACATAACCACGTAACATTTCCATTTGAGTTACATGACCCAATGCACTCGGTATAACAGTAGAATACCTCTCTAGGTTTGTTTGTATCTGTGAAATATCAGCCTCTCCAAGACATCAGGAACAGAAGATAAAATACAGTTTACCAGAGGAGAAAAGAACGACGGTTAGGATAAGTATTCAGTAGCTGAAGTTCAGCAGCACATTCTGGGAAATATATTATAAAATAACGCGATATTTATATGCAGTGTCTCAGGTTCAGTCGTAAATCTCTCTTGGGTAGCATTTAACTGGTTAAAGTGTTCTCAACAGAGTGTGAATGGTTGTGCACACACTGCCCCTGCTTACTGTGCACCCTGCCTCCTCTAGAGATGTATGGTGAACTCCAGTACAATCACTAGAGAGCTGTAAACTGTTCATGCTCAACCTTCACAACCGTGTAGAGGAACTGTCGGACAGCGCCTTGAAAACCTTGTTCTTTGTGCATAAACTAAACTAATGCACAATTTGTAGGGAACAATGCCAATGAGGTTGAGTATTTGGTCAATCAACATTAAACCCTTGAACTCTCAGCTCTATTGTCTGGTAGAGCACATTGAGTCATGTATTATTGAAAAATGTATTGACCCTAATATAACCTGATTAAGCGTGGACATTAAAACACTCTTCTTCCTAACCCTATCTTTCACAAAAACCAACCTGATCTACACCGATCTTTTAATCCCAGAAACGATTACTCGGAATAATTAAACTACTTTAATCTCCATTCTTTACATTTACTGCAGACGTTTTGCCCGAGTTATTACGAATAAGATATGCCTGCCTCCCCATCCTCCTCCATCAGCCAGTAAGTCACATGAAACCATTAGCTCTGAGATGAATTACTACCGGTGTAGAAATCCTATTGGGTAAAGGATCCTATAACACAACATGCATCACAAACAGCTAGCTGACCGCTCGGTGACTCGCTATATGCAAACACACACAGTAAAATGTCAAAACGATGCAGACCACTCACCGCAGCATTGCTACGTGTACTCAGACGGGGGTCGTATGTACTCACTTGCTCTGCCAATATCTGCCGGTTTTGGATTGCATTGTTCCGCATTAACAAGAAGGCATCCGTCAGACGCCTTGTGGCCATGACTGCCTTGTTCGATATACAAATTAACACTGGATTAAATGCGGATCGGGTGTTATTTTTAAATTTGTGTCAACCGCCGCTGACCGGCTACTAGCACAGCTAGCTTTAGCTTTAGCTTTAGCCGCGATAGAAATTTGAGGAAAACGCGCGAGGCGGACAGAACACGAGATTAACAATACTTATCTGTCAGGCACCTCGAATACTTAAGTTGAAACATGACCGAGGCGTTCTTTTAAAATTTGGAAATTCAACGCTAGATTGTTGACGTTATTCCGCTCTAGGCAACTACGGAAGTGGGAAAACGTAAACACCTGCGTGAAGAGCTTCTTCTTCTACTGGTTATTTACTGCGGCTGTTAATAGCCTCTGGAGCCCTTTGTCGCCACCTGTTGCCTCGGCCTAAAGTACAGGACCACGTGTTGTCTCCGCTGTTTGACAAAATGTTACTTATATAAGCATGATAGTTAGTTTTTGATCTTGAAATGTTGACATGTTGATGCTTTTATCCATAGTGCGTATAACAGGTACCTTTATTTAATTTGTTTTATTAAATATTTTAAGAGATAATTTAATGATTTTAATAGATTTGGGATGTATGTGAATACATGTTATTCATTTGGGATAGATTTGTACGGGGAAGTACAATTTAGGCTACTTATGGAAGATCATTTTGCACACATCACAAAAGCATATGTGGAAACATTTTTTAAAAATTCACATCAAGAAAAGTGGACCTTTGGTGTGTCAAACAAGATAATGTTTTGATCAAAAATGTCCATGCTATACACATTTCGCTTGCGATAAATTAATATGACATACATGAGTTCGATGTCAAAAGTAAACCACTGTCACATATAGATGAAAACATGTGTCATCTGTTACCACTCTACACAAGGACTCACCTCACACTTTTTGCCGGCCAACTTCCTCCATCTTGAGCTTGTTTATCTTCATCAATTTTTTTGATTTCATGTCCTACCTGTTCATCTAGCTTTTAGTGTTGGACATGTGCTCAACTAACAAGAAATATTTCACTGTCTATTGACTTGATAATTTCATATCAAATAACGAAAATTCAAATAAAATTCAAATTTTTAAAGCCCAGTTAATAACATTTTTTTCCTGTAAAAAGCTTCTGTGAGCAAGTTTATAATATTTAATTAATCTACATCTGCTCATCACTGTTAACCAGAGAGCTCGAAGCTTTTTTTTTGGGCCTAAAGCCGCCGTATTTAGAAATGTGTTGACTTGCTGGCGGGTTTACAGTAAATCAAACAAGTGCACGTGCGTGTGCGTGGCTATTGCGTTTGTGTGACTGCGTGCACGCGCGAGGCGCTTCCACTGACAGTCATTATGCCACTAAAAGCTCCTCCTGCACTCATTTCCTAATCCCTTATCTCCGCTAATACCGCAACTGACATTTCCCCACGAGCACCAGCTGCCGTCGACCATCGCAACTAAAGTTCCGCGTTGAGAAGGTCGCGTTTGGATAAGCTGTTGTTTTGTTTTAGTCTAAGGAGACGAGAAGGTAAGGAGTCTCCGCGTGATTGACTGATATCCTGTGCAGCGAAATCGAAGAAAAGTAGAAACAAGTCGTGCCTGTCCCTCGGTCGGGAAGCCAAATCATAGATTAATCCCGTCCGATGGGCGCCGCTCAAAAGGTTGTTCGTGATCATTTCCGATTGTCAGTAACGTTACATTTCTGCACCGAGGGGCTTTTACAGGGAGAAGATGGGTGAGCACGTGTACCAGCACAGATATTATGTCGACAGGCTGGTGTCTCATTCATGTTTTCTTTTCTGCTGGTGACGTTCATGAAGCCTTTTATTACGTTTTAGCCTACATATCAAACTCATGTGGGCAGGTCCTCATCTTGTCAGATCTTGTAAGAAACTGTCGCCTCCTGTTCATGTTTCTAAGGGTCTAACTGAAAATGGAAATGATAAAAACCTCCCTTACTCATTGAATGTGTTACATTAAGCGTAATTGGCTCTAATTTTAGGATTCATCTGCTTGAAGGCCCGACTGTAAATATGTGGTTCAGATCTATGTCTTCACCCAAGAGGAGTGTGCATGCAGTCCAAAGAATGGGGCCAAACCAGTTATTGTCACCCAAAAGACCACACCTCTCTGTTTCTGCCGACTCTCTTTGTTAATGCTCTGTCTTGATGTTGTTCTCTTCTGTCGTCTCTGTGATGCCCCGTCGTTGGTCTCTCTTTGCACACCAAGCTGCTCGGCATGGCCTCGTCCGAGGATACAGAAGGCTCTTTGACTCCCGTGGATTTTATCCAGCTGCAGCATTACATGGAATGTAAGCGTCATCTTCTCATTAAACTTTATTTCAGCTTGTTAGTAACAGAGGCATGTCAATGCTGCACTTAACACAAAGAGATCAGCTGCAGAGGTTCTCACGGTCCTTGCTTTGGGGAAGAGGAGGAAGACACATAAGTATTTTTAGCTGCAGATTTTGAATGCACATACTTTACATATTTTGGAACAAATAGTTTCATGTACTCTACTTCACGCTTTTATTATTGTGCCACTTCTACATGTTCTCCATTGCAGTTCAAACGGAAATGTACATTTATTACACAGCTTTAGCAATAGTTATTTTCAATGTTAAATTAGATTGAGCAAAATACAAAAACAATGAGAGAAAAAGAGCAAGGCAATCTCTTGGGTGTGCATACCTCTCTGATCGCTGACTTACTTTAATGAGTTTCCAGCTACTTCAAAACTTGAGAATCCGTCCTTGGGGAGGTCAAGCCTTTCACAGCGAGTAAAAGTAGATGTAGTCACTAAACATCGGTTTATCAACTCCAAATCGTTCCATATAGATCTACCAAGGACGGTTCAGCGTCACTGCAGAATCACAAGGCAAGGCAATTTTATTTGATTAGTGCAGCAAGGCAATTCAAATTACCTCACATAAAACCATTAAAACATCCAAACATAAAGCAAGGAGACGTCCAAACAGTTAAGAACTTTGATTAACAAACAGCAACTCAAAACTCTAAATTATGAGCTGCACTTCAAGCTAATAGAGAATTAGGTAGACCTGTTGACAGGAAGCCAAAAGGCTAAAAATATTCAGCTGTACACTCATGAAATTAAATTGTTATGTAGGCTTTTAGTGTTGAGGGGGGGGGGGCACTGTTGGATAATGGATGAAAAGATTAGAGACCCGCTCCTTGCAAACAGCACAGCCCAGATTTAATCTAGGATACACACAGCACGTCCACAATTAGTGATGAACTCGCTTTTGTTTGCCTGTTTTAGCATCCAGGATCCTCATTAATTAATCTGTGGGCCTAATGACAAAAGGACAAAGACCTGAGTTAGTTCCTAAGATTCTCTCGTTCTCAGTCTCTGCTTTGTCTATTGATTGAGCTCGAAACAGATCCATCTCCAAAATGTATAAACCTGTTTGCAATATCCTCTTTTTGAATCCACTTCATGTGTTCTCTTTGCAGATAGCAGTCAGAGGGTGAAAGATGTGATTAAGGAGTTTCAACCTGGTGGTCGGCTGGCCCAGCACAGCTTTAAAGAGGTGAGTCATACAACAGATCGTTGATGTGTGGTAAGTCTCACAATTATTTTACAGGATTGTCATTTCCCATTCTTTTGAATGATCTTTTTAGGAAGTCTCAGAAACAATTTTTCCTTAAAAAATCAAATTTTCAAACAAAGTATAAATATATTTCTATTCAATTAATATTGGGAATTTGTTTCTTCATTTAAGTTTATATTGACCTGCTGACTGGAATTACTATTTTTAATGTAATTATCTCAAAATTTAAATTGTTTTTTTTAATAGTCAATTGTCAAAGAATTATCTAAAATCACAGTCCTGTGACGATGAGTTCATTTCCGTCCACAGCGCGTGGATGCAGTGGGTTTCTGTCTCTTTCTCAAGACCTACCTAGAAGTAGATGACTTCCCTGCAGACTTCTGCCAGCGTCTTTTTCACTATTTTCAACATGTGGAGCATGATACTTCTGGCAAGAGCCCTCTGCCTGAAGGAGGTAAATATTTTGGAAAGTATGATCTCTTTTCACATTACAGCATGAAATCAGGCACGTGTTAAAAGTAACTGTCATGCTTAGCTCAGAGTGTCGCAGGGAAAACACCATACGACATCCTGAAAATAATCAAAGAATGCTACAAGGACTGTTTGCTGTTGGACATTTTGTTGAACGCCCACCTGTTTGTTTGGGTTTATTTTATCTTACGCGGCTGCGTCACATGAGTAAAGCCGTAGGCGTGTTGTAGCTTCGGAGATAAGTGCAGCTGTTCAGATAACCAGGCTTGGATAGATTACTTGTTTTTATTGCTGCAGTAAATTTTCATTGGGAAAAAACATGATGTAATATATCAAAGGTTGATTCTGAAGTTCTTGATCTTCAGGTGGGGTCTTTCTTCGTGATGTTTCCTGTTACTTCTCAGTGCTGGAGGAAGGACAGCCACGCGAGAAGCTCGAATGTTGGTTCCATCCTCCATTTGTACATTTTATGACACGTTTGTCATAGTGCAACTGCATTTATTGTATCTTTTGCCACAGTTGAATCATTAGGATTGATGATCCAGAAACTGAAAATACTGACTGACTTTGTTTTGTTTCTAGTTACCTTCAAACTTTATGACAAAGACTGCAACCAACTCCTGGACAGCTCTGTAAGTTAATCAAAATCACAGAGAGCCTTATCCAGCTTCGCTCTGTAACAATGTGTGCCTAAATTAATAAAATATCTGGGATGCTTTTTTTTCTTGACTTGCAAAAGCTGACACATGTAGATTTATTGTTTACGATAAACAAACAAGTAATAGTTAAATAAGACTGTTTGTGATTTGTTGGCGGTCACACTCTTTTGAATGTGGACGGTAACTTGTGTCTCCATCAGGAGGTGGATCGTATAATCACCCAGATGATGCGAGCTGCTGATTACCTCGGGTGGGACGCGACTGAACTCAGACCAGTATGAGTCTCATTTTGATCCTTTTTTCATTTTTAAGCTTGTATTTTTGCTTTTGTTTCAGTGAATCCTAAATACTTACAATCTTTGTAATTGCACAGGTGCTCAAAGACATGATGACAGCGATCGATGTGGATGGCAGCGGCACAGTCACTCTGGAGGAATGGGTCAAGGGAGGCATGAACAATGTGCCTTTACTGGTTCTGCTTGGACTGAAGGTGACAGAACATTTGACTCCACATACATTTACATTTCCTGGCAACATCCCACATTTTGTCAGTAAATAAACCAACTGGAAATTGTCACCTAGTTCAGTGTCATGAACTGCGGTTCCACGTTTCTTCAATTTAGTCTTCTCGCCCACAGATGACCGAGAGAGATGGGCAGCATATTTGGAGGATGAAGCACTTCAACAAACCAACATACTGCAGCGTGTGTCACAGCATGCTGCTCGGCCTCGGGAAGCAGGGACTCTGCTGCACCTGTAAGAGCTCACTGCTGCCATCAGTGGGCGACCGTGCACCTCATACACATTACAAATGAAGGAAATGAAGCAGAAGAGTTGCGGCTAGTTTGCTTATAAGGTCCATTATTATATATAGCGGTATACATGTTTTCATGGATAACACTCTATCTTGAACTCATTCACTGCCATAACATTTGTTTTCTCCCTCAGTTTGCAAGTACACGGTCCACAGTCATTGTGCCAACAAGAATCCTGAACCCTGCGCCCGTACCTTTGTCAGATCTAAGAAGGAGATTGGTGTAAGGACCCACACGACAGCCACTTCATTACTTATTTTACAATTCCAAACTTACATTCATATTTTCTAAATTAAAGGATTAGTCTACTGATGTTCCATGTCAACAAATCTCACGGCAACCAACCAAACCCAACATTGCATTAGACCGGATCTCAATACTTTCTCCAATGACCCTACTGAGCAGTATTCCTAAAGCAATTGAACCTTCACTAAGTCCCCTTTTTAAAAGAGTTTTCAAAACAGTTGGGCGCAGAAGTTTTTGCAAATATATCCGCTGCAAATTGATTCCTACTTGGTGCTCCAGAATATTTCCTTATTCAGGGAATGAAATGAAAGTTCATTTGAACTGCAATGGAGCTCTGCATCTTTAGAAATGAAATCAGGGAGTGGATATATGGACATGTTAGGGATAAATCCATGTTGGATTCAGCCATTTCCAAAGATTTGCTGACAATTACAAAAAGTATAGAATATTTTACCTTTTGTCTTAAAATTTATTTTTCTCAAAATTAAAAAATCTAATACTTGAATCCTGAGTTATTTCGTTTTTAAAACCACTGTTTTAAAGGTCAAGAAGGAGCTAAACCAGGGGTCTCAAACTCGCGGCCCGCGGGCCAATTGCGGCCCTCGGAACGATATTTTGTGGCCCCATCCTTAATATGAAAGTGTAATGTTAGTGCGCCCGCAAGTTTTATACTGTAACCCCACTGTCAGCTGCTGTGTGGGACATGTTATGATGTTCTGGTTTCCTACTGTGTGCTTGTCCAGTGAACGTGGCATGCATGTGACTGACATGGGGGGCGGGTCGTGTGTGTCGGCCGAGGTGCAGAGAGCAGGAGGGTGAAATTCAGTTTCCTGCCCTCTTTCGCGCAGGTGATCATGTGACTAACCGTTAGCATCGCTCGTTTAATAAGGTTTTCCTTTACGACTCACACTAACAACACATGAAGCATCTGACGTCACCGACGAGCGTCTCCGTCCATTACTACGCAGCTTCGATTCACGTAACTTCACGTTTGGCTATAAAGGAATTCCACGGTCACATGACCTTAGGTCTCCCCCGCTGAGTTAAAGGAGGACTAGTGTTGTAGTCTCATTCGGACCGATCCCCCAGGGTGGGGTTCAATGACTGCTTTTGAAAGTGAGTGTTAAGTTGTGTTATTGTCGACCAAGCCGTTCGGACGCTAGTCTGGCCCGCGTTCGGTTGAAGTGGGCTGCATCTGGCCCGCAGCTGATTTGAGTTTGAGACCCCTTAGCTAAACGTTCATATTTCTTAGGTATATTCAGGTATATATTAGGTATATTCATGTCAGTAAACAGAAAGAAGAAATTGCAGCAACAGTAAACAAATTAGCCCAGATAACGTTACAGTACATTAGGCTGTAATAAGTGCCGCCTGTTAGTGTTTTGTATGTGCAGTTTATAGCTGACACAGTCTGCTTCTCTCCTTAATTCCTAATTTTACACAAACGTAGATAATTAAGTGTTTAAGTGTTCAATATCTTTTTTTTTCTGTGAAATGTCACAACCAAAACTTACAACCTGTAAAGGAACACAACAGTGAACTGGACCACTTTGGTCCGCTGCTCCAAGAGGTTTCCAGAGTGCTGTAGGGATATTTCATCTGTTGATGCGTCTCTGCCTGTCAGTGGTTATCCACTTCAATTCAATTGGCACCACTCTACTGAATATCACCTCAACACTTGACACTATGAGTAAAAGTATTCAGGGAAATGATTCTGGGTAATTAGAAATATAACAGTAGTTGTGAATTACACCTTTTCTTCTCCTCTTAGGTAGCAGCTCACGACTGGATAAAAGCCGACAAGTCTACAAAGTGTCGGGTCTGCCACAAGAAGATCAAGACTTTAGCTGGGAGACGCTGTGTGTGGTGCCAGGAGATGGTGAGCAGCGTGTGCGTGTTTGGACATGAATTTGAGAACATCTCTTTGCTCGATGTTAACTGACACTTGTTTTCTTTAAGCGTCACGATGAGTGTATTTTCTTGGGCTTGTCGTCCTGCGATTGCGGACCACTGAGAGATCATATACTGCCTCCATGGGCCATACACGCCGTCCCAAAGGTAAAATGAGCAGCACTGTAAATTTGGCTTGAACAGATTTAGATTTCCCGGATAATTGTAAGTTAATTGTCTGGGTTTATTTTTGATTGTGGCATATTTCCTGCAGGAGGAAGACACCAGCTTGTTAAATGTCACCCCTGATGGCCACATCCTGCAGGTTATCAAATCTTCCTACACACTTTTATTCCTTTTCCAACCGTACACCCATGTGTTTTCTCTGTGCGGTCTGTTCCAAATCGTCTGCTCAAACTACCATCTGCAGTACACTGCTTTTGGGAGAATCTCCAGATTGAATGATTTGTCATGTTTTTTTTGGGAAGATTTCCACATTTAAAAGGACTGTGCCACTGTCTTTGAATTCTGTTAATATTCATTTTGTGTGTTGGATGAAGTCTTAGTCAAATACGTCCACTTCAGCTGGGACAAACCCACTGGTCAAGTATTTTAAATTTAAAGTATCAGATAATCACCTTCAACCTTCCTGCAGCATTATCCACTTCTACATGACTAAATATGCTGCTTCAGTTCTTGCTTCGTCTCAGTTAGCTTTGTGTCTTTTATTTAAATGCAAGCACATTTTTCAAAATTTACTAGCAATATTTTTTTAGTTGAATAGTCCTAAAATGTATCTGCCATGGTAATTACAATATATTATCAGCATATTTGAATATTAAGGAAATTCTAACTTTATTTGGTGAGAGAGAGAAGTCTCTGTGTGCTGGTCATGTATAAACAAGCCAATATCTTGAATAAGTCTACTTTATTTGACAGCTGCAGATATTGAAATTTCTCTGCCTGGTACTTATTATATACAATCCATGCAGTTGGTTGACTCACGGCATGTGTCCATATTTCCTTACATATCATGTATGTGATCTTCAAAGATCTTTTGGCTCTTAATCTGTCATGTATTCTTCTTCAGATTGTGTCGATTCCAAACATTCACCCTCTGCTGGTGTTTGTGAACCCAAAAAGTGGAGGAAAGCAAGGTTTACGGTAAGCTGCCTAAAGACTTCATATGTTTTTTAACACGTATCTTTCCATTTTTATCTGATTTTCAGAATAGGGCTCTCCCCACTTCCAGGTTGTGATTATTTGTGGGTGGGAACTTTTTTTTTTTCCACAGAGTGCTGAGGAAGTTTCAGTACCTGCTGAACCCACGTCAAGTGTACAACCTCTCCAATGGCGGTCCTGCTCCAGGGTACAGTTCACTCTCACCAATAAAACTGTGCACACTTCAGTTTGTTCACATCAATGATGCTATTGTTTCTTCAGACTACACTTCTTCCGCAATCTGCGTGAGTTCAGAATCTTGGTGTGTGGAGGAGATGGCACCGTTGGGTGGCTCCTGGACGCTATAGGTGCAGTGGGTCATTTTGGGGTTTCAGTGAGGTATCGAAAGATACATATCTCTGATGGTTCTGAAGGTTGAATAACTTTCCCGTCATTTCAGACAAAGAAAACCTGCAAGTGCATCCTCCAATAGCTGTCCTGCCTCTGGGCACCGGCAATGACCTGGCTCGCTGTCTGCGCTGGGGAGGAGGTGAAATCATCAGTACATTAATCCTACACTGAGACTGAAGTATTGACCCTGTCATCGGGGGCCTTCATTTACTTTATCTTCTTCCCCCAAAAAAGGCTACGACGGGTCAGACTTAAGAGAGATCCTGAAGGAGGTTGAAGCTAGCGAGTTGGTTCCCATGGACCGCTGGAGCATCCAGGTGATACCAGACGATCCACAGGAAGCTGGAGACCCTGTACCCTATGAGATCATTAACAACTACTTCTCTGTTGGAGTGGTGAGTCTTTGCCTCTGCAGGAAGAAATGTTAACATCATACATTCAAATGCAAATATATTACTGTATGACTTTGACAGGATGCCTCTATTGCTCATCGTTTCCACTCCATGAGAGAGAAATATCCCCAGAGGTTCAACAGCAGGTGAGGATTTATGCTCAACTGTTAACAGCGAGAGTCATTTATAATTAAATGTGAAACCGAGCTTCCTATTTTAAATAATAAAAGTGAAGCTTCTCTCTTTCTGTTTTTAAGAAGGAAGAACAAACTATGGTATTTAGAGTTTGCCACCTCTGAGACCATCTCTGCATCTTGCAAGAGGCTGAAGGAGTGCCTCACAATTGAGGTTAGAATATCTTACATACATCTTACATTGTATTTGTAATTCACATCATTATCTTTACCAGGGGTATCATTCAATCGATTCCAGTGTGTGTGCACCTGTATCTGTCCATGGCGTATTGCCGCAACAGACTGCATAGTGTTTTGTGGGCCCAGTTATGTCTGCTTGCTCAAGGACCTCTTCTGGTTGTGTTGCCTCACCTTCTCTAAACACCTTTTACTGCCTCCCTGATACTGTCACTCATTTCCATGTGACTTCTCACAGTATACTGGCAACCGACCCCTGACTGCTCAGAGTATGAAGTATTTTAAGTATGAAATATTTTAATCAACCAGTTGAAGCCGATTGCTTTTAATCGCTGTACCTTTTGGCAACATTTTTTTACAACACCTTTGGTTATAACCAGCGGTTTAGCCAATTTTGGGTTTCACACAATGCAGCAGTGGTGATTGCAGACACACCTGGTGGAGATCTGCACTGTTCTGAGCACACCTGTTTTGTAATGTTAAAGTCTTTTATAACTTGGTTCAGTTGTGTAACCAGTTATTGTTTTGCCTCCATCAGTGCCGTGGAAAGTTTGTAGACCTGAGCAGCATGTCTCTTGAGGGCATAGCTGTCCTCAACATACCCAGCATGCATGGAGGCTCCAACCTTTGGGGCGAGTCCAAGAAGCCTAATAGCGGGCCAGGAGTGGAGCACAGTGAAATTATCACTGACCCTGAACTTCTTAAAACAATCTCTCAAGGTTTGTATTCTGCTTAATATGACAAAATATTGTCAGTAAACCTTCTCGCCTTCTTGCGTAATGATGCCATCAGCGGGGTTGTTTACATCCCTGATTTATTCTTTTACAAACTCTTTGAACTTGGTTTGTGTGTGTTTTGCACTCTGCAGATATGAGTGACAAGCTGTTGGAGGTGGTGGGGCTGGAAGGAGCCATAGAAATGGGACAGATCTACACCGGACTCAAGAGTGCTGGGCATAGACTAGCTCAGACTTCTCAAATTACCATCAGGTTGTGTACATGATTTGTTTCTTTTAGCTATAAAATGTACATGTTTGACATACTGTTCACACACAGTACAAATAGCACAGTATAATTAGATCTCTCCTTCCTTTGTGCAGGACAATCAAAGCCCTCCCTATGCAAATCGATGGGGAGCCCTGGATGCAGCCCCCATGTACAGTAAGTGACATAATCCAGTGTAAATCAGTACAAAGAGATTTATTCATTACAGTCTGGGATCACAGCATTGTAGTGTACAACAAAGTTACATTTATTCTTTTTTTGCAGATAAAGAAAGTACAAATAAGAGAAACAATGTTTCAGTCAGAAAACCATTGTAAATATTCACCCTGATTATGTTGATCAGTGTGAGCTGTTTAAAGCCAGTTAGAGAGAGGGCGGAATTTGAGATGGCTCAGGGTTATTGCACAGCAGGTGTTTGAGGATCTCATTTGGAATATATCATTACATTTATTTAGCAGACAATTTTTTTCCACAGTGATTAGTCATCGCGCCAACACATTATGCACAATTTGAAGGCTATGGCTTACTCATTTGAACAGGGGAAGATAAAGGATTAAATCATTAACCCTGTGATTCATTGCAAACCACCCATTCCTATTTACAATTCATAGTGTCATAATCTTGACATTTACAGCCAGAGGAAATATTAAATCAAAAAACAAATGGCATCCAAGATCAAGTTTTCTTTCAAAAATAACGCACAATAACAATGCTACAAATTGATAAACGTTCGGCAGACAAAATATTACAAGCAGCTTTCAGTACAATGTAAAGCAATACAGCAGCAATACAAACCGTAGCCTCAAAAATAATTAAATTAAAGTCTGGTGGATTCAAGGAGAACATTGATATATCGGAGAAAGTGATGTTTCTTCAAATAAGATTTTACATTTAAATTTCAAACGGGAATCTTTGATTAAAGCTGAGATGTTTTTTGACATCACTCAATCTATAATGATATGAACCCAAACAATGAAAATGTGCATCACTAAAGCGGTTGTATTTTTTATTATAGATCCACATACGTCACAAGAACCAAGCTAACATGCTGATGGCTGCACCAACAAAATCAACCGGCTTCTTTCACCACAAGTAGCCTGACACATCCACAGCAGCACCCTCCAGTCTGCTGAGAGCCAAGACGGGACGCCTACACCACTGCAATGATGCAGGGAGAGCAATGATGCAAGAGAGACGTCTGTCTCTGACTTTGTAACAGTGTGGTTCTTTTATTCTGTAATAGTGTGTGTTTTGGACTTAATCCCTAATATAATTGTACAAACTTGACTACTCAGTGTGATTATTGCTGTTGTGTGCCAACTGTAATATAATGCATTCATTTTTGAGTCATGTTGTGGATCTTGTGTGTGAATGAATACATTGTCTTATTTTGTGATTGTGTTGTGCTCCATCACATTAACAATAGTTTTATCTGTACTTCCTAAGACAGCTGGTGTTGAACCGGCTTTGTTCAGCCCTCAGACGTTCACATCGGCTCACCTTGTTCAACAATCTTTTCTCTCTCAGTGTGCATCCAACTGAAAGCTAAATGTATGATGTCATTATTTCAGTGTGCAGTCACACAATACACAGACGCCTTCAGAAATTAAATGAAATATGGTATATTCCATAGAATAATATATTATGTGACTAGAAAAATGTTTCAGTGATGTGTCTTTCAGGCATCTGGTGCTGTGAGTTTAGTGTGTAGTCTATTAGCGCAAACAGTAGTAGTAGTAGTAGTAGTACATGTGTATCATGTCTGCATGTAATTTATCATCTTGTCTTAATGTTAGAATGTGTAGCTGTCAAGCATCACATTGACAGCATGTATTGCATTGTCCTCAGAAATAATCACAATCTGTGGCTCCACTAAAAGTCTCTTTTTAATATACTGGCCGATTTGTTTATAATTGGGGAGATTGCACTGTGCCACGGCTAGCTCAACTAGCCCTCCCCTTTAGTGTGAGGGCCCAAACGCAGACACTGTAGGCAGAGGTGGAAGTGATACATGTTTATTGAGTAGAAGTGGTGATGTAGATGGGGGGCGGGAGGAACCTCAGGAAAGGAGATGCACTAAATACAGGACAAGACGGTTAGGAGGGTTGAGAGGAATGATCAAGCCAATGGAATGGTGATGTTGGTGGTCCTTACTGCGTTAGATGAGAATCCAGATAGGAGAGGAGGGTGCTGGCTGAGTGCTGAGGCTTTGAGTCTTACAGGCAGTGAAGTGGAAGGCAGTAAAGGATCCAACTGTGTAGCAGATTCCGGCAACGGGAGCAAGACTGGAGGAGACAGAGGCAAAATGTCACACTGAGGAAGAGGGTTCTCTCTGAAGAGATAAGTGGGAGCCGTATTACCACTCAGACCCACCCAGACTCCCAGGAAACCTGCCCCGCCCTCACCTAAGACTCAGAAACCAGCCAAGCATGATCGTGACACAATGTATGTCACAGCGGAATATGAAGCTCTCGCGCTAATGACACAGACTTGTACCATATGAAAATAATTCAATATGCAAAAATTGGAGTGTTGAAATTTCAGGGTTAAAAATTTCCGAGTTGATTTTCACTCCCAGAGTGTAATTTTAACACATTCTGATTTAAATGGTGTTCAGTGTTATTTGGTTATTTGGCAGAGTTGATCATGTCAGTGTTAACCCAACTCCGCAGAGATGTAATTAAGCTCCGCCCATGCCTTTCACCTCTTCGGTTAGAGACAGAGAAGACAAGTCTGCACCATTTTCTACCTCTCATGCAGTACTACACGGTAAGTGCAATTAAGTTAAACTTACTGAAACAATTAAAAATTGATGCTGAGAATTTCAGTATGAACAATTAAATATCCACAGAGAATATATGCCTTATACAGCCGTGTTTGTTGCCAGGACTGAACAGTAAATTTGTCCTCGTGGTTAGCTAGCTAGTTAGCAGTGTACGGTAAGCTAGCTAACAGTTTGTTACTAAAACTATCTCCAACTTTATCAATAATGATTTAACAATTCACAGGCATACTCAAAGCTAGGAAATACAAAGCATTATGATTTTTAACTATATAAAATCTTGTTTGAGGCTGGAGCCAACGTTTTTTTTTTTCGCTTTGAAGATCAAAGGGACCTCAAAAAACGTGTCCCAACATGCAGACGGGTGTTTCACGTGTCTAGTTCACGTGTCTAGCTATCCATCAGATTCTATGACCTGCAGTGTTGGAAAAATTACTAATTTACTTAGGTAAAAGTATGTAAGTATTACCATTACTATTATTACCAAGTTAAAGCTAAAGTACAAAATTAGCAGAAAATCGGGGTGTGACTGATATATATGAAATACATTTAAGTGCATCATTGAATACTTATGAGTCGGTGCATAAGCAGCCGATTTTCTGGAAAGTAGCACTTTTTCCAATACTGCAGGTCACAGAATCGACTTTTTACCGTTCTTGCTTAAATGTTTATTTACTTTCTCAAACTTCATTGCATGTCTCAGTCAAAATGCTGGTCCAGGTGAAGTACAGCCAACAGCAGAAGTATGTAAAGTTGGATGAGGATGAAGGACTGTTTGACTTTCTGCAATTCCATGAAAAAGGTTAGCATGGCTTACAAAAAAGGTTTTAAACCACATCCATGTTCTTTTTAAAGCTCTTTACATGCCTTTATCAGACTCTAATACTGTAAATGGGTGTACATTGCTAAACATTTTCAGTTCTGCAATGTGTGCTTCATAAAGTGTAAAGTATATAATAATATACACCAAAACAGTCAATAAAAAAAAAGGCAATCATCAATTTTTAAATTTGGACTTGGAAGGGAATGGGTTTTGTGAGGGACAAATGGTCTATGTCTATTCAATGATTATACAATGTTGGATGTATGTATTTAACATGCACAGTTATTGGCTGTGAGGCAAGAAACAGTGCGGACTTCAAAAGCACATTCAGTTTGACCTTATCTATTCCAGTCATGGAGAGATTTGGCCTGCCACCTGATGCAAATGTTATATACAAAGGATGCAACAGGGACAGAAGTTGATGCAGAAATATTCAGCGACCTCGTTGGACAAGGCAATGTGGTCCTGACAGTTTTCTCAGATCAGGGTGAGATATCAAGGCAGGTATAATAAAGCACTCTACACCTTAGTATATCATTTAATAATTGAAATGTTATTTAATTATCTATTGCTTTAGAATTCTCTGATTTCTCCTTGTCTTCTGAGACGTCTGACTCAAGCTTCAGCTCAAGTGCATCAACTATAATCCTAGATGTTCCTAACAAGAGACAAAGAATTGAGGATACACGTGATGCTGTGTCTGCTAAACAGGTTGCTTAATGCTTTCACATTTTTTCACTCTGAGTCACTAGAAAAGCTGTTTATCGCCATGTTTTGTATTCTCATGTTTTTGTTTTTAATAAGTTGATAGAAGCTGTGCTAAGAGGCAAGTCTGGAGGTGAAGAAGTACTACAGAAGTACCAAACAACAGAAACCCTAACAGATGCTGCAAGAAGACAAATGGTTAATTTCCTGGTGGCTCACATGATTGACAATCATGGGTATGTTTGTTTCACATTGTTTTTATTTGTGCATGACCATTGCATAAATGTACTAATTTACTAATTTAATATCTCCTCTCAGGCACTGCCCCACTAAAACAATCAGAGAAGATTATGCACGTGGGATAGTGATGCTGTTCCCTTCCCTTAAGGATCCATACTCCAAGAAGGGCTATGTAATAGGCATTATTATTGTTTAAACTTTCATGTCATGTTGTGACCCAAAACTGTGTGGATGACATTGATATTTGAATTCCGTGAGATTTCTCATGAGCCTGGTATTGCAACACATTTCTTTTTTTCATTTCAGGAACACTTCTATGATGCTGCAAGCAGCACAGGATACATTTCTTGGCGTCTGAAAACAGTCCAGAGGAAGATTCGTCAAGGATCTGCACAGCCACTCTTTCATCTCCTTCCACCACCTCCAGGGGGACTGAAGTCTCCAAAAATTAGTGCATGTGATGCAGTTGAAAGACTTGTTGTATTTCATAAGGTAATTATATTATTAAGGGGATTATAATAATTTGTCATGTCAACTTCTTAGCCACATATGTAAATGAGGGTTGTGGATTGTAATTATGTCTTCATTCCCATTTTGCACTAGCCAATAAGATGTTTAAATAATCACTTCTATAATGTTTTTTTATTTGGCTGCACATTATTCTTGTGTCTAATGTTCAGTTTTCTGATCTCAACCATAGTCATGCTGCAGTTTGGAGGAGCATCTCCGCAACCAGCAGGGTCGGCAGCCGTACCTCCTCGCTGTTGGGCGTCAGAAGAGCAAGATTGACAGCCTCTACATCACCATGGATAAGCGTCTCATCCCATGCAAGGCAAACCGCTTCCTCGGGGCATGTGATGAACTTTTCAAAGCACATTTTGTGTTTAATTTGTCTTACGATGTGGCACTTGTGAATTTTTATACATTCCTGCAGACAACAGTGTATAACATTGATGTGGGGAAAATGAAGGAGTCACCCAGAGTTAAAGACTTGAGAGCAAGACTGCTTAACCAGCCAGTAGCATTCTCACCCTGTGAGTAAGAAGCTATAACAATGCTGACCTGTTTCATGTGTTGAAAAACAAGCTATTTACAGAGAATTTTCATGACCATCATCATGCATTCAGAGTATTACAAAATGCGGAAAGATGTTTACTAAAAATGTCTGCGCTTAAATTTCATAAACCGTTTCATATTCAAAGCTCATACAATGTTTTGGATGGAAGTTTGTACATTATACCTTCATTCACAATGTTTTAATTCAACTGACTGCAAGGGAGAAAAGGAATAAATGTTTTTGAAAATGTTTTTGTTTATTGTGATGAATTCTTATTAATTATTAAGTATATATTTAATTAATACATTTAAAATGAATTAACATTTTTTCAGTGTAGATAATTGACACATTAGGGAGTGTAATTAACACTACCAAAATAGTTTAAAAAAATTAACTCGGAGCAGTGTTAGTTGTCTAATCCCTCAGTGTTACTTTAAACAATGTTTTGTGAGTTAATAAAGGAACTCTGGTAGAGTGTTAAATGTTTAACTATTTTGAAAGTGTTAATTTAACTCTGGAGAGTGTGGAGCTATATAAACTCTCAAAAAGTGTTGAAATCAACTGTGGGAGTTAATTCAACACTGGACTTTTTGCTATATGGTCATATAAATACTTCAACTGCTTTCCAAGTAGAAAAAAATGAAATTCTCCCGTAAAAAGTCCTTACTACAGTGTGAACTGTTCTCCCGTGCTTATCTGCCACAAATAAGGTTTCTAATGGTGCTTAGCAATGCTGGGATTGACTTATTATTATTTAAAGTATCAGGCTATAGGTTTCTTGTAGTATTCTGCATGCCACCCACCTATTGAAATTCTAAATCTAAATTGCATCTCCTTAAATCCAAAGCATGGCACCATACAGTGAGGCAGGCCTAGTCCAATAGTCGCAACAGAAGACGTGAGGTTCAGCGTAGATGGCGTGTGTGTGTATGTGCGTTTGTGACACACACACACTTGAACTCTTTTTGAGAAGGCATCACACAAACCGAAGGGAAGAGACAGTTAGACAATGGACAACAAAACAGATAAGAAGACTTAGTGCAAGGAATAAAATAAAATATAATGCTATGGGTTAGTATTATCGCCCGAAGTTGGCTGGGATAGACTCCAGCCCCCCGCGACCCTGTGTGCAGGATAAGCGGTTTGACAATAGATGGGTTAGTATATAATGCTATGTGTTAGTTTGAAAATAAAGGAATAAAAAAATAATAAAGTGAACCAGCAAACAGAAAGTGACAAGTGAAAGAAAAAAAACCTAATTAAATGTTTTAATGAAAGTCTTACATAAAGTTGAATAACAAAACTGAAACAGAATGAACCACAAAGCACGTTGAATGTTGAGCTGATTCTATTGTTTTGCTATAGAAGAGTTTATATATTGACGGTGAACGCGTACTAGTGAATAGGGGATTTCTAACCACTCTGCGAAAACAGAAATCGTATTTAATGAAAAAGCACACAGGTGTTTCCTGGTCGGCCATGTGATAACACGCCTCCCCGTTGTAAACGTATACAGCGTCTATATTTCCAGTCATATAACGTCTGCGCCTCCAAACTCCGGCTATTTTTAGCACGTTTCATCCAGCAATAGCCCCACGTGAGCGCCGCTGTCGTTATCAGGTTATATTTGGAACACACGCTCCGTCGGCTCTTGCGTCAATGGAATCCCGCTCGTGCGTCACACGGAGGAACGTCTGTGTGTCGACGACGCTGATTGGCTTCCGACCCGGAACGTTCCACCGCCCTGCTCACCATTTTTGGGCATCGATCCGCCTTTTGTCGACGAGGCCAAAATAAAACAAGCGCGCATGGACACTCGTGCCTTGGTCTGACCCAGCATGTGTGCGTGAGAGTGTGTGCTGACAAACAGCTGGCAGAGGTGACATTCATCAGTTTTACCCGTTTGGAATAAATGAAAAGCTATAAAATCTGGATATTTACATGAATCAGGTGAGTGGAAGTGAAGTTTGTGTACATTTGATTTATTTAGAGGGGCACATTAATTATACACATTATAGATACTTCCATAATAATATCTATTAGCTTCTAGGACATTGCAGCATTGGTTTTAGGTACATAGGCCCACCAAAAAAACTTGAGCAGAGTGGAACTTTATGATTATTAGTATTGAGAAAGAAATTGTTGGATGCATTTTGTCATTAGTGAATCCTGCTTTTGCAAACATTACTGTTGCACTGTATTTTTCAGCTGTTTGGTCTACGTTCTGGGGTTAATAGCTCACGACAATATGTTTTTATCTCACTTTATTACCTTACGTGATTCCACATGTTTCATATTTTATGTGTATGTCTATTATGGTTGATATACAAGAAAATGTATAGAGCAGCTGGGCAATTGAGTAGTGTGTACGTTTAAATTAAAGTTTGCAAATATGTTGAACAATGTGTCTGTTAAGTGATCAGGTGAGATGTGTTTCATTACTATATTGAAAAAAAAACTGAGTGAGGACATTTGCACATGTAAATACATGTCCATTCACACGCACACACACACACACACACACACACACACAAACACCTTTCTCACTTTAGCTGGCGTTCAGCCCACCCTGAAATACTATCCAGCAGCCCTCCCTTTTACAGTCCCTCTGAAAGAGGGGTTGCCCTCCACTGAAGGAGGTTTTCAAAGCATTAACAGCCAGTCAACACAATATCTGACGATATCTGATTGCTTCACTGGATCTCCCTCTGCATTTTCTAAAGATGACTGAGTGGCTTTGGAGCTATAGAAATGTCATGTGGAGGAAATAAAACCTTGTGCGTTAAAGTAAGCTACTGTTTAGAAGGTTATAGAGGGGTGATAAGAACATTCTGACCTAGAGGGATTTCTAATTTATTGGTATGGCTGAACTTCATTGCGTGCCTTACTGTGCCACATAGACACGTTTAGGCCAGCAAATACTACAGATATCCCATATGTTTGATTATTGTACAATACACAATGTATTTTTGAATTACTAGGACATCGAGTAGATTTAGATGTAAACAGTATTTATATTAGTTGAGGTTTATTTTCATCAGCTGCATTTGTTTCTGTTCTCTTCCCTAGCGATGCCCTGTGTACAAACCCAGTATGCACCCCAGCCGCATGACAACTACTTCAGCTCCGAGTTCTTGAATCCCGACCTCAGTGCCAAATCGGTGATGGACATCGGTGGCCAAAATGAACACCTGTCTACGTCTTCCTTGCCCAGCATCAACACACTGGTGGGGAATGGCTATGTGGGGGAGTTTGATGCTTATTCCTGCAAGATTACCTCCCCTCCCGCCTCTACAGTTTCCTTCAGCCACGCGGCCGTACCTGAAAACTCATGCCCTCAGATGCAAAGCCACGGCTTCAAGGTGGATGATCTTCAGGTGTATGGCTGTTACCCGGGTTCCTTTGTGCTGAGCTGCCTTGACGAAACACTATCATCATGTGGCTCTGACTACTATGGCAGCCCAGTTTATGCCACTGGATCCCCTCCAACGTCAGGCTTTCAGGCCCAATCTGCACCTCTCTGGGATTCCCCTTTCAGCCCCTACCCTTCAGCCTCCCCATCCTCAATGGCAGACAAGGGCTCCGTGGCCCAGCAGCCCTCATTTTTCACCTTTGGCAGCCCTACACTAGAGCAACACTCTCCACTGGGACAGCATAAGGATGCTCAGGCAGGCCACGATGACCACTTCTTCTTGCCCACTCCGCAGCATGTCTCTCCGCTTGATTGCCGCCCCTTGTCCCTTGAGCACGGACTCCTGGAAAGCCCCAGGACAGTAGAGGGGGCCATGGCGTCTCCTAAAACACACAACTCGGGATCCAGTGAGGGCCGCTGTGCAGTTTGTGGTGACAACGCATCCTGTCAGCACTATGGAGTCCGCACCTGCGAAGGCTGCAAAGGTTTCTTCAAGGTAAATGTATGCTACTGACAAGAGCCTAGAGTCTAAAAATGCCTCAAGAGCTGTGTCAGGACAAAATAAAGTACTGGTGCAACACATTATCATTCCGGTATTGGGAAAAACTACGCTCAAGCTTGTTTGCTTTTTTAAAAACCAATCATGTGGTCTTGGGCAGTGGATGCAGCGACGGCGCTGTTGCAAAAGCCATTTCATCATGAAACATCAAAGCTGTGTTTGAGAGAGTTTAGTAATAGTAAGAGTATAGAATGGTTGTCCACCCGAGAACACCGACCAGTTTAAATGTGCCATGTACCACAACGTGTATGTCTTAGTCACATGTCAAATTATTTGGGTAAAAGTAATATAATTTCACTTTTTGAACTCTCAAATTTTTACATCAGTATCAGGTTAAAAATTGTGTTGGTTGCACAATTCTACAGAGTCAAGCCTACCTAAGACAGAAAGGAGATTTATTTCATGTTTGCTCATAGTAACTGTTTTTTTTCCCTTACTTGACAGCGAACTGTACAGAAAAATGCAAAATATGTGTGCCTTGCCTGTAAAGACTGTCCTGTGGACAAGAGGAGGAGAAACCGCTGCCAGTTCTGCCGTTTCCAGAAATGTCTCGCTGTGGGGATGGTCAAAGAAGGTAGTGCACGTCAGACTCACCTTCAGTGACTAATGTATGGGAAAATTAGGTTTGCAATGACATGAGGTCTAATGACACAGATATGTAACCAGAGCCTTAAGGTGCCAATTACAGAAAAAGATGAACTGATAAAGCCGTTGTGCAGGTAGAAGCGATGGTCTTGTGAGCATCACAATGGTGTGCGATAATGTTCATGTTTTCTGCCCTTGGATCAGTTGTTCGCACGGACAGCCTCAAAGGTCGTCGGGGTCGTCTGCCCTCCAAACCCAAGAGTGTGTCCGAGGCATCACCCACAACCCCTAGTGCCAACATCATAGCCTCTCTTGTCAGGGCTCATCTAGACTCAAACCCAACCATTGGAAAGCTCGACTACTCCAAGGTAAATCTCCAGACTTGAAGAATGTTCAGAGCTCATCTGTACCAATCAGATCATTAACAACTCAATACAGGAGGTAGAATGAACTCACAGGCTGCAAACCTTTGATTGATTGTCTCTTCTTCCTCAGTACCAGGAGACTGTGGTGAACCTGAAAGAAAAGGAGGAAGCTGGGGATATCCAGCAGTTTTATGACTTGCTAACCGAAGCTTTGGATGTAATAAGAAACTGGGCTGAAACCATCCCAGGATTCAAAGATTTCTGCACAGAGGACCAGGAGCTGCTCCTTGAATCATCTTTTGTTGAACTCTTCATTCTGCGACTCGCATACAGGTTTGCTTCTTTTGCACCCAAAAAAATGCCATGTTCACTGATATTTAACAAAACATGTGTAGTTTTCAATGTACTGATTGTTCTATTGGTGTGAACCCCGACAGGTCAAACCCAGAGAAGAACAAGCTGATCTTCTGTAACGGTTTGGTCCTCCACCGACTGCAGTGCGTTCACAGTTTTGGTGACTGGATTGACTCCATCATGGATTTCTCCCAGAACCTTCACCGTATGAACTTAGATGTCTCCTTGTTTGCCTGTCTCGCAGCGTTAGTCATCATCACCGGTGAGAGCCTGTTTTACTTCTCATTTCATTAAACTTTACTGCATCTTTATATTTAGGACTGTGTTTATAATGAGAATATTTTTTCCATCTAGATCGCCATGGCCTCAAAGAGCCCAAACGGGTCGAGGACTTTCAGAGTAATCTCATCACTTGTTTAAGGGAACATGTGAGCGGAAGCGGATCAGAAGCGAGCCGGACCCAGCCTAACTATCTTTCTCGTCTTTTGGGCAAACTCCCCGAACTGAGGACTCTGTGCACACAGGGCCTACAGCGCATCTTTTACCTCAAACTAGAGGACCTGGTCCCTCCACCACCAATAGTGGAGAAAATCTTCATGGATACTCTGCCGTTCTGAAAATACATGACCACAAACAAGGTATTTGTAACGATGATGGACTCAAAGAACCTAATATGAGGTTTTATCATTGAACTCTAGTGGTGTACCTCCTTCTATCACACTGACCTGTGTGCAGATACATGTCTGACGTTGTTCAAGACACCATTATTTTTCTATCATTAACTCTCAAAAAGTGTGTGGTGCATGTATGAGATTTATTTTGGGTCAATGACACTGTCACAGACAGAACTGGTGTTCGTATTAACTATTCAGGACACTGTTTATATTTCTGTGTGCATTTGTAAAGTGACTTCCTTGCTGTGCTGGATGTGTGAATGTTGTCCTGCTGTGCAGCTGGTGAGCCATGGATATTTGGGTAGATACAATGCAGTGTTACCTACTCAGCTTTTCCTAAAATCAAAAGAAACACACACATTTATTTTAAAAAGCAGTATTTAAAGTTGATTTTTGATCCCACTAAGAAGCTGAGACAGTAGACAATTAGGGAGAAAAAGGCCGTCAGAATCACACGTCTTCTCTGTAAGAGCTTTTTCAAAAGGGAAATATTGACTTGTTCATTATATCACAAAAGATAGTTTAAACCCTAATTGGGCTCCCGTGGAAGGTCCCGGACCAAAGTTTACACATATTTTACTACTACCACTGAAAACCTTATTGCCTTAAGTTAAGCAAAATGTTCTGCCATCCCTCTATGCTGCCATTTTGCAACTTGTAGAATGGGATGCTGGCAGCGTTACCGTTGCACTGCATGGCCCTGTGACAACACACTTGTGTTGTTGTGTTGGCACACAAGTGCCTTTTGTCAATTCCTTCAACAATAACAAGTGAGAATAAGTCAGTTTTCTTTCCAAACATCACATACAGCAAGCCCAATGTATTACACATGTGAAATAATAATTTCCACTGTTCAGTATTCATTGAATCATTGAATTTTATTTCATTTGTGAATATGATGTTAGGACAGATTTTTGATATGAAGTGCCTGAGGGAACCAATTGATAGTAGACTGTAAAAGAGCGAACCATACATGAACTCACACATCGTACTGCTGAACTGGGAAGACATCAACAGCTGACAGTTGTTATTGGATCGACAGTACTAAATTCTGTTTACATGTTCCCGTCGCAGGGAAATTCATGACCGCACCAGAGCCAGTTTAAGAATAAAAATGTATTTTAACCAAAGAATGCTTCAAAATCCACATGCATAAAGCAGACATTTCACTTTGACATCAACTGGTTCCTTGGCTTTGGCTGCAAATACATTCACCTGCGTGTTTGTAAAGCTCTCCAAATGTCTTCCACATTCTTCGTTTCCAAGTTTGATTTTTTTGCATTTCTCTCTCCAAGTGAACTAAATAAATATCTTAAGGAATCACAAATGGGACGAGAACATGAGCAGCTAAGAGCACTTACCAAACAGTGTTCACACAACACGAAGAACACTTCTTTCTCCTGTATGTGCTGTTGTTTTTTGAGATGTGTGTGTGTGTGTGTGTGTGTGTGAGAGAGTGTGGACGTATATACTGCCAGGGCTTTTGTAAAATGGTGCAGAAGTGATAAAAGAGAGATAATATTTGATATTAAAACGTTTTTGAAAATACACCACTGGCTTACGTACATGTTTGTGAGCTTTTCTACGCTGTCTCTTCAAATATATATTTGGTTTCCTCTGGCTTCTATTGGGGAAGTTGGCTTTTCAATGGGCATCTCTCTTTATACGATTGTGTCAAATTTATCTTGGTGTAAAATTCACACACCATATATCTTGCCATTTTGTTTTTGGAAGCATCGTCTCACTGATTATGTTGTAAAAAAACTAATTTTGTAGTGAACAAATCACATGATCACTCAATCTATCATCTTGATAGCTCTTGTTTAAACTGTTACTGACAAAAATGGTGAAAATGTGTCATTTTGCCACCCACTGATTTCATACAAATTTCACGACGTTTTCTTAGTCACACCCAAGGGTGTAACCATGGTCTAAACCATTGGCGGGGTCCAAATGGCGGTATTCATTTGGACCCCGCCAATGGTTTAGACCATGGTCGCCAATGGTTTAGACCATGTTGTCTATTGATGGATTGAGGTGTAAATACCTTTGTGTTCTGTGGGGGTGACCGTGTTTCCTTCTCCACTGTTCTCCCTCTTATATACATTTTAAAGCACAAGCAACCATACACAGGTACACGTAATGTTCAGATATTATTCTTATTCATTATCCAAAGCATGCTGGTTGAATACCTTAGATAATTTAGTTCCAGGGATGAGCATATAGTCTCCAATGTTCATCCACACACACATTTGTACACATAAAACTTTTTTTTTACAACACTCCTTATCTGTGTGGGTGTGCTGTTGATTGCGGAAAACCCTCTGTGAGTTTATTTATATCAGGCCATTGTTGAGCACTTAGCACTGATTTTTTAAGGCAAAATGGAATTCGGTATTTTCTCAATATTGGGGGGGGCACGACCCCCTCAAAGAATGCGTGATTACGCCCTTGGTCGACTGTGTCAGAATTGGCCTTACAAGGTTCAGGGCTGGTTTAAAATATAAGTTGCTGTTTTGATTTGAAACCTGTGATATTGGTTTGAGAGGTAAATTGGAACACCAGCATTGATGTGTTTAAAAAACAACAACAATTTCACCAGCAGCAGCACTGCTTCAGGAAAAAAACCTGAACCACTTCCAAAAAAACAGTTGGGCACAGCACCGAATGTTTCTGAAACAGGCATATATTGCGTGTTTTATGAAAAGTTTAGCTGCAGATTGTCTGTGTTACAGCATATTGAAGGAAAATTTCATCCGGTGGAACAAATTTGCTTACTAAATAAGCAAGAAGAAGAATCCTGATGAGGTTGGTGGTGGCCTGACCTGTGATCCCCTCACCACGATGTTGGGATTTGAGCAAATTATCAAATGTTATTGTGCGTACGTGCATGCTAAACTAAGACTGTGAAGACGTTCAACACCAAGATGTTACCATATCCGACGTGTGCATAATATGCTGACACCCTTGACATAAGCTCCATACTCCACTGTTTAAGCGAGCCTCCCAGTCTGATCAGATTAACTTCATAAGGGCTTCACTTGGCAAACTTGTAAGTAAGATAAATAAATAGATTTCTGGATTTTAGCAGTCTTTATCGGGAGAAAAATACCTATTGTTGACCAAGAGAAAAGACAAATCTGATTCTTAATCTTATTCAACACAGCACTCTCTGTGCTGCAGCTACGTATATAATAATCATGTGATGAAAAGTGACCAGAAGTAGTCCTTCATCTCCTTTTCACCCACTCTGTGTTATTCTATCACACATGGTGTTAATGTTGGCAACATCTTTGACCAAGGGGAAGACGACACCAAGCCACTCTCAGCCACAGCATACTGCACCACCGACTGCATTGAGCCGCTCGATACTCGATCCTACTGTACCCCACGTTCCGGTCATCGGGATTTTGGTGTTGGCAGACAGTGTGGAAAAAGGGGAGAAAAAAGATGGAGGCAATATGAAAGCTATCTTGTATTACGTGTTTCATTATGTTACAAAATGGCAAGCATGCCATTTAGTTCAGAGAGTTCATTTGGTTCATTTGATTCAGAATAATCAACTAAATTTACCCCTTCTAATGTTTTTAAGGCTTTGTATTCTTTTTGGTTACAGATCCATGATAGGTTAGACATGTTGCCTCCTCACATGGCACAAAACCCATACTCAAAATACCCTCTATACTGCCAATATCTCATCTTTGACAACATCTTTTTCCAAAAGTGGAAAGGTACCATTGGGGGCTGCCATTGCCCCCTGCACTTTTGACCTATGCCCTGTCATGCAACACTCAGCCATCAGGACCAAACTGTAGCTTTACACCCTGCACACACATCATGATGCTGTGATCCCTGATGTGTGGCTCACTTTTCATGGTGATTTGTTGCATGTACGTGCTGAGGTCCACATTTCACGCTCTTCCACCGCACCACCTCTTACCAGGCTACAACAGAGAGGAAAGAGAAAACATGTTACATGTTGTAAATTAGAAAAATGCTTCAGTCAAGTTTTAGTAGTACACTTGAGTAAGCAATATCAAGCTATCCCTTTACTAGATGTAGAAATATTTCCGACAATAAGGGAAAACTCTGACCTGCTGTTGATATTAAAGGAAAAGTTAGGTGGTCATTAAAGTCAGTAGACTTCATCATTCATAGTCACAAAAGACCTTTTTCCGCTGACATTTACAGTGATGAATGAAAGAAACCCATTTGGGAAACCAACATTACTTTCATTCGTTTTTCAGCAAATTCTTTGCACAAATAATTATTGTTTATATTGACGTGTCACAATGTGTGTGTGTGTGTGTGTGTGTGTGTGTGTGTGTGTGCATGTGTGAGCAGCTGATTGCTGAACAAGATATTGTTCCAGCGGGCGGAAAGCTAATAGGTTTGTGAGCATGCTGCACCTGTTGTCTATTGATGGATTGAGGTGTAAATACCTTTGTGTTCTGTGGGGGTGACCGTGTTTCCTTCTCCACTGTTCTCCCTCTTATATACATTTTAAAGCACAAGCAACCATACACAGGTACACGTAATGTTCAGATATTATTCTTATTCATTATCCAAAGCATGCTGGTTGAATACCTTAGATAATTTAGTTCCAGGGATGAGCATATAGTCTCCAATGTTCATCCACACACACATTTGTACACATAAAACTTTTTTTTTACAACACTCCTTATCTGTGTGGGTGTGCTGTTGATTGCGGAAAACCCTCTGTGAGTTTATTTATATCAGGCCATTGTTGAGCACTTAGAAACCTCTGTAATAGGATCTGTCTTTCTCACTAAGGGAGTCTGGTGATAAATGAGTTGGCCGATGTCATTGCTCATGCCATCCCTGTGATAACTTCATGCCCCGTATTGCGTCTTAAGCTCTTGGTCTGAGTGGGATTAAATTCATAAGTGAATGGTGAGCCAGCTGAATCCTTCTGAGGTGTGTGAAAGGAAGGGATGGTGGAAACACGTTTGATCAGTGGACATTAATGGCTGTCTTTGTTGTGTCCTTGGGCATTGACCTAAATAATGGACGCCCAGTGGTGCACTTTACATATTTATACATAATTTATACATTATTGGATTTTTATTTCATCAGAGAAGAATGAAAATGTTTTCTGGCATGAAATACTTTGAAGGAAATTTATAGCTGTATGTACATATATATTCTTTTGTTTGATTAATAACATGTGTGTAACATGACTTTAAGCCTATTAGTCACACAGATTCTCTTTATTCATAATAATATTCATGATTGCATTATTTCATATAACTTTAGACCTTTAAAAACGTCATTAAGATGCTGCTGGAGAAGCAACGAGTGGGTGTGTGTTTCTTATGCTGGAAACTTTCTCTGCTCAACCAGAGAATATGAGAATGTTAAAATTATAAAACAAGATTGACAGGATGGATAGTGTTGCACTGGTGGATGACAGTCCCTGGCTGCATGCCTAGAAGTTATTCACAGCAAAGCCCCCCCGACCCTTCCAAAACCACGCACACAAACACACATCGGGATCAAGGGCAAGGGCATGGGGGGGGGTGGGGTTGGTGAACAGGGTGTGGCGAATGTGTGGAGGGGTTCAAGGTCAGAGCAAACACATGGTGCAAACCAGCAACTAGTCCAGGCCAGCATGATGATGTTTAAGTACATCATTTATAAAAACTGCATCAATCAACAACTAACTGCCGATGATGTGTATGAAGCCTAATTCACTGTACTGTTAGACTCAAAACATTCACGGAAGTTGACGTTTCCAGATCAGTTTAAACACTTTGCTTCCTCTTAAGGGCAGTGGAAGTGGTAAAGCATCACACATGTCCTCGGACACATGAGAAGCTGTTAAAAATAGGAATTTACATACAAGCTATCACACAGTGTATATATATCTATATAGATATATATATATATATATATATATTTATATCTTATTTTACTTTTTTTAAAACTTCATTTCTATTCTAAATCACCACGTCAAATTCCTCTATGTGTAACATTTGTGGCAATAAATGGCTTCTGATTCTGATTCTGCTGGACTAAACATGTGTGCCTTGTCCGGATGTTCAACATTTAGAGAAATACACATAATAGCTTTCTTATTCAGAGTAAGTTGATACAATCCAAATAACCCCCATGTTTTTTAGTAGCTACAGCAGGGGTCTCAAACTCATTTCAGGTGCGGGCCAGACGCAGCCCGACAAAACGTGGGCCAGATCATTGCGGTCGACGGGGGGGAGGGGATACGGGGCTCTGACGATCCGACCGGCAAAAGGTACGGTCGACGAGGGGTGGGGGGGCAGGGCGACGCTGATGATCCGACCGGTCGACTGGGGGCGGCGCTGACGGCCCGCGGGCCGGAGTTTGAGACCCCTGAGCTATAGCCGGATTAGTTTATAGCATGAAGACTGGAAATATCTCGTTAAAGTAATACTGTATTTAACCTTTTCCCATTCCATTTTATTTTGTTGTATGATTTAGATACCAACAAAATACTAAGCTACACAAAGGGCAACAGGGCCATAATTATTGAATGAATTAAGGCAAAAGGGAATTGATTTATTTTGGGAAACGTAAGGGATACAGCACTGAGAAACGAAGCTGTGGTTCTAGAAAGATAATGGTAACAATATTAATGGAGATGGACGAGTTATTGGAAAAAACATAGTGGGTATACATGCCTCAAAAAAGATAACATGGGTCTCAAGGCTTTATGTACTGCAAATAACTTTTCATATAGAAAGCTCTAAATTCACTGGGAGACAAACAGTAGAATGATGAGGAACGTATCAGTCGTTTATGATCAGCAAAGTACTTTAAGAAGGAGACTTGACATATTAGCTGTAGTCCACTGCATGGCCCATTTAGCTGAATGTGCAGGCGCTGTTCCTGTTGCTAATTCCATTAGGCTTCTATTCTTTCTCAGCAGCTGCATAGAAGTACAAGAATCTGTAACATTAACATTTGATTAATACGACTAAATCACACTTAACCAGCTACTTACAGTTAAAATAAATGGAGATTTGGCATCATCGCCATGGTCAGCAAGCAGATAATAGTTTAACAAGAAAACAAGATGATAATAGGAAACCTAATACTTCAAATTAGCAGCTGTTTCTCTCAGCTAAAAATAAGGCAATGACACAAATGGACTGGACCGTCCCCCTTGAGGGGAAGCCACTTGACAAAGACCCAACTCAGTATCAGAGCGATGAAGGCTGCCCATGCCGCACGTAGAGTTACATAAGCAGACTGAAGCAAAGCGAGCTGGCACCCTCGTAAGATCACAAGGTGCTGCTTTGAGCCCAGCTGTCAGGGGTCGACATTGAGGGTAAAAAACTGCTGCTCCTCCTAAGTAGATGAATGGTATTGAAGGCCGTCTGCCAGCCCCAAAGCTTGTTAATGATTGTCTATATTTAAATGAATATCAGTTACAGTCAACACATGACTAAACACTCAAAATGCCACGCACATACAGTGAATACCCAAGAACCAAACATGACTATACATTTTCACGAAGTGCTTTCTTATTACTGGCTCGGGGGGAAATTGATGGAATGAGTTGTAATATCTTTTCATCCACAGTGCCATCATCAGATACGTTATTCATTTTTTAATTTTTCACAAACAAACCTAATGCCAAATTAATAATGACTGCATGTTACATTGTGGAGATTACAGGCATTTTGGGGGGATTCATAGAGATTACATTTTTATGGTTTAAAGGGCCCTAAAACAATAAGTATGAAGTCAAATGGACTGATTTCTACTTTCTTTTTTACTATTAGAATATAACTCAACAGTTTCCAGCTTCTCCCAGGTACACCCTGGACCGGTCGCGGGTCAATCACAGGGCTGACATATCAAAAATACAGAATATTACATGAAACAGACTCTTTTGAAGGATGCAGCTGATCTTGATGACTTCGGTGCGTTTTATTTTGAAGGCAGTGAAACAGGAAGTATTGTTTTGAGGAACTGTTTTGGGTTGAAACGTAGTCGTGGTAAATTGCGGACCTTGTTCAGCCCGGTCAGAGGAAGGTTTATCCTCATCACCATTAACGACGTCTACACTTCCTACTGGAAATAATCAATGACTTGTAGGGTAAGAGATTGCATGTGTATGATTAACAGCTGGAAAAGAAATAGAAGGCAAAAATAATCTCTATTTGAGTTCCGCATTTTTTCAGTGAAACTGAGCAAACAAGTTACAAGTGTGACTTCGTTTCCTCATTACAAGGACACCACAGAACCACGATTCGCGTGAGCTTGAATTATGGCTAGAAAGTTAATTGGTTTGAGGCTGATTGTGTGTTAAAAATATATATCAACAAGCAAAATATAGAAAATATATTTAAAAAAACAGTCCATGAAAGTTAGAATGAAAACAGGAAAGTAAAGCACCTGTGTGAGACATTACATGAGAAGAAGCTGCTTGTCTCTGAGGACAGTGATGATGGACAGTCATCTAACTAACTCGTTTAACTAACACATGGAATAACCTTTGTGTCATCAATTGCTGCAAATAAAAAACTAAATATGTCCATATGGAAACAACGTAGGCAGTTTGCAACAGTTGCAATGAATAACATGTTACTTAAAGAAAGGTGAACACATTAAACCAGGGAATTTGACTAAAACTAAAGTTTAAACTGAAGACAGAATACTAAACCAAACAAAGCTGCCAATGTCCCCTTTCTCAGCCTCATCTAATTGAAATCAACAAGCTTATTATACGCTGAGCGAAAGAACACAGCATAATGAACATGCCATTAAAATCTCTTAATCACTGCTGACATATCAATCAATGGGAACCCATCTTTAATAATGAGCACACAGTACAAAAAAATGAATTTCATCTTTTCAATCTAGATCAGAAAATAGTTTCTTTCAACGGTCTAACTTGGTGATGGGGAGGTTTGTTTTCATAGTTGAGGGGTTTCACTTCCTTGTTGGTAAGGTCACTTCCTTATGGTTCACATGTCATAACACACTACAATGAGCTAATGGAATGTGTTATAAAAACCATGACGGACAAACAGACTTCTTTTGCAATCAACCGTTCCAGTAAGCCGTACCAGGAAAATGTGTTTAAGGGGAACATTTTTTTTGTTGTGTTGCTCCACAGATATGCTGTAAGTCTGGATTTAAACACAGAGCAGGTTTTGACTCATTGTCAATAGCAGGAAGCTTGGAGGTGCTGGAGGATAAACACAGATGTAGGAATGACGAGGAGTACTGAATTCTTCGAGCAGCGACAGATGGGCTTATAAGGGGTAAGTAAATTCCCTCTGATATACAAAACAGTGTAAATGCGTAAATTCACAATTCATAAATTCATAGCCTGCAATTAGGAAGCCATGACCAATGCATCAGGGTTTTAAAATGCCTTATGGAAATATGAGTCCTGATTGCTTTTGTAAATAAAGGTACCGTACATATAATTCCAAATCAACTGCTCAAACTGCTGTTTTTTTGGAAAAGGTGCTTATTAGGCATTTGGAAAATATTTTCTTAGATTTGGTCATTTTGAGTATGTTGGCATGCTGACATTCAAATTAGCTCGAAGCACCACTGTACTCGAGTCAGCAGGGCTGCGTGATTAACTGTAGACCCTCGTTCCTCATATGACACTCATATGTAAGTGAGAATGTTATTTAAAGATGGTTTCCTCTATTTCATAGCTGCAGATCAATGGGCTGGTGAGATGGAGGAAGCGTACAATGAACTGTACCAGGAGTTTCTTGGTCTGAGGTCACTTTGCCTGAGACAGGCAGCTCTGCTACATAAACTCACGGCTGCTCTGCAGAAGCAACAAGGTCCATATAAGAAATGCTGTACTTCTGATGCTTTTTACAAAAGTAAGCCATGATTCACTTAACACACCTAAAATGCTCTGTCTGCAGGTGCCAGAGTTCCCAATGGACAGCTGAGTAATTTAAAGTCCATCCCCATACATTGTACCCAAGAAATCCCTGTATCTCTCCACAAAAGGCCTCACTCGCTGACGGCCATCACACGCAACCGTGCAGCACAGCTCGGCGGCGATGACCTCTCTTCAAACATGGGGACTTTTTCAGATCTCCTTGCTGAAGACATGTCTAAGCTCGGTGTGGGTGTGCCTCGCCATGGAGAAGAAGACGGGACGCTGGAGCAAATGGTGGCACCCCTTTTGAGCTGGGACTTCACAAGGTGGCCAGGAGCCTCATCCAGTGTCACAAATCATCCAGGGCAAGCTGTTGATCATAGCAGACACAAGACAAAGCACACATTTGGGGTAGGTGTGTTAAATGGACTAAAATCACAGCTGTGGGGGTATGGGGATCTCAAATCTTTCCCTGGATTTTTACCATGTTTTTCCTTAAAACTAAGTGTCATGTCCTCTCTGTTTGTCAGATACCTGCGAGAGACAGTCCCTCCCTGCCCAGAGACCTGCTGGATCCATCCGATGGGCTCATGATGTCAGACATCGTTCTGCAGTCCAACGTTTGTGAGTTCTGCCAGGCGGTTTTCCCCGGAGACACAACCACCAGGGGAGAGTTCCTACGCCATCTTTGCACCCACGTCACCTAAACTAAGCAGATTATTATTCTCCTCTTGACATTGGACTTGTGTCTTCATATGATATGCTGTGTTGGAGCATGCGTAACGGTTAACCAATCTTTGCTATGGGCATTGAAATCAAAGTGCTCATTAAAGGGTTTAGCCGTTTGCTAGATGAACCGTTTAGAGGCAGATTTTTTCTGTCTCTGTCATATAAAAAAGAAGAATGAAAAACTTCCCGTGATTAGATTGTATCTGAAACTATTGAGATTTTGTGGCTCATAAAGGATTAGTTCACTAAAATTAAAAAAGCCATGATTTTATTCATCCTGGTTTTGACATATTCATCACCCTGCTGTATCACTTTGTATAGCAATTATTTCTTTCTTAGAAAGTCTTGAGCTAACCCAATTCACACCCTGGCAAATGAAACCATAGCTTTTTGCATTACCAGATATCTTTTTCCTTGAGCTAACGGTTACAAGCTACTTCATTTGATATAAGTGGTTTACAGAGAGAATGCCTCCGTTAGCATTAATTATTCTCATTCTCCAGTTTTAACTTGTAACCACTGCGCATTGCCTGAGTTTGGATAATTCATCTGTCATTTCAAGGCATCCTACTTCACATACTTCATGTGACCGTCTTCCTCCCCAGTTCCTTTAATTAACGTAGCCAATGATTGCACCGGGGAATGAAAACTTGTGAACCTTTCATTTCTCATGTGCCCACTCTTCTGCCATTCAGTCTGAAACCCCAATGTCGTTATAGTTCCTTGACAGGAGCAATATATTTGGGCATTTATTGTGTGTCAGCATGGCCGACAATGACAGTTTTTGACATTAAGATGTTGGGTTTGAAAGGATAACAAAAAAGAAAAATACATAGTCATGTATTTGAATGTGGATATGAAGAGACTGCCTAATATTATTAGGAGTCTTCGTGGAGATTTTTATATGTTTGCTATTGGGCATTTAACTTATCAGCTGTCTGCTGCTCAGCTCTGTGTTACTGAGGAAAACATGGGCTAAGAATAGACTCAAAGATTTATCTCCCTATTAGTGGTGCTGACAGCAGATTGCCGATGATTGCGCCCTTCATCCGCTGCCACACTGACTGTTGCTCTCACTATCACAGTAAAAAATACCGACATAGATCGTATGCTTTTGTGCAATCAAAAAGAAAACGTTTCATATAAACACAACTTTTAGCATGCTTTAAATTGGTCTTGTGATGGCAAATGGGAAATTGACTCAATGAGTTTTTACAGTAAAGCCGGCAGTGCTTTGAGCCAGCATGTTGAGGTTTAAGAGCATAGTTTAGCTTGTTATAAGCTTGTTGTAAGTTATAACAGTTGCTGATTAGTAACAACCGCAGAGTTTACCAAAAGCTGATGAGCTGATTTCATAGCTTTCATAGTAATTGGTCCATACATCGAAGCTTAGAGATATTTCATTTAAAAAACGCAAATGTTTTCCTAATGGTGACGCAAGCTGAGAAGTCAGTGTATCATTGGACTCAGTAGGATTCATCCTATGACGACCATGAATAATTGTTTGATCAATAATCAATGATCAATAATAATTTGATGTAAATCCAGAAAATAGTTGTTGTTCAGTCTGGACCAAAATGGTGTATGGTGTATGAGAAAAAAAGCATATCTTAAATATTGTATTCATTCATCAAACCCATTATAATCAAACCTTTGTGATTTTGTGTTACTCATAAAGTAAAAATAGTGAAGATTTGTTTCATCATACAACAGCGTGAGTTTGTTTCATGTTGGAATTATAACTTTTCCGTCTGAAAATGTGTGTGTGTGTGTGTGTGTGTGTGTGTGTGTATGTGTGAGGGAGAGCACAGATGACATCGCTGGTACAGGTGAGTCATGCTGGCTTCGAGGCCGATCATTGCAGAGCGTGAGTGCAACAAACCAGACGATAACAGAGGTGTTGCTGTGAATGTGACACGGTTCCTGCAGCCTCTTCCACACATCAGAACTGCCAAGAAAATAATATTCTTTGTGGAAAACAATGCAACACTCTTAGCAATAAAATAACATTTATTTAACTGTAACAAAATAAATAATCTGTTTTGCAACATAATAAACTGAGGAGGTTACTAATGCTCAAGAGACAGGCAAGTGTAACTGATGCAAGGCGGTCTACCTCAATGACATTCTGAGATTAAGTATATAAAGATAATAATTTCAGCAATTATCAGCTTTAGCCTTTTCATTACATGGAGCCTGAATACACAGTAACAATGTTAAACAGGGATAAAGTGGCTGATGGATCTCACAGGAGCTGCTGTATCAAGAGTCAAGCACCATGAGATTTATTTTTGAAAACCTGTATGTCTGTTTATTTTCTCCGCCTATAGCTTAGTAAAGAATGATTAGTCCCCTTAATTAACAATGAGTCTTAAAGGAAATTGACGTAGAGTACAGAAATGATCTCAACAATACAATGCAATATGTTTCTGCTAAACCTACAATAATTGCAGCAATTTTCTGGAAATTCCGAGGCAAATGTTCTTCATGCACTCTCCTCCCAGGCTGTACAGTGGAAGCAACAATAAAGTAAGGGTGAGAGTCGCTAATGACAGCAAGCCTCCTCCCGGCTGACAGGGCCCTGATGTGTAAAGAGAAGCAACTGAGAGGTTAACTGTCGACTGGAAATCAAAAAGAACCAGTGCTTTTAACTCCTGCTATCCAGTTTAGATTAAGGTGTTCTGAGTACATTTTCCCATAATGAATAGCCTGAAGTATCATCTCCTACAAAACAGCATTTCAGCTGCTTGTGCAAGATATTACAGAAAGATGCGAGGGAGAGGATGACAAAGACCGGCGGCTTCATGTGTCATAACCAATGTGTTTTTGAAGCACTCATAGGCGATCGGACGCTGCAGCAAAAGACAAAAGCCCGTCTGAACAGCGGTTTACCCTCTGGGGAATCTAGATCAGCGTGTTCCATTCAATACTCCATCAAAGTGGAGATTTATTTCCATCTTTAAATCTAAAAAAACAGAACCTCCATTTGTTTCTTGAGGGTGATGAGCTGCTGAGAGAGTTATCAAGCGTTTTTTAGATTGCGGGCTGCTGAAAACCTACACAAAATTATTCCAATGAATGTCCTTGACATTATGTTACTGTAGTTGTCCATTTCTAAGTTGTAGTGCCCCCTGCTGTGTCAAGTGTCCTGTCAATACACGGAACTGCAAATAAACTGAATAACCTAATAAAATATCAAGTTTTCCCCTGAATTAGTACATTATTCTTCTATTTGCTAAATTCTACAGGACATGTCATCCATATATTTAATAAGGAAATCAGCAAGAAGAGTCTCCCGTGAACACAATGGAATGTAATGTCAGAACAGAAAATGTCTGAGTCGCTGCAAGTCTATGGAATGGTCCAACTTGGACAATGACTGTACTGATTTTGAGTCTTCTCCTTATCAGATGTCGGTGTCATTAGCAGCCAGTGTAGCAGACTGAGTGGAGTTCAGCGTCAGGCCGTAGGACAAGTTCTCTGACAAAGGATGAGTCTTTTCATTTCCCCCGGTGATTAGAGTCGTCTTTGGAGAGGCAAGGGCTGCTGCTCCTGCACACTGTTATCAAGCTGCGCCTCTCCACTTTACTGTCATGTTCTGTGGAGGGAAGTAAAGCTTGCAATGAGACCCGATACGAAAATTCACTTTAGATTAATTTCAAGAACAAATCCTAGTTAAGAGAACTAATAAAAAGTAAGGGCTTTATCAGCAACCACTGACTGAAGAAAGTGGTCTAGTGGCTGAATCAGCACATGAAGTGAAACAAAATTCATAAATAAATCAAACAGAAGTTGTTGTTACTTGTGTGTTTATATTATAACAATTACATCTGATGTACATTCATTAATTTGCAAATGAAGTTGTACATGCAAAGTGTTTCACAAGTCACAATTAATATATTGACTATTCATTTCTTTGATTGTTCTTTACAAAAAAGCATGTGTACATGTGCTTTAGAAGTAATATAATAACTTATGAGGAATGTCAATCAGACAAAAATGTAATAGCACATATTCAGTAATCCATAAAAATAGATACATGTGGTTCTGATTTCAATCCATGCTTTGAATGTTTAAATGCTGAAAAATGATGTCCTGACAACCCGACGGAGGATAATCTGTGGTAGAAAACCGTGACGCTGAAAGGAAGTGAGAAAAGGTTCAGATTGACGAGAGAGACAGACGAAGGAAAGAGTGACAGTTTAAAACCAAGACAAAGTGAGGGAGGTTGACGTCACAGATGAAACACATGTCTTTTTTTTTTCTTCTTCTTCTTCTTTCGCAGCTTTTTCGGTAGAGGGAGAAGCCGTATAGAAAAGACTGTGCCATTTCCCTGCCCACAGTTTTTATTTTCGAACACTGTCGCTTGGTGAGTCAATGCAACGCCCCTCCAATTACCTCCTACTTCTTCGCCCCCACGCCCATCCATCCCGCCCTTCATCCTACGCACCTAACACACTCTGACGTCAGTCGCTGCAGAGTGTGTGTGTGTGTGGGGGGGGGGGTTCTGAGTCTGCCGCCCACAGAGTACTTCCTATCCCCCCCCTCCTTCTCCCTCCCCGCCCCCTCATGTCTTTGCTGGCTTTCTTCTCCTCGCTATCGACTGGCTATAACAGCCCAGAACGACTAACTTGCCCAAATCACTTGCTTTTTTTCTTCTTCCTTGTGAGAAGCTGTGATGTATCTTAGAAATGCTACAGTAGCAGGGTATTAAAGAAGTGCTAGAACAGTGTAACACCCCCCTCACTCTCCATATATATCTCTCTACACCCGCCTTCTGTTTCCCCTTCTAACTTTTATCCTCTCTAATTTACAGTCTGGTGAAGTTCAGCTGTGCATGGTGGGAGGCGTCACCTCAGAGAGATAGTGACTCACTAAAGTTCAAGCTGTAGAGCTATAAAATATTCATTGTTAGGAAGTTTGCGTATTCTGTCTGTCGCTCACTTCAACAACAACATCAACTCGCTCTGTTTTTATTTCCCTACCAGATTCAAACAAAATCATTTCATATTTTGGATAATATGGATATGGGTAGCTTGACACTGTCTTTTCAAGTAAATGCTGGCAGATGCTTAGTTTGAAATTGGAAAAAAGGGGGAGACATCTGACCTGACTGTCTGAGGGTAACAACATCTAAAGATGTCTTCTGATCTAACTCTCAGAAAACAAGAGTGTTTTACCAAAAGGTCAAACTTTAACCTGAACAAAGTTGGACAAGTAGTGCAAAGTAACCTTTTATTCTGTGTCCATCATTGAAGACATATTATTGTTACGTCATTATTGGAAAAGTCACCTGTAGAAAGTGTTCTTTCTGACCCTAAGCTGATCTTCCCAGCCCGATCATGTGACACCATCCGAGCCAATCGCAGCCCTTCATCCATTAGCGTTTGCTGGATGAGATGGCGACTCCAGTTGGCAGGGTTGGACGTGTCCGTGTGGGGACGGGGGGACGCAGACTGGTTACACTGTGAGCCGATGTCTAACAGTACAGACAGATTTGGGTATGAATTACATTTGACTGAAGACCAGTTTAAAGCTGAGACAAAAAAAAAACATTTTACAATATACATAAGAAGTCTTTACCGTGAGACACACTGTCGAAGCTTTCTGCAGATAAACTGTCATCATCTCCCCTCTGGGTCAAGCCCTCCGAGCCCTCAACTCCAAGAACCAATGAGACGTTCTCAGGCATCATCCCCTAAAGCACATCGCTGTCAATGTAGTGCTATTGATCCACTTTAAATTACGTACAAGTGCCACTTGGGCCCAGTTTACTTATTAGAGTCACACATTCCTTAATCTATAAGGAGTTACACTGAATGGTGTTGACTTACCTCATGTCTTGCTCTCTTCTGGGACACTACACTGTTGTCATCTGCGTTTGTCCTGCAAGAAGAAAACAGTTGACTGAACATGAAGATGTTGTTGACCCCTTTTTTGTTTTTACAAGGTCTTCGTGAGCAGATTGTGGTTAAAGGTTCATAAAGAAAAACAAGTATTCGTGATTGAAGATTTTCTTCACGCAGGTGGTTTTGTACAAAATGCAACAAGATGAAAGACGTCACACAACTTTTGTTGCTCTTGTGAAGTATCAAAACGTTGTATATATTATAATTATTATTTGAATGCAAATCTTTATCTTGGATATTTATTTAGATATTTCATTGTCATGTGATAGCAAGCAGGAAGAAGACTTAGCATTTGTGTATTTGGTCTTAATCATTCGACGACGAAATATGAAATTTTAAATTTTAAAATAATATCTTGAATTAAGACACTAGGACTGTTCTTTCCGTTTACTTTCTGCAATTAATTAAGAGGAGGAAAAATTATTTGGGCCTAAAGGCATAAAGATATATTTATTTTAATTTTTAAACAGGATGTTTGTGTAGCCATGTGTTGCTAAAGTTAGCTCATTATGCTACACTGCAGTACAGAGGTTAGAAATTCATTCCCACTGTGATCCAAAGCAGGTTCATTGAGAAAATCAATGCACTGGTGGAAAGATGACTCATAAGTACTTTTTTCAAGTGATATATTATTTAATTCATTTCAAATGCTGCTTATTATAACAAGATGCCACTCTAGCCAGTATTTAAGGAATGACCATTGTTGTAGCGGGTGATGCCATAAAATAAAAACTATATTACTGATTCTAACAGATTTTTTTGTCGAGATAGAAGCGCAAACAAAACGTAGCATGTGTGAGGTGTGTTCATCACAGGGTACTGGTGAGCAGATCTCTCTGCTCTAAAGGTAGCGCCCCTACCTTGCATGCTTTAGTGTGGAGGTGTAGGCACATTTTCTCGCCACCTGCCGAGCCAAAGAAAAGAGCTCCACCCGTCTCAACAAAAGGGCATTGTCACGCATACAGAACTGGGCTGCAGCTTCATTGATGATCAACTGAGGAAGAAAACCACTGAGTGAAGGAGCGATCGACACCGTGAAAATATGCAGACAGACATGAATCACATATTTTTGTTTTAAAAAGTATATTTAAGACCACGGCTGCCCTCTGTGTTACATCTTCGTTCTGGTCTTTGGTGCTTTTACCTCATGATGTGTGAGCTGCTTCCCCTCTCTCCTCTTGGAATCAAAGCGCCCATAAATGAGACTGTACTTCCGGATCTCTTCTTCTTTGTTCACATCCTGAGACCCCATTTTGAAGATGTGTCCAACAGTCTTGGCCAGTTTCTTGTTCATCCTAAGCAGAGTCCTCACCTCTGCAGGATCTGACCTGGACAGTGTCCTGAGGAGCCTCTCCACGCTCTCCACCACCGCCCTCCCCGTCTCCCCGTCCAGCTGTCCGCCAGGCCAGGCTGAGAGGACTGACGGGGAAAAGGAAGCTGAGGGGCTAGGAGACGTGGAGGGACCTGGATGACACGTTGACAGCAGAGGCGGGCTGGGAGGCTCCTCATCTAGTCCAGATGCCAAAGTGCAGTTCCCATCTGGCTCTGGGCTGAGCCAGTGTGGATCCATGGGAGATAGTTTTTCCCTGTAGTGTGTGTCTGGTGGCTGTGGGGAAGCCTGGGAGCAAGGGCTTCTTGGACTCCCATTGTGCATTGGAGTAAGACACGCCCGATCTTCCCTTTCACAGGGGGACCCGGGCTGCCCGTTGCTGACAGGCTTCCTGGGCCCGCCTGCTGATCCACCAGTACCCGTTCCGTCCACTTTGAACAGCGGAATGCCCCCTAGAGGAACATTGGAGACGGGCTGGCTGAAAAGGGCAGGGTTTGCCGCCCAGTCTCGGAGGGCCTTCTGGAGCCTACGCACATGCAGTGGCTTGGTGGCCATGCCGACTAGCGCCATGATCTCCAGGAACTCCTCCTCTGCTGCCTCACAAAGCTGCTGCACGTCGTCACCACCCTGCTGGATGAAGGTTTCATAATAGGCCAGCAGGTTGGCCCTCTGCAACACCCGATACAGCTGCAACTCGCCAAGTGTGCGTGGCAAAGACATGGCACACAGCTCTGGAAAGTTTGGGTGGGAGAAAGGAAAGACTTTAACCTACAGGTGGAGGAATCGTGTGCAAGATATCTATTTAGATGAAGATGTTTCCATCTAGACTTCCCCTGCATACCTGCATTTTATCTTGATGAAGCTTTGATAGAAATAGATGATTAACGGAAGTGTATTGATGCTTCAGATCAGATTAGTTTCTCCAAATATACCTTTCTATTTTTTTCATTTTCCAAAAAGTTTTCACTTAAGTATCATATCACTGATGATTGAGAACATAGAAACCCTCTTACCTTTTTTGAGGGCAGAAAGACGGATGTGCAGAAAGTGTTTTCACGGACGGATATCTCTCCAAATCACCGATGTCACAAGGTACGGACTCCCGGAGGGAAACTGGTAAAGAAATGCAAAATAGTTTCGTGCTGGCCGATGCGACAAAAGCGCGTTACATTTAGATTATACTAGAATCACTTGGATTATAAACTCCAGCAAAAATAAAACCATCGACTGGAGGCAAGTATTCCTGATGCAGGTGTTCGCGGAAAACACCCTGCTCAGACACACATCGCAATTAGTAGGTTTGTTTCTTACCCAGTTGCCTATTGCCGAAAGCTGCCGTTGCTCAGACTGTCGTAGTAAATCCCGTGTGCTTATCGTTTCTCGTCTGAAATCACTGGCAGAAATCCTCCTCCGGCGCAGCGCATTGGTTGCCGGCTGCCCTGTCTGTGTGGGCTGGAGAATGGCGGGGGCGGACTGCAGCACGCCATCTGACCGAAAAAGAGCCTTCCTCTCCCGGTAGAGAGGCGGCTTTCAAATTGGAGATGTGGGTGGTGGTGGGGGCTTAAAATGAGCCCTCTACGTCTTCAAGAATTGTCTTTCGTGTAGAAGCTGTAGGGGGTTCCCAGCGATTCGCCACGAGAAAGACCCCAATAAGAGTCGACACTACCGAGGACTTATTAAAAGACCAGTGAACAGTTGTGACAGATGTGGTAGATGTGGGTATTGATTTGCTCTTAGGCGGTTGGTGGTTGTAAATTACTCCGAAAGTTCAAATGGTAATTTTACTTTTACTTTTTATTGTCCTTTGCGAATTTAAAGGCCAATTCACCAAAACATAAGTTCATAAAATGATTAACAGTATCAATGTTGTATAATAACTTTCTGGCCATGCAAGATCTATGATGTTATTTCTGATGCCACACTACATTGACTGCACAAATACATATTCTTCGCTTACAGTTTGATGATTCACAAGTTTCCAGTTTCAGAAACAACAATAAAAGAACATAAACATAGACCATGTTTTCATTGAAATCTTGTTTTTTATTTAAGAAAATTCTGGTTTTTGCTAAATTCTTTTTGGTTGATTAATTCATGTCAGTATTTAGTTTGCAGAATAAAGATAGGTGTAGTGGGAAGTTAAATACATGAACTGGAGAAATTTCCCTAATCTTTGCCTAAGAAGAAGATCAATCAGGTGCTTGAAAATTTGATGTTTGATACATTTTAGGGTTTGTTAAAACTCTCACTTGTAAAGTTCTAGACCAATTTTTGTAGATGTATGGGAGATTTGCTGAGGCAAGTGAACGAAGCAAGCCATGAATTGATGTCTTTTCTTCAATCATTGAGTTACATAAAAAGATTGAAAACTATGAGAAACAAAAAACAGCACTAAACAGGGATTATCTAACAGTTTGTAAAGGTCCTATTCCTGAACCTTGTGGGGCTTATCATGTGAAAATAAGAAAAGGCCTTCCTCAACCAGCTGAAAGCATACCATTGTTTCACGGAAATGTATCTAATTTGTCTAGCAAACTAGATACATTTTGAAGAACTGAGTGTTCCCTTAATTAGAATTTAATAAAGGACCTTGAAAGTCGTGTAGAATCCTGAGATGTATAAAAGGATGAAGCCTGTTTTAAACTATATATCTGTTTTAACAGAATGAGTAGGGTAAAATAAGATAGTAAAATACTAGATTTGTCAATGTCATTTTATGTTATGGTTGATTTCTAATTATCAGCATTACCAACAAATGAATGGGTGGCAGTAGAGGTTCTTTTAGTTCTTTGCTGACGTGTTAAAAACAACACGAAGAAGAAGGGGGGGAGGAAGGAGAAACTGGAAGAAAGTAGGAAAAAGAGCAGGAGAAGAAGAAGTGGCTAAAAAAAACAACACGGGCACTTGGCTGTCTGTTCACAAACAAGGTTACACAATTAATTAAGAGGTATATACGACATTGAGTTTGTTTGAATGCAAAATGCAAGTACTTTGGCTTCTTGCTGTGCTCGTCCGGTGTACAAAACATGCCTTGGCTTACTCGTCAAACCCCACAGGAAGGGGATATTAGCTAGTCCAGCTCGCTACTGTTATTAGCTAACAGTGAACTACTCCGTTGGCTGTCTGTTTGCAGAAGACGTTAACAGTGTGCAGCTGTGTGTTCGTTTAATCTTTGTTTGAGACCATATTTAGTCGAGGTGTTGTCAGGTTATCTAGCTAAAGGAAAGCTAATTTTAGCCTCTTTGGAGCCTGTCCGTCATCGTGTTGGCTGGCTGCTTCTTCATGCTAACCCACTGGCTGTCTGCTAACGTTAGCCGCACGGAAATAGCTGGTAATGCTGTCAGATGGACATTATTATCAATTCAGTCAGTTCACAAAACAGGATTGGCAGCTTTGAAATGTCTATTTTTCTCGGTTTTTGTCGGTTCTGAATAGTCAAACGTGTTTCGATGTCGCTTGTTTCTTGAAGCACCGCGGTCCTCTTTGGCTAACGGTAACTGCATTAGCAAAACAACCGACGTTAATCAATCATTACGTTAACGTTGGTCAGCTGCATGTCATCTCTGTTGCTCTATTACACGTGGTGTGACATGAAGGTTTACTCTCTGGATTTATGTTTCCTCCACAACGCCCGGACGGATAATTTCATGTAGCTGCATCACATGTTTAGTAAGTTAATCATTAATAAATGACACGGCTCAGTCGTGTCATTGGTCAGTTTGCGGGTATTGGTGAACTCTTGAGTGGAAAAACATTTTAAATGATTGCGTCATCGTAGTACTAGTAGCAGCAGTTGTAAGGTAAAACTACTATTTTCATGTTCGATTTGTCAATTGTTTTAACTGTTTAGTCTATTACATTTTATACATTGTGTCAGTTATTGTCTTGTTTGACCAACAGTACAAGTCTAAAGACAGCCAGTTTTCAATGACCTAGAACTAAGAAAAGCAGCACATCTTCATATATTAGAAGTTAGGTCCTTTTGAGAATTTTACAGTTAGTCTTAATATGTTAATTTTAGTTATGAATCCCCTCTTGGTTATTCATTTTCTGCTGTTGTGTGTACATACTTACTGTGGGTGAATGGGGAGCACGGTCGTCCTCCAATCAGAGGGTTATCGGTTCAATCCCAGGCCTGGCTGACCCACATGTTGATGTGTCCTTGGGCAAGACACTTAACCCAACATTGCTCCTGTAGCTGCGACTACAGTGTGTGAACGTTAGTTACTGATGGGCAGGTGTCACTGTGTATGGTTCTCCTGTCATCAGTGTATGAATGGGTGTGAATGGGTGAATGTCATATAGTGTTTAAGCGCTTTGAGTGATCAGAAGACTAGAAAAGCGCTATACAAGTACAGTCCATTTACCATTACCATTTACTTTCATGTTGCTAGGTTCTTTCCCAAATATTCAATTGAGAAAGAAATATTTATACTTTGTCAGTTCAATGTAAAGATGAAGAACCAGAGATGAACTATAAACTAATACTCTCAGGATTAGCTACCATGGATTTGACAATATATTAAAGCCACTGATTTATATTATCGTTGTGGCAACCCCTTTATTTCCATTGGTGGAAGGTACCAAACCTTGTAATATAAATGACAGCTTATTCCTCATTTAATCTGCTTATTCACAATGTGGTTGTAAACTGAATTCTTCCTGCTACTTTTCAGATAGCAATCCAATGCATGATGGAAGGTGGGTAAAAACCTTTTGATACCTGGATGCTGCTGCTGATATGGTGGACCTGAGAGTGGACGCGCAGGAGCCCCCAGTCTCACCTTTTTAGGAGAGCCTGGGGAAAATTTAGCCACAGATAATGGATTTAGATCTTTTTCTATGAGATTCTGATTTCAAGGGGCTCTAATCGATCAGCTGTAAGAAACATGGAGAGAGAAACAACTGATAAGGAGCTGGATTGCATCAGAGATGCTGACCAGAAAATCCCTGATGGTGATGTCACCTCAGTAGCTGAGCCTAATCAGTGGGAGGCCAAACAGACTGATGACAAATGTGAGCAGGAGGATAAAGAAGCCAATCTCAAATCTCAGGACACCCCAAATCCAGCCCCTCTACATGGCCCTGGAATTGTTGAAGCAGATTATTGTGGATCTCCAGCGTCCAAAGAGGCTACCAAGAAGGCTTCACATTGGTTTGAGCACGACGAGACTGCAGATAGCGAGAACCCGCATGTTATAAATCAAGAAGAGGATGAAGCTGCAAAGGAGCAGCACGTGAACGGGGAGTCTGGTTGGAGGAACCTGGGGCCTGGCCGAAGATGCAAGTTCAGAATCAGTGGATCAGTTTCAGAGCAGAGCGGTCAAAGTGCATTCTCCTCCATTCAAAAAGGCAACGTAATGTCCAGTGGTGGTCGGCACAAGCAGACCCGCAGACGAAACCACCACCACAATCAGCAGAGCCGAGGCCGCAGGCAGACATGCAACCAACTTGTCTTGGCTTTCAAGGATATGCTCTCAGACTCTCTGAGTTTCTGGTGCGTCTCCTGCGTCCACATGATGATTGAGATTATTGTCACATTAACTCACAATTGTGGAGTCGGTGTGGAGACTGGAGGGATGAAACTATACAACTTTGGGCGGCAGCTCCTTGTAAAGATCACGGATACAGGAGGAATGAAGGCTGATGCTAGTCGAATTCTGAAATGGACTAAATGCACAGTAACAGATGTGGTGGATAAAATTGTTCGCTCAGTAATGTGGTTAAAAAACGCTGCATTATCTTGTTTGAGAATCTTCTGCGCTTTGGTTATCCTCTGCTTCCAATGGTCAAAAGGTGTGTCCGTTCGTCTTGGTGGGGAGAGGGCAAAGCGCTATTGGACAGCTTTTCAGGAGTCACGGTTTTGGAAAAGGGTAGTGTCCCTGCTGGAGAGTGTCAAAAGCAGGTTCAAGAGGCATGGCCATGTTCCACTGCCCAGCGCTGACTCACCCGGCAGAGCGGGGAGAAGCCAGCCGGGCCAGGAGCTGGAAAGACTGCTGGCTTTGGCCGAGGTACCAGAAGATGAACTCGACCCCTTTTCGGTGCTGGGTGTGGAGGTGCACGCAACTGAGGCTGAACTGAAGAAGGCCTACCGGCAGCTGGCTGTCCAGGTGTGTGTAAAGTGCACTTCTAAAGTACCTGAGTGAAAAATACATTGATTGGATTTACTGACGCAGTTTCTTGTTTCTTCTTCTTAAGGTCCATCCAGACAAGAATAAACACCCACGAGCTGGAGAGGCATTCAAAGTATTGAGGGCTGCCTGGGATATCGTCAGCAACCCAGAGACACGACGAGAGTATGAGTTGTGAGTACACAAAAAAAAAGCTGAAGATACATCTTTAATCACAAAGGAAAAACATGATACATTGTATAATCTGTTATTCTAACTTATGTTTCCCCTCCTTTTGTTAACCACTGTTAACAAACCACCGTTCAGTGAACTATTTCCTTGGTGGAGTCTGTCCTTATTCAAATTGATGTATTCTACAATTTCAACATTCGCACAGTAGCGATAGTAAATGGAGAATAACTGGAACGATTGGTCTATCGTTTAAAGATGTACCATTTTTTATTATTGGATTTAGTTGCCATTTAGCGGTTTAGAGTGCGTTTGACTCTTTAAGCATTTGTTTTCGTGTCACAAACCAGTCTTCTGTTTTGTCCCCACACAGGAAGCGAATGGCAGCAACCGAGCTCTCAAAATCCATGAATGAGTTCCTCACTAAACTGCAGGATGACCTGAAGGAAGCCATGAACACCATGATGTGTACCAAGTGTGAAGGCAAACACCGGTGTGTTGCTCATCAGCTGAATTAGTGCCAGGAATCTCCTCAGGATTAATCAAAAAATAGTGTAATACACAAAACTAGCCGAGCCGGTGTCTTAATGCAGTGAACTACAGTCGTGTTCCTCCTTAACTTGTGTCCTTTCAGGCGGTTCGAGATGGATCGTGAACCTGCAGAGGCCCGGTTCTGTGCTGAGTGCAACCGTTGCCATAGTGCTGAGGAGGGGGACCTGTGGGCCGAGTCCAGCATGTTGGGCCTGCGCATCACATACTTTGCATGTATGGATGGCAAGGTGTATGACATTACAGGTAAGCATGTCGATGTATCTGCTCCCCTCATCAGTCACTAAACTGTACAGATGCTGTAATTTGCAAGGGTTTGTAGATATTAGGCATTTGAGAAACTAAGTTTAACCACTCAAATTATATGTAAATTATCATTTTGAAGGGGGATCCCTGTAGAGAGAAAAAGCACGGTTTCAGAATATTTCCTGGATGAATGTTTTCCTATGACACATGTGACCTGTTTGGGTGTTTCAGAGTGGGCAGGTTGCCAGCGGATAGGCATTTCTCCTGACACGCACCGAGTGCCCTATCACATCTCCTTTGGTTCCAAAAACAACAGCAACTCCACACGACAGAGGTACTTACCTGCTAGTGCAACGACATATTGTTTGTTGTAAAGCATGTACTATTCTGTCCTTTTCTTCCCTGCTAAGGCTGCTGTTTTGCCTCATTAACACATTTGGCCAGTAGTGTTTTACATGTACAGTAGAAATTTTACATGTTTGGCAAATACTTTTCTTTTTGAAAATATGAAACAAATACCAGCGGTCGAAGATGTTATTTCAAACACTGCAATTATACTAACTTCATTTTTGATCGTTTGAATTTGTAATGTACAAATAATCTCCTATATGTTAATACTTTCAGAACACCATCAGAGCAAGCCGCCAGTCCGACCAACCCTGCAGATTTACAAGACTTCTTTAACCGCATCTTCAAGGGTGGACCTCCAAACGACATGGCTGCCAATGGGGGCTTCTTCCCCTCAGGTCCGCCCCCTCATAACCCACCTGGAGCTGGAGCGCCCCCATTCTCCCCTCCTCCGAGCCAGACAGGTTTCTTTAATCCGGGGGGTCCACGGCCAGAGTCCAGCGAGACGTCGGCAGAAAGTGGCAAACCCCCCAGGAGGAGGAAGAAGGTCCGCAAACCCTTCCAGAGGTGAAGTCTGTTAACCCCTCAGTGTATCAACATGGCAACACAGACGCACAATAAATAATCACCTGCCTCCTGCAAAGATCTGTCGGGAGATAATTTGCAAGGCTGTGGTCAGATTGCAAGGGAGAGAGACGGACTGGATGACGGAAAGGAGCGCGTTGACTGAGGGTGGAATATGTGGAGGCGATGGTGCATTATCTCTCATGTCGCTTCATTGTTTTGTTGGTCTTTAAGATGACTGTAGCTTTGGCATTGAAATCATTATTGATATGCTGTAATTAAACATTTTTCTTTCATAAATTCCTGCCAAATCCTGCAAAGCATGATTTATTCACCTGCATTTTAGTACTTTGGTTTACTCACTTTTGTATGCGGTTTGATTACAATGTTGGGTCCAGAAGGATTGACACTTTAGGAGTGAGCTTTGGATCACTTGGATTAACATGGTAAATTCAATGATCTTCAGTAGCTCCACTGTGTCATTCGTCACTCATGCACCCCTTCCGCCATATTTCATGAATGAAGGGAAACCAGTTGTCCTCAACACATCCTAAGCAGTCAGGCTGACTGACATCTGAACTAAATTGAAAGGAGTGCCTAAAGTAGTGTTTGGAAGAGTTTTCTGCTTTTACAGTGAAATCAGAGGCAACGGATATAAGGGGTGAAACTCTGGATGTGTGTATAGATGGCAGGATTTCTGTACATGGACTTCAATGAAAGTCTCATGCAGTCAACCTCCGGCTTTAGGGATCCACAACTAGTATTTGTGGGGGGGTTTTCCTAGTTCTTCTGGTCACTACAAGCAAATTGTCTCTTAAACTGACACGATTCAAGAGAGTTACAAACCTGTAGGAGTTTCAAGTTTGGGAAATCTCCGTATATTAAACAACTCCCTTCAAAGTTCTTACTATGTGAAGATTTGGCCATTTGAGCAGAATTAGTTGGGTTAAAAATTTTGCTAATATTTGTGTGTCACCAGAGAATCCTATCTTGCATTTCTAACTATTTTCAAAAGCCACTGAAAATAATGCATTTTTATTTCTTTGTGGCACTGCTGATTCTAGACCCACTGCTTCAGATTGACTTGGTTCGATTCCAGGTTCGAGTTCAGTTGTGTTTCTGATTTGCTGAACACCAGCTGAGAAGGTCTCAACTTAAAGTCACACCATAACTTTTTAAAATGTGAATATTTCTCTGTGTTCAAAGGATTGATTAACGTTCTGAAGACCACATATAATTGATTCACACCGCACCATGTTGATTATCAGTCGAACCAAACAATGAAAATGTAAAATACCGAAGCTAGCCGGACCTTTTATAGAAAACTTCACATGCTGTCAAATGTTTTTTTTTCCCCATGAAGCATTACATTAGTCATTACTGACTTTCCCAGTGAGCTTTCAATGAGACGAAAGCTAAACATATATGATATGTTCATTTCGTATCGTTTTTTTGAGAAGTAAAAATATACATTCCAGTCGTCCAGATCCGAACATTATTTTCATCAGCTTGTTAAGTGTCATTTGATGCCGGCGGTGATGTTGCGGCACGTCCACGCCGTAAGCACCAGTGATCATTGAGCTCAGGACTAGTTTGTAAATCAACCATAGAAAAGTACACATTTTTAACGAACGGTGGTCCCGAGTGAGTAGAGCTTGGCCACATCCCTTTCACACTTTATCTCCTTGTTTCAGTCTGACTGCTTTCAAAGTGAGGAGTTCTCTTCTGGTTAACACCTCCTGGATTTGGTTCAGCTTTCAAAATGTCAAGGTCTGATTTTCACATAAAATGTCATCCAAAGTTAAGCAACTGGTTCCCTTATGTCACTTTATGTAACAACACGAAAATAATTGATTGTATTTAGGAGTTTGTTTTTGTGACATGGTTCTTTCATAGGAATAGTTTAATTTCCATCAGAGGATAAGTTAAGAAAAGTGAGCAGTTGTTTACACCTGATATGTGAAGATTGTGAGTGTTGTGAAGTTGAAATTGTGTGTGATAAGGCTTTTGATAAAAGCAATTTTTTTTTATATATCGACAGTTGATGAAAAGTACCATGTTCAATGTTGTTTTCTGTTGTGTTAATTTGCACACCCACCCCTATATTAACATCAGAGGGATTTTGAACAGTCATCAGTAATGGCCAAACTCTTCCAGCTGCAGCTGAGTGGGAGGTGGAGCTCGCTAAGCTAACAGCTCATTTGCAATTGGTAGTATCTGTTAAATGAGTGAGACATTTTTGAAAAACATTTGCGATACATACCAGCTCTCAGAATTATGCCATTGTATTTTTTCTGGTATAAAAGGCTAAGTATGTTGCAGGTGTTGTTTGAGCTCATTGAAGCTGCCTATTAAGTTTGACACGTGTCATTTTTCCTTTCATCTGTGCATTGGATTGGTTTCCCTCTGGATCGAGTTGCTGTCATTAAAATGTCCCTTTTTAAATCAAGCCAATTATTCAATTGACCAGCTTAAGGGTTGGACTGTTAGTGAGATATAATCTGAAAGAAAAAACAATAGCTTTATAATTACTATCCTACATTTGGGTAACCTGTTTAAAGCTAGGTTACCCAAATTTGTCTCAAGTTCTCATTTAGGCCTTAAATATCTTCTGTTCCCGTCCATCTCTGGAGAACAAAAACAGGTTTTAGATCATTATAAATCGTCATATCGAACACTGTCCCTGTCTGAAACACGCCGAGCACATTGCGTTGTTTTCCACACCTTGACTTGAGAATGTACAATGATGTATGTTGAAGGTAGACGGGTCGAAATCAATTAAACAGCCAACACTTCTTCCACGTTTTTAACAGAATATGCAGAAGTATTGCAAAAAATATGACAATCATCAGGTTGTTACATTACAAGGCGAGTTCCCTGGCTGGCAAAACGTTTTAAAATATCACTGTTGGTCCCCCCCCCCCCCGCATACTCTGGTTTTCAAAATAAAGAGAATTTCCTATATGCACTTTGTTGTTCTGTTTTACGCTCAGAAGGCTTAAACATTTTTATTTAACCATGTATATCAAAGCTATACCGTTTCACGACATTTCATCATCGCAAACCTCTTGGTAAGAATCTGTATCAGTTCTTCAGAGAAGCTTGTTAGCCTGCATAGGTAACATCCTTCAGTTTTACCTCATATGGGGGTTTCTATTCGCGGACCTTTTTCACTGATGATGCTTTGGCCGTGCAAAGCAGACACATCTACCCCTCCGCTCCTTGAAAGGACTCGCTCCAGAGGGGTGCGGATTACCGACTCACTCACTTGACTTCTGACCATTTACAGGGTAGATTGGGTGGAAAAACTAATTCACTTTTCACAACGGCAATTTAAACTCCCAATAAATTCAAAAGAAATCCTTTGTATCAGCCAGAAACCAGTTACGTTTGTCCTCTGGCAATGAGCACAGACCTGCTTATCAGGTCTGTGCTGAATAAAACTCACCAATGATGCAAACACATAATTGCAGCTCAGTCATCAATGAAATAAGACTTATAAACATTTTTCTGGTGAAGATCAGTGGTTGCAAAACTTTTGTCACTTTGACCTCCACTCCATGACACATTGATAGTCAGAACTTTTATCAGTTGGTTACAAATACTGGGAACATAGTCAGCATTCTTATTTTCCTGGTTTTCTTTCTATATTGATTTAACTCAAGAGCAAAACCGCTGTCTTCATATTTGATTCATGAGCATCCCCAGATTGTTTTCTTTTTTCTATAAGACTATATTTCTTATCCTTAACTTGGCTCTCTGGACAAATCTTTCTAACCTAAACAGACAGTATTTAAAAACATTATTTAGCCCAGATCAGATGTTGATCTTGTAATATTTACACTTACAAATACATCTGCTTAAAAACAAGACAATATTATTTATATTTAAAATATTTCAACCTGTGCCTATCCTTTCTCTACTAATATAGAATGAATATAATTATATATGCAGCGATAGCTGCTTCAGCTTGTGCCGATTGCATCCCACTGCTCTTTCAACTACAGCTTGTCCCTCAGAGGTGCGATGATGCTGCAGAGCTGAGAACAGTCTCGATACGCCACCAGGCCGCCGCGGTTGGCCCAGCGCTCTGCTCCTTTGCACTCGGTGTTGGGCTGATGATAGGTCAGTTCCATCAGGTGATCCGGCGCTCTCGAGCCGGACCGCAGAGACTTTGTCAGGTCCACCACGCCGCCTCCGAGGGCTCGGAGCAGCGCGTGAGGAGCGCAGGAGTCCCACTTGAAGGTGCTCCCTTCGGAGAGGACATAGACGTCGGCCAGGCCCTGAATAACGCACAGGATCTTGTAGCCGGCTCCGGAGGCGTACATCAGCTTGTCGCGGCCGCACAGAGCACTCAGGGCTTCCTTGACTACGGGTTTCTCACTGGAGCTCAGCACCACAGACAGCCCTGGTCCTGGTACAGCTTCTGGCCGGGACACCGAGCAGACGTTGATGCTGCCGCAGGAAACGCCCCAGAAATGCTTCCCCCTCCAGCTGTGAACGCAGCATTCAGTAGGTTGAGAATAGGTTCTAAATGCTCATTTGGAGCCATGTAGGTAAAGAGTTTTTGTAGAAGCCGCTCCCAACAGCGGCCTGCTGCATCTGTGACAACGGTGGGGCAAGTGATCCAGAACAATTCAGCGAGGGACCGTGCAGCTAAACAATGAGCTGCAAATCCCCGTAAAAATCCTTAAAGCTGAAAGTAACACGCTCTGTAAGCTCCTCACTGCGAGCATGTGGTCATTGGTACGTAGTTATTATAAATATACAAAATATAGCTGCTTTTAGGTCAAATGCCGCTCATGCGATGGACTTCCTAACATCCTGGTTACAGAGTGGTTTACACGGTTCAGGGGCTTTATGGCTGAATGTGCCCTTGTCATCTAAACGCTCCCAGCGGATTCCTGACTGATCAAGTGGTCAGAGTTTACTGGTCCGTCTCAAACTGGAACATGGACCCTAACGGTATATTTTAATAAAGATTCAGCCGGAGGCAGCTGTAGATTATTTCCCAGAGAAGGAAAACGCTTATATTAAAAATATCTCAGTGGCAACTTTTCAATACCACTACTCTGCCATAACGTTTAATTTTGTGATGCCTACAATGCATTGCTGTCATCGCCGTGTTAATCACATGAAACGTTTAGCATTGAGCGCATAGCAATGAGGATGTTCTACTAGACTGCATTAAAACAAGAGGTGATTCCGATGTTCGTGAATCGGGATGACAAAAGATCAAAAAACATCTCTCAACACGAATCCGCTACAATACCGTCACTAACTAGAGGACGGCACATTACAGAGGTTTTGATCTAAACTTACCCTCCACCCGCTGGGTCTTTGTGGTTGAAGGGCTGGTTGATGACGCCCATGACGGGCTCCCCTGTGCTCCGGACATAAACCCCGATTAGGACCAAAGCGCAGTGCAGCCCTGAAGGAGCCAGGCGGCCCTCCTCCAGCACCTCCTCCCTGCCCTCAATGTACTGGCTGGTGGCATCTGAACGAAAAAACAAGACACAAGCGGATCTTGCTGAGCCTCAACTCTCGGCGGCGTTTACTCACCGGATAACTTCAGCTTATCAGACGGTAAAAAACCTCTCACCTATGGGGTCGATCCAGATGCCGAGCTCAGAGGGGCTGAGGGGCACCGTCAGACCGTCCGCGTGGGCGTCGATGGTCGCCGGATCCTGGTGGATGGCTCGAGCCAGCAGAGACGCCGCTGTGTGGTCGCCATCCAGCACCGTGGCCAGCAGCGCCGCAGTCTCCTGCGGCGTGTTGCACACCGTGACCGCCACGCTCTCTCCTGGGGACAGAGAGAGTTTAACGTCTAGTATTAATTATCAAAAGTTTTTAATATATACACAGTGCCATCTCCAGGGACCTCAAATACCTTTGAGTGACGAGTGACACGTGGGTGTTTGACCTTTTATATTCAGATTATTCCAATGAAATATGCTTTGCTCACTGGGAGGTTCAAGTGCAGATTATTAAATAGAGTTTTTTCTATGTTTCTAGTATTTAGTCTACCCACATAAAGCTTGAGTGATACTATTATACAGGACTTCTCAATCTTACATCATAGTTGAACAGATACAAATCACTAGCATCAACTGAGCATTCAGTTGAATCTCTTTAAAGACAATGGAGCACAAGTTCTCCTGCACAGAAAAAATACCTGGCCTGCAGTTTTCGATTGAAGAATTAAAGCCAAACTGATTATACACCATTAAAATGTACCATCTGACCACAATGTCATCCAAAATCACAGCTGAAAGTTAAGAACGATATCGATATAACGATATATAACAACGAAGTCCTTACCAAGCCCATTTTCAAATTTGTTGGACTCCTCTCCATGAATGAAGCCCTCCATCTCAGGGAACTGACCAAGGAAAAGATAGAACATGATTACACACCAAATTCTGGTTGATTCAGACGCTCCCCCCCCCACACTACTTCTCCTACCTGAACGCCGACGTCATGCCGAATCATCTCCTGGATCACCACGTCAGCAAGCGTCTTGAAGTCCTGGACGAACTTCTTGTTCTTGTCGTCTCCGGTCTTCTCTTGAACGAGCAGCTGAAACAGAGGAGCCTCCTGCCTGCAGACGCGAGCCACGTTGGCCGCTTTCTCCGCGACCCGGAGCAGCAGCCTCAGAAGATCAGCCATGCCTGAACAGAGGGAAAAGAACAGAGGGGTTTAACATGGAGAAGGATAACTGCGAAAGAGAAGAGTCAAGTCACACTTGCATGCCGAGCTAATTATAGCCTCGAAATGAAAACAGGTCATTTCTAAAAAAAGAAAAAAAGAAAGAAAGAAATAGATGTGCGCGTGTGTGTGTGTGTGTGTGTGTGTGTGTGTGTGTGTGTGTGGGAGGAAAGCGGCTTGAGGTCACATGTGAACATCACAGTCTCTCTGCTGAAGTCAAATGCCTCACAGATACGCAGCTTGAAAAGTCCCCAGCAAAAATCTCAACTTCCAAATAGTAATCAGTCAATGATCAATTCAGAGAACATACAAATATTATTATGTAGAAAAATCATCTTACAGTAAAATACTGGCGTATAAATAACAAAGTGACTATTTAGTCACATAGTGCTGGGTGCTGAAATGAATGTACTGAAATATTACACATATTGTTCACCGAGGATGGAAAAAGACCTCCATGAACACAGTATTTTGCAGATATGGATGCATCCCACTTCAGTCAGCGAACTATTTCAACATCACTCGACATCCCAGTAAACTGTTTCGGGTTTAGCTTAGATTTATGACCTTAGATAATGAAGCGAATGAGTTTAAAAACCTCTTTAAAATAACATGACATTAATACCAAAACGCGGCTTACACACCGATTGTTTTTTCGGTCAACCGCCGCTATCTGTGCAGTCAGATATATTTTTCCCGTCCGCGTCGCCAAACCCGGATGATTGGAGTCGGAGAGGACGCAGTTTCCGTACGACGCGCTGTTAAAACGCTTCATTAACGCCTTCTGCTCGGGTTTCTCTACGTCAGTGCGAGCTTCCTCTCGACGGAAGGGCGGATACATCTCACATCACAGCCGGTCCGCCCGGAAAGGTGGAGACACAGCGGGAGGGCTCGGTGAGCTCTTTAACCAAGCGGCAGACATTCGGAAGCGCTGCGGCGCTGCGTTCACAGGCAAATGGGAAGTTCAAGCTTCCGAGGTCGGAGGTTGTAAAGCCTGGTTTAAGGCGTGAGGGAGATCGAATGATGAAACTTTAACAAATGTACTTCCAATTAGCTTAAGGTTTTATTGAAAAATACTCGATTTGTCATTTGAGTTTAACGTTTCTGTTTTGGACTTTTGTTGGTGTAGCCGAGGGTTATGTTGCAGCTATACTTAATGATAATAAAACAAGAACTCCGTTGTTTGCATCAAGGCGGCAATGACTTGACTTGTTTGAGTCACACCACCGAACCTTTACATCCGTTTCTGACCTTCACAATAAAAGCCGTAGATACCTACTCTGAAACACTGTTTAAAAAATAAGTCTTAACGTAACTCCACATTATAGATAACATAGTTAATCTGTTAACTATGTTAATGTAACTATGTTAATCATAGGGGCATATTAAAACAAAATTAAAAAACATTTAATTGAATTAAATGCTGAAACATTGTTGTTTAATATACATAAAAATGACTAGAAAAAGTGTTGAAAGTCTTTGCTTCACTATAAAGAGCTCCAATTATTTGTCTTTTCATCCACGTACATTACTGTTCTTACCAAGTCGCCCTGGATGTTCTTAATAAATGTATTTGTTTTAAAGAAACTTTACACAGTTTTCTGCTTTTTACAAAGGGTGATATACAAACAGCGGCATGTTTTATTCAACCTTATTTTTTCTGAAAGAGATTTTGATGTATGACAAAGGTTGTTTTTACAACAAACTGTACAGCTCATGTGCTGGACATTATCGGGAGCACTAAAAACAACTGTGGCATTTAACAGACCACAAGTGTCGGATTCAAAATTGAAAACAGGAAAATGCTTCCATTACGTGGTTCTTATACTCCATTGCAGGGCCCAACCCACACACACATACACACACACACATACTCGGGTAATTGGAGAAACCAACATTGAGCATGGTTCATTCTAAGAGCAAATGACATTTGGTCAAAGCTTTGGCAACTGATATCCATTAGTCATCCATTATGTAGTGCGCATCAGATGAGAAGCCTTTCTGTGGTTGATCAATACAGTTTAGGGTCCTCAGTGAACTGGGCGAGGCTGTCCATACACTGCTGGATGAGCCATCAGTTACACCAGGAGCCTTACTGCACGGAGGAGTTCCTTCAGATGGAGGTAAGAAATGAAATGTTGGGGTGATTTTGATTTTTCTAGATTAGACAAGAATACACAAATATAGCATGGCAAGTGAATGTATTGTGTTAAAACTGTATTTAATGTTTGATCACCATCACAACATCCTCATGTGAGAGTAGAAAAGATTTGTTTGATGTTGTTTTGCAGGCCTCAAAGAACAATATGTCCGACCTGGAGAGTGGCATACTCACTATAATCAAAGTTTTCAACAAATACTCCAGACATGAATCCAGTCTGAAGAAACACGATCTTAGAGCGCTTATCAACTATGAGATGAGTCATTTCATCATTGTAAGTTGTAGAAGTGTGAAATTATAATGTGTTTCAGAACTGTGCAGAATAATGCTCTCGAAAGCAACTTTAAGATTATAGACGCTTAACAAACATTGATCATTTTTAGGTGTATTTTGAGTGTGCAACAGTGTGTGTGGTTTTATATTAGACATAATGTTGTTGTAGTCCATTTAGTCAATTACCGAGTACATTTTTGACATACTTGTCTGTGAGGATTTCTAACGTTAGGTACTTTCTTTTAGTTCACTTTATTTGGGAGGCAAATATTATCTTTTTTACTCTGGTAAATTGATTTAAAGGTTATATTTATTCGTCAGATTGTGGTACAAATTATGAATCCAATAACAATCTTTGATGTATTGCTATAAATAAGCCTATGGTACTTGCTGAGCTTTAAGGTGACATGAACGCATGTTATCTGGTTCATCAAACCAGATTTCTTCATCAAAGCCTGCAGGCCAAATGTTTTAATATATCCTGGTGTTTCATGCACATTTAAACCTCATGGTGTCACCAGAGGCGCTACAGACTTTTAGTTTTATTAAATAAATGGCCTGCAAATGTTTTATTGTCATTCAATTTTCTGGACAGAAAATCAAGGAGAAGGACACGCTGGATGAGCTCTTTGCGGACCTTGATCAGAACGGAGACCTGGAGATTGACTTCAAAGAGTTCATCGGCCTCGTCGCCATGGTTACCTCAGCATGCAACGAGCTCTTCATCCCAAAACAACCATAACAATTAGTCATTACTCAATAAACATTTAAGGAACACCAAAAAGAGTGTCCAAAACATTTTTATGGTGTCTGAGAAGATTTTGACTACAAGACAATTACATGTTTGGTATTATACAAGTTTGTTGCATGAATAAAAATGCATGATGACAATTCATAAAGAACCATACATCTGCTACAATGGCCGTCGGTGTCACTGCATCTGAAATCCGTCATGAACTCAGAAGCCAGTATTTCCTATCTTCAGATAAACCACAAATTCACCGCCTCAGGTGACTGTCCATGAAATCCAGGATCTTTTCCCAGGCGTCTTGCTGTGCAGCAGCATGAGGTGCGGGGTGACCTCCCCACAGAGTGTACACTGCAGGAGGAAGAAAACAGCATTATGATTAGTCTAATGTTAAAAGTGCAATGACGAGTATGAAATAGGACTTGTCTGAAGGGGAAATGCAGCTCATGAATAAAGCTCACGTTTTCTTGGTTTGAAGCTCCACAGGGACACTCTTGAATTTGGTGTGTACGGCGGTTCAATAAGGTGACCAGCACCGGGGTAAGACAACAGGGTGAGCAGTTGGCATTTACCTGCAGCCCTCAGGGTTTGCTCAATCTAGTGACAATTAAAACAGCGCCAAGCAAAATGACCAATAACCTGAAGGTGAGCCTATAAACAACACAAGTCAATCTCAAAGTTCATATATTTAAATGCAAGTTACAGTTAAATAATACAGTTAAAGTGAATGTGTGTGAGATCAAGACTACTCAAATGTTTGACTTACCAAATACCACATATAATCAAAAAATAAAATCAGTATTAGAGCATAATAGATGCTTTTTCCATAACATAATTTAAAATGCAGTTTACCAGGTTTGCATTCTCCATACTTGAGGCACTTAGATCATCTTCACCCACTATGTACATTAAAGGACAGGGAAGGTCCTCTAGCTGTAAAAAAAAAAAAACACAAGATGTCATTCTAGAGTTTATTTAACTAACATAAGATACAAATGTGCATATTGTCTTTATATTTTGTATAGTCTATATTTTGTATAAGCCTAAGTGTGTACGTGAGTAATATTGTGGATTGGTACTATCTTCACCTTCACTTTGCTCTCAGGGGAAAGGTTTGCAGGCAAGGACATCGCTTTAAAACTCACACAGCCTTGATCATCAAACTGCCAATGTGTCTGCTCACTAAAAGGCCAAGTTAACAGAAAAAATATCAGTAATCAGTTGTTGGAGAAATAGTTGAAAACAAAGCCTCTGAAGCTATTTAACTAGATCTGAATTGATTGAAGCATTTCAATTTTAAATTTCCTATTACATCTATAATACTAACACTTTACTTTTCAAAGTTTTCAGTCCGGCCATCTGCATCTGTGAGTTTGATGGTGCTTCCGACTGGGCCATTGATACAAACCAAACAGGAAGGCTGGAGGAGAAAATTGTAACTGTTGAAAGGCAATGTGAGGTCATAAGAAACATATGTGATTTTGCAAAGAGCTGTGAGTTGATCAAAGCGTAGATAATGAAATGGTTGACGGAGAAAGTCCTATCCGACATACCTTGACACCAGCTCTGGTGGCAATTCTAAGGCTTAGGTAGACCCCAAAGGAGAGACCTACAATCCCAATTCTGTCGGCAACGACCTGACGATGATCTTGAAGTAAGTGGTATGCTGACTGTCCAAACAGATATTTCAAAGGGATGATAAAATAATCAAGGTAAATGGTTAATGGTAAAGTTATTCCAAAGTGAGTATAGTGTACTTAACAAAAAACTGGAAATGAAGCGTCGTCTCCTACTTTGAAATATGGATCGCCAACATTGACACGATTGTGAGGAGCAGGCAAATCTTTATGCCCTAAGTAGGCAAGAGAGAAGCTAGCATAGCCCTTGGATGCAAAAAGGGCGGAGCGGTACTCCACCAGTCCTCCACCCATTCCCCAAAGGTCCAACACAGCTGGAAAAGGGCCTGGGCCTGCAAGAAATCAGTAAAGTAGGTTGTGTTCAGTCAAAAACTGTCTTTAAAAAATGTGAGTGAATTCATTAAAAATTGTGCTCACCAGGCGGTAAAAACAACGTCCCCACAACTCCATCCTGGCGGATCTCTGTTCTCCGTACGCCTGGTGCCATGTACCAGCGCTCAGTAGTTACTGCTGCCAGCTCGGTGATCTTTCTCTCACTGGGTGACACGTGGCCCTCCAGTAATGACAGTAGCATCACGTATGGAGTCTCTACATTTTTTTTCCTCAGCCTGAAACAAATGTTTCAATAATTTAGTATTCAGCATTGTCAGGATATCCCCTCATCCTTAGATGCTCAATAACACATCTGTGTGAAGCCCATGCAGATTTAAATAAGGCATGATTAAATAAACCTGAGGTGATATTGCTTGGATATCACATTTTATTCCATCAAATCTAATTTCTAAGATGAGTGGAAGATGGAGGATTACATTTTTTAAGCAGTCAGTATTTTTGTTTCACTGCTGAAAGGTTCAAATGCAAAATGAATGAAAGCCTATTAAAATTTGATTAAATGAAACAATAGTTATTAAAAGGTTTGTGAAAAAGATTAGATTATTATTTACAGCAGAGGTCTTCAACAGGGGGTCCGCGGAGGTACTGCAGGGGGGTCGCAACATTTTGGTTGATAAGACAATTTTCTTTTCTTTTTTTATTAAAAAAAACATTTCAACAATTTTTTTTTGTCTTCAGAATCAAAATTGTATTTATTGTTTTGAAATACACATTAACATGAATCCAACATATTCTAGCGAACGGATAAACATACATTCAGCTGCCCACAGGAGCTCTCTAAAGCTGGGCACCGGTTCACTCACAGCGCCTTTCGTGCAAATACGACAGCACAGGCACCAGCCAATAAGATCACGTTTATGCTCACGTCTAGCGCAAAGCTCAAAGATATAAGATGGCGGACAGAACTCCGTAGAATAGGGGGTCCCTGCTCCATCTCGCCATCAGTTTGGGGGTCCTTGGCCTAAAAAACGTTGAAGACCCCTGATTTACAGTGTTTGTGGTTTGCTACAGCTACAAAAGTCAACTCAAAAGTTGGGGTTTCTTTGTCATTCAGCTTGTTTTTATCACCTGCCTTAAACCTTCTCTTGAACCAGGAGCAGGCTGCAATCCCCAGAACAGTCCCATTGGCTCACAGCCCACGTATGAACCTCCAACTGAATGATCCCTGGTCACTTTAGATGAGAGAGAATCACAGAGGGTAAAAGATTACTGCATAGAAGTCTAAATTACTGAAATGATCTGATTTTAAAAATGTGTATCCACAAAATATAGATTCAATGTTATATTGTTGTTTTCCTTTACAATCTGTTTTTTAGCTGATTGAGTTGGAACTAGATTACGCTCAATTGCTCTTGATGCTCAAATCTCCTTTTAGCTTTAATAAATTGTATAATCAGATCATCAGTATCTTTAATCGGACTATTGTGTATAATTCCATATGATTTATTAAGTTGATACATTATATTTGTAATACTTACATTATTTCTAAAGCATTACATGTAATATAGGGAATATACTGTACTGGGACTTACAGTTGACAGTGCCATCTGCATTTGTGTTATAATGGGCAAATGCCTCCCAATGGTCACCTTCATCACTTTGCATTTGTGCACACATTGTGATGGGACTCTGTGGTGGAAGGAAACATCCTTTGATGCTGATGTGTTCATCTATTAGGGCGCGAACAGGGGCGGCTGTCAACAGAGGAGCTGGTTTAAAGCTGCTGTTCCATCGAACTCCACCTACAGGTAGAGGAAAGTACATTACATTACATGTCATTTAGCTGAGGCTTTTATCCAAAGCGACTTACAATAAGTGCATTCAACCATAAGGATTCAAACTCAGAAGAGCAAGAAACAAAGTGCAATTTCCTCAAATAAGCCAATTTACAATTTGCTATAGATGAGTAGCGTTATAAGTACAATTTAAGTGCTACAATTTGTTAGTCTTTTAGTCGAGGTAGAGTCTGAAGAGGTGTGTCTTTAGTTTGCGGCGGAAGATGTGAAGGCTCTCTGCGGTTCTGGTGTCTTCAGAGAGCTCGTTCCACCATTTCGGAGCAAGGACAGCAAAGAGTCGTGATCTAGTCGAGTGTTTTGCTCTCAGTGAGGGAGGAACGAGCAGTAGAAAGTAGTACATTAAAACAAAACAATACAAATAATTGGTAATTATCCAAATTCTGAAATGACAATTTCAATGGGATGACAAGTATCAGAGACCTTTTTGCACATACACAACCATCAGGTTCACTATCCAACTTAAGGTGAACTCGGAAAGAGGACAGGAATCCAATAATTAACCCTGTGATGAATCAGTCCCCTTCCACTCCACTGTATACTTCTGCAAAACACAGTTAACTAGAGCCAACGACGAGGCGTGGGCCGTGTTGTTTTCACTGACTCAAGTGCAGTAATTCACGATAGAAGACAGTTGAAGAAAATGCAATATCTTAAAATGGGTGCAAATATATATATTTAAAAGTACACCTCTAGGTTTTTTGAGCTTCTGATTCATAAACAACCATGAAGATAAATGGTGAAGAAAGATAACTCATTTGTAGAGCTTGTAGGAATGAATATTCAGACATGCCCTTTAGTCTTAAAATGAATCCTAACATTTACTCTACCCGTAATTTCTAATAATGATTTTTGAGATTAATCTGATACTTGAAAATAAAATAAAAGGCTAAAATGGTCACACTAATCAAAATCACAACTTCATCCAAATGCAACAGTTGAAGACCTGCAGTATCATAGCAGCACATTTAGCCAGAGTCAAAGTAGATCCCACTGCTCATTAAGTTCTTCAAAGACCCCTTAGAACTACAATAAAAATGGTCTTACCCACAGCCCGATGCAAATATGCCAGGTTCCTGTGTACACGCATGCATGCAATCATTATAGTTTGGAGTTGTCGGACCATTGACTGCCTCAAATTAACTCTGAACATTCGAGTGTTTCATTTACGTTTTACGCAATACACAAAGCCCTTCCGGGTCATATCTATTTATTAAAAAAAGATTAACGGCGGTGTACAGTTAAACATTCAACTTGACAACTGATCTAACATTTAACTTATTTGCTGGAAAGGCATGTAGCCGTATTTTTACCTCTGCCTCTCTGTATTGAGTTAGAAAACATGCTGCTTTGTAGTCCTGAAACGTGAATCATTTCCGTTTATACGTCACGCATTATATTCAGCTTTGACCCACTTGTGAACGTGTCCAAGCAATCTCTTTTGGAGTAAAAGTAGGAATGCTGCAAAAAAGATGTATCCTGTTCTGCATTTAAAATATGTTCAAAGTGAACTATTAGCTATTAGATGACGCATGCGACAGCATTTACAAGTTGGAATTCAAGCAATTTTAAACTGAAACATATGTGATTTTGCTGGGGACAATGGAGAATAAATCAAATATTTTACATTCAGATCAAAAGTTTAGGTTTATAGTAAGTTACTGTCAAAGTAGCATAAATATAAATGTTTGCATTATTGATTGTTCTATTATACATTTTGTTAATAGTTTCGGCCCCAATCTTATGTTTGTATGCATAATTTACACGTGTAGCATTATTTTACATACTGTATACCATCGTGTATTTATACGATTTTATTTAGGCGACTTTAAACTACACACAGCCTACGGAAAGAAAAGTAGATAGCTTTTCAAAGTAAACTTTGCACTTTCGTAAAATGATAGAATAAAACAGTGAAGTACGTAATACAAAGCAGATATGGTTATAATATACTTATTATTAGATATACTCCATCATTGTCCCCAGAACAAGTCGTGTATGGGGAAATCCACACAAATAATCTACGTAATACATCCAAGGAGTCTTACGCTGAAAATAAATTGTTAGCACAGAGTTGTCTTTCCGGATCCACTGCCCTCACTTCCGTGTTGTTAACACGGTACAATCAACTAGGCCTCGAGAGTAAAGTTTTAAAAACTGTAGGCAACCAAAGAGCTTATCGATCTCACGGCACCTTGAAACCGTTGTCTCCCAGTGCTCAGGTCGGTATCATCTGTCCCTGTGTTCAGGTTTGAACAGTTGGTGCTAATCTGTTCTATGACCGCTGCTAACCATGCTAATCGCTGTGTTTGTGTGGGTGGAACGCTCGCTAACACTCACGTTAGGTGCTTGACTGAGTCAAGTACTCTCACATGCAGAGTAAACTACAACGTCTATGATTAAGTTAACGTTAGCTAACTGAACTCCCTCGTGGTACATAGCTAACTTATGTTGACTGGTAAATTAAAGATATTCTAGTACACCGTGGGCAGATGCCCTCGTAAAGAGGCAGATTGTTGCATGGTTAATTAGCTACAGTATATAATTTACTTGCCTTATTAAAGTATAACCTGCAATTCTATTTAATTTTTAAATTTGATATAAACGTTTACAAAGGAAAATATTGCATTAGTGTCCTGTTGACAAAGTAACGTTGGGAGTTGTCTTTGTGCAGTAGCTAACGTGAGTTTGTACTGCTTAAACTATTCAAATGTTATGGCCACACTAAATACCACAAGAAAAAGGACGTATGTGACACACTAATTAATTAGTTTCATGGGATTTCATCTCTGTCTTTGATTAACAGTAGCTAGAGTAGGTCCAGATTCCTCATTCAACACCCCAAATAGTGCTCTTTTAGATTTGAACCTACACTTTTTTTATATCTGTTAAAATGGGGAGACAGCTGTCATAGGCTATTTAAAAGCATTGTATTTTGTAACTACAGTTATTTTCCCACTCCTGCTTAAAAATGTTTGTGGGCTAAGCTTAAAAACAAGTCATGATGTATGTTAATACATTTGATTCAATTTGTCCTTTTTTTTGTTCCAGGTTTTGAGCTCCCACTCAGATCAAACTAAATGGCCCAGTTGGTGACCGTCGGGGCCAGCTATTAATACACTTTGTAGGTGTAACATCAGTCCGCAATGGGCAGTCACTTCCGTAGCTACATCTGGGACCCGGTGCTCATTGTGAGTCAGATTGTGTTGATGCAATGCATCTACTACAGCTTCTTGGGCCTTTGGTTAGCTGGAGTGGAAAGCCTGGTGCAAAGTAGTCGGTCATTGGACCAGATCTTCAGCTATGAAGTAAGTTCTAAGATCTGTCAGTTGTCTGTGGCACTTGTGTAGACTTTCCTAATAATGGTATTTCAATTTTGCTCTGCTTTCAAAGCTCCTTGGTTTTGCAACAATTCAGGGCAGGCTCTCAATGATGGCGTTCATCTTGAACTCTCTTACATCGTAAGTTCTTTTGTCTTTTTTTTTTCTCTGTACATCCCAAGATATGAGAGCTGAAACACCTCTTACTAAAATGCTGATAAAATTGCACAACAAAGCTATTCACAATTAAAGGATTGTCACACTATGGGGACTAATCTACTGAATCATATATATATATATATATATTTAATGGATTTATATATGGAAAGAATTGAACATTTACAACTTTGCAGGGGCATTTTGGTAATCACACAAAACTGAAACATAAATGAGCATGGCTTGTATTGTAACCTGCCTCTGCTATTTTCCCTGCAGTGCCCTTGGTCTGTGGTTCTTCATCCGTCGGGGAAAGCAGTGCCTGGACTTCACGGTCACTGTGCACTTCTTCCATATGATTGGGTGCTGGATCTATAATACTCATCTTCCATCTACCCTGTCCTGGTGGCTCGTCAATGGAGCCTGCATGGTTTTGATGGCTGTACTCGGAGAGTACTTGTGCATGCAGACTGAGCTCCGGGCTATTCCAGTCAATAGTGGACCCAAATCTAACCTGTGAAATTTTGTCGATACCAGGTTGAAAATTTGTGGACGTTTAACTCCTGAGGAACTCGCTCAGAGGAGGTTTTTCACTACTTTCAAAAGAAATGGAACATGAGATTCCCTCCACGTAGATGTTGGATCTATTTTCTGCAACTGATAAACCAGATGAACTGATCTATTTATAAATGTTGGACAGCTGTGTAGCAAAAATGCATGCTTTATTGCTCACAGAGGCAAATATCAATTTACACCATTCTCTGAACCTCATCACTGTACATTTTATTTAAGTAATTGCACTTTTGTGTTCATTTTAATTGCGCTGCATTCCATTTTTAAGAATTACGATTTTTTTTTCTTTCAGATTTGTGCCCATCTTCAAATGTCAATTGAAACTTGCAGACTCTTATAAAGCAGCAGAGCAGCAACATTCTCTTTCCCACTCTCTTTGTGTTGGTAAAATTACAAGCTGGCCGGGCAAACAAACGTGACCATGATGTGAAAGGGTCTTTTGGTTTTAGAATTCCAATTTTAGTCACTGCACTTAAATTTCAATTTGCAAAGTTACCTTTTGAGATTTTATCATGTTTTCTTGTTCATGTTGGGTAACAAGTTCAGTGTGTAAACATGTATGCTGAAGTTTTTTGTTGCAGTAATCAATCACATTCTAAATCTAAATGTTTTCTCGTTCATAATCTCAACGCATCATCAAGTATAAAATTGGGCTTACGATTCATTTTGCACACAATGCTCCGTTTTGTCCTTGTCGAGCTCGTACATAATATCACACCACTTGCGTTGTTTGTCTCCGTCGCTTTATGTCATGATTTATTATGCAGAAATGTGGGCCACTTCGGGGACGGTTTGTCAGCCACCAGCTGCGTTCTGACAGCAGACTCTGTGTTTCTGTGGGGGCTGTGAAGTGACATGTGCAGCACTAGTGGCTTCTGGAACACTTCTTATCTTATGGCATTTAGAACGCTGTCAAAATTAACTACCTATTGTTAGAAAACCATGTCCTGGAACACATACTAGAATATATTTTTATTTTGTGTGATGAATTTCAGCTCAAATCTCTGCAGTTTTGATAGTGTGGACCATGCAGTGTCTGCTTTTGAGGCAGAGGTTGATGGTTAAAAGCTGTATAATAGTTCGAGAATGATGAGAAATTCACTTATTGGCTTTCTTGTTGAGTTCGATAAGGACAGAAATTATGTCTCATGTCTGGCCATTTAATATAATGGACCTATAATACCATATAGGGGTTGACGTGGCGCAGGGGTAGAGAGGGTGCGCTGGGAACCGCAAGCTAGGTGGTTCGAGCCCCGGCTGCTCCATGTCGAAGTGTCCCTGAGTGAGACACCTAACCCGGGGCTGCTCCCTGGGCAAAAATGTAAAAAGCCATGGGTTAAAAATGCAATGTAAGTCACTTTGGATAAAAGCGGCCTCAGCCAGGGGTTTGCTTGTTTTGGATTGACGAATTGGAAAAAGCTAGCTTTAGTTTCATAATTGCACAAACATGACAGTGGTATCAATCCTCTCTAGAGAAAGCATTTAAGCGTATAAGTGTCAACCCATCTTTTTTCATAGTTTCTTGAGACAGCTGCTGAGAAAGTTTCCACATGCACTGCGACTTTTCTATTCTTTAACCTTAAATGTTAGTTTTTATAATGTTTAAATACACAGAGATGGACCTATTAATTTAATTTACATTTTTGACTTGTTTCTTTTTCGGGAACAACACAAGACAAAGTGCACATAATTTGTCCTCACTGAAGATTAAAATATAGGGTGTTTGCATCAACATCAAGGAATTTTGTTGCAAGTACTTTGATGCATATGCGGTTATAAAACACTACAAGTTCATATGAATGCTTGTAAATCTATGTTAGGGAACCAAAGGTGAAGAAATACTTGGCCGTTACGCTTCAGACATGAAAGATGGGTCCTCTAATGAGGGGCAAACCACAAGCCTGTCTGAAGGATTTGCACCCTGGGCCAAGATGCTTCAATGTGTCCTACTGCCTCTTCTGGAAGTGTCCAAGTGGAAAGGAGCAGATGGGAGAAGTACTAATGAGTAAAACTACTGGTTGCAGTGCTCATTACCAACACTGCTTCAGGCAGGGCTAAAAACAGAAGCTGTAGTAAGTGAGTTGAATTACTGCATCAATTAAAGGCATCACTATTTCACCCCTCTGTGTTTCTAGATTTTTGCTATCTGTTTTGCTGAAGGTCCTGCACACACACACACACACACACACACACACACACACTGTATGTTTTAAACATGGCGCTTTATTATTACAATCACATTACTTTGCCATATATTGCTTTATACAGTCTTGAAAATGTGCTATTTTATTAGTAAACTGAAGAAAAACAATATTTCTTTTACATTCTAAAGTTCTTTCCGTGTTTAAACAGTCGGTAGGGTTAATTTCTTATGGTATGATATTATTATAATCATTTTCATGCTTTTTTCAACAGCCTAGAGAGGGATGCGAGTCATTTCTCTAAGAAGTGATTGTACATATTGCTCATGCTTTGAGGATATCGCAGCTGTTTTTGTATTCTCACCACCAGACACACAATGGATGACATAATGCCAGCATGACATAAATAGAAACAACTAGAACAAACATGCTAAGGAAGGTGGGCGGGGGATGAATCTGCATAAAAAGGATGCAGATACTCTGAGGAACTATAGCCTAACTGCATGCACAGATCAATACACCACACATGTTGTCCAAGGTGAAAACATTGTTTTCAGTATTTTGAAGCACTGTCATTAACATTTTCATGCATTTGGGATCAAAGAGATAAGGCCCATGAGGACCAGAATATAAGGAAATATGCAAATTGTGACACAGTTTTAGAAAAACAAAACAAATCAATGCTTTCACTCATTAATTTTCAGTTTGCTCTGAATCGAGGTAAACACTGCAGTATAAGTACAGAAAACACCAGGTTCTTTGATGAAAACGTAACCTAAATACTGATCCATAGTGATTGAACAACCTTTATAATTAGTAATATCTCACCATGGCTTATGACTTAATGTGTGAAATGAGGGGGAATGAAGCCCAATATATTGATTCTGTAATAGTAATTTCTGTTGAGAGTCTTTGTGGCTACTTTTGAAGCTTAATCTCAAACCTGCATTTCTCCAAACAAGATTGATTAAAAGCATGAAACAGATGAACTGAGCAGCACCGTTAATCTGTTTTGCTTGATATCATAATTATGCAATGCATTCATGAGTCAATCATAACTTTAAATAAAATTGATAAACAATAACGATTTATTTTTTACAAAAATAATGTTTAGCTTTTGCATATCATTTGACTTTATATTATTTGTAATTGTTAAAAATTGTATTAAATTATTCTAGTTCTATTCTAAATGATTAGTCTTTGACAATCTGTAATATATTACACCCCTGTGTTGTCTGTATGGATACTGTATGAAATACTGAGTTTATTTGGGTTTTAGTAATATTGTTGCAAGCGAGCATGTTCACACAAAGTGGAGCAGTTATTAATGAAAAAACACTGAACATTCACAATTAAGATTTCCTTTTCTACACAAACATTGACAGGTCAGAAGTTTGATCGATCATAATACTGAACCAAAGTTAGGGACGAGGCTCAGAGAGCAAAGAGGAGGAACTGAATTCATGAGGTCTTGTCAGGATGTCGTTTTTGGTGTCTTTATAGCAGCCATGCAACATCAACCACAATAGGCCGAAGTGTTAGGGGGGCAAAGTGTTGATTGTCACTTTCACAAACATTTATTACACTTGGCAATGGATTAAAGGGGCATCCCCCCTAAAATACAGCTGAATTTTGTTTAGCTGCTCGTCTTAGTGTAATTAAGTCTGTCATATAAATGCCTGGTCCTGTTTCTTACGATTTGGTCCTTTCACTGATTAATAAGCTGACAACATATTCACATTTTTTCTTAGTAAAGCAAATATTTGCTAAAATTTGTTGTTATTTTTGTTGAAGTGCTCCTTTAATGCAATCACAATGTGATAATTTATACAAATTCGCTGAATGAAATTGCTTAAATTGTCATTCTTGTCGGGTCGTAATGGAATGAAATTGCTTAAATTGTCATTCTTGTCGGGTCGTAATGTGATCAATACCACTCTCACGTATATACACCAAATGTAAAGCTACAGCCAACATCCAGTTGACTTGGTGTAGCTAAAGGACGAGGAAACAGAGCGCTTAGCTACGTCCAAGGGTGACAAAACCCACCCTCCAATTATGCCTATAGCTCACTAATAAAAACGTTGTTTGATTAATTCGTACAAAAGTGTCAAACTGTTTCAAAGCTCGAAGCAGCTACAGCAGTTATGTGCTAAGCTAAGCTAATGGGCTTTACCGACAGTATCTCTACATTTAGTGTGTGCGAGTGGTATAGATCTGCTTAGCCAACTCCCAAAATCTCAAACTATTCCTTTGACCATCATCAACCCGTACAGGGAGTGGCAACACATTAACACATGTCTCAGAATATGATGAAAGCCTAAACCTCTAAAATACTGCTTAAAAAAACTCAGTTATTTTAGCTGACCTCAGTTGAATCCATCAAACCAAACCTGATAAAGTTCATAAATCTAGTATTCATTGCATTAGATTGTACCGCAGATCATGACAATCTGTCCACTCCTTGTATATTGCTTATCCAGATCCGCAGGTGTCTGGCTGTTTGTATCTGAAATCCCTTCAATACTTGGCTTGTTTGCTTTAGTCTGCCTGGTAAATAGTTTTCTCAACTACAGGATCAAGCTGAAGTACTTGAGGAGATTTAAAACATGATTGATTGATTGGCTAGCCACAGAATAATTGTTACTATTCACTTATCCCTATTAAATCCTTGGCCTTAGGTCTGAACTCAGGAGGACCGACCCTGACTGAATTGGAAGCCATCATCTTCATCACTCCCTCCCCTCCCGCCCTGATTTATACAGGGAACCAGTTGGGCCTGGTCAGGATCAGCCCGCCTATCAGGGGCAGGGCAACGGCAGCGAGAGGTGAACTTATTCTGGGCGAGGAGCTGGGGCTGCACAGGTCGAACAGACTTCCCTGGAAGCGCATCTTCATGGAGTCCTGCCGCAGAGTCTCCCAGATGGAGCTGACTTCCTCCTGGCAGTCGGACAGCGCTGTGAGGGCACATGTATGGAAAGCTTCCCAGTGGCTAGGGCAAAAAAAAAAAAAGATCAAATCAGATCAAGGCAGCGTCTGCCATTTCACTCAAGAATTCCTCCTGTCTACAGCCTTCAGACGTGCACTTGCTGTTGTGGATTAATTTGCTTGCCAGTAATCTATCACTCAGATGGTGGCTTCAAGTAAGTCAAACTGAGCTTCAATTACCATGGCAACTGTATGAGACATGGAATAATATCGCAGATGAAATTGCAAAAGGCCGATTTTTAACAGAAGGCAGATGTGTAAACAGTGCAAGGGTTCTAGAGTGCATGCAGTAACAATGACAAAAAATCCTCCCCTAGAATTTCATTACTGCTGCAGCAAAGTCATAAATTATTTAGTACAATGGCTCAGTGTCTTAACACCATTCATTTATCTATTCTCCCTCTGAGATCACGGCATCTGCTCTTTTTCTCTCCAGCATTCTATCGAAAGATGCACACTTTACATTATACATGTTTGAAATTCAGTTTTGGTCACAGTACTGTAGTTGTCTTTTACAAAAAGGTTTTTATTACAGTCCATCTCAACACATACCGATTCCCGTGGGGGACGTCCCAGGTGCACAAATAGGTGCTGTGTTCTGTTCCCACACTCACTCTATCAATCATGAAGTTATTATCACCTGCACACGGCTTCCACTCCCCTCTCGCTGGTCACATTCTCCTGATAGTTGTCCATGCTGTCTCCCAGCTCCAGGACACAATCAGAAAAGTCCTTGTAAATGTTCTCACACTTCACATCTGAGTCTCCTGACACCATCAGGGACGGGAATACTGCAAAACACACATTGCGGCTTAGTTCAGTGCACAAGCAAAATAGCTATAATAATTAATTTGTAATTTGGTAATCTTTTTCATCTCTGGAACAGTCTCAGTGTGGTTTATCTTTGTCCACATCCCCCCACATCAAACACTGCTCATGATCATGACACTTTTTTCACTAAAACAGTATTCCACTCCAGTGTTCCTTTGTGTACATTTTCAAGTGTTTTCAACATGCTTTTTTTTGCAATCCTGTCATCTGAACTTTATTTTAGGAAAATGTCAGTGCGTTGTGAAGCACACGATACTCCTGAACACTGCCTCATACATTCCTTCCACACAATGCTAAAACACGTCGACACCACAACATTGTGCAGGAGGACAATGGAAAATTAGATCAATTTAAGCAAATAATGTTACTCAAGGAAAATAGACATCAGCTTGTTGTATTTTCGTTATTTTCGGATCGTGCATGGCCAAAGGCGCAATATTACCTAAGTGTAGACACCCAGTTTCTACTGTCGATGGGTGTAGGCTGCTACGAGCAGTGCCGATCTGATAACCCGCAACACGATGGAGACAGATAAAGATTGCAATCATGGCGTGACATTTATGATGCGGGGAAAAAGGTGTTCGGCAGTTCTCCGTGGCAAACCACCCAAAGTTACTCGCAGCCTGAATAAACCCGACGGGGCAGCTTGAGGTATCTTACCCAGGGCGAACAGGAGAATCCCTCCGATCTTTGTCGACATGAAAAATCCCATATCATCCCATTTCTAGCCGAGCCGAGGGCGCGGGATGCTGCCGAGGCGCTCGTGAATCGTAAGGAGAAAAAAAGAAAACAAGCGGAGTGGAGACGCACAACCGATTAAGGGCTCATTATCGATGCGTGTAGGTGTGTATCAGAGATTAAGCGCCGATAAACACTTGGTGTGTATGTGTACAGGGTCCGTGTACCTTTTGATAGTCCCCTTTACCGTAAAAACCAAACAACGAAAACACGGCTTTTCGTTTTAAGCGGTAAAACGGTAGTGGGTGGCCGTTTTCGTTTTTTGTTTAGAACCAAAAAAACGGGACAAACTGACAACTTTTACTTCCATTAATCCCTTTTGGGGTTTTGCCCATAAAACAATAATACGAGGCGTAGCCGCAAAACCGGAAGCACGTAGATTTTCACAGTAAGAATCAACGCAATGGGACGTTTGTATGCTAGAAATCCGTCAGCATGCCAGCGGTTACCAGGGTAACATCAGGAGAAAAGTTGATTGATCAATATGAACAAATAATCCTGGTCCGATGGAATGTGTGTTAGCAAAAGTAGCACACTCGTTACTCTTGGCTCTCAAAATATTGGGGGCATTTCAAGATTGCCATTATTTTATAACTTTGGGAACAAGTATTTAATTTTGCAGGACTAAAAATTATTGGGGGACACAGATTTTGGACTGTTCATTTGTTTAAAAATATGCACGTGTACATTACTTAATCATAGAAGCGTACGGAATATAGGGAGAGTTGCATGGGATAAATTATTAAATATCTTCATATGCAAATGCAAGGAGCACAACAAATATAGTGAAAGATAAATGCAGATTAATTACGTTTATTTGATTAACAGTCATATTTACTGTGATATTTTTTACTATCGATCCCCTATTCATTAAGAATTTTTGTTTTACAGCTCCAGATATAACATTTGTATCTATTAGTTGAAATTTTAATAATTTTAAAAGCCCAAACATGATTCTCGATTGTTGAATGTGAGAATGTCTTTCTTTTCCTTATTTTATTTCAGAGAAATTGAGATTGGTTCACCCTTTTATTGTCTTTAAAAAAATCCCAAAAGTGGGATGCAATCTGACACATTGCACCAACAGCCCCTAGCAGAGTTGATTCTCTCAAACCAAGGAGAAGTTACATTCCAACACGCTGAAAAATAACAGGTAAACTAACCTGCAGAAACCTCAAGAGAACACTGTTTAATAAGTTGTAACTGTAGCTGCCATTGCTCCACTGAACCACATTTACACTTTTAGAAACCTCCTATATTTGAATGATTGGTAGAAGCAGAGGGGGGGATCAATGGGGAACGCACAATGGTGTTTACATGATGGGGATTTACCTCATTAAACAAATTAACATGGAACAATTTGAAGCTTAGAAATCCAGCTTACAAAAATAAAAAGGACTTGAAAGCTGACAGGGTGATTTATTCTGCCTTCTTTTTGGGCGGTTTGTACCACAATCGTTTGTTTTTCCACAAAAAGTTTAATGACCCAAGGTTCATCTTTAATCACCTTTCACACACACACACACATACTGATAAAAGTCCCTTTCAATGTGGACTGTAGCTCAGTCCGGTTGGTGTCTAAAAGGCGTTGCTCTGGTCAGAGCATTAAAGTCCAGGATACTCTCTGGTCGTTCTTGCAGCAGGATGCGATTCACACATTTGAAACACTCTGCTCGGGTTGGAGATGTTGATCCACTGTAAATGGGAGTCGGGTTACCGCGGGGCGGAAATTAGCTTTGAAAGCCTGTTGGACAGTAGGATGATGGATGGAAACCGACAGTTTTATTGGTCTGTTCCAGCTGCCCTCTTGGTTCGTTTCCGTGGAGATGCTTTAGGAGAAGCTTTGTCTGTAAACACAATGAAAAGATCAGATTTTTGTCACCACATTTTCATGGAGATTAACAGTAATGTGAGCAAACAGATCACTTGTCTGTTTTATCAGTTATTACTTTCAACAAATAGGGATAGAACATGAACATACTCATGATATTGAGATTCTCCTGAGGAATCCAGCTGATGTCCACATCATTCATCCCACCAGTGCCCCTTTCTATTTTCACAGGGATTCTCTTTTTCTGCAAAAGACAAGTTGTTAGGCAACATAATGTAATCTTAAAACCATTTAATCCAAAAACCTGCTTCAATATCAGTCTCCCTGTCTACGGAGAATATTTCCCAGGGGGGTGGATAGAAATCACCCCATGTTAATGTGCACTCTATTCCATCTGCAGCCATTGATTTGATACACAGGAATTATTCGGTTACATTTGCATTAGATGTGCATTGTTAAAACAGAGGAAATTAATCATCCCACGTGCCAAGTAAATCATGTAGACCAAACGTAAATATCGCAATACAAAGAATAAAAGCATTCGAAGACAAGCTCATACCGTCCGAGTTTCCAGAACCTGGTAAATCCCAAAGAGCATCAGCGACACCAGTCCAGCCAGGAAGATGTACAGGAACATTCTGCAGAACAAACAAAAAAGATTTGTATTATTAATAGTGGAAGAAGAGTTCTTAAGTCACTTGGATTTTATGCATTTCATACTCAATAAGTAATGCGTGGCTCCTTGCTGACTCAAGACGTAATGTAGAGTTTGAATAAATTGCAGTTTATTTTAATGACAACGCATGGGCACAATGGGAAGACATCAAAGTTTCAAATTAGTTTTATTGGCAATGGAATGTCTTTAAATATCTGTAGCAATTGAAGATGGAAGTATGAAAACATTTCAATGACCTTTCCTGTATATTCTGCAGTTGACAGAAAAAACAAGCCATAGGGAATTTGAGATTTTAGGATGCAATCTCTTTGCTTTGCTTTAATAATTTGCTGTTAACAGTGTCTGCCTCCAACACCAGCAGCCAAAATTGTGATAACTAATCTCTTTGTGCTAATTTCACACTTCCTTTACAGGTTCTTACATGCGCTACAATTGTCTGGGACTCCAGTGCTGTGAAGCCCTAGAGAGCTGCATCTAAGTAATACGTGTGCAAAAATAATCATTTAATATTTACATAAAACTGAGATGCAGAAATTAGCTTATGTCAACCTACTGATTCAGACATTTTGGTGCTACTGTATAACAGGCAGTCTTCATTACATTTTTTCCAGTTAAATAATATGACAGAGCAAAAACGTTGTCCTCTTTTCAGTAACAAGTTTCCACGTGATAGAACATGGTAGAAGTAAGCCTTACGTTTCTCCGTCCAGTCCCTCTTCCAGCTCGATAATGTTGACCGTCTGGTTGTAGATGGCAGTCTGAAACACGTTGCCCTTGAGAAAAAGATGTATAAGTAGTAAGCTTTAAATCATGAACTGTTTTTACAGCAGCGCTTTGAAAAAATCTGAACGCCAATATGACTCAGCATCCATTACATCAACAACAGTCAAAACTCATGTTTCATTCAGAAACATAATGACGGTAAGGAACCACCAGTCATTCACATTTTACAAAAACAATAGCTGTTTTATGAATATAAAAGACAAACAATAACTTTTGCTTTGCTGACAATAACTTTTTCGGGTTTTAGTTTTCATGAATCAACAACATATGAGGGGTGCCGTGGTAAAGCTTCCAGCATCCGACATCATCACGTTACACCTTCGCTCTAAAACGTCGACATGAAAGGTTGAGCACCACCATCGTTTCATAAACAAAATAACAAAAAACCTTTCTACCTCAGTGTCAAGATAGTTGAGGAGGATAACCAGACCAAATGGGCGGCCTGCCATGGGCTGAGCTGGGATGAAGGAGTACTCGAAGGAGGCCTGAGCCTGCGGCTGCACCACAGTGCTAAGAGGCAACGCTGTGAACTGTGAACAACACACACAACATTAATGAACTGAATTTGTTGCAATAAACACATAAGGAAACACATAAGACATGTAAGAAAATTCCAATGGTGCAGATTAAGTCTTGTCTTCTATGTGTTAGAAATTGATGTGCCGGCATTAAAATACAAATAGGAAAAACTGCATTAACCTCTATATTTTTCAGAATCATTTTGACATACTCTTATACAATCTCATCCCAAAAGCTTTGAGACACGTATTGAGGACTTTTTGATCATCTCACAATGAAATCAAATCAGTAAGTGATCAAGTTCTTGTATCAGACTGTGTAGTAGAAATGTTTGCCTGTATCAGTAACATTTATATGTTGGCTAGTATTACGTTCTGGATGTAGAACTGGTAGTCTTGAGGGTAACGGAAGGAGGCCTCCAACGACTGAACGGTGAAATCCTGACTTCCCTTGTTGGTGAAACCCACAAGGAACCTCACAATTTCGTTGGCAGGAAACTCTGAATTAATTATGAACACAAATAACAATAATGTTAATAGTAATAAGCGGAAGGAATAAAGCCAGAGAATTGCCAGATGCGTCACCGCGTAAAACAGCAAATTAGGGACAATGTCTTTACTTAATGGAAACACCCACCTTCTCCTGTCATGAAGATGATGGTTGTGTCGGCTTCAGGGTGAGACGATAATAGTTTGTCAGCTGCTTCATCAGAGTCTTCTTCGTCTCTATCCTGAGGAGGGACATCGCATGACATTGTCTCTCGAGCATCAGCATGTAAATCAATGATCAGCTATTCAGCTGCATGATGTAAACATACATACCGACGGTTGCATCTGATCTTCCTCAACAAGCATCTCTTCTTCATCTTCCTCCTCATCCACTGCAGCTTCTGGGTCATCAGCAATGTCCTCATCAGAGTCGGAATCAGCGGAGACTTGACCTGCTCGGGGCAGAAGACGCCACAATATGAGCTACGGTTTTAACATCACAGGAAAGTGTTTACATTTAGGACCATCGTCCCATCTCCATATTGATGAATTGGAGGATTCTTGCTTATTTAAAACCCAGGAACCTGAAGATTTCACCACTTTTGTCAGTCGGTGGGGGGAGGGGGGTAATTTTTTTTAAAGCATTATGATTTGCTCAATGCAGCCCAATATCGTATTATTGTAATACTACACACAGAAAGACAAACCATGATCACTTCGTGGATTAATTCCAATATAATGTAGAATGAATGCCTGGGTCTCATGTTTATACAACGTACCTGTTGAAACATTTGGATTAACCTTGACTATAGACAAACCAAACCAAATAAGCACCAGGACAGGGGGAGGGGAAAAGGCGTAGACACTGTAATGGGAAAATACAGGCACAACCACACTGTGAGTTACCATGCGATCTTTGGTGACGTGTCACAGTAGCACATAGCCGTTAACTGTGAACGCATTCACGAGGACTTTTATTGGGTTAAAATCACCTCTAAAGCCCACGAAGTGAAACTCAACTTCGCTTTTCACGGTAGACAT